GACATTTACCCAGCAGCCTTTGCACCTAACAGTCTCATCCTGCAGGAAAAGAGGAGTCAAACTTGGGTAAAACTGTTTCAAAATGTCGCTTTGCATTTTGTCTGACTTTTTTATTTTATTTTGAAAGGGTGTCAGTGGGGTTTTTCAGGTGGTCACAGTGGCTGTGGTTTGACTTTTTTGAATCACAAATCAATGAGGGACCTCTCTCCAGCAGCTTCCATTCAGGCCAAGGTCGACCCGATTACATGAGGTTATAAAGTGTGTGTTCTTGTGTGTGTGTGTGTGTGCGTGTGTAGCCAGTTGGATTAGCATACAAGTCTGACAAAGCGAGGGAATTAAAGGCGGCACAGAGGCACGATGGCCGGGCAAAAAACGGTCCCCACGCTCTCTGCGGTATTTGAATAGACAGCCTAAGAATCGTGAAAACAGAGCGGTGGCGAGGAGGAGCTCTTTGGCCCTCAGGATCGGAGGTGGCGAGGGTGGAGGGGGAGTTGGGCTGCTAGTTTAGCAGATAGGGCCCCTGTAGACTGCTTCAGTATGAGCTCAGGGAAATACACACAGCTATTTTGGCTCCCTTAGGGCCAAACTCTCTGGTAATAATGGGATCAGACGGAGCCATGACCCTCCCAGGACACCGTACGGCTGTTGGATATTCTATTAGTTTCCTCCGCAGTAAAAAGAAGTCCGTGCTCAGCTACTTTTCTTACTCTGAATCACATTTGTTTGACTTTTATGTAGTGACTAATCAAATTATTTAAAGTTTCCTGGAAGAGACTTCATTAACAATTGAACAGTGCTTCTTCTGAGCGCTGTAAAACCTTCCAGTTTATAAAGCTATGTATCTTCTAATCAGATCTAATGTTCTTTATGCATGCAAGGATATTGTAAGCTATTAACGCACGTACCAAAAAAGCGAGGCCCCCATAATTGTTCCTTTTTACCATTTAATCCCAGCACTGGAAGATCCAGCTGAGATCACATTAACATTTACATTTCTGAATCCCTCCACCTCCTTGATACAGCTTCAGCATCTCATCTGCCTTTACATAATATCAGGCTGTATTAATGCTACATATGGAGCTCCTCTGGATTTACATTTTCCTAATGATGTGCTTTCATTTTTTCTTTCTTTCCTCCTGTCCTTCCCTTCACCTCCAGCCCACAGCCCGGGGTGATTTAAAACACACACAACTGTACTGCTGTGTTTTTTTTTTTTTTACTGCAGAATAACACAAAGTGCCGGGTTGAGACACCTTTGGTCGCCCCAGCCCCCATCTGTTGCACATCTGGAAGTGGTGCGCCGCACCAATAATTGGAAGTCAATTTGTTTGAAGTTATGTATTTGGCATCTGGCTGGATTCATAAAAACTCTGGAAATCGCATTAATTTTATAGCATCTCAAGAAGGCCTGGCCACTTTTTTCGACTGTTTTTTTCATCTCTCTTGTGATCTGTCGTTAATGCATGTGGGGCCTTGCTGGTGGAGTGACGTGGGAGTTTGTCAAGCGCGGGGCAGGGTGTGGTCTTAAAATAAAAGCAGCATGCAGGCTAATGCCCCAGAGAAACGTGGGAGGAATTACTGTAGTGCACTTTAGAGACAGTCCTGATTGCTTTGAGCTCCTTTAAATTTGATGTAAAGCTCACGTTTTTGGCCACTTCAACCTCCGGCTCTGACCTTAATCTTAGATCATTTCTGACTTTTCCTGCAGACAGAAACACATCCGGGGCCCTAGTCTGCCACATTTCCAGCAGATGAGGCTGACTGATTGAGAAGCAGCATGCTGTTGTTTGTCACCCAGCTCTGAGTCATGGCTGAAAATAGATTTGACACTTGATGTTTGGAGCCTCACTGCTACCTGTCAGATTGTTATTCCCACTCAAATTTCACCTAATTTGTGCACAAGTCTTGTCACAGTCCAGATCCTGATGAGGGCTTTTAGGTGGATATTTTTCTCCCCTGTTGGCTTCCTTCGTGTTTCCACAGTGAGGCACACACACACACCTGTGCTGGAGTGCATTTGTGTGTGTTTGTGCTTGCACTTTTGATTAGGCTTGTTTGTGTGCAGCCTCCGTTCGTGCATGTGTGTGCTTCCCGTGCTCCAAAGTGAGTCACCTCAGCAGAAGGTGATTAAGAGTTGCCAATGGCAGGCTCGACAGGTGAGCGCGTTGTAGCACGCTGGCAGCTGTGGCATGTGCACAGGTGACAGCTTCTCTCCGCTCAGTGCTGGTGTCAGTGTTGGTGGGTGGCAGGAGGTCTGACAACGTTGTTTTGGTGACAGAACGACTCCGCTGTGAGGTTCACGACATCACTTGCCTCCTTTAGATTTGTCAGTTTATACTGGGGAGTATTGCTAGTACCATGGACTTGTGCATATACTGCCAAAGCACAGTTCCATATATGTGAAAGCACTGTTTACCAACTGAGATGCATTTAATTTTATTGCTTTTTCTTTAAATAACTCATATGCATGCTCTCCACTGCGCCTCACTCCTGCCTCTGGTTTCTTTTGATCAACAGTCTGCTTAGTATGCTGACAAACACAGCTCATTGCTGCCACCTGCTGTCGGATAAGAGACACGGCAGCACTCGTGTCACCCTTAAAGTGAGGTAATTCTTAAAGAGGGACCATTTTGCTGTGCATGCAAGAGTGGTAACAGAAAAAAGAAATGGAAAAGATCATTTTACAAGGTGTTCAGTCTTTGGCAGAAAATGGAACAAGCTCTAAAATGTGTTTCTCATAAAGAAGATTTGGTTAAAAAAAGAGGAAGAGGAAGTAAAAGAAGGAGAGATGGAGGTCAGTGGGCTTACCAACTTTTTCTGTTTTACACATTCATTCTTCGATTCTCTTTGTAATGTGTCTAACATAACTGTGGTATCAGATACCTGTGCTATTTCTCACACAGAGGTCCTGCGGGTTTCCAAACTGCGGACTTGATGAGCTGTGATATTCCAAATAAAAAGTCGCTTGTTCTGATGTCACCCTTGCCTCATCCGACCACATTTTCCTTTTGAAGCCTTGTGCATAACTGGCCTTGAACTTTGTCCATGATCGCCTTTGATATGGAGGAAATGAGGGAGATTTTCTTTTTCAGGGGAGAATGCTTTGTCTCCGGAGATATAACCTGGAAAAAAAAAAGGAAAAAGTTAGGTGAATGTGAATGAGGATTATATTTTCTTTTTTACACTCCGTCAATACTTTCATTAAGGTAAAGTGCACTCATTTGTTTTGTTCTACCCCTGACTTTCACTTTCATCAATTCCTGTGCTACACTAATTGGATTTGTATATTTTTCTTGAGTTTGCCATGATGAGACAGAGAGGGAAAAAATCATTCAAAATGAAAATGTAAATTGAGCCTTTTGAATTTTCGCTCATACGGACTCTTCCTCTGATACTCTTCATGTTTTTATAGCATAATGAAAATCTATATTTACCTACCACTTTGGCCAATTACCCATAAACATCACACACCACTTTGTAGCTGAAGTTACTGTACTCTGAGAGCGCAGTGATTGATCGGCTCTGTCTTGTTTGCAGCTGAAGAGCGAGGAGTGTTTCGATTTCATTAGAGAGAAACACGCACTAATAACACTCTGAAACATTAATTGAGGAAGGCTTTGATGAGAAATCCATGAGGGGTGTATTGGTGTGTTTTTTTTACACTGTTCTGTTTGTGCATTATTAATGCATGACGAGAGGATTGGATGTAAATTAATGATTTTTGGATGGTATTACTGCGCAAAAACAGGCAAGATCTGTGGTCGAGTTGAGGTCAAATCATTCAAAATGTGCAACAAACTTTCTTCAGCCAACTTACTCAGTATAAATGATAAACAGCCCCTGATCACATGCCTTCAAAATAAAAGTCTCTTCACTCTGCTTACCTCATAGGAAACTTTTCAAGCTTTCAGCCAACAGCTCTCACTGTAACTCTTCATCCTATCACCATTATTCATCCCTCAAGGGCTCATCAGCTCACAGTAGGCTCATCAGAGTTATTACTCCTCCTCTACTTGTCTTTATTATCCAATTCCCTCCTCTCCCCGCTCCTCTCTGCCTCTCATTGCCAATCAGCCACCTTGTAAGCTGGCCCTTCACCTTCTACAAACTAAAGTTTTCAGGATTTGTGCTGAATCTGTTTTTTTATTTTTTATTTTTTTTATTTATTTTTGTTTGTTTTTTTGCTCTGTCGCTGTCTGGAATGATCTTGAATGTTGAGATATAAAAGATGTTGTGGGTTTGCATTTATTTACTTTAATTTAATGAATTATGAGATTTCTCATTAAAAATCCCTATTCATCAGCCACTCTATTACCTACGCATGTACAGCTGCTCAGTAAAGTTGCTATGAGGAACTTTTGGATTGATTTTGATCTGGCGCCCCGTGTGGGCATCCGTCCCTTTATGGAGGACATGCCATCCTATTTTATTCTAAACTGATTTCTTGAATTGTACAGTGAGTTCATCGCAAGCCATGGGCAGCCATAAAATCTGCAGCATGTTATCATAAAGTTCTTGTGAGGAGTTTTTAGCTGGTTATGAAACTGTCTGAAATTGATGCTAATGCCTCTTCCTGACCAGCTAAAGCTAACTAGACCATCTGCAGCAAGACTGATAATTTCAATGTATTAATTTTTGAATGCTCAAAATGCTGTGAGGGTCTTTTTAAAAAAAATACTCACAGTGAGTGATACATTTCATGATGAAATGGCAGCAGGATGAGGCTTTTGTCTGAAAACACCACTTTTACATTTACAGGACTCATCTTTGTCCACAGGGTGCGCCAATATCAGCAGTCCCTCACAGCAGCTTTAACAGAGCCCTGGTGCATAAACATGCCTAAACACAGACACTTTCATTTAATTTTAAATAAGAGAGTTTCGGAGTGTATACTGTGAAAGTGACACTTTTCTGAATCAGTTAAAAACCCTTGAAACTAATTTTAGGATTTTAAAACATGCTCTAATAAATGTCCTCTATGAGATGACAACAAGGAGCCGAAATCAGGTATATGAAAAAAGGGGTTTATTATATTTTCCCCACCCCTGCTAAGAAATAAAAAAAGGTATCATGTTAGATAATAATATATATCTTTTAAAGGAATACATGGATTAGAACATATATAAATACATAAACGCTTAAAAACACATAAAATGACACAGATGAGACTGAAGACACATTAGGCATTTTGGTGAGTCAGCAGTTACAGGTTTGAATAAGGCACATCACATGATAACAATCCTGACTGTAAATATCAAAAATCCTTTTCTTCAGCAGTAGTATGTTTTTGTTCAAAGAAAGAGCATTCGAGCTGTTTTTCAGTGATTATTTTGCATATTTTACAGTGTTCGGCGACTACAGTGTTTGAACAATAGACTGTCATTTATATGAAGGCTGATAAGTGTCTCCCTTTTTCTTGTGAGTCTGTTTGTGCTCTGTCCGGGAGGCAGAGATGTGTACTGTTTGTCTATTATAAAGTTATGTCATGCAGCAGGAAGTCCATAAGCTGCTCCTGGTCCTGTTCAGTGAGAAATACACTTTTTTTTTATACACAAGTGGCACCATTTTGAGCACTGTTATGTGTTTTAGCTGTCGTTTTGAATAGTTAGAGATGGACACAAGAGTCAGTCTTTGTACGGCTCTGTGTATCATTGGGGATGACCAAGAGAGTGAAGTCTCATGGGTCATCACCCTCGGCTGAGCTAAAACTGCTCCTGCGGCTGCTGTCTTTGGACGCGGCTCCGGGCGAACCGGCCGAGAGAAGGGGGTCAGTGCCAAAAGGTGAGAGTGGGTCGTCCATGAGGATCTCATCCAGCCGGTGCTCCTCCTTGAGTGTAGCACTGAAGAAGTCTGTGAAGTGGGACAGTGGGTCGGAGAATGTTGTGCAGCCGTCTGCGCCTTGGATGTGATCCTGCGGTCCTGCGGCGCTGGGGATGGATGGTACACCAGCAACCACCGCTATCCTCTGGAGGTAGTCGCTGTTGGGGTCCTCCTGGTAGAGGGGTGGCTGCTGGGGCTGCTGGGGCTGTGGGGATGACTGTTGCTGCTGCTGTTGTTGTTGTTGCTGTTGTTTTAGGAGGTGGGAGGAGAGTTCAACTGTACCCAAGGCTGTAGCCATGTTTGGGAGGCCGTGTGCGCGGGCCTGGATCTCAAGCTCCTAAAAAAAAGAAAAGAAACCCTCAGTGAAAAATGAACCTGGATTAATGTTGGACTTAAAGCTCATGTCATGAACTCAATACTTTGGCGCCCCCTGTTGACAGAGCTGTCTGTGCCTATCTTGTTCTTGAAATGCTAAGAAAACTCATGTAATTTTTGACAGTGGAAATGTAAAAACAGGGCTGTTTCTTCAGCGGTTAGCTTCACACCTACCCCTTCATTCCCATTTCTGTCACCAAATTATTGCATAAGTCTTATGGCTGACAGTCTTGTTTTATTTTAAATATCACAAAAAAGTACCAATATGATTTTTGGACTCTTTCATAAACATGAATAAACTCCTTAGAGGTGCTTTAAGTTAAAATTGTCTTACTTGGCTGTGTTTTAATAGGCTGCTGGGAGAATTAAAAGCATATCTTCTTTGCATGTTATTTATTATTATTTTTATCATTCAATCTTACATGACAGACTTTGAGAGGCCATGGAGCAGTGCCTGTGTTTTTAATTATGTTTCTGGAGGTCATTTTCTTCTTCTTTGTTATTACTTATTATTGTGTTGTGTGCTGCCACCTCTTGGCCAGGTCACTCTTGTAAATGAGATCTCGATCTCAAACGGGTTTACCTGGTTAATAAAGCTTAAATAAAAGATTAAAAAAATATATCATCATAATTATCCTGTGTCTCTTGAAGGAAAATCTTGTCGTTGACTAAACTTTAAAGATTTTGATATTACCTCTTCATTCTTTTTAAAAACCTTTACTCAGAAATGTAACTACAGTAAGATATCAATAAAACTGTATGATTAGGTAAGACAGAAATCTTATCTTAGTGCTGTTTGGATGTATTGCACACAAATACTTAATGACAGCACTGATTGGGCCACTGCACTTAAACAAGAGTGGACACACCCCTGACATTAGTGTGTTTGTGTGGGAAAACCACAACCATACCTCCTCCACTCCTCCACCCTTATCAGAGTTTCTTGTTCTCACAGACTCTTCTCCCTCACATATTCTTATTAGTAAATAGTCAACACCTATTTTCCCACCAGTTTTTATCACTAACCCCAGCTTGACCTTCTCTGAGTAGTCCTGTTGTCAGCAGCGGCGGTTAGCGTTTCCCGGACAGTTTTGTCACTTTTGAGTAAACTCTGAGACTCATAATGTTTGTGTGTTCATTCTCCTTCTGGAAAGAGCAGGTGTGACTGTATGCTTCATCAGGTAGTTAACAGTAAAGTATGAGATCAGAGATTTCTCTTTCTTTCCAACTCAAAGAGTAAGTAAACTCTCTGCTCTGTCCTCTTACCTGGATCCTCAGCAGCAGCCTCCTGTTCGCCTGCTCCAGCTTCTTCTGTCGGCTCTCTAGCTCCCGAGCGTGCTGCTGCTCCTTCTGCAGCCACCTTATGTACTCCACCGAGGCCTTCAGGATGGTGCCTTTGTTCCAGCGCATGTCTCTGCATAAAAGAAGAAGCGTTAAAGATAACCTTTTGCACAGAAGCCCCTGATGTCGGCAGAATATCCTCCCCTATAAAGAGAAAAAGCGGGGGGAAAGTTTTAACACAGAGGCTTTTTCCCCCCTCTTTTATGATATGAATAAGAAATGGTGATTTACATGGGGCAATTATTCATCCTTGGACATTACATGGGGACACTGAATGGGAATTTTAATAGAATAGTTAAGTAGCTATGTGGAAAGTCCATTCTCGTACCTCTCTTGTTCGGTAAAATTAATCCTCGAGTAAAAATAGGTGAGGGAAAATGAGCTAAGTAGGAAGACGGAGGGTGGAAATGGAGCTTTGGACTCAAGGTGCTAGAGTGCAAGTCATTCTTTTGCGGATATTATTGCTTTTTTTAGGAAGGGAAAGGGGAGCCGCGGTAAAATGGTCCTTTTTCACAGGAGTGAGACGTTGGTCTAATCAGCGTTAATAATCTCTTTCATCCTGCGTTAATGGCACGACGACAACCCCAACCTTCCATTTAAATTTGAAGCAAAGTTCAACTGCGAGAGATGGCCGCTGGATTTTCAATTCAGCCCCACACCTTGTCTCTATGTTCTAATTGTGCTTCAAACTTTGATTCAAATGCTGCGGTCTGCTTCTTTGCATTTGACCCCTTTTCCCCTCCTCATTCCTGCTTTGAGCTGAACTGCCAGGGACCCAGCGAGAGGATGTACAGCTTTAAGAGGGAAAGACTACAATGGAGGTTCAAGTGCACTCTTGAAAAATGACTGAAATGTGCCCGAGTTCTCATTTAAATTCAATGAACAATGTTAGGAGAGTCTTTGTGCTTCCATGTTAATACACTTCCCCACACCAGACAAGGTCTTGAAATCATTTAGTGAGAAAAAGAGATGCATAAAAGCTGAATTGTTTCAATAAATACATGAACATTTATCAGCTTGGGGAACCAGTTTGACCCCTTTGTGTCCTGTGAACAAAGGTCAGAGCCCAGGTTCGACTTCAGTCTGTGATCCTTTTCCTGTATGTCCCTCCCCACTCCCTCTCTCTCTCTCTCTCTCCTCTCCCAGTTTTAAATATTGCTTTAAAAAAAAACAACAAACTTTCCAACTTACGGGTCGTTTGACTTTGGTATGAGTGTCCCCAACTCTTTGATCCTGTAGTTGATGTTGTATCTTCGTCTTCTTTCAACTGAGCAGGACAGAAAAAGTCACAATCAAAAGAAAGATCAGGAAGTCTGCTGAAAAATCTCAGGAAGTTTTTTGTTGAAGTTTTAGTTTAAATATCTTATTATGCTTCAAATAAATCAATTACCTGACAAGCCCAAATATGTCTTGTAAAACAATATTAAAAGGCAAAAATCAGGACTTGGTAATAGTGACTTACTTGCTACAGATTTTACTTATTACTGCCAATCAAAAGTCCTATATAATGGTAATTCAGGTGTAACATGTACTAGTGATCAATTAAAGTGCTTGTGAGGAGCTTTTGTCTGTGTCAGTTTTGGCGCCCTCTGTGGATGAAGCAGCCTTTACATGATTCCGCTTCGAAGTGGGCGGGGCTTTATGATAATGAGGTCTTTTGCAACTTCATGTTGTGAAAGACACAGTTTTCTTTGGACCCCTGGTGCTACAGAAAACCAGCAACAAGCACTTTAACCTTCGACATCTTGCAGTTGCAACACCAAAGCAAAACCGCAGTCACGTAGGAAGAAGCTGAGTTAAGTGAGGGGTTGGAGTGGGTTTGCATTTTGACTTTTTCACTTCCACATTGTCAGAGCTGGAGGTTTGAGGATGACTTAAGAGCACACTTCGTGTTATTCATTATAAAGATGGTAATTTTGATTTGTCATGCTGAAATAAGATTTGTACGGCTTTCATTTGTCAAATACTCTCAGTAAGATTTGAGATTTTAAGAGAGGAGCTGTATCTCATATTCACAAGAGGGTTCAAAGGCAGCAGAGAGCACTTACTCAAGTTATGGTTGTCCTTTTTCTGCCTCTCTTTGGCCATCACTCTTGTATCGTGTTCTGTTGACAAAAAAAAAAATCACAAAGGGGAACAAATCGGTTAGCAACGCACACAAATTTAGACACTGAAACACAACTGACTCAGAGCACCACAAAAGGTCCAGTCAGGACACACAATGATGTGTTGGGAGGGAGTTCAGAGCTTGGGGTCAGCTAATAATGTGGAGTTTTTACATGACCTCTACATGCATACACACGCCAACTATAAGAGCTCAGTTTATCCTCTCCAGCATGTCTGAAGCTCATTGTGTGGAGGGAAAAAAAAAGCACGTTTAAACTGCTTACTCTCTAATTAAGACACTTTAGCAAATTCACTAATCTTTCCCGGTGAGGGACAAAAATGCCACTGCATCCATATTTGTATTCACATTCTTCCAAATTACATAATTGGGGACCTGAGATTGGATTTCCCAATTTGTCTCTGTTGATTCAATCAGGAGCATTTAAAGTCTGTGTAACAGCCCATTGTCCTCTCCACCCACACTCAAATGAAACAGATGGCAATTTACTTATTTGGCCCGTTGAGAGTGAAGGGTTCTTCAGACATACTTTCTGTTTCCTAAATCAATTAGGCTGCTTCGCTTGATGCATGACATTAATAAGAAATGTCTTAAAGGGCCCTTTGTTTCCCTTTTTTTTGCAGTGTTATAGAAAAGTGCACACGTTTCTGAAGACCTGTTATCACAGCCAATGACAAAGGGGACTGTTCTCATGTGTAGTTTGTTTGCCTGACACATGCACTGATAGTTGAATTCAATTTCAGCCTAAACAGACAAAGTGTTGCCTATTTTGGCCAAACTGAGTGTACTCTGTTCTTTTTGGTATTCCCAGATTTAGAAGAAACATGCCTCTGAAAGGAAAATGCCACATTTTTGATCTAAGTTCTCATCTGTATTTGTGTGATTTACCAGTGTGAGGATGTTGTAACTCATTATCTGGTTAGTAGTTAAATCAATGCTATGGTATGAGTTCATACCTGTGTATTCTCTTTTTACAGTGAGCTTTGTAGGGTTAGATGTGGGGCTCATTCCACCATTAGGGGGGTTCATACCTTGTTCACCCCCATAGACGTCCAGCATGCTGCCGCTGAGGGACACCTAAGATGGGGAAGAGAGGGGGAAGGGGGGAGAAGGAGGGGAAAAGAGAAAGGGTCAGTCACAGAGGAAGCATGTGGAGACATTTGCATTTCCCTTGAAGAAAAACATACATGCCTCACTTAGCAACACTAATAGTTGTTTTTGGCTGCTGTGTGGCTTTGTTTTCTGTTCACCAAGGAGACAAGAGGCGAGCAGAGTGATCAGAGACATGCAGGGAGCTTCTTCAGCCCCTCAGGCCTCTGGCTTTGGGTGCCACAGCAGGGAGTTGCAGTTTTAGCATGTCCCCCTCAGCAGGGCGTGGCAACCAGAGATTTGTGTTACAGTCATGCAACTTAAGAATCCAAACTCGGCGAAACTGGGTCAATTAAAGGCTATCCTCCAGCCTAACCCCGTCTAACCCTGACCTTCAACCTTCACTGGCAGCCCTCTGAACCGCCTCGGTCGTCCAAAGCCACCATTTTCAACCCCCCTCCCACTTGAAAGCACCCCTCACACAGAGATGTCCTCTGTGTTGAAAATAGCATCCCGCTACATGAAAAGGCTAGCTGGGTCAACGGCTTGAACAGAGGCAAAACTGTTTTCCTTTAAGTTGCTTCTCGTCTGGGAAAGCCTGTATGGGATCCGCGATAAGACGTCTTTTCATGGACTCTGGAGATGTTGAGATATCGCATGCTGAGACACATGTGTGTCTAATTCGCATTTGAGTATTTATGGGAAAATGCTACAGAAGCCAGCATGCATACCAAGATGCGCACAGCCAATTTTATTCACGACATGTGTGTCAAATCTTACTACGAGGCGGGTGAGCGTGATAAGGCTGCATGTCAAGTCCAAAGATGTGACAGAAAAAGAAGAAACAAAACAGAAGAAACTGCAGATATTTCAGATATCTGCATACAGTTTGGTTTGCATGTGCATTTTTTTTCTCATTATCTGACCAAGATTGGAAATGAGGAGGAGGAAAAGGAGAAGAAGGAGGAGGGAACAAAAGTGCTTATCAAAATGAAAGCCAGCCACATTTCCCCCACTTCTCCTTTTCTAATCACTTCAATCCCTCTCTGCCGTGTTCCTGGATGTGTTGACACGGCGAAACGATGTGATGCATCGCACTGTATGACTAATTAGGATGAATTGATCCATTTAAGCATGGTATCATTTCTGAACAAGCCCACTGGGAGATGTATGCATTAGCCCGACCCGATGGCTCAGTAACTCTTAACAGAATCACAAAACTCCTCTGTCGTGCTTATTTCCTCATTTAGAACCAAACTGGCTTTCCCCGTCCCCGTCTCCCCCCTCCCCTTCTTTTCTGTCACAGAATCTGTTGTCACTTTTTCAGTGTGTATTATTCTTAGTCTGCTGATCTGTCTTTCTCTGTGTTTAAGGAGTTAGGCAGGAATAATTCCCAGTATTCCCGTCCCACAAACTCTCTCTGTTTTTGGTTCAGGTGTCGCAGTGTTCTCTCGCCAAATGGACCTCTTGTCCCGGATTTTTCTGCCCAGAGTCTCTGAATTCCTCCTCGGCTGTGAATCCTACTCATAGACTTGTCTGCTGTGCCGTTTCTTGTTGAATTTCCTCCCAAGAATGGACCCAAATAAGACTTTTTAGCTTCTTCTTTTGTTATATTGACGTAAAACATGCACCCCTGTCCACTTAAATCCTTCTTTCTCCTTAATCTGCGTTGTTGATCATCTTGAGCAATGTGAGAAATGTTGCTAAGCCCTGATGAACTTTGACTGATCTCTAGACTTAAGCTGACCCCAAACCAAGACCTGCCTCTTTCTTTCCAAGCAAATGGAGCCGGCAACTAAATGTTTGGTTGTAAGAACCCCATTTTTAACGAGAAGTCATTAGTTGAGGCACTTGCAGACAAAAACCAAACCAGCAGGTTAAAAAAATAACAAAAAGATGTGTACAAAAGACCTACAAACTGTTGTTGATGTGATTCATACTTACATTGTTTTGCATTATGATGTTAGGCTCCATGCAATCCAAGCCACCATCATTGAAACCGGATTCAAGACTAATTAGGTCATCAATAACTTCATCCATTGGAAACTAAAAGAAAACAGTAATTTCAGTGTACTCATGGACAGACGCATGATCTTTGTACCAGAATTGTGACACTGTCCAAGTCTTATCTTTTGCACCATTCAAACCAAAATAGACAAGAGAAAAGGGGAAGTACTGTCCAGAGACTAATCAAATAACAGATGAGTTCTCCATGCCATGTCATTCATAAGTTAGTCAGCAGTGTTGGCAGAGAGGAAACACGCATCTGTTATCAAACTAGTTTCCTCCTTTGAAAGGAGTTCTCATCAGAGACTGCATGTCTGAAGTTATTGATGAGCACATCAGAGAGAGAAAGATCAATAATGGCATCACTTTGTTTGGATGATTAGTCAGAGTTCAGACTCAGCTCAGATGGGAATTTTACAGGTTAGAAGAACTTGTAAGTTTTATTCAAAGTATCAGCCATGATTTCTCTCTCTTTGTGGGCAGAACTTTTTTGGGGGGGGAAATGTTGGCAAATCGTTTAGAAGACTAACACAGAACTTTCAAAAAGTAGAGTTATGACAGGAAATATATCTCAAAGATGTTGTGAAATCTACAAAAACAATGAACTCTGTGGTTGGAATAGTGTGCTGCAACTTCACTTTCTTTCAATCACCATTTCAAGTTTTCTTAATTTCAGTTCCATAAATCCAGCCGCAGCATAAATGACATAATGGCGTTTTTTGTTCCCCACTCACCTCGCTGTCGTGGTTGGCCATGCTGAGCAGGGTGACCGGGCTGTTGGGGCTGCTACTGTCGCTGACAGGGGGCATGTGTCCATTCCTCATGATGGGCACGGTGGCCAGCGCCTGGTTCGGGGTGTGCGGATGTTGAACGCTGTGGCCCTGCCCGGCAGGCGATGCCAGCGTCAAGTACTGCTTCACCTGCTGGTTCTGGCTCTGGTGAAGGTGGAACTTGGAGTTCTCCAGGTGGCTGTGTACCTGCATCGAAAACAAATCGTACAAATTTGAACAAATGGAGTGGAAAAAAAAGTCCTCAAGGTGTAAGGTTGTTTCTCGCAGCTCTGAAACGGCTCTGACTAAGACGACGAGTAAAGACAAAAAAAGCTCTCCTTCACCCCACAGAAATCCAATTTTCCTATAAGTCAAAATTTCCAGCTTCTTGTAGAACAAAAGTTCACGCATTACGATGAGTCATGTTTGACATGTCAACCAAACCTCTTTATGAGACTTAGGACTCATCCCTAAGACATCTTAAGTAAACTACTGTCATAATTGCACAGTTTACTAAACTCCTTTGAAAGAAAATATCATTGACGACAAACCTTTTCCCAAAGTTTGACGTTAAGATGAGTAAACAAGTAAACGTTAAGCAAACACAGAATTGTTAGTCTGAACAGTACATATCCTGCCGTCAAACTTCAGCCATACAAATATACTCATTTAAAACTTTATCCCAAGTTTCAGTTCTCTTACATTTGAAGCTCTGGTTGCGTCCCGCATCGTGTAGTAGCTGCAGTCAGTTAAGTGTGGCATTCTCAGAAAAGCAGATACTCTTCAGATTGATTTGTTTGTTGTAGCAGCAGGTCAACTTTAAGGATCCAAGTCTGCTGCTGCTGCTGCTCCTGCTGCTATCCTGTTGCTCTGCTGACTCAGTCAGTGTCTGTACTTCCCGGTCCCCTATCAGTGTCTTATAAAGGGCCCTAAGTGAACTAATTAGGCCCAAAGCTGGAGTTAAGCCTTTATGTTGCCTAGCATGATAATCACTTCAAACACTGGACCGTCAGATCACCCAGGGTTTGATCACTGCAGGATATCTGCCTTTAGCGTCTATCACTAATTTATTTGGACCGCCCTTTTTCTCCCTGACCAATCAGTGGTCAGCTCCTGAAGTCCTCTGCTGCCTGCTCCAGGGGTTGTCCCAGCACAATTGACCCTTGTTCCCCAAAGGGGTTTTTAAATAACTCTTAATGCCATTTTTAACCAAGCTTTTTCATTCATTTACTGGCTCCGATGAGGACTTGAAAGAATAATCAGTGTTCCGAACTATGACAGCCATAAAACTTTTTCTGTGTGTGTCTCCGTTCGTTGAGGGCTATTTTTGGAAAGAACCTGATAAAACAGCGTTAACTCACTATTGTGGAGAAACTCACTGTAAAAACTCGCCTAATTGGTTTATGACCATTGGAGACTTTGGTTGTACTTGTTTGCAGCGGTATTTTAATGTTCTTGTTGTTACGTGCTGAGGGTCATCATGCCTTGTTCTTTAACCCAGACATCCTCATTAAAGTATGTAATTTACCAGTCAATGACGTGTGCTTCATCAGCCTGCCCAAGCTCTCTGTTCAATAGTTTCCCACTGCTGAGCTCAGATAATCAGTTTAAAGAAGAAAGCCAGATTGGGAACAATGCTTGTATAGTAGGGCTACCATAGCAGACTGAGAAGACAATGTGATGTGAAACTGATACAAGGGGAAAAGTGACATGAGGGAAAAAGTGGTTTTCACTTCTTTTAAGCTTCTCTGCACTTCTAGAAAACAAATGCAACAGTCACAACAAAGACAAATAAGCGATAAAACCTGACTAATATTATCAGTAATGACGCAACATACCAAAAAGAGGCAATGAGGTTTAGCACACTGCTACAGTATCATTTTAACAAGAGGAAAAACAGTCCTAAATTGAGCCAGCCCAGCTAACCTGCTCTATTATATTACCCTCTAGTTTGCCTAAGCATGCGTGTATTAGACACCATTAACCACACTGTGTTGTAAGGCCGTGACAAGAAAGAGTAACATTCATGGTGTTTTCAAACTTTGAGCTAATAATTATTTTAAAAAAAGTCATTTCTCGTCTCAAAACATTCAAAGTCTCAGAAATATTAGCTGGTAGCATGCTAATATCTAACTTACTGCATTTTAAGACTGTACACACCACTACACTAGTTTGTATGTTTAAATGATCATATGCTACACACTTCAGCTGTTTTATCAGTAAAGAGGTCTGACAATATGGCTCATGGGTCTGTGTATTATCTGTCCATTCAAATATTCCATTCAGTCTAGTAAACAAAAAAAAAAACGAGTCAATATTTTGTTTCTTTGTTTTTCTATATAACCAAAAAATAAAAGATTAATGTTTGTCTTTGTATTTTCAGTTCAAAACAGAATATATAATAGAGATGGAAACGAAAAAAAAAAAATAAATCTACTTTTTGTTTTTCGGGTTATTAATGTTCCCATTTCCCACTGTGCCTTTCTACCAGTGGCGGCTGCTGGTCTTTCAAGGAGGGGAAGCTCATTTTTCTGGCCTACATCATAATTGTATTTGTTTATTAGTATGTAACAGAACAGAGTCGCCAAACACAACGGCAGTCGTTTTTAACAAAGACAAAAGTTGCTGAGGATCGGTAAAGTCTCTGGAGCAGTTAAGAACAACGGAATGAATGACTTGGAAAATGCTCTGGTAGATGTTTTATTCTTCAAGATCGCTGATTCGCTTGTTTAGCTGTCAATCAAAAAAGGATTTCGCCTCAGACAGCTCATCCAATCATGAATGCAGAAGCTTGGAGTCCGGGTGAAAGTCGGGACCGCCCTCTCGCCATAGAACTCCAGTGAAGCTTAGCTTCCATTGGGCGGGACAAAGCCCAGCATTTATCCAATGAGCGTCTAGTTTCGCTGCTGGAACAACCCACTTTAAGCTTCCACATTGAAGTCAGCAGAAGCCCAGCGTCCGACTGTTTAAAGCGCTGAGGCGCTGCGAGGATGAATGAGAACGAAGTTATGCCGGTTACCTGTGATTATCAGCTTCTTATCACAGTGTCTGAACAAAAGTTGAAGGCTTTCTAGTGCGTATTTAGTTAATGAAATGTACACACAGCCGTACGTATTTCACCACTTTTTCTTTTTTTGGGGGGGTGACATTTTAAGGGAAGCCGAGCTTCCCTTGCAGTCTTAGAGCAATCGCCACTGCTTTCTACTGTTCGCACATTCGCATTGCTCAACAAAGTAGCCAACAACGTGGACCAAAAACTCCAGGCCAGAGCGGTAGAGAAAGGCTAACCTGCTGTCATGCAGATGGACGCATTCTACGTATTATTCAAAGCCACCTGGAGGGTCAGAGTTGGAGGAAGAGTTGACATTAGAAAAAATTACAACCAGAGCTCTGTTACAACAGAAGATTTTGGCGCTCGAACCGCTCTGTCGCATCTTTCGCCATGGTAACTGTCGCTTAGGATAGTGGGAAGGCCAATGTGGCCTTCATGCAGGTATGCTCAAAACAGGCGCACTCAAAATCAATAATTGTACATAAGATTCATTATTGCGTTTTCGTTTCCTTCTCTATTACATATTCTGTTTGAGGTGAAAATAAGAAAACAAACACTTTTATTTTATTTTTTGATTATACATAAAAAAAAATATCGACTCGTTTTTTTCGTTTTTAATTTACAAGATTGAATGAAATAATTAAATGGACGGATAATACATGGACCCTCATGTATGCATATTATCATTAGCTTGAAGCTAATTTCTATCTGCTCAGCACAGCTCAACAATAGGAACTTTTAGCAACAGCAACCTTTTATTGGACTCTATTCAGAAACTCAGCATTAGATTATCTTTGTCAGCTAGACTTAGCATCCAGCTTAAGACCAGACTCATCACAATACTCAGCTTGTCAGTAGTGACTGAAAGCTCATCTGTGACTGCTCCAGGCCAAACAAGATGCCAGTTGTTAGCCAATCAACATTTCTAGCTGCTATGGCTAGCAGGAGGGATGCCAAGGCTGCGACACACCACATCTGCTTTGTGTGACAGTGGTTTGTCCTGGTTTCACTTCGCCTTTCTCACTACTGTAAATGCCGGAGACACGCTTGTTATCCACTTAAGGGAATCTGATTAGATTTGAGAGGTAATGGTGCTTCAGTCACCAAGGCGAACCTCAACAATGGCGGGCCTGTGCATGTGTGAAGCGGACATGCTGAAAATTATCAATGCCGGCCATAGAAATCAGACAGGAATGAGATAAGAATCTGATAAATCAATGCCCAAGTTTGGAGTTGTGGTGACAATCCCGATGTTTCAGACATTTGAGTTTTTTCTCCAGCTCGATACGCTGCTAGCACCTGCTGCAACAATTGAGGTAGTGTTTGTGGTTGGCGGTGCAGAAGAGGTCACAGGTTCACTCTGCATTTACACACATTTGCAGAGGTATTCCAGACATGCAACCTGGATTATGCAGACTAAGATCCAAATGTACTGATATCAAAGAAGTTATATCAGTTAGTAAATTTCATTGTTGCATGTCTAGACTGTCTTCTCAGAGTTTGAATAACCAAATAATATCCGTCCGGTTTGCATTTCTACTTCCTGTGAGCATTTGAAATACAGAATAAAAGTGGCCTCAGGAGGTCAGCTCCAGTCTTCCTAACTTGATTATCTTTATTAGAGGCTTTTAAACCACCAACAAAACAAACATACAAACTCCCTCATTCTCTTTTTCTTTCTGATTAAACTCTCCCCTAACTCTTTTAGTAACATAATCTAATAGCTTATGCTGATTTTATCACACATGAATGAAATAGATTAATCAAATACAACATTTATTCCAATCCGCTCAAGTCACATTACATATCTTTTTCCCAGCGGTTATTCAGAAAATGCTACTGAGTCACGCATGTGCAACAAAACTTAATCAGCTTTTAGTTAATATCAAACTCAACGAGAAATAAGAGTTTCTATTAAATCCAAATATCCAAACACAAGTGCAGAAAATGAGGCCCATAGCTTTATAAAAAGCATTTGTATTTACCTCTGTGTTAAAGATGGATTCTGCTCTTAGTCCCCCTAACGCTGCTCTCAAAATCCCACCATGACAGACAGACTCACAGGTGTTTCTTCCAAATGAAAAGCTCTTGCCTAACTCGGTTTCAGTCTTACCCAAGTTCTCCTTTCACTTCAGAAAAATCCTGAAACTTATGAAACACTGGGTGACGCTGACATTAACTGGCTGTACAAATTTTGGACAAAACCTGGTGGGAGGTTAGGCTTTATTTCTGCAAAAGACATCACATTGACACAGTTAAAGTGACTGCAGAGTTAAATATCTTTGCTGTCCGTCTTGAATCTAAACAGATAAGATGAAAGTGGAACAAAAAGCCTTCCCAGACATGCTTACTGATTTTTCTGCTGAGCCCGCTAACCAGTGAGTAGCTGTAACCACACACCCTAGATTGTGAAATTTGAGGAAAGATAAGCGTAAGAAAGCAAACCTATCACAAAATCTGTATCACATGGTGGCTATTAAGTTATTCTGCTGCTACGTGCATGTGTTTTAAAAAAGCTCAGGCAATTTCTTTTGCATGCAAACGCAAACAAGAGTGCAGATAGTCACAGAGAAAAGTACACCATCATATATCTGATGATTCCCCGGCCTGCAGACGTTTTCATTCCTCCTACCTGTAGAAGCTGGATCTCTGTCAAGGTGATCACTTTGACCACGCAACAGCGACTCATGGCTGCCAGAGTGGCAGTGTCTCCCACCGCAAGAGCTTCAAATTCTCACAGAGGAACAAGAACTGTCATGGCTTACAGCTCATAGAGACAGAAGAGGAAGAAGAAGAAGAGGTACCGCAGCTTCTTTCCTGAGATTTTGCAAAAATATCAGAAAGGAAGGCATGACACATCAGCTTATTTGGGAGCCATTTCCTGAGTGAGTGTGTGCGTACTGGGTGTGTTTTTGGTCAGAGAAAGGCCTGACAGAAGCAGAAATACAGATGGCAGTTAGCGGGGTTGGGGTATGTGTGTGTGTGTGTGTGTGTGTGTGTGTGTGTGTGTGTGTGTGTGTGTGTGTGTGTGTGTGTGTGTGTGTTTGCATGTGCATGTGTCGGGGTGTAACAAGTTGACAGACTGAGTTCCTGCCTGTGGATCACCACACTTTTCCTTCCTCCTGCAGAACATCCAGCTCAGCTCAGCACATTCTCCCAGGTTATCTTCATGACACCCACTTCCCTTAGAAGGCTTTCGAACTATTAAACTACACTAACTGACAAAAAATTTAATCTGTCTGTGTGCATAAATACTGAAACACACAGATTTTTTTTTTTTTTAAGGTGCCATCAAATCCGGTAAAACTGCAAAGGTCAACACAGGCCTTCTCAGAATGACTCCAGGACACAGAAAAACTGCATGTCATACCAATACTGTTCATGCATGATTTAAAAAGCAGCTGAAGCAGAATCTGAAACGTGGAAAAGTGGATTTTACTGCAGTTAGCAAAACAAACAAAGCTAGCTAAGACTGCAAAAGCTAACACTCCTCAGCCTGTTTATTGACTGAAGGAATCCGAATAAGGATTGTTGTGTTGTTCGCGAACGATTTGTTCAAAAGAACCGAATCTTTTAAGTGAATGTAATGAACGAATTACTTCCTCAAGCGATTCGGTTGTTTCTCACTTCAGTTCAGCTGTCAGTAGCGCAGCATTGCCAGGCGAGTGAGGGACTGCATGCACCGCTGCCTGAATTACTTGGTAAACGAATCATGCAATGAACTACACTCTCTGGAATCATTTTTGTCAGACAAAACTAACTTTTTTTTTACTGCTCAAGTGCCACTACAACAACTTGCATACAATAGGACACAGCATGTACCAAGTAGTGCATAAAACCCTGCAGTAACCTATCATTGCAGCACTGGTTTTATCTCATTTTTACATCTTGATCCTTGTTTTCTGGTGTACACCCGGATTTGGAGCACAGAGTAAAATCTCAACTGTGGAATTTGATTCTGGAAAAAAAACTCTAGTTTGATACCCATGGCTGATTCCCTGCTGCCTCCCTGATTATTGTAAACATTAATTTGGTAAAGACTTATTGGATGGCCTGTAATGAACTCATCAGGTCTTTGAATGTAATAAGCCAAATCGAATCACATTGATTCAGTTAAATCAAGCCAGTACCGATCATATTTTTTTAAATAATCTCAACACTGTAATGCACAACAAGCTAATATCTCCTCTTGGCTTTTTAATTGCAAATTAGCCCCACATGTGTCTATGCTGCTTGATTTCATTATAGGGGGCATACCAGACTTGATACACTTTTCTCAGTAATGGCGGCTCTCATTAAGAGCAGGCTGATTAATAGCTTGTGTACAGGCTCAGTCAGCTGGGTGAGGATGTGTTGGCATTATTTATGCCGCTGTGTCTAAATCGTTTGGCAGCTACTTCAGGGTTATTTTCAGCAAGTTCTTGTTGCTGTTGTCGTGTTCTGGGAGTTTTGAAGTGCACGAGTCTGTTGGCGTGTGTTCATCCCTGCTGTGTTTTGTATTCCTTCAGCTTCAATATCACCCACGTGTATATTTGTCTGCATCTTGTTTATTTCATGTCCGCCTTCAGCACGCAAGCCCAGCAGATCCAGCCAAATTCCTGGCTGGCCATTTTTGGCTCATCTCAAGGCAAAGCCACAAGTGCTCACCTTTGTTAGTCCCCTCTGCACAGCATGTTTAAAACATCAGGGACTTCCTGTAAGAGTTGGCCTGCTTCTGAGACAACACTTCAAAGTGCAGCTCCCACATCTGAGGACTGTTTTATCCTGCTAGAAAAGGAATGCATAATGGACACGGCACCACTGCACTTTTAATGATTCTCATATGAATTAAATATTACAGCCATTTTAACTGGATTACACGGGAAAATATGTGCGAGTGTGTTACCTTGATGAAATATTGAATTTATGAAAATGGTCTGCCTCGACAGCAGAACAAGAAAATAAATTAAAATTTATACTTAATGTAAAGAAGGAAATGATCTCTGTGGGGCTTTGATTGTAAATAAATATAATTAACTTCTATTTTGAAACCACTTCATTATAATAAGAGCAATTAGGCAATCTCAGCTGTGTTTTTTTAATGCATTATTATACCCAAGTATCAGTGTTGCAAGGAAGACAAGCAAGAGTGCGCTCCTGCTGGTAGAAAACAAAAGATCAAGAGTAAAAAGCAAAATAAATTCACAAGTTCTTCTACACCTCGCTAGACAAATCCTTGTTTTATTTCACTTTTTGATTTCAGTTCGTAACCATATTGTTATTTTCTTCTAAAGTTTAAGTCTTTGAGACAGAGCAAGATGGTACAATGGATAGAAGCTAGGAAGAGAGTTGGGAAGGACATGTGCCACAGTGCCTTAGGTAAGACTGTCTGGACTACAGACCTCATACATATAGTGAGAGTAGAGAGAGTTCATATAAATCTGAAGGTTTGGGGTTCAATCCCAGGCCACACGCAGGGCAAAACACTCAACCCCAGACAACACCGGTGGCTGTGCCTGCAGTTTGTGAATAGGGCTAGTGAGGCGCTTTCCATTACAGCCTCGACCATCACAGTATTAATTTTGTATGAACGGGTGAATGGGAAATGTGGTGCAGTCTGAGTGGTCAGACGACTTGAGAAAACACTTTATAAATGAAGTGTATCTTGCATTTTTACATGGACCCTATAGATATACAGTGTAAATGAGGGATAGAGTTGCCAAACCCATGTGCTTTTTGATAGAAAATTCATCCTGTAATAATGACATTCCTATAATCTTGTATTAGAATAAAAATTTATAGATTAACAAAAAAAAAAAGGAATATAAAGTTATAATCATATGGGAACCAAAATTAAAAGTCACTCAATTCTCAGAATATCAAAAAATATTTCTTGAAAATGTACATTTTTGTTACATAGGAACCACACTTAGCTACACAATTCAAAAATTATACTGTACTCTCTTAATATTATCAATGGATTCTCATGATATTACAGTTAAATTATTGGAAATTTGCATCTACAACAGCAACTTCATTCTTGTATTTAAGACTTTACTTTTGTAAATGTGTGTTTTTCTCTTGCTCACAACTTTATTTGTGTAAAATTGTGTCTTTCTTTTTGAGATCCTACACATTTTTCTCCCTGAATTTGATCCAGGTCTTTAGCTTTATTACAAGGGTTATCAAATATATCATGTTTGTACGATAATGCACACTAACTAGAGTTTTTAAATTTGATTGGGACTTTAAATCGACTCTAAATTTGGTTAATTATCATCTGAGTCAACTGAGAGACTTGAAAAAGCAGAGGGGAAGAGAGGAAAGCAGAGAGGGGAGGGGGGTTACACTGCAGCCTGTCCTCACCCTCGGAGCACAGGAGATGAAATTAGTTGAAATAGAATAAAACAATTTTTGCTCCTAAATCAGTTAGAGCTCATTATTCTGTGCAAGCTGAGGAAAAGAGCCTGTCCACCAGAACACCTGAGTGATCATGGACCCTCTACATACAAGCTGTATACATGAATTTACATTGATTTTTTTTTTCTTTTACACAGATTTTTCAAAAAGGTGAAAATTAGAGCCAGCTTTCATCATCTTTTATCATATTTTCAAGATAAACGACAAACTAATCTGTTAAAAGTTTACATTTCACCCTTTCATATCTCTCCTTAGATAACGTAAAGATAAGTTGAAATTCATAGTTGTAATGATATGGGCATGTTTAAGCAAAATAATCTTTGATAGCTAAGAAAGTTAAGGTCAATAAGTCAGGACATTAGTGAGCTAGTGGTCATAACTGCAAATTAAGAGTCAGGGAGGGGTCCTCTCTTATGTTACCTGCAACCTTTGCATTTTCCTGCTTATTACCCAGTTTTGATTGAGGAAAAAAAAAAACAGTTGACCTTGAAATAAACTTATAAAATCCCTCTGATCCAACAGTAAATGACCCTCCCAAGACAACAAATCCTGATTTATCCTGACAAATTAACACGAAATGTGACAGAAAAAACATTAGCCTTCTTAGTTGTTATAATAACATTAAACTGCATGTTCAGAACAAAAAACAGGATGAACAAGACTTCAGCAAGGACGACTATGCTGATTTCTGTCCTCATTCGGCGCTCCTTCACTTTAGCGCTTGGCTAAAATGTGAACTTTGAGTAGATTGTCTTTATACAGCATGACAAATTTATCAAAATGGTCTTTTAAAAACAAACTAAAATATGAGGAAAATAAATCAAAGGGTCTGTCTGAACGCACCTTTACTCGACCCGGAGTGACCAACCTGGTTATAGATGACTTTAAACAGAAAGAGAAGAGTAGGATGAAGATTCAAGCCACAGCCACAAAGCCACCGAGCAAATCTAAGCAGAGGATTGTGGGTAAACTGCTGTGTAGTAGTTATAGTCCTGAAAGGGGCACATCAGCCTTGACCCTCACTGCCCAGTGAGCTTGAACAGGATAGACCGGTGCTTAGCGTTGCCTCTCTGAATGATGTCAGAGCTGTACTGTAGACAACTTTAATCTCTCACTTTGGCAGACAGTGAAAAGGAGCCCCGGTGGGCTCCAGCTGTAACTATGAAGATGAAGTCTTATTAAAATTATGCACATGATTGATTGCGAGACGGTCCCCGCTCTACAAAGTAAAGGCCTTTCAAGCCTGGGCGGCAGCATAAAGACAAAATGCTGTGGGTGAAGAGAGAGAAATCCATGTTATTCTACAAAAAGGAGCTTATGGGCTTTGAGTCATTGTACCCCAACTATTTAAGCTTTAAGGAGCCTTGTAAAGTACTGTCCAACATTTGTTCCCTCCAGCTAAAGGCATGTTTATCTGCTTCACTGCATGTAGCATTTTGCAGTAGTACATCAACAATATCTGAAAACAGAGCATTCAATGTTTAAAGTTGCGAGAACTGATCACAGGTCAGTTTGTGTCACATGCAACACACAAATATAACACTACAAGAAATTAAAGTTACAGTCTGCTGGTTGGATTGTGGTCTGAGTAGCCCCCTTGCTCACCCCTTCCTGTTGGTACAGCTCCACGATTCTCCAAATCAAGTCTTATCTACCAACAGCTCTTAACAATTTGAGTTATTTTGCACACAACAACCACTCTTTTCTCTTCTTTGGCTTCCGATCCCAGCATTTTAGATTGGCACTCAGGAAATATAAAAACATATTTATGGCCTTTATTAATTTGCCCATCTTGTGCTGTGTTGTGGTGCAAGATGACGTCCTCCACTGAAGTGAACCCACTCCTTATGTAAACATGAAAGGCTCATTTGAAATGAAAAGAAACACACTAATTGTTCTTATTTGAACACACTTCCATGTCGAGTCTAATCTGCTTAATGCCACCATAAACTACACGCTGCACCTTTAAAGCTCCTTGCTGGATATGAAACAGGCTGAAATTAATACTGATGCCTCTTCATGACACAGAAAAGCTAACAAGATAATCAGTCACAAGATTGACTATTTTAAGATTTATTAATAATGCCTGAAACTGTGCTGGGGGGGTTAGATGTCTGACTAAGTGATTAACTGCATGCATGCTACAGAAACAGCACACATACACACAGGGTCACACAGCATCATATTAAAGCATTATATAAGGGTTTTAGCATTGATTGACATATTAGCAAAAAGATCAGAGTTTAAAAGGCCGTTTCAAATGTAAAACAAATCTGACCTGAGAGCTACACTTTATTTCTATAAGACATGACCTAGAGATGCAGCATCTTGATCACAATCCTTTACTTTAAGGAGATTGGACGAAATTAAATAATACAAGAACTGTTTAATGAGAACTCAGCAGAAAATCAAATCGACTTTGACCTGTGATTTAGGCTACAAATAAAGACATCTCTGTTTGCTTTCCTCTGCTGGGATACTATAAGTTTTAAGACTCCACCTCACACTAGAGTGAGTTTGTGGTTGGAGTATGACTGACTTTTAAACAAATTCTGATGCCACAAAGTTATCCTATTTAAGATTTAAGGGAGATCTGGAGACAGTTAATGGTCTGTATTCATCTCAGGTTTCAAAAGTTTGCATTTTCAGCAGCTCAAAACACCATTTCCATGTAAAAGAAGAGTCTCTTTTACACTCCTTCCACATGTATGAACAGATATAGGGATATTTTCAGTGATAAAACCATTACTACCTACATACCCTTATGTGTCCTTTAGGCCAGCATGGACACTGAACAGTGAACCCACTCATGGGTGCTTGAGAAGACCTCCACCTCTCCCCTGAGCCATTAACAGACAGTTTCTGCTTAATCTCAGTCCAGATTTTTGAAGTACTTGTCTCTCCGTGTGCTTCAGTGAGGTTAAGTCATATCCAATAATGTTTTGGATATTTAACCCTCCTCCTGTGTTAGGGTCTGCACCGACCCGTTTTTGTTTTTAAATGATTAAATGAACCACATAAATTAGCTTTTGTGCATCAAGACTTTGACTTTGTCAGGAAACTCCATTACAACGAAATAAAAATAAAAGTAAAAAATTTAAATTGATTAAATTATAAAATGCTCTTATTAAAATTATGGCACTTGTTGTGTTAGGGTCACTGTTGACCCGGTTAGATCAATATCTAATAATCAGAGCAAAAACTAAAATCATAAGTGCACTGGCAGGCACCACACTGACAGTCAGATCCTCTTCCAATCATGTGAAATTTAGGAAATTTTCATTTTGCCTTATTTTTCCCTGCACAAAAAACAACGTCAGGCATGTGCGATCAATTCAGTATAGATGTCTGTGTGAGGGGTATAATGACAAAGAAAGGCCCAGAGGACCACAACGAAAAAATATTATAAGCAATATTTTCATGGATAATGAAGCCTAACAAGGTAACATAGAGATGAGAACCAAATTGGATGATAGAGAAATGTTTTCAGTGTAATTTACAGCTGATTTAAGACACAGGGTCAAAACCTTTAACATAGTGGGTGCGTGGTAAAAGCTAACACAGGAGGAAGGTTAAAAGTGTATGATTCAATCACTCTTTAAACCCAATAGTACAAAGTTACAAACTACAGCTAGTCCACTACTTAAAGCTTTTAAACTGCTTATTACCTTAAAGCTCCTGTGAGTAACTTTAGGTTTGTTTAAAGTTTAGTGTCCCCTGTAGACAAAGCAGTCTTTACTGGTGTTACAAAAAAATTCATCTATTGACTTTTGAGGGTTTAATGTATGATTTATGGTAAATAGTTTGTGTGGACACTGTAAATAAAAGGCTGTTCCTTTAGATGCTGGGATGACACCTACCCACTCACATTGGTTTGAGGCATTAAAAATTACAGCAAAAAATATGGCAGTCTTGTTGGTAATGGTCTTGTTTGCTTTTGGAGGTATCACATAAAGCAAAATAAATTTCAGTCTAAAAAGAAAAGAGAAAAAACCCTTATAGGAGCTTTAAGTTAGCCATGACTATTTTCTAATATTTCTTCTCATATAACACAGCAAAGCCAACTATTTCAGATATTGTTCACTTCTTTTGCAAACGACCTCAAAATTGTCTGTTATGCCAAGTAAACCAAACTAATGTTAGACCAGAGGAACATGTTTCAAACTAAAGGGACTCTAATCTGCCAACAATAACTCACAGGGTTAAATTAAGGAATAAACAGGATGTCACAAAATGGTAGTTTGAAACTGACTTCAGTCATTTAAAAAGACTGTATTTATTTACACTCTTGGTAGTGTCTCCATGGTAACGGTACACTCTAATCAGCCGATCACTAATTCACAGTCAAATCACACATTAACCCACTTTTTTTGTGGACTCTTCTTTGTAGAGTGATCTCATTTGGTGTAGGGATTGGGTTGTCCTTGGCAACACTTTGCTGTCAAGAAATAGATCACAGTTGATGTGAGGTATTGACCAATCAGAATCAAGAGTTTTACACAGTCAGGTCAACATTTCGGCTCAGGTTAATATATCAGTCAGCTAGTATTTTTATTATTATTATTTCAGTCATTTAGCCTCCATTGATAGCTGAAAAGTAATTTATTTTGGGAATTATTAAGGTTTTCATGGAGACTGTAATTCTTGCTGGTGTGGCCGCTTATTGTGTGGAGATATTCAGTATTTAAATAATCTCTTTTGCAGATTTGTTTAGCTGCTCCTCACTTGCATCTACCATTCAAAACTGCTTTATGTTGTGTTTATATTTTCTTTTTATTTCTGCAAACTTTAAAAGACTACAAACAGTCAACTTTTATCATGTAGCCCCCTGGAAACTAAACAGAATGAAGCTCAAAATCTGAAATATTTCAATGCGGCTGCTGATCTTTGAAGTTTAACATGGCATAAAAAGAGGATGCTCCCCATAACCAACATAAAGTGCATTTGCAAAGCCTAAATTTGCAAGCCACTGTTCAAAAGCTTTTTGGTCGAGCCCCACAAGCCCCCGCCCCCTTTAACTTGATTGTGGGAAATTAAATAATGCAATAGCTGTTTAATAAGAACTAAGCAGAAAATTAAATCAACTCTGACCTTGCCAGAAATAATAATGTATGGTTTGTTCTGCAGACAAAGAGCTGTTTGTTCGGCTATCTTTGTGCCCAGACCGTTTGAACGAGTGAGTTTGTGAGACGAAGAGGGGAGCAAAGCATGAAAGAAAAAAGAATAAAGGGAAGAGGAATGAGAGGTAAAGGAAAGAAGATCTCAGGTTTTGTAACGTGCAGTTTTGGTCCCTTTTTTATCGACTTGAATCCAGGTCATACACTGTTCAGCACAGATTTTCAGCTTGAATCTGTAAAGAGATGTCATAATAAAGTATTACTGCAAGCTTGTACTACAAAAGGATAAAAAATAGAGTCTCTGTGTGTACTTTGTGACTAGTTCCCATCCAAATACAACAAATAAAAACACCCAGATTGGTGAAATGTCAAGCGCATATATCAACTTTTTTATTTTTTATTTAGTCAGCCTGAATTTCTTATAATTTATTTTCAATTTTTTTATCGGATCATGATTCTCCACCAGTTGCCCTCTCTTATCACTCAGATTGCCAGTCTTGGGTAAATTGAGTAATAAGTTGTGCCTGAGTTCAATTTCGATTTCTCCACCATTTAGTCACTGCCAGGTCAAAATGTGGTCTAATGTTAGTCTCCGTTCTGCCAAGTCCTCCAACCTCATGTTCCGACTGGTGACCCAACAAGGTCCTCTTTCCACCAAATACGCTTCAAAATTAAACAGCTGCACCAGACAACACAGATCTGTCACACAGCAGGATTTACAATTAGGTTCTGATAGCTCTAACCAAATATTAAACTGGCAGCTTCACTTCAATTCTCCAACCAAGAACCTAGGTCTGGAACACAGTCACAAACAAAGCTACCAGTCTGTTTTTCTACACCATGGGACACCTGCCCAAAAAATAAACAGATAAAAAATTCTGCAACTTCTAAATTAACCTGCATTGACGATGTTCACCATCAGCGTAATACGTAATCCACCTTAAAACTACAATATGGAAATAAGCAATACTGAAATCTTGAAACACGTTCAATATCCACATTTTTGTCTGTAAGTAGTAGAAAACAAAACCCTGGATCTGCTGTATGCCAAGGTCAAAGTAGCTAACAGAGCTGCTGCCTTACTACCATTAGGCAGGGCAGATCATAACTTAAAAAATGACTTGCCCTTCAGGGGTAAATAAAGTTCTTGAATTTTGTTGTTTTCCAAGTTTAACTACTTCTTCTTCTTCTTCTCTGCTATTGCTCTAATTTAAAACTCTTTCTATCTGTGGTGATTTTGTTGTCCCCTGTGGAGAAACAGTACCTCTCGTTTCTTCGCTGATCTCATCCTGTATTTAAAAAAAAGTATCATCCTTTCTTTGCATGTTTAAACAAAACAATCAGAATCTTTGCAGTGGGAAACATAAGATGCCGTTTCTTGGCATCAGATGATTGATATTTTGCTTTGCAAGATGATTAGGAATCAATCTAGTCCATAGAGGAGTGTCAGATGGCTTTTTACATATCGATACCAGTAGATTAGGGGAGTTATAATCACCTCAGTCTCCTCCTCCTCCAGCTTAGTTGACATGATGTTGGTGATATACTTCTACTTCAAGAGCATGAACTACTGAGGTTTTGAGTCTTTATCTCACAGTTACTGTTTAGTGAATTTCAAACCAAACTTTATGTCAAACCTTACATTTTCTATAAATCTCCAGGATATTTGGATATTTCCTCCTTAACTCCAGTCATTACTGCCCACAGATGCACAGGACTAAACCCAGCTGAAACCCTCTGAGTACTCCTTCCTCTCCACTGCTCCCACCAGTGTTCATGTCCAAGCATGTGTTGTATTAATTCCACTTATGTGTTGAGAATGCATGCATGAACTAAAACAAATGTAACTTTGCTATTTTTCCCTCCTGCCTGTGAAGTTTTGACAATGACAGATCTCATCAGTGCAGCCAATATGACTGTGAAACTTTGTCTTGATTCTGTTATTAATAATTGAGTCTCATCACTTTCATCACACAGTTTGAGTGGCAGAATCCAAACCGCATGGAAATGGGTAAAGGATTAATGCAGCTTTGCTGAGGTTGTGGGTATTTCAGCCAATCACATACAAACTTTAGACTCTTCTCTTTACAGTTGGCTATTTTTTCTCAAGCATACCATCAGTTTTGAGATTGATTTACTGCCTTACACACAGCTTTTGGTCCCGGTTCATTTCAGCATGTTACAGGTCCACATAAGTATATCCAGGATATCTCTGTTTATAGGTGATAGGTTTACCTCATTGTTATTTTACCTTTACTCTCTAACTAGGCTTCAAACCCAGTGTGACTGAGAGGAAACAAAGTTAAAAGTCTAAACAACAAACTTTTTTTAAAAATAAAAAGTGAAACATATCACTATTTGTGATTTTTACTCTGCAAAATTTAAAGAAAAAAAGGGTGATGTTAATGGCATTGTCAAACACCTTCCTTTGTAGATATTAAAGTGCACCACAAAGAAATAAGTCTTTCAATAAAAGTGTGTTTTGTGGGTCACAGAGGCATCAGATGAACTTGTGTGTGTTTCATAACCAGCTAAAACCTCCTCTAAGGAGTGTTAAACATGAAGATCTTTGCAATTGAAATGCATCTGAGCTGTTACAAACTGTGAGACGAGTTATCACAGTCTGCTTGAACACTCATCATTTTGTGTGTGCGTAGCACTCAAAGCAATCTAGAGGTCATGAGTGCATTAAGAAAATACCTCAAGCCTCTCTAAAGCAAGTTATCTTTATTTATCCTTTAACTTTCTCTCCCTCTTTTCTTTATCTCAATCCTTATCCCTCTGTCTCTTCAACTATATCAACCTCTCTCACAATCTGTGGTTATGGTAATGATCTGATGTGCCGGCAGTGAAAGCACCTGTGCGATGCTAACGTGAGACGACACCAATCGTTTCATCACAATGGGGAGCCCCAGAGACCAAAAGACTCACTTAAAACGCGTGTTTAAGGGTATTAATTGCTTGACATGGCTCACCCAGGTATGGGAAACCTTTGGTATTACAATTAAAGGAGTGGGAGAGGAAAAAGACAGACTGTGCTGTGAGGATGGCTGGAATATTTCTGCATGTAACAAGCATTGAGGTATTTCTCACAAAATCACGTGTGGGGAGCAGACAAAGTTACGGTGATTGAGTTAGCCACCAACCCCCACCTGCCCCCTCTCGCTCTTTCATGGTGTGTTTGATTCCGTACATGAGTGGGAGTAATTTCACATGACCTGAGGTTTTCGCTCCAAAACTGCACATTTGCTCTCAGACAGATCAGGAGACATTCAGGGAACTGAACAGACACCCTAGTGTTGGAAGAGAGGGATCCAAGTTGGATGGAAATACAACTGGAGGAGTTGATGATACCAGGAAAGAAGGCTGAATGTGACTTTATCATGCACTTTAAATACATGCATCACAGCTCAGCATTTCCCCATTACAACATTAGTCATGTATTATCATTGACATAAATACTGGATGCTTTTTTAGAAGCTATAACACTTTTTCCATTGTACTGTATAGTCTGCTTTTTGTTCGGAAATTCCCCCAATCCAATCAACTGAACAATACAAACTCAAGATTTCTGCTTTTTAGGGCTACAAGATCCTTGTAACTCCAAAGTTTGAACCCTTCACCATTCAGCAGCTCCATCCATGTCTATAAAGTGACATTGTGCACTGTATAAGTATTTTGCAGGGATATACCTACCTGTTTTACCACTTTCCAAATATTGAATATTGGAGGGAAATGGATGACTCTCTACTGAAAATTTCTAGAGTAAACATGTTTTCTGAAGACTGATGGAGATGAAGTGTTCACAAAAATTAGATGGATGGACCTTCACAGTGACCTCAACCCTTTGACCACCAATCTGCACATCTTAGTGACCACAATGACAGTTTACGTTTAATGTGATATTTAATAAAAACACTCCTCAGATGTTGTATTCACCGGAATATGAGGGACAAACAAGCAGACAGGAAATCAAAAAGTAATCCATGTACCCTTCTGTAATTAAGAGTAAGATAGTGTCACGTGAAGCACGAATTTATGGCAGAAAGGATGTACTTTCCAGATCCCAATAATTTTGATATTTGTCCTCAACCTTTTGACCACAACAATCGAATCAGCTTATCCTTGAGTCCAAGTGCACATTTGTACCGAAGTTCAATATATTTTATGATAGAAATATTCCAAAGATATTACATCCACAAGACTCCAACAAACAGACAGAAAAACCCCCAAATAATAATTTTATCCCGTTGAGAGCAAGTTTGAGGTGCGATTCAAGAGTGGAGGGTGAGAAATGAGTGTCGGTGAGGTCATGGTAACTTTGACCTCTGACCTTTGACCTCCAAAATCAAATCAGTTCTCTTCAGTCTAAGTGGACGTGCCACACTTTCTTTAAATGCAGAGGTGTCAAATTTTAGAGAATGGGCTGGGTAAAAAATGGCAAAATGTAGTTTGTTAGTGAGGCCATTTTTAACTTTTCTGTTTATGTTCTAATACATATGAATGAAAACATTTTACAGCTCAAAATCAGCTGACTTGCAGTGATTTTTGTGGAAAATAAAAAGTTTAAGCTCAGTTTGTATTTGTTACTTTATTTAGTATCAGCACTTATTCAGTTTTGAAGCACGTATTACTGTAAGCAGACAGGGAGTACAGTGGAAACTACTGTATTACTGTCTCCACTTCTTACGTCATCCCTCTTATTGCCCCCACTTGTATTTAATGTAGTTATTCTCATGTCAGACTTCTTTTACAGTCCTTTGCTTTGATCCTGTTTGCTCTACAGATGTAACTCCAAAAGAGATTTCAGGATTAAATTGCTATATTACTCTGGATTTAAATTAGTGTAATGCCCTTTAAATTTACACTCTGGAGCCTTACATGTTGCTCTGGTGTATCTCTCACTTTTTTGTCACATGCAGCAGAGTCTTCTTATTGCCTTTGTGGCTTTTTGAAACAACAGCACTCTTTATCTCATGAATGTAGAGACCAAATTAGATTTCAAGTAATGGAAATACAGTTTGACATCTGCAATATTTGCAAATAATTTCATTATGCTTCAGTATATTTTTATCTTATTATATATCATCCATATTATGTATCTAAATTTATGACTGTCTTAACCTCTGAGGCCTGAGAAGTTGTTCTGAGCATCAGCAGATGTTAGCATTATTGATTTCTGAGAGCATCATCGTAACAAAAAAGCAGGTGAGGTGGTTTCACTTACCTGTCCGTACCAGTTATATTCCAGCATCGTGACGGCACCTATAGCATTCACAAATACCCAAGACAACAAAACTCATGCAGCACTTCGAAAATCGCAACCTGTTGCTCTCTCTGAACTTAACTAGACATTTCTCCGTTTCTCCGGTGTGGAATTGATGTCGTCAGGACTTTGGGGGGCCAGGCATAAGCTAAGCCATTGCACACACATTTTTGTACACATGCACCAGCAAGCATACCCGCACACTCACTCGAGCACAGACACACACACACACCCCTGACTCTCCTGTTGAATTTTGGCACTCCCAGGGCTTACGACCTGTTGATAATGAACCTGAACCCATTATTTTGAGTCAATGAATTGAAAGAAATAGGGCAAAGAATGAAAGCCACAGGGCCAATTAACGGCATTCTTTGATGTATTACCCTCGCTCGCCACTCAACCAGACCGCTCTGCGCCTTTTGTCTTTATCCCCTCTGTTATTCATTAATTATTCTGAGCGGGGTCAGAGTTCGTGTGGCTAATTGTGCAGACAGTCTCTCTTTGAGGATGGCAAAAGATTCGCCCAACGCTGACACTCCCCCTGACTGTGCCCAGCCACCTTGAATTATGCCAATTATTCCAATTCTTTGATTTTTTTTTCCCTCCCTCTCTCTGTTCTATCAGTGGACTAAGCTGTCTCTCTTTTCCCCTCCCTCCCTCCTGACACTTCATAGTTTGGTCTCCATCACTGAAATCTCTTTTCACCCACACACACACAAACAAATAATATTTTGGCTGGGCCTTTGCTTCCTCGGGTGGACTAAGGACAGTAAAGGCCTAATCAGATTAAATTCCAGCAGATTGAATTATTACAGACCTCAGACCACTTCTTTCTTTATTGTATGAATGACCATTTCACATGTGTGTATGAACAGCACATCTAGGCTACTTCAGCAAACTATGATTTCAAAGAGGACTTTTCAGAGCTTTGATGGTTGAAAACTGGATATAAAGCAGCAATCAAAAAGCAGTTATCTTAGAAAAGAAAGGCAAAAATCACAAATAAATCATAGATGTCATGCCATTTGCAGCATGTGGTGTGACTTTAAGGATTTTGTATGTTGTAGACACAGCCAAAAAGTAAACCTTTGTCAGGCAGAAATCTCACAAGTCAACAAGTAAACACTTAGAATATAAATGCCAAAATTCTGCAATTCCTGGAGCAGCCTCTAGGGGCTGGTACTAAAAGTGAGGAACTCTCAATTTGACCCCTAACAACACACCAAACTAAAACACCTTCAGCCAACTAAGATCTCACTAAATTAAAGTTCTCGTAGTCGGAGCTTTCTGGGCATGCTCCAGAGTTTGCACCTCTGGCTTTGAAACAGCAAAAATAGCGTAAATGTGTTGCTAGCTGGGTAGTAGTTGGCAAATGAAGTTGGAATGTAAAAGACAGGAAACTTGCCAAACCTACAAACGGTTCCATGTCTTCAACTTTTAATGTGAATTTTGTTAGCTATATGCTCACGCGCTTTGCTGAGTGTTTAAAGTGGTTGAATAGTTAAATTAAAGGTCGCTAAGTTTTTCTTTTTTTTCGCTAGCTTCCTCATCTGCGTTAACCATGACAAATCAACAGTTCCTATCCTGAACCACCACAAAAACTGTGATTCATCTGACTTGCTCTCTGGCCTCCTCACAAATGACCCATACACAAAATCTTTGTGGCATTGATAAACTGATGATTGCTATCCCCTTACCTTTCTCCCAGGCTACGTATTTAAAAAAAGAATTCCACCAACATCCAGGTAACATGGCAGTGGCTAAGTCCCTTACAAATCCAGTGTACAGTGTCTGTATGAATTCATTTATTAGTTACCCACATAAAGAGCGCCTGATAGGGATATTTTCTCTCCTATGAACAGAACCAGACCAGCTGTTACCTCTAATATCAGGTTGCAGTCTCTCTAACAGCAGCCGGTGGTGGCTTCATTGTCAGTACTTAAGTGTTGGGCATGAAAATTGTGAAAACCCCCTCATCTTACTCAAATCAAAAAAAGCAAACAAGTGTTGAACTACCTTAAAAAATAGGCTTGACTCCTCCTCCTTTGAAAACATCAGTCTTCAAAATGAATGAAGTCTTGTTTCCAAAGTTCCCATAACTGCTGAAAGAGTTCGTGCTTCTGGATTTTTCACAGTCTGAACCAGTTTTAACCGGCCATTGGAAACGCATTTCTCAGTTTAGAGTGAAGAAGTACTATTGTTAATCACATCACTCCAACATTTGACAATGTATCTCGCTTTTTTGTTACGTGAAGGATGAGATGTAGGATAAAGAGCATTTGGCCTTTTCATTTAGGGATATACTGTACCTTTTCTCCTGGTTTCTGATTTTTATCTCTTATAATTTCTGCAGACAGGACATGCTGTACAATCTGCCTTAGTGGAAAAACAAATTGACATTTGCATGGGATGACTTAAAATAACAGGAAACAAAGGCAATGCCCATTTTGCTAAGGGTATCAGAAGAAAAGGGGATGTGTAATCAGATTAGGAAATGTCTATGAAGGCAATCCAAGTTTAAACATAATTAGGAGAATAGACAGCCAATAATGGTTAATTTATCCATCAGGCAGTTAATAATTCTCTTCATCTGAACCATGGATGTGGATGGTTTTATCCCAAAATCTTGGCCACTGTCTAAAATGGGTCTCTAACAACAGATACGACAGGCCACTACACTGTAAAAAATGGAAGCAAAAGCACGGTAAATATGTTTGGTGCCTAAAGGTTGATTTAGTCCATTTGACATGGATTAGAGGAGTTTTGATTTTGTCTCGATTTTGACCAACCCTGGTCTTGTGTTGTAAAAGTCTAGAAATGGCAACTTTGTGCGTTAGTTTATGACGGAAGGTGCAAGAAACGGTGAGAGCACAGAGTTTAAATCCACTGAGATTAAACTAAGTCTTTCATAACCAGTTATAAACCTCTATATTGATGTTTAAAGTAGAAACTTTATGAGTTGATATTACAATCTTGAACACTGGGGTAATCAATTATCTATATTTGCCCGAGGATGAGGGACGATACACATGCCAACTCTTCAGACGTCTGCTTAAGACTTCCTTCCGTTTGACGGTCAAATCAAAAGGGTGGAAATTTTCTTGCCAAAAGACATTACTCAGTCACATAGAGGACAAGATAAACAAAGACGGCTTTGTTCACAGGGGGCGCCAAAGTTAATACAAACTAAAATTTTCTTACAGAAGGTTGAAACATTAGATTCACGACAATTTGGGAGCTATACTTGCATAATGCTTTATGTTTGTAGATAAACAATCAAGTCAGATTACTACCAAAAGGCGGGATATCATGGCAGCGGTGTGCTTTTGCTCTCCGAACACTGACAGATTTTTCTTCCAGCACCAAAGCCTGCTGAAAGATGATCGGTCAAAACCACTTAGACTACAAACAAAAACTAGAACCACCTCTTGTGCTAAAATCAGACCTCATTAAACAGATTCTTCATTTTTCTGTACAAAGAGCTCTTGGTCTTCACAAAAGGGGTCTTTATGAACAAGAGGCCCCAAGTTTCACCAACATGTTCAACAGTAGCTCAAAATAGACTAAGTGGACCTTATTTACTCAAGGGGCTTAACAAAGTCAATCCCACACATGGGTCTACTGAGGACACTGTAGGTGATTTGATTATATCTTTGGATGCTATTATCTGGTCTTTCAATCACTTAATCGCACCTTTCAGTCCTGAGAAGAGTTACTCAAGAGTATTCTTTTTTTGTATGTAATTTGAAGATTTATGTTTCATATGGCTCCAAGCAGCTGTGCTTTTATTAAGCAGTTTGTACCTCAAAGGTCTCCGGAGCTTTCTCTGCATGGTTATCAGGAATTAAAGGCTAGTGACCACATTACCTGCTCCTTAAACTGTCTTGAGTTTGCTCTCTAAGATTTACGTGATTGCTGACAATTGAATTAGGATCCCTATCAGGCTGGAGGTATAGCTTTCTAAGTCATTTAATCTATTGTAAAAGGCAGCTTGTTGAAAGGTACTGCAACAGTATAGCACTTATATTAGCATTGAAACACTGTTGATTTTTCTTTTTAAAAAAACATGTTAAGGAACAAAATTCTACTATTTTATGGCGAATAACACTTCTGTGTGTACATGTCACATTTGAATTAATCAATTAAAAACTAACTGATAAATCATGTTTGATACAACCCCTTTAATTAGCAAATATGGCAGAGGCTTTAGGAGACATTTAATGCTTTTGAAAGTTCGGTAAAAAATGTAAAATTTGTGGTTGAAACTCAGCGAAAGTGTATTTATATTAAGGACCAATGGCCTTATCAACTTCTCTTGAAATATAAGCCAGAGGCTAAAACAAATGAAGACCTAGTGCCAAAATTCACACTGCAGTGAAATGATGCTATAAAACCATTATTAATCTGTTAAGTTTGTGTTAAACTGTGCCGTTAAAGACCGAGATTTTATCTGTTTTATTGCTCTGAGGAAAAAGCAGCTCTCCTTTCAGCCCCTTTGTTGCCTGTTTACCCCTGAAGGCCATGTAAGATCACTGACAGCCAGAGCTAACCTTTCGTCTCTCAAGTCCTTTTGGACTGGTTTTCTTCAAAGGGAGTCCCTTGTCGTACCTCTGGCCATGGGCAGCCTTGAAAGGTTAGGTCCTCAGGCCACGTCTGTGTCCCTGACGCCACTGGCTAAACACTGTGTCCCCATCTGACATCCATAATTTGGTTTGTGTGTGTGGGAGTTTTATGAAGCTACGCCTATCATGACTGCTGATCTTGTCTTTCAGCGGGGAACAAAGGGAGATGAGATGGTAACAAAGGGCCCTGCTAAGATTTTGTCGTAGCCACAAGCCAAAAACAAGGAGGTTTCACAGCGAGGTGACTCAGTTTTTGTGTTTTGAAGCTGACGCCTTGCATTCCTGACTGGCCTTTGGCTTGAGGACGAATCACTGGAGATCATATCTCTCAGATTCTGTCTTACTGGGAAGTTTTGGGTACATGACTGTATCTGTAAAAGGAAAGTAATTAGGGGAAAGTCCTTAAGGAAGTGAGATCTTTTAGTACTTTATCCTATGAGCTAGAGTTTGTGTACCTCTAAGAATACAAACTCAGGAGTGCAGACTTGTTTCAAATAAAGTTTTCACTTATTTCTGCAAAATTAGTGGTCAATGGTGGGTATTTGTTTTGCTTTAGAAGAAAAGCTTTTTGTTGAATAGGGTGTCACCAAATATATTTCTTTATTCTGACACCAAGTTCAAGATAACATTAAGATTCTCCCTGAACTTTAGTAGATATTTTCAGAAGCTCAGAAATTTCCACTGTTTCTGTTTCACACATGTCCCTTACATGCTCCGTGCCCCGTATGTTTGCATGTTGTAAAAAAAATAGATTTATTGCATTCATCCAACTGAAACTGGACTTAACCCTTTATTGCCTTTTGTATCATATTTGATACATACTTTTATATACTTCTATCAAATCAATATGATCAACAAATTACTAAAAAAACATCTGAATATAATCCGATAAATGATCAAATTCTCCTCTCGTAGATTATCAGTTTTCAAACACATCTAATGTACCAAACAAGATAAATAAATCAAAACATTGGCTGCCCTCAAGTATCACACAGTTTATCACACATGGAGCTTGAGCACAAACATAAAGACTCACACACACAAACACACTAGGGGTTTGTGAATACAAATTATCTTGTACTCGTTCCCCCCGATGAGCTTATCTAGCCTCTGGGGAGACCTCCAGCCCACTCCTTCCCTCTTGCTTAAGCACAGTTCCCCAAACCCAGCAGGGGAGTCCCTACTGGTCCCAACACACAGTCCCTGATACACACCATCTACTTCCCCAGCCACACACTAACACTACTACTCTCGAGACATTGTACCTTTTTTGCCCCCTTTTGAATCCCATTAGTGCGTGAACTTAGTTTAACTGAAAAAGACTGTCGACTTCACTCAATTAGGCGTAATAGGATTAGGTTTGCTGGTATGGGCCTGGAGGTTTAAATAGGAATGGAATTTTGGCAGACACCTGCTCCATCCATTGCATTAATCTTATCAGGGCTACAGAGTAGGCAGGGGCCCTGCTCAAGCCTGGAGTTGAACACTGGGCTGTATTCGATACATCAGCTTGATCCATAATGGCATCAGTGCCAAAGAAAGTATGATTTAAGAGAAGAGGAGGGCATCAGTTAATCAAAGGGGCTGAACATACTACAGACAAAATGCATGTCAACTGACAAAGCCCTAAGTGATCTTAAAGAAGAAAAAGTGATATTTTAGATTCTTTGACTTGTTACCAACTTTAATTGAAATGCTATTTTTGCATTACCCCATGTCATACATTGCTGCTTTCCTGAACTATATGGGCTACATGTGAGAACACAATAATTCAGTGCAGCAAAAATAAAGTATGTAGTCCTGCAATGTATTTGTCAATCATGCAAAGAGTAGATCTGCTTTGAATGCCCTTCTTTTTCTCCTGTTTATCAGTTTCAACTTTTTTGTCTATACTAATATGTCCAAAAAGGTATTCTTATATTATTTATGCAAAAATGTTAACTTTTCAGAGCTCTCATTTTAATCCTGCATGCACTTACCAGGTGCCACCCCTCAAATAAACAAAGCACACAATATCTGAAATCAAACTTTGATATGTCAAACCTCAGGAAATTGACTCTTTTGTCCACCTGAGACAGTCTTTAGCCAAGAGGAACCTCCAACATTTCTCGATCATATTTATTTATGGTTCCCTCTTTATATGGCACAGTGTTTAATGACTGCATTTTCCAGATGTGATTTTGAGCCCCTGCAGTGATTCCCACTACAGAGTCATTTCTGTTTTTAATGCGGTGCGACCCGAAGTCAACCTGTCTTAGTTTTTAGCCTTGTGTGATTGTTTCTTAATTATGTGCTGTAGCTGATATAGAGAGTAAAGGGTTAGGGTTAGGCCTGTAGAAGTCTTAGAATTCTTTGAAATTTCACACTGAGGAACATTAGTCAGAAATATTTTTCCCTGTTTGTTCTGGCATTTTCTCAGGGTGATGAACTTCTAAGAGACTCGGCATCTCAAAGATGCTATTTTCTTTGCTGTCATGGTACCTAACTGATGCAAATCCAGCTAATTAGTCAGAAGATCATCCCTCGTTTTTTTTTAGTTATTAATACTTAATTAATTGCATCAGCTGACATAAAATTCAAAATATGTTTATGCTGCATTTGCAAATAAAAAAATCAATTACCATCAAGGTAAAACTTAAGGAAACAACAACAAAGTGTTAGTTAAAAACAAATTGATATCTAAAATGATTTAGATACCCCTGTTTAAGTACTTAATGTAAAAGATCTGATGGGAAAGATGCAATAGAGTCTGCAATCTGGACTCATTAAGATCAATCAGGAGCTAGTTTGAGCAGTAATTAGATGGATAAACTACATCTCCTATCAGCTGATTAGTTCGGATAACCTGTTGCCCTCACTTATTCCATCTATTCTAATCAATGAGGGAAAAGATGTAAAAGTGGGTAAAATGCATCCATCTGTTTTAATGCGACCTCTGTAATGAGAATTTTGTAAAATTGTATCTAGCAATGAAAGAACTGCAGTTCAAGTGGCTTCAATGCAACAAACAGTCTTCATTTGCACATTAAAATTGGATGGTTAGAGTTTTAAGAGCTATAGTCCATGTCTTGTGTGAGTTTCCTCATGTAATACCAGATGGTAACAATAACCCTTGAGTTTAGTCAATCCTCTTGGTTACTAATCACCATTGTTCCCAGGGGTGTCATACCAGGTCTCATACCAACACCTCACAATATCTTTCCCGGAGGTCTGTCCATGTCTGTGGATGCTGTGAATAGCAATCTTGGTGGCCTTGAAACCCCCTACCACCCCACCCTGAGGGATTATGATATGTTTTATCCAGAAGTGGCTTGTGTTTTTGTTCTTGGTGTCAATTATCGGGACAGTCTGATGGCTCGAACTCTGCTTTTGTCGGACCAATCAAGTAGGAGGAGGTCAGGGTTGAGCTGGAGGGTTGGTGATGTGTGTGTATCTGTGTGTTGTTGGGATGGAGTTACGTTCAGGGTGAGGCACAAAGGAATTGAACATGAAACATTTAAAGGGCCATTCTGTCTAATCCTATTAGCGTCGTGGATGACCCTCACATCAGAGGGGATCAAGGGAAAGATCTTTGTGGAAACGTATCAACAAAAGACCAAATCTATCCTGGATTCATGTCAAAGATGTGATCAAATTGTATTTCATATTGCTATATTAGGTGTACCAGTGCATGGGATGCTGCCTTCTTTCTAGATAACAAAAAAAAAAGTTATGAAGAGCTCAGGTTACTCAACAGTGTCTTAATCCTGCATTCACCGTTAGGGCCAGCATGAACAATTGTGAAGATTGCGACAACACAAGAACTGATCACAGCCCCTTTAGCTGCTGTCAGAAAGTTGTGTCGGCCAACAGCATTGTCTGACACGGTTAAAGCAAAGCCACAGACTGAGTCTCTAATTTCAGGCATTTTTGATGGATAAAAATAGAGGATAGTGTCTGAGAGCATCACAGCAACACACCATGTGATGTGGACAACTGAAATATACACACACCGATCATCCACAATATCGCGACTACCCCAAATCTAATGCAGTGTTACACCTCTACACAAATTCTACTTTTACAAGGCTTCTGTACTTTCACTTCTGTTGGTTTGCCAAAAAGACTATTTTTAAAGTTATATTAACAATTATAATAAAAGTATTTATGGCCAAAATAATATTGTCTGACTTTAACACACCTGGATAGAAAAACAGCAACTATCAAACCTGCTGTCTGAATACTGTTCTCCAAAATCTATGATGAGAATAACCAAGATGCAAAACTTGTCAATACTAATGTATCAGTGGTTATATCCTCTTCTTATGTACAGTCTATGGCTCTGGTAGTATATGCCAATACAACCAAAATCTAATGATTAACAGAACTCTGATTTTTTTTTTTTTTTTTTTTTTTTTTTGATAAAGTCTAATTAAAGATTATAAGACATCTACAACAACAATGCTTCCTTCACGTGTGATTAAACTCACAGCTCAAAGACTCCTTTGTTTTAAACACCTAACTGTGACTCCCTATATATAGTTCGATCATAAGTGGGGTGAACTGAAAAGACACAGTGAGAATGTTCTCCTCTAAGGAGCAATTACCTCAGGTCACACAGAAAACACAGTTTTTGGCCAGAGACTTCATTTGATTAGCTAATCACATTTGAAGTACACTGTGTAAATTAAGACTTCGACTTTGGCGAAAAGGTTCCAAAACCAGATTTAGTGCAGTTGCTCAGTGAAGAAAAAAAAAAGGCTCAGTATCTGTTAGCTGCTATTTGATTAACATTCTCTAGTTAAATTGTTTTAGCAAATATGCCACAAGCTAATTTTTCAATCTCTGCTCACTCTTTCTCACGATGTCTCCTACACTGATAAATAAAAGGTTCATAGTTGAATACAGGAGAGGTCATAATCATATTTCAAAGGGTAAAGTGCATTTAACTTTTTGTTTAATTGTATTTAATGAACATTCATTGCATCATAGCGTTAGGGAGTGCTCAGCTGAGATTTGTGAGACAGGTGTCTCCATATTCCTGACCACTGGATGCCTTTGAAGCAGGTTTGAAATAGGTGAAAATTATAAAAATATTAACAATTAAAATACAAAGTGTTTCTAAATGAGTAACCAAAGCACCGTCATTCCCTCATGTACAATTTATGTGTTTTCTTATAACTTTGGGATGAAAAATAAGTGATTACAAAAAAATGGATGGTGCACACAGTGTTCAGAGTTGCTGAAAGTGAAACCAAATTACCCCAGCAATGACATCATGTACCTGGTAATGCACAAGCGATGAAATCCTACTTTTGCTGTGAATTTGGGAACAGTGACATGGCAGGTTATTCAGCTGTTTATGCTGGCAGACTTGTTACTGCTTTGAGATGAATCTTGTCATGCCCAATGGCAGCTGAGTTTAGCCGGAATGGAAAAAAACAGGTTTAGACAATGGGTGGATATTGTTTATTTTGAGTAGTGCAACATACTTGAAGCCACTTTCTAGAAGTTGAGTGGATAAGAAATATCCCACAGAGCATTTTTTGGTCTAAAAGAGGTCTAATAGACGTCTAAATTTAGCCCAGAAAACTGGTCTAAAATGAGGCTACTACAGGTCTAAAAATGAAAGTTTTTTTAGATGTCTAAATTTAGATCAAGTCTAAATTTGGGCTACATCTATACTACACTGTATATTGCTCAATATATACTACATACTATACTACACTGTATATTGCTCAATGCCTACCTACTTTGGTTAAGTACTTGGAAATCAGTTAGGCAACTCACAGTTTAGGTCTAAAATTAGGTCTTAAAAAAAAAAAAAACTAGACGTTTAATAGCCATCCATTGCTCAGTGGGATTGGTCACCAAGTTGTGGGGGGTCAGGTGTATTTACATTTCATTACACCTATAACTCATACTCTACATGTTAGACATTACTGCTTATTGAAGCAGAGATCTGTTTTATTTTGGAGTTCTACCTCTCTGCATTTTTAAGGTCACTGAGTTAAAGAGTGCTGACACGCTGGTTGGTTATGTTTGGACAAAGCATGAAAATCCAGCTGAATCCTGCTGTACTAGCCCCATATATGGACTGAGCCTTAATTGCGTGCACTTACTGGTGATAGCATGTGTGTTTTGCATTGACATATTTAATGTTTCCAGCACATTGCTCCATCTATCCGAATCATTACACGGGACTTCTGTCCGTTGTTATCCCTCCGTCTATTCATCCATGAATCAAGTCCAGCAGGCAAACCTCAGTCCAGCCAGCCCAGGCGCTCAGCCAGTCCAGATGGGTGGTCCAGAGCAATCACTGCTGGTCTCCCATGCTTTGGCTTGCTTTAGTGTCCCTGCTGCCCTGACACCCTCCTCCTTTTTTATGTGTTCTCTCCTTGTCTCACGCATACCTCTGATTTCCTGTCTTCTCTTCCTTCACACCAGCCTTGGCTGGTAAGCCTTGGCTTTTTTCTTCTTCTCTAGCATGCCATCTTTTTTCATGTGTAACACTTTGCCTCCTTTAAGGTTTGTTCTCCTCTTTTTTACCCCTGGAGTTCATTATTCCCTCTCCTCTCCTTACCAGCTAATGTGGATCAGTCGTTTCAAAGCCATGGTGGGATGTTTTTTTTTGTATTTCATGGCTCTATGTGCTGTTGTTGGAATGAGGGAGGTTACACTGACAAAATGTTGTCTTATAAAGCAAACCGCTGTCTGTCTTTTATTGCCACAGTATGAACAAGCTGGCCAGCTGAATTTGTGGAAATTTTGCATGGATTCATTCACTGCCCAGCAACACACCAAAGTTATGTGTCTGTTTTTACCGTGACTCAGTGGCTCTGCCATGGATATTAGACCAACAGACCCTGAGTTGTAGTGTTACTCACAGTGTTGAATATGACTGCGGTTGGAGAGCACACCACATTTATATGGAGAACAGAGAGATACTTTGACGCCACACTTTTTTTGTTATTTTGTAATCATATCAGTTTTTAGAAGAAGGTGACAAGTTTACTGTGAATTTCTTTAAGACCAACTCCGATGTTTTCCTTGTTGTCTACATGTTCATATGGCATTTTTCTGATGCTCCTGGACATATCATGACAAAAGTAAGTGCAAGATTGCATTTCTGACTATTTCTGCATTCAAATCGCTGTGAATCTCTGGCAGACGCAAATGGCAAATGGCAGGCTTCCTACGTAGCAAATACAGGCTCCGCCCCCAGAGCCCCGCTATGCAGGCCTCGGAAAAGTAGGGAGGACAATTGCAGAACAAGCATGCACATTAGCAGATCACAATGCTCGTAAGAAAGCTAATAATGATATTAGCTTTCATCGTGTCCCTAAAGACATTAGTGTCCTAGAGCTGAATAGCTCTTATGTTACCTGCCACTTCTACTGCACCAGCAATGTTAGGCTGCAAGCTAACATGAAGAGGAGTGTGCAGAGCAGCGCTGTCTCCACCCATGACTCAGAGGCGAATTGCTAATGAGCTACTGGAGCTCTTCAGGAGAATAGTCTTTTAAAATGACACAGGTAATGCAATTTTGGCTGAAAACTTATTAATCACAACTGAAAGACCACTGATAACACTTTAAGTAGTAAAAAAAAAATGATCGGAGTGTGATTTTAACATGTTCACATTCAAACAGCAGGATTCAAAGCAGATTTTGCTAACAAAACAAGCATTCATTCATGAATCTCACTGTTCACTAGGGCTACAGAGCTCAAATGGTAAGCAAGTAGTTCTTTGATGCACAGGTGCAGCAATGGTGTCCGATAACCAGATGCATTCATTAAATATAAGTCAAAATCAAAATAGCAGTGGTAGCAATTTTTTTAAAACCAAATGTAATTGTATGATATGTGTTTTTAACTAGGTCAACAAATATTTATTCAAAACTTTTAGAGATTTACAGTCTGTGAACAATGATAACGCAGAGAGCTAGAGTCTCAGAGGCTATGTGTTTGCTACCAAAACAGACTTCCAGGTCCATGTGATAATGATGAGCTGATCAAGGACAGCAGCAAGATGACAAATATTAAGTGTACAGATGTTTATGGTGGAGAAACCACACCCTAACCCTTTAATTAACATCAGTTTTATGCGTACTATTTTCAGATCAGCAGCCTTAAATGTTAAGATCAGTCTGTTATCATTAATTTTCTTCCTGTATATAAGGCATACACTGTGAAACTATTTTAGGCACTGTAAACAAAAATGTATTTAAGCTGTTGTTGTCTGTCTCTATCCTTTTTCTGTATTTACCTGGACCTCAAGTGGGCACTTGAGGAACTGCAGCTTTTTACACCTCTGAATTGACTTTATTTCCACCAGACAGTTTGTTGCATCTTGAAAAGCCAGCATCCAGAAACATAATGATAGAGTTTATAACGAAACTTTAAAAATATTTTAGAAAAAACCCAGACAAAACGACACATTCCCCACTGTTCTGGAGCACCTCAAAAAACAAAAGGATGTACCGCTGATTTAAAGCAATTTGGATGTAGAATTAACTGGAAACAGCTAGAAAGACATCAGCCTTGTTTGAATCGCTGTAAATGTCTTCAACTATTTACATCTTTTTGCATATAAAGACTTGTTTAAAGAGATTTAATCCAAATTCAGCCTCGTAAACCTGCATAGATCTACACAGGCTTGTTTTGCTTGAATCCGTGAGAAGAGGCAGGACTTTTCCTCTCCTTACCTTCACCTGCATGTATTATTCAGGTGGGTAAGGGGGCAGCTTGTTCCTTGAGGCTGTAATGGACCCACAAACACCCGCATGCATTTACGTATGCACACAAACACACTGGAGCAACTTTAGCACATGAAAGGCCTCCTGCAGGACTGGGGAAGCATGCTGCAACAATGCTTTGAAGTCTATCAGTCATCCATCCAGTGTGGGGATGTTTTCTGTTCCTCTTGCTCTAATAGTCTGATTCATATCTCCCTTCCTCCCTAAAGAGACAACCGCAGCCGATCTGGGAGTCATTTGGCTCCTTTCAAAATAGCCCCTACGCATCCTAAACATCCAAAATTCAAAATTTGCATCAAAGCAAAGCAGGGGTTTGATTTATTTCAACCCCAGATGAGAGCTGCAATCTTCCTGCAATCTAAAAAAAAAAAATGCACAAGCGGTATATGCAGGAGTCCTTGAATGCAAGTATTCTGCATACATTGACTGACATACAGTAATTGCAGTAGCTAGCTATGGCTCAGTGATCTGTCAGCACATTGTGTGGGGTTTTTAGTTAGCTGAACAATGGTGCTACAATCCCCTGAGACAGAATTCCAAAGAAATGACCCTTAAACATAGAGTTCATTCAAATGGTTCCTGACGTGTTGAACAGCAGCAATATGGTCACAGTCAAGCCAGCATGAGAAACTGGAAACGGTTTTTATGGAGGCTAAAATGAAAACGGATAGCCAATCTAACAGGTTTTCATTTTTTACAGTCTATTCCACCTCTAGCCCTGTTTATTAACCTGCTTTTACTGAAGGCTTCTTAACTGTGTTAAATAGACAACAATGCAGCAATGATAGTGTTAACAGCCAGGAGGAGGTTCATTCGAGGAGGCCCACTGTGTTTACGACTGGCGCTGGATTCGTATTTATAACAGCTGATGCATCTGATAAAGCTCTGTAATTAGACATGTGACAAGATTATCTAAGCTGACAGCTCAGTAATTATCTGCCCGTGGTAATATATGGGCCATTAGAGGAGGTGTTTGGATAAGAAACACTCACATTGATGGTAGATCTATTAAACTGGAGGTGGTAGCTGCTTGAATTGTGATGACGGCTCTTTGTCTGGATGCCATATAAATAGAATAGATTGTAATGTGAAGACATTTAGAGGCACAATGGGAGAGTATTAACCAAAAACAAAACCACAGGAGTTTTATAGCAGTTCTTCAGAGGTTAGTTAATACACAGAGAAGGGCATGATAGGGGGACGTACTGATCTCAAACTATAGCTGCTGATTGTTGGATGTTTTAAATGTATTTTCAACACAGATGCAAATCAGTCATGGGACTTTGGTCAGTATTTGGCTCTGAGATGTTAGTTGAAACTTTTTTTTACTGGATAATTAAGAAACATATGTCTATTGTCTCTTTTAGCACAGATAGGCTAATAATTACACATTTACTTTGACACTTTTTAGCCAAAGTCTGACACCTGAAGACTTAGTTCTGGACTTATCTGACAGTCTCAAGTCCATTTACTCAGCACATCTTGCTCCAAATTTTCATTCGTTTCAACTGTAGATTTGTTTCGTTGTGACTTACCTTCCATGAGTTTGGGGATTGGTGCCAAACAGGGGCATGCGCTCTTGTGAAGGTCCTTACATAGGGGCACCGTGAGCTGGAAGGATGGATGGTGGTGCTGGGTCGTGGGGAGTAGGACTGAGGCCAGCTGTGTGGATGTGGTCCAGAATCATAAAAACTCTGTCCGTCATCTCTTTGACTAATCACCCACTGGTTGTCTTGGCCGGGGAACATTTTTGGAAAACTAAATACTGGATCAAAGCAAAAACAAGGAAATGACAATTAAACAGAATATCATCTTGTTCCGTAATGGCATTTTTATATTATCTTAATTAGATCATGATTTATTCTGGAATTTCTTAGAGTGTCTGTTCAATGTCTTTTCCCAACCCACTGTATTGAATCTGCAGCACTCAATAAGCCATAATCTGTTTTTTTGGTGCACGCAATTGTATTGGTTTCGTATAGAAGTGAGATAATGCTGGCACAAAAAAAAAAGACTTTAAATGGTTCCCTATCAGATTAGTAGTCAAATTGGTTATTTTTAGCAATCTTTTCTTTGTTTTACTTGATAGATCTCCATTAAACTAAAATAACAAGCCCCAGTCAAAAGGTTGGAATCATAGACTGTATATACTATGGACAACTTGGTTCCGCCTTCTACCAGTATATGGATTTGAAGCCAAAAAGCTCTCTGTATTTTTGCAATTTTTCTCCATTTCCTGGGAGAGTCGCCAAGAGTCGCTGTGATGACCCTCTGCTTTAACAGCGTATCCTCGCAATCTTTGTACGCCCATAGGCTGTATCAATCATAGAAAACATGAACCCCCTAATAACTTTTAAAAATGGAGCTGTACAGAAAAAAGAGGACTTGAGCACAAACCAGTCTTATAGTAGCTATATGCCAACATTGCAAGCAGAGAGGAAAAAAAATGTATATTCTGTGTAATGCATTTCTAAAGTTTGTCTACAGCCCCATAAGTCTATGGTTGAAATGGAGAAGAACATAAAGATATTGTGAAATCATGTAAACAGTGATATAAGTGCATGTATGTAAGTACACACCCATGGGAGTACTTGAATAGTTCAAATGCATAGATGCTTGGTAATTTGTGAAGCACCAATCAGGAAGTTGAATCAGAGGTTGGCTAATATTAGAGGGAATAGTAAACAAACGGGATTATCACCATAGTTAGAGAACCGACAAGCAGTGATGAATCCAAGCCAGATTTTAGGTCTAACCAGAATCAGTTGATGCACATTATCAAGAGCCAGTTTGATTGGAAAGCACTGCCGCCAACAATAAATTCTATAATATCACTAATTCATTTATGGAAAAGAAAGCTTTTGTTTGTCGCAGATTGAATATGTTTCCAACCTTTTGATTTTTGTCACTGAATTGGCAAAGAAAGACACGCAAAATATTCAGTTCAAATATAACCTTTTGATCGCACGCTCTGCATACTGTGCTTTAACTTTTAGGGAGCTAAGCCCCCACTTCTGGACTATACTGGAGAAACTGGCCAAGAAGTGGATACCATGGAGAGAAGTCATCAATAGCTGCGGGTCTCAGAGGGAGCATACAGTGTAAGGATGACTGTAAGTAAGTTCTCCGTTTCTAAATTACTATATTTGACTCTAAATTAGCTGTCACTGCCACTGGAGTACTAATAGAGAATACATGCAAAATAGGGGGACTTGTACATTCGCTACAATGCAGAACTGATTGAGCACAACGAGAGGAAAGGTGGGAGAGTGGAAAGAGTGTGATTCTAATCTCAGACTCTTGTTTCTGCCTCTCCTCTCCCTCTCTTTCCTTACGCAGGAAGTTAATTGGCGAGGCCTATAACTGCCCGGCTGTCAGAGCGCGGTGCTAACCGTGTTTAATTGCCTTTATCCTGTCGCCAACATTGCAGAATACCTTCGCTGCAGATATGCCAGGCGCTTGTAGGCACTGTGTAAAAAAAATGTGATGATGGTGGTGACGAGGAGCGGGCATGAGAAAACAGGTTTTTGTAAACGTAGAGAAGGGGTTTTGTCCACCTAGCTGCATTCTTTTGAGAACGCTCATCTGGAACAAGTGGCACATTTGTGTGGGTTTAGCCTGACTCTTTGTCTGGGGTTTGAGGGCTCCTCTATGTTAGCCCATGAGCAAGGCATCTTTGTACAATGACAATTAACCCGCTTAACACAAGAAGGGGATTTTTATGGGAATGGGAATGCCACCCAAACAGACTTGCGTCACCCATTGATTCTGCTCTTTTGCTGAATGTGTGTTGCATATTGAAATTTAGTACACTTTAAATGCACCATGAAATATTCATCCATCAGAGTCTGCTATTTCCTACTTTTTGTTTTGATGGAGAGATTTTTTTGTTCTATAGTTAGAAGTTCAAATCACACCTTTTACAATGGAACCAGTTTCTATGTTACATGCCAGCTTTTTGAATATATTTTTGGGAGTTTTTTTGTTTTGTCTCTTAATTTTCGACAGTCTTTGCTTCTCTGTTCCCATACATCTTTCTCTCTTTTACCTCTTCCTGCAACTTGCTTTTAGGCCAGGATTTCATTGTTGCACTTACTCTCAGGACAAACTGAAGCTTTAATTCTTTATCTAACATAGTCCTAGACTTGGGAGGAAGTCAGTCTCTCATCATAAGTCTGGATGTGTATCTTAGTTGTGTGTGAATCCTGACGGGAATGCTGGCCATGACAGCCCTGAGTGTCCTTCCCTCCACCTTAGTGAGCTCACCTTTACGAACCGGGGCGTTATTCTGTCGTTGTCAGCTGAGTTACCGCGTAATTCTTACGGTGTGACTGTGATCTCATGAACTCTTGATCCCACCACCTCACAATCCTTTGCTCGTTTAACAAGTGTTAATTATATTGGCATTTATCTGAGCTTGTTTGGGTTCTTTTAAATCCAACTGAGAGGTGACAGTAGACTTTTAGACCTCCTGCTGCCGTGAAGCCTCGGAGCTGTCGGGGGACAACAGGAGAGGCTGCTGTGACCTTACTTGTGTACTTGTCATAGAAAGATAATCTGGAGGCTTATTTAAATGTGTAAAAACAGGAAGTTTGCAGAAGGAACTTGCATTTAACAAAACAGAAGTTTGCTAAAAAAAAAAAAATCAAATAAAAAAAAAAAACAATCTTGTGCAAATTTGTAGAAAGTAAAAGAGCAAACTTTTGTCAGGGCTTTCTTCACCTGTCACTCAACTTTAAATTCTTTATCTATAATGGATTGTAAACTGCACCAGTGTCCCGCAAGTTGAAGTCAAGACCGTTTGTTTGTAGCGAGACCTCAGACCAGTCTATTACCGACTTCAGCGGGGTGACGCAGCTCAAGGAAGAACATTTATGATTATTACTTTATCATGTCCTTAAAGTAATAATCACCACATTAATCATTTTGCTCTGCGGACGCGTTAGTTCTTTTGCCTTAGCGTCTGGGTCTATTTGCATTTCCATGAAGAAATGATCGTAAATGTTCTTCCCTGAGCTGCGTCACCCCGCTGAAGTCGGTGATAGACTGGCCCGAGGTCTCGCTACAAACAAGCGGCTGCTGGAAGAGTGTAGGTGAGTTGTGTTTAGTCTCTTTGCTAAAGAAATTAGGCAAAGCTAAAAAGATATTTAATGGCTAGTGCTGTGGCTGGGACCCTATATGTACTGTTGATGAAGTTAGGTGCTGTTCTGAGCTTTATTTGTGGCTATAGAGTGACGTTTTGGTTGAGGTTTGTTTATTGCTCCTCAGACCACTTTGTATTACTATCGAGCGGTCCTTACCAAAGTTGGTATAACTAGAGAAGCAAGCGGTTGGCAACATTCATCTCTCAAGGGGCAGTCTAACTTGGTGTTACGGTGTGTTTGACCCTAAATCAATTTTTCGCCGGAATATCCCTTTAATAGGCATAAACAGCCATTGAACCTCAGCGTAGGTAGATTTTGTAAATCAGGGTGAATTAAATTCATCAGCCAAATATCTACAACAGTTGTACCTTTGCAGAACTGATGGCCTTCAGTCTGATTATTGCAATTAATTGTCTGCGATTGTAAAATGGCCCATGTGCAGCAGTTTTCAAAAGAAACACAAATAGCACAAATACGCAAATCCTCACCCACCCACATGGAAACAGGAAGCTTGGAGTATCACTGCTGAGGATTTTCTGACTGTCTGTGTCACAGATGAGAAAGCACACACACTCACACACACACTGATATCCGCCTCATTAAAACCTTTTCCATAGATGTACGACTTTGTACAGCTCTCCACTCATCATCACCTCCAATCCGCTCTGCCCCTCGCCGCCTCCCTTTGAGCTCCACTATTTATTTTCATCAAGGCCTCTCTCTCTCTCTCTCTCTCTCTCTCTCTCTAGCTCTCTTGCTCTCCCTCTCATCCACAGTGGGTTTTGTTGCTGTGCTGTCATGTATTCAAGCACCTATTTATTTGCTTTTTTCACCACTAATTCTCCCTTATTGTCCCTCCTGGCGTCCCATTGCGCGGTGAACAAGGCCCCCGCGAGAGTTTTGTTCCCTGTGCTTAAGACATGAGTCAGCGAGCCAAGATAATGATGAAGAGCTCAGACACACAGGAGATCCAGCTTCTATCAAAGTCTGCCTAACATACACCCCCTTACACCTTTTTTCTTATTACTGAGTTTGTTCAGTGTGTGAAGAGTTGAGGTCACCTCTTAGGGCTGTGTTTTAAACTTGTGTGCTTTTCACTGTTCTCCTTTTCTGTGCTCTTATTCTGACTTGATCTCATATTATAGTACCTCACTGTAGTTTGAGTGCTCTTAAGTGGATTTTTAATTTTCTACGAAAGTTAACGTTTTTTAACTTTCATAAAATTTACAGAAATTCATATTGAGACCTTGTCATGATATCCAAAAGCAAACAAGACCGTGAGTAACAAAACTGATAGTTGTCATATCTTGATTTTTAAAACCTGAAACCAGCACAAAGGAATAGGTGTTAGAAGAGCAGCTGAAGAAACAGCCCTGTTTTTAGCATTTCCATATGTAATAGTCACAATAAATGAAATATTTGACAAGAGGATGCGGTTTTATTGTCAGAAGTCACAGCTAAAGCATGTAGAGGACTAAATAAGCAGAGACTCCTTTTGTCCACAGGGGGCATCAAATTTGTCACTAATCAAAAGTTCCTTACTGGAGCTTTAAATAAATTGATATTGGAACATGTAACACATTTGTTTGCTCACAGTAAGTTTGAAGCACAGTAAAACCATAGAGGATAATGCAAAGACATACAAAAAGCTTATATAGATATGGTTTATTGATACTCACACTTGCATTTCACCACTGCCAAAAATGTTTTTATTCAAAATGTGAATGACAAACATCTTAATATTGGATTCTGTGGTGCAATGGAGAGGACCCCAAGCAGAGCATCTCAACAATAAGTGGCCATGAAAACAGCATCAGTGTTCAAATTTGTGGCTTTTGCCTTATTTACTGTTAAAGGTGCATTAGCAGAGAAAGCTCTGCAAAGTTAAACTCTTTCACTTCCAGCTAAATTCACAAAAATGAACAAAAAGAATAAAGTGTTTCTGTTCTGCTCTTTTGAAAAACTCAGAAGGGCCAAGTCCAGGGCAGATTTAAGATGCTTCCATATGATTTAATAACTCTTAAACTGTTGAAGCAACACAGACAGCAGGTGCATGTGCGTTGTCAAATACCATTCTGTTTTATCTTATGGACATGTCTACTTCACAAGTCAATCAGATCCATTTTGTGACTTCAAAGCCGGCTTCCAGGAAGAGGCTGCAGACCGTGGATGAACATTCACTTTCACTTTTCATCCGTCAAGGGTGCACGCCACCGCTGAGAGGAGGTTACCGCGGGCTCACTTTGAAGTCGGGCCTCAGAGCAGACAATGTTTACATTCTTCTAACACATCCCTAACCCCCCCTCTGAAGAAGATTAGAGATATCCCCCCATTAAACTCTTTTAATTCTGATCAAACTAAAAATATTCAAACTATTGATTTTATGATCACTTGTTTTAAAAGAAGGCTGAAAAAATACTGCGCAAAGCATAAATAAATCTACTTCTTTGGATGTAAAGTCTTAACTGCAGCTTCAAGATTCACCACAAGATGGTGCTGCTGCATTCAGTCATCATCTCCAAAAAGACAACTTCATTTCTTCAATTTCCTCTTTGAAAACTGCAACTTCAGCCCCCGCACACTCTGGAGAGGAATATGTGAGAGAGTTCGTCAACATGTGCAAAGGCGTGAGTGTGTCATCAAATGTGTGTTTCTGTTTGACATTACTGGTAAATGATGACTCAAACAGGACTGACCCCTGCTCTTGTGAAACTTCAGGGGTACCCTGTGCAGAGATCATAATGTCAGAGAGAAGCACTGCACACTTTCATTTTTGTTGCATACTGCTCAAAGTTTGCACCCCGTCCTCTGCACATACAACACTGATTGTGCACACTTCTCTGTGACTGCACACACAACACAGACACACACCAAAGTCTGTCACCTGGGCTCATCTTTGATAAAATGTACAAAGCTTTCAAGCTCGTGCTTGAAGTTTTAACCAACCTTTGATGTTCTTTATCTGAAAATGATCATTTATCTGAAATTTTCATCATTTGTTACAGACATTTGATTAAAAAGAAAAAACTACTGAGTCATTTTGATAGTGACTCACTGTCCCATGAGGCCTTTACACACATACGCCCTCTGATATAGCTCGCTCTGTCTTCGGTTTCCCCCTCCCCGGCCCTAGTTCTGCACACGCACTGCTCTGAAAACAACATTTCCGTGATGCAAGATTCGAGAAGTCTGCTGTTTTCGGTCTTCTTCGTGTATTGTAAATAATATCAGGTGACTCAGAATGAGGAAGTAAACCAGGAGGAACTTTAAAGAATTTCCCGCTGTGTCACTGTGATTTCTCAAAGCTCAAAAGAAAACTGGAGCAGCAGACAACTTAATGAAGTAATGATAGAAACGTCTATACTTTCATTCTAACACAGCTGGCAATAATGCACACTAAGCTAAATACAAAAGTGACATAAAAATGTAGTTGAAGTGGCTTTAGAGGGGGAAAAAAATGCTTTAGAGGCGAATTTTGCACATTATCCAATTTCTGATTCATACAAATTTATAAGAAGGGAAAAGTTAAGATTTTAGATGTAGTTAGATTAAAGTGTCCCTTGCTAATAAAGCTCAAATTTCAACTCATTCAAAGATCATTTAAAGAAATTTTCAGTTTGTCTATTTTGGCGCCCCTGTGGAAAAAGCTGTTTTTATTTGTCTTGTCCTCTACATGCTTTAGCAGACATTTTTGATTATAAAAATCTCCGCCTTTTGACAGTAAATGTGTCATTCATTGTAAATGTTTGTGTGGGAATTGTAAAAATACTTCTGTTTCTCAAGCTGCTCGTCTGACACCGACCCCCTCACACCACTACTAGGCATTAAAAATCAGGGTAAAAAAATCTTTTTTTCTAAAGTATTTAAACTTATATCCCTTTAAATATCAATTTAAATATTATCTGCTCAGGAAAAAGTACATATTTATACGGAAGATGTACTAAAATTTTAAATGAAGACAACCAAATCTGAAGTTTATGCCTCTCTTTGACCCCCAAAATAAGTACGACAGGTAAACAAAAGCATCAGAAGAAGCAGGTTCATTTACATCAGGAATCAGCAATGGGAACACAAAGGTGAGCTGATTTTCTGCAAGCTCTAAACCTTAACTCAAAACCAAAATAAGCACCTCTATTTTTTTTATTGCTCCATCACTGCTTCAGTCTAAATATAAATGTTACTGCTCATAGCCTTTTTTTAGATGACTATAATCAAAGCAAGGTTGTTTGGCTGCTGTGTTCCTCTGTGTCAGTCTAAAGTCCAGCTTTGATTGGCCGGCTGTGACCTGCACATGGACCGCTTAACCTTCTTGAGGAACAGAGGAGATTTCCAGTCTGTGGCACTGTCATTTTGGGGGTCACAGGTCAAGTTAAGAGGCTCCCGGTCTCGTAAAATATTGATAAATGCCAACAGATTACAGTAAACACTCATTTCCCCAAGAAGAAATTACATCACATTGTGGTCAAAAGCCCACAGCTATTCCTGAATTATCCTGGATATCCACTTAGTTGTAAAAATTCATGCATTTGAAGAGCTGCAATTCACAACAATCTACAAAGTCTTGCTAAATTGTTGAGAATAAAAACACCTGCAGTATAAATTAATGAACAAACTTGTGTGTAAAAAAAATGAGTATGTAGTTGGGTAATTCATAAACTTCAGCATCTTGTCACTAATGAACTTCCTGCCCAACAGGAAGGTGCTTTAAGAGAAGTGAAGATGATAAAGGCTTCTGGTCCTCTCTTTCTCAATATCTGCAGGAGCAGCTTTTGTTCACAGCACAGAGCCTAATTCACACTGCAGGACAATACTACTCGCTTTTTATTGTATAAACCAAGAAATGGAGTTCTCATTACCTGCAGGTGGAGGGATGTGGAGGACTGGTCCTGTTGGTGTGAATGTATCTATCTGAGTTTTCTACTTCAAAGTCCTGCTGAAATAATCCAGATTGTCTTGCTTAATGGTGTTCAATCATTCCTGGAAGCCTGAACAACAAAATTGCCCCAGATATAAACCAAGTTGTGTTTCCTCTTTTTTGGTCACCCAGGAGTGGGGTGCAAAGGGAAGTGTTTACGTAAACCATCCCAGAAATATCACTGATTCTGTCAAGTCATTATGTTACATCACCACTTATACCAATAAATGACCGATTTAGAGTTAAATACCCCAAAAGTGACCGTAAAGAAAACTTTATAGTGTGGTGTTATTGAAATAATGTTGTTCTGAGGTTAAACTGGAAATTCTCAGCCAAGCTGTGGTACTTACCAGGTAAATTACAGCAGACTCTTCAGCTGATCACACAGCACGCACACTCTGGTATTGTTGTCAAGGTCGGCACTAAAAATAAAGGCTTGACTTTCAAGTGTAGACTGAATGCTGCTAATTTCAGATTCTTGAGACAGTTTGTCCATAACTGATCAGCACTTCTGGACTCCGAAGAACAAAACACACAAGTGTTTTTGGTCAGCTTTATGAAACGGCAGGAAAAGAGCTCCCATATTGTATTCACGGTCACACTGTAATCTGCATAATGACAACGATGAAGAAGCCATCAGGGAATAAAAAGCCTCCAAATTCCCCTTCAGATGCATGTTGATTGTGTTTATTCATGGCAGTTAGGTTGATGAGGGAGCATTATGGAGGAGGTTGGATGGACACTTGTTACGTGTTACCGTTAAAATAGCAGACATCTCTCGACGAAGAACAAACAGCGACGGCAGGCTGAAATCAAGGCGTCTGTGAAAGCTCTCAGGAATGCAAATTCAAAAGCACTTCATTACTTGCTTTTTCCCTGCAATCTTGTGTCTGAGAGACTGAACTAAGTGGTTAATCAAGCAAAAACCAAAGCGTGTCTGAGGGGCCAGAGAGGAGACACCTATACTGAGGCCAGGACTGTGTGTGAGAGTGGTCACAACATGTACATGAATGCATGTATCATAGTTCATGCTTTGATTCATACCGATTCAGGAAGCTGCAGATTCCCCCGTAGACAATCTGCACTCATGACATTATCAGCATTTCATGTAATTGTACTTAAAGAAATGTGACCCTAAAACTAACATTGTAAACATGATGTTGGACCTGAATCACGATCTTATATTACTGAAGAAGATTAAGTCATGAGGTTTATTACATTTCTGCAAGTAAGAGAGTAACAGAAATAGCAGGGGGAAAAAATGTTGGTTTATGAAAGAGCTCTTATGCAAAGTAATTGTGCTCATTTTAATGTCAAAGGCTCGTATGAGGATTTTTTTTACATCTATGAAATACACTTGAATTCATATTGATGTCTTTTTTATTATAAATGAAAGCAAACAAGACCACTAGTGATGACATTCAGTGCGTTTACATGCACAGCTTAATCGGACTAAGCTCATAATTCATTTTCTTCTCTCCTTGTCCGTGTATACATGCAGCTGAGAAAATCGAATTATTGACGTGATCGTGTCCTCCTCCTCCCCAAAACTAGGGGTCAATATGAGTCTTTTTAGCGATGCTGTTTCCGGACCTTTTTTAAAGATGTCTCTGTTCCTCATTTTGCGACCGTCCATATACTTTAAAATGTCCATTTCTGTCAGGACGGAAAGCATAATGGCACTCTCCTCGTCGTTCCAAAAGTGGACATTCTTTCGTGCTTCAGTTGTAGTTGCTTCTGAGTTGAAAGTTCTTTAAATGATAGTTCCACTTCTTCTTCGTGGTTTTGTTCCAGGGTTACAGAGGCGTGGCGCACACGAATATGCATTGTCCAGTCAAACTCCGACTACACTGGTTACATGGTAGAGAAAATCAAATTCCAATCGCATTATCTGGGTGTCTTAATCGGAGTTCTCCGACTCCAACCGGAGTTCTCAAACCCTGATTATAGTCAGACTAAGGTGTTTACATGCACTTCAGTTGTCCGGTCTTAATCGGAACAAGGCAATAATTTTCTCGAATGTCATGTAAACTGACTGAGAGTTTGTATGTTACATTTTTGATGCCTTAAACAAGTATAAGGTGGTAGGTGTCACCGAAGCATTTAAACAAACAGCCCTTTAAACAAAAAATATTCACATTAAATGGTTGGCAGAGTCAGAAGGAATAGATTTATTTCAGAAAAATCATACTGGAGCGCATAAAGGACGAGATGAGCGAACACTGCTTTGGCCACAGGGGGCACCAAACTTGACCCAAACCAAAAGTTCCTCTCAGGAGCTTTAAAGTTGAGAGTAATAGTTATCAGATATTTCTTAGCCTGTTGTTGCAAGGCTAAGTGTTGCCAAGAACCTGAGAATAGCTATTGTCTATCCTTGCTAACCTTGCAACTTACACACTGTGTTTAATCATCAGTGCTTCATCTTGAATTAGATAATTAAATTAATACCAGCTTTTTTTCTTATCACCCTGTTGTGTTGAATATTAGTTCTGATTGGTCAAAACTCATTGACAGTCGTGCAATCATGTCAAAGTTCTGTTTTGCATCAACACCAGCTAACCAAACATTACCCTTTACAAAATAAAGGTTTAGCTCATAACTGCTCATAATCTTCAGGACCAATAAAAAGTGAAGAAATCCCTGAATCAAGACAGTTCATCCTCAGGGGAGCACGAGTGTCCGGGCTTAAAGCTCCTGTGAGGAACTTTTGGTTTGTGTCAGTTTTGGCGCCCCCATGTGGACAGACCAGTCTTTGCTTATTTTGTCCTTTACATGTTTTTTGACAGGAAACTCATCCTGCTGACTTTTAACAATCTCGGATATCTTTTTTTTTTTTTTTCATATATTCAGTGTTTAAAATGTAAAAACATGAGCCTTTCTTCAGCAGCTTCGGTTCCAGACATTAAAAATGACTATAAAAACGGTCAATCATGCCACTTGTTTGATTTTGTTTATCAATTTTGGAGCATAACTTGGTAAACTCCATCACTCTTACTTTTACGAGTTATTTTCAAGAGTTATGCAGCTGGGATGACAAAGATGAGGCACTGTTTGTGGATTTTGCTGTTTCAAAATCATAAAAGCTCACACTGTGTCTTCAGTTATTTGCTGCTTTTGTCGGGATACTCACTCTTTCATCACATCAACAACTGACAAACCCAAACCCAAACCCAAAATGTTAAAAACATTAAGGGAAGCCCAGAAAATAGCAACACACCACCGAGTATGCTGAGCTGCATGAAGTTAGTAAAGAGCCTCTTTCATACATTCCCTCACATTAAGTGGATAAATTGCCTGAACTATTCTGGTCCGAGCAGCTCCTCTAACTGAGGCCTTAACACGATTTTAATGCTATGTGACCATCAACACGGCCACACCAATGCCACTGAAGTCCTCTGTTGTCTGAAGTTTAATGCGTTTCATGTCAGAGCGAGCCCGCACTCTGCATATGCACGCCTCCTCACACAATATGCCGCCCATAGAAGTAGGGCGGTAATTGTTATATTGCATCAACTGATTTAACGCTTTACGGACATAAGATTTATTATCACACAAACAGAAAATTGCCATGAAATTATTGACACAAGCTTATGACAGTCTTTCTTACGATTAGGACTGCAGTTTCAAAACCAAAGCAAAGTTAGTAACATTAAGAGAATCATGGAAAAATTTGCTAATATTATAAAAAAAAGAATTACTGTTGTCGTTTTTGCTAAACTCTTTGAATCACAAAACTTCACCAGCAAACTAAATCTCAAATATCTACAACTTACTCTCATAAAAAGCCAAAAAAGAGGAATATTTCAAGTATTTGTGTTGCAGTCATTCAGTTTCCAGTCATATCTGCTCAAACAACTTTTGAGGATTAAGTGTCATATCAGAGGTGACCGTCTACCTAATCCATATGTTAAGGGGATTATTTTAAATTTCAAAGAGTAATTTTCTACGCTGTCTGCAGGCCTTAAATCAGCCACAATAATCTCCAGTGTATCCAGTGACATGTAATGCACTTGACAAATGACCGTGATTGACTCATGACGTAGGGATTTCTCTCCCTGATCTTGTTGTTGTCCGATAGCCGGAATGTGCGGAATGCGAGTGTGCGAGTGAACTCGGCAGGAGCTGACACTCAACATTAGATTTATGGGGGGAGATTATGACCCAGGGCGCTCCAGCAGAAACAGAGAAGAAGACGGCGGAGAGAAGCCAAGTCCACGGGGAGAGAGAGCAGAGGTGGGGCTTAGTCTGTGAAATCGAATGAGGTGTTTGATCTCTCCAGGACGGTCAGGTGTTACAGGTGGAGTGTCTGATCTGATGTGGAGGCTGTGAAAGAACAGACACACCAGCTGCTCTGAACAATCATGATGGCGACTAATAATATAACTGAAACGATATCTCTGCTACTATTATTAGCATTGCTAATCAACGTCTCTATTACCTGTGGTTTATTTTATTACTGTTTGTCTGTCTGTGTTATTCTTGTCACAGCAGATGACTGTCCACCAATTAATCTTGTTCTGCTCCATGTTTCCTTGTAGAATAAGATTTTTCTTGCCATAAGCTTTAACAGTAAAGTGATTTTAGCTGGTTGCGAAACAGGCTGAAACTGATAGTGATACATCTTTACAACCTTAGAAAGGAAATAAGACCATAAGCAACAATACAGTCACAATGAGTAATTCATTTCACTGTAAATTAAACAAAAAGGTGACAGTTTTGTCTGAAAACAGCACTTTCATGCACACAGAGATTAATAGGTACCACTAGGGAGCAACACAATCAACACAAACCAAAAGTTCCTTATAGCAGCTTTAAATTAAGGGTTTCACACCAGCATTAATAAAGCTTTACCAACATATCTGTATCTGACAGCACTCTTTGTCTCTGTATTTAAAATAGATGGTCAAGTTTTGACAAACCTACCAACTGAAGGTAGGAAAAATTCAGTTAAGCACAGTATATATTAAACACGTGGAGACAGGGTCTGCATGTTAAGACTGTTGAGTTGATTTCCTGAGAGGGGCTAATGTTATTAAAGCTCTAAACACTTTGGGTGGGTCCTTTCTGCACAGTAAGATCCACATGCCTCAGCTGCTTATGCATCGCTGCAGTAGAACGGTTATTTTCCAGTTTCATCGGACAGAGCCAACACACATACAACCAAATGTCTTGTTTCTACATCAAAATACAGCCAAATACAACACCTCCCAATCTATCATCTGTGATTGTTTACATCTGGGTAGTACAGTGTTATAGCATAGTGGCAGTAGCCATAATAAGCCGGTAATTCTGGTGCTGACATGTAAAGTCAGCAACTTCACTTTTGGTCTTTTTGCCTTTATTTGGAGATGACGTGATGGTGGACAGAGCAGGAAACAGAGAGACAGACATGTAGTAAAGGAGCCACAGGCTGGAGGCAAATCTGAGTCAGTTCCTCGAGGCCTGACCTCAGAATATGGGGTGTACATCTAAAGGACAGCTTCCTCTATATGTTCAATAATGCTGACAAGAAGTAACATGTTTGTTTGTCCCACTTTGGTTTATCACAACAAGGTTCAGCAGAAGGGTGTCCATTATGACTCTGGTTTTGCCTGAGGTTTCTGCCTGTTCATAGAAGGTTTGTGGTTGCAGCTAACTGTCTTATCTTGACCTGTTCTAGTGGTGAAGCGTCCTGAGATTATTTGTGTTGCAATTCAATGTGATGAAAAGAAATTGGAGACAGCTGGTTGAGATGGTTTTGTATTTTATTTGTACAAACATCCTTTCTCTATTAGTCCCACAAGTGAGCAGAAATGTCTCGCTGTTCTCTTCAAAGTCTCGGACAATCACTCTTAACTCTCTCCAAAATCTTCAGTCTTTGTCTAAAAGTTTCTATGAGAGGCCTTTGGTTTTACTCCGGGCCTCTGGTGTATCTTCAAATGCCGGGTCATTTCTCTTTTTCCTTCATTCTAATAGATGCACCCCGAGCAGGATGAAGGTTTCCATCTGCCCGCAGACACCAAATAAGAGCCTCTGAAATGAAAACTTTCCCCCCTCTTTTAGATGACAATTGTATGTACCTGTCTCCGTCTGGTTTACCTGTGGTTCTTTGATCATGACAGCATGCAAAGGTGTTTGATTCTTGGTCTACTTTGACAGTTTTCTGGCTGGCAAAAGGCCCTTCAGTGTCTGAAGTTAGATCAGAGTAGACAGGGCCTGAAAAGCAGGCATCCAGCTGGGAGAAGATCAGAAGAGACACAAACTTTAGCGAGAACCATTGTGAGGTACACAGTGGCTGCCGACTCCCATAACTTTTCCCTTTGTGTGTTTTTTTTTTTTATATTGCTCCACTCTCTGTCTCTTATCTGCTGCTCAGAGTGTTGAATGGCTCAGTTAAAGGTCTGTGAGGTTTTATCTGATTCTGACAAAGAAAAAGACACCTTGTATTTGTTCCTCTTTCAGCCTTCCTTTGGGGTTTGGAGTACGTGTGTGCGCACATTCACAGTGGTGCACATCTTTTACAGCATAATCACAATTTCATGTGGTTAAAGCAACAGAAAATTCTTTCTTTCTGTCTTTCTTCTTTATTTATCTCAAACTTTAAGAACAACAACAAAGAAAACCCAACTAGAAACAAAATAATACATAGGTACACCAAACAACTGCACATGTCAAAGATAAATGTATGTCAAAATAATCAGTTCAAGAAGGAACAGAATGAAGCAAAGAGCTTATCTAATCCTGCCCTTTCCTTGCACATTAGAGATTTTTTTTTTTTTTAAATCTATTTGCATAAATTACAAAGATCTGTATAAATAACACATGCTTGGCGATTTATATACCTGGAGGAAACCTTGAGACCATTTCATCCATGGATTAAGTCAAATGAAAGATTGGATGTATGTCTTAAATGAAATCAAAAGCACTGATCAATCATTTTAGTCACTATCATTGATGTATATACAAGTTAATGTATAAAATTATGGGATTCTTATAGTGTGGAGCTCGAGATCCCATGCTTGCTAAGTATAGTAATGGTGCCCTCTAGTGGTTAATTTGCAGAACTGACAAAACTTCATCAGAAAAAAATGTAAGGTAGGTCATGTGTGCCAAATGACTCCTCTTGAACTTTCAGCATAATTCAATTATATTTTTATTCTTTGTTAATCATTTTAAAGCAGTTTGTAAACAACATATTATATTTAACAGGGTGGTTAGTAAATTACCTCACAGGTGTTCACAGTTACATAGATAATCCCTTTACTGGGTCTGCTTTTGGTCATTAAACGTCCAAATAGTGCAGCTGAACATGTTCAGAGAAGGTAAAGCCAAATAAATTTAAATTGATAAGGGTGTGTGGCCTCATCTCACCCGAATGAAGTAAATGCGTCACTAATCGATCGACGACCCCTCAGCTTTGTGTGCGTTGCGTTTGCTGCCCCTTCCCCGCTCGACCGTGACAGCCGCTCGTCCTCCGAAGAAATGGCAACGACAGTGAAGCTCAACACCGGCGCACAGTGTCCTATTTTGGGACTGGGGACCTGGAGGGTAAGTTTTGCTTGACTGTGTGGTCTGTTTCGAGTTTATGCTTAACTTGTTATGTAAGCTAAAGTTAGCTGCGTACTCCAGCAGAGGCCTTGCTTGGAGACTGTTACTTAAACGAAATGCTGTTTAGTGACTTAACTCGGCGTGTTTGACTCTAAACCAACACAAACTCACACAGAATTGCACAAATATAACACAAGTTGAGACAGTTTTCAGCTTATGCTTTCATTAGGGAGGTTTTTGGAACTACAGCTGTTGCAACTACAGGGCTCTCAAGTCTCAAGCATTCAGCGTGTGACACACGCATTCTCACACGCCACACATGGTATTTCTCACGCATTTAAATGACCATGGTGATGTCCCCCAAGTTGCACCTCTTTAACTATGGAACAGATAAGAATCAAGTGAGTTCCTCCGAGAGTTCAGAAGCTGCGTGCCACGCACAAGCCAATCAAATAAAGTATATCTACTGTACAGCCAATCAAAAAGCAGCATTGCTGTATCCGGGTAGATTTTGATTTGATTTCGACAGACACTCCCCGAAATAGAGCAGGTTTTTATAAGGACGAGATAGACCTGATGATTACAGTAAGTCAGTAACCTACACATGCAGAGGCCTCAACACCTCATGGCATATAAACTCAAATGATAAACTAACGCCCTATGCTATTGCTATTAACAGCTGTATTGATGAATTTAGCCTCTGTACAGCCATTTCCAGCCATTTCCCCCTCCACAAAGGAGCATTTCTCATATATTCTTTTTAAAGTTCTGATACTCATGACAGTGTAATGCTGATGTATCAAAGGATTAAGTATCTCCATGTTTGTGAAACCTATACTAAAGTACAATTCATCTAAATGCTCCACAGTGCTGATTTTAACAACTCTCCTCCACAACAGGTAACTTTACGACTTTATTCTTATATATTAATGACTTTATTCTCCTAAATGATAACTTTATTCTCGAAGATTTAAAAACGTTTTTTTCTTAATGTGGCCCTCATACTCCGTTGTATTTAAGAGATTATTATACGTATAATTATCTTCAATCACTCAGAACTCTTAAATGTTTTTTCATGCTCAGGATAGTTCAGTTGGCAATAAATAATCATAACCCATCATCACTGTGTGTTAGTCAACCCCAGGCGCAGTCATAGAGGCGGTGAAAGCGGCCATCTCGGCAGGTTACAGGCACATCGATGGAGCATTTATCTACCAGAATGAGACAGAGGTGGGAGAGGGTGTCCGAGCCATGATCAAAGAAGGTGTGGTCAAAAGAGAGGATCTTTTCATGGTTAGCAAGGTGAGTTTAAGGTAAAACATGCACACATGATTGTTTCTGTGACTGAATGGTGCTTGAATACAAGATTCTTGGGTATGATGCCCAGTGTGTAAATCTCTCTACCTTTCCTTTAGTTGTGGTGCACCTTCCATGGGAAGTCCCTGGTGAGGCAAGCCTGTGAGAAGACTCTCAGTGATCTTAAACTGGACTACCTAGATCTCTATCTTGTCCACTGGCCCATGGGTTTCAAGGTTGGTGCACTATTGTTTTGTCAACAAAATGTAAAATCGTATAAGGGTGCAGTCTGTTTGTGGATCCATAGAATTAGCTGTGTATGACTTTCATCCAGGAGTTGGACATCAGATCAGCTTAGATGAAGCTTGATGGCTTTTTTTTGTCATGTTCAAGGCTGGCAATGAAATTTTTCCACCGGTTGATGCTGGAGAAATAATCAGCGATGGTACTTCCTTCCTGGAGACCTGGGAGGTGAGTCAAATTTAGGCATTTAGGAATAAGATTTAAACTTGTAGTAAACATTGAAGTTTCTAGGGACCAAGGGAAGGCATGTGGACAAAGGAGAAATCTGAAGGACTCCCCAATGGACACATCTTTCAGGCTCATCTCAGCCTTGTCTGAATGGATCAACAGCAGCCAAATGTCTCCTTGAGAGTTGTTTGTCCTATGACAGCTTTCAAAACAAGGACCGTTTTAAGCTTTAATATCTTATTTTCAGACTTTAACTGTCAGATGAAAAGGAAGAAGTACTTAAAGTTGGAGGTTGGGTGTGCTAACCGTGTTTTTTTCCTTTTTGTTTTATTGATGATATTTCTCAGGGAATGGAGGAGCTTGTGGATGCAGGTTTGGTCAAAGCAATCGGAGTCTCCAACTTCAACAAGGCACAGCTGGAAGCCATTCTCAACAAGCCCGGCCTCAAATACAAACCTGCTAATAACCAGGTACGCAAGGTGATCCACTTTTACAACACACTTTTCAGTACCTGTTATTTGGACTCTCAGAATATCAGGCCCACAGACTTTTAATCCACCCAAGTTAAAATAGAACCACACTTGTTATCTATGAACAATAGGGACCACATGTAAACTTACATACGCTGCTTTTATGATTGTGTATGTTAGAAAACGGACACACTTGTGGTTCCTAAAGGGCAAAAAGCCATAATGGCATTATCTGTCTCATCCAATCAGGTCTGAGGAGTAAATGTCTTGTTTCATCTAAATAAACCACATGAGTGTCCCCTCAGGCCAGACCATTAAGAGGAGGTGACCTTCTTTTTTGTGTTTTTCCAGAACAATTGTTCCCCATCAATGTCTTATTTAGCTTGTTCCCTGGGTATATCTCATTACAGCACCATTATCCATCTGTTCACTGTCACTATTCTTACCAAATACAGAACTGAAGACTCTTATAGAAAAGAAACCCCCCTTTATAAGATAATGTTAAAGACGTACGGTCTGTTTTTTTAGGCTTATGTCATATAAAAGCCACAAATATGATTTCTATGGTTTTTAACTTTTCAAAGTTGACTCATAAGACTTCATTTTTGAAAATGTTTGAAGGTTTGTGTTCATGCCCCATCTGCAGTGACGTAAGAAATGTCTATTAGCTGACAGAGAGCGTCTCAGATGTGATTAAGGGTTGAGGTGTGAGAGCATATTAATAGGAGCTGTGTTTGAGTATGTTTCAGCTGCAACGACGTCACCAAAGCACTTGGGTTATTACTTCCTGATTAAAAATGGTGCATAATCAGGATGTTATATATTTCCATAAATGATGATCCAATCATACAAAACTTAGAGCAGAAGAGAAGCTCACTCGCATCTCTTTGACAAATGCATGCAGGCTGACATTGAGTTACTATGGTAACAGGGACATGCTGTGTCTGTCACTCTGACACTGTTAACACTACGTTTGCATCAGAAATGGTAGAATTCAAATAAACAAAGTTCTGAGATTGGGCAGTAATTCAGGTTTTTGGATACAAAACTACACCTACTGTGGTGTCAAGATATATTTATATAGACATATTAGATATGTAAACAAATAGGGCTATATAAATTAAACTGTGCTGTAATTGTGCATTAAAAATACTTGGAAAATCCTCTGAGGGCCCATAGTGGCATCAGTAATCTTCCATTTATTTAACCAACAGTCCAAAACTCAAATGATCCTCATGTTACTTTTAAAAGGGCAAATAAAAAATTGATATTTCTCACTTTAGTAGCACTGTTTTTTTTTAATGATGTGCTGATTCTGGTGATCCTACTTGGTGAAATTGGTTGTGTTTTCTGGAAAACTGCAATTTCCATGAGCTCATACACACTGTGCACACCTTTTTTATCCTGAAAAGGCTGTTAGGAATTCAGAGCACAGGCTGAAACATGAAACTCTGTTACTGAACAAAACCCTGTTTGTGGACTCCAGCCATTTTTTACTTCCTTTTTTATTATTATTTTTCTGCACTGCAGCTCAGTTGTGTGTTTGTCCCATCAGGTTGAGTGCCACCCATACCTGACCCAGGATAAGCTGATTGACTTCTGCCACTCTCAGGGCATCTCAGTGACAGCTTACAGTCCTCTGGGCTCCCCGGACAGACCCTGGTGAGCTTTTTCCTCACATGACACGTTTTTAAAGAAGCTGTTTCACAATGTTGCAGCAAAGTGGGTCATATTTGGTTAAATGTTGACTCAGCATTCTTCTGCATGATTTTTACATGTACTCTTGTGGTTAGTTTCTTCTTGTGACTGCTGTTCCTCTTTCTCAAAGTGTTGTATCCATGTACGGTAGAATTTGTCATGATGGACATGGAGTAATCAGCTGCTTTGATATTGATTTTTCAGTTATGGTCTTTTAAAGTGCTGTCACTGTTCTGATGTTCATGTCAGCTCTGTAACCCGCCTTGACGCTCTCTTTTTCATGTTATCTTGCAGGGCCAAACCTGAAGACCCCTCACTCCTGGAGGATCCAAACATTAAAGCCATTGCTGATAAACACAAGAAGACACCTGCGCAGGTACAGACTCTGATCAAATAAAGACGGCTTGTTTCTCTTTTCTCATCCACTCTCAGTTGTAGCATCGTAGGCATCCACAAGAGATAATAATGTGGATGGTTTAAATACCAGTGGCTGGAGTTACACCTGAAGTCATGACCCCTGAGCGAGCTCACATGTTATTCTGCTCCCTTGCCAGGTCCTGATCCGCTTCCACATCCAAAGGAACGTGATCGTGATCCCCAAGTCCTCCACACCTCACCACATTCAGGAGAACTTCCAGGTAATTAGCTGAGAAATTGTTCAGATATTTCCCCGGATTAGCTCTCAGCTCCTTCATTCACTTACACTGTTTTGCTCGTGCATGAAAACTATTCTCTTTTTTTTTAATCCATGCAGGTGTTTGACTTTGAACTGACTGAGGAGGAAATGAAGACCATATTAGGGTTCAACAGGAACTGGAGAGTGTGTCCCATGCAGTGGTGGGTTTGTTTGCTTTTGAGCCCTAATTTTTGTCGAGTTTGTCACTTTTTGATAACATTGTTATGCTCCTTCATTCATATTCTCCCGCAGGAGCACAAAGCACAAGGACTATCCATTCAACGACGAGTACTGAAGTGAAAAAAACGGCAGATTATCCACAGGCTTACGTTTGGTGCTGGGTTTTGCTTCTCTACCCTTTAGACTGCTCACGGTGCTCTTCTGAGCAGTTTGCAGTGACAGTGTGGCCTTTAAAGCTGACATTAATTCCATTTCATTTCATGTTTATTTTTTTAATTTCATTCATGATACATAATACGATACATTGCACTCATCCTTTTTTTTTTTTTTCATGTGTAATCAAGACAAGACAAGACAAGTCTTATATACGACTGCCCCTTCACAACAACACCTTTATCTATGGCAATCAGCCAGCAATTGATCAAAATATTATATAATTAAGGTCAAAAAAATACCACAAAGAAACAAACAAAAGAAAAAAAAACAACCAAAAAAAACAATTACAAAAAACAAACTTACACATCATCAGTCATCTACTTCATCCAGTTCATAATTTTTGATTTTCCCTCCTTTTAAACTTTTTCTTAAACTGAAACATTGTTGTACAACTCTTCAACTCATTACTTTGCGAATTCCATAACTTAATACCTGCAACAGAAACACACATCTGTTTTTGCGTCGTCCGAGCAAACTGGTGTTTAAAATCATATAGTCTCCTGTGGTTTTCACTCTCTGAACTAATCTCAAATAACCCTTGCAGCTGTTTTGGTAAAACTTTGTCTTTCGCTCTGAACACCACCAGAAGTGTTCTTAGCTCCATTAAGTGTGTTATTTTCAGTAAACCTGACAACATGAAAAGTCTATTGGTATGAGCTCTGTAATCTTCTTTATAAATAATTCTTAATGCTCTTTTTTGTAACTTAATCAGGGGAGTAATATTTGTCTTGTACGTATTGCCCCACACTTCCAAACAATAAGTAAAATACGGTAAGACCAGTGTACAATACAACATTCTCAAAGTGCTTGTATCCACATCATATTTTACTTTGTTCAGAATAAAAAGGCTCTTGGCCACTTTGGCTTTTACATGTGATATATGGTTTTTCCCTGTCAATTTGTCATCTAATATGATACCCAAAAACCTTAATTCATAAACTCTCTCAATGTTTATGTCATCTACAGTAAGTTGAATTTCATTCTTTTTTCGATGAGAGAAAATCATAAACTTCGTTTTTTCTACATTTAACGATAACTTGTTTCTATTAAACCACTTTTTAATTTCAACCATCTCATTTTTTATATTTTTTGCTATCTCATTTAAATTATCCCCTGAACAAAAAAAGTTAGTATCACCTGCGAATAACACAAAATGCATTAAATTAGACACTTGACAAATATCATCAATATATAAAATAAAAAGTTTGGGTCCCAAAACTGAGCCCTGTGGTACTCCACATTCCAGCTTCATACATTCTGATTTATAACCCTCTAACATAACATATTGCTGCCTGTTGTGAAGATAACTGATCAACCAGTCTAGTACTACACCTCTCACACCAAAACTATTCAATGTGCTTATTAATATTGTGTGATTGATTGTATCACAGGCTTTCTTTAAATCGATAAAAACCCCAATTGTGTGTTTATGATCATCTATTGCTTGTGTTATTTCTTCAGTTATTCTCATGAGTGCTAATGCTGTGGACTGTTTGGTTCGAAAACCATACTGACTCTCACTTAGCAGATTATTCTTTTCGATAAATGAATCCAATCTTTGTACATACAACTTTTCCAACACTTTTGAAAACTGGGGGAGTAACGACACCAGTCTATAATTTGTAAAATCATGTTTGTCTCCAGTTTTGAAAAGAGGAATAACCTCGGCAGTTTTCAAGCGATCTGGGAAAACGCATGTACTAAACAAAAGATTACAAATATACCTTAAGGGCTTGATAATACAGTCAATAGTTTTTTTCACAATACTCATATCTATCCCATCACTATCTGTTGATATTTTATTCTTTGATTTAACCACAATGGAAATGATTTCATCTTCACTCACTTCTTCTAAATACATGGACTGCATTATCTTACTTCCTCTCTCATATCCACCATCTTCTTGTCCATTTTCATGTGGAATGGCATTGGCCAAGCTTGGCCCCACATTTACAAAGAATGAATTAAATTCATTTACAACTTCATTCATATTTGTAATAACTTTCTTGCTGTCATTAATAAGGTGGGTGGGAAGCTCTGTAGAAACATGCACATTTCCTATCATTTGATTCAAGATTTTCCACGTACCTTTTAAATCATTTTTATTCTCATCAAGTCTCTTGTTGTAATATTCTTTCTTTGCTTGCCTCATTATAATTGTCAATTTATTTTTGTACGCCTTGTATTAAATTTCTGCAGCTCTTGTTCTAAATCTAATAAAATCTCTTTTTGTAGGTGTTTTGCAAGCCCTTTGTTATCCAAGGCTTTTTATTGTAATTACTCTTGTTTTTACATTACGTTATTGGGCAATGCCTATCATAATGAGATAAAAAACAATTCAGAAAAGACTCATATGCATCGTTCACACCATCTACGTAAACCCCTTCCCACTCTTCACTTAAAAGGTCCTTTCTTAATTTATTTATTGCTTCCTCTGTTCTTACCCTCCTATATCTTGGACATTTTTGATCTCTGTAATTCTTTATTTGGCTATCTTTGTATGTTACAAATATGGGTAAATGGTCACTTATATCGTTAAATATTAGTCCACTTTTAATGTCGTTCTCCAGTGTGTTAATAGAAATGTTGTCAATTAAAGTTGCACTGGTCGTGGTAATCCACTAGGCCTAGTGATTAATGGGTAAAAACCTCTGCTGTATTATGCATCCAAAAAATCTGATGTTGCTTTGTGTTTTAATATGTTAATTAGGTCAATATTGGTATCACCACAAATTATGCATGTTTTACTCTTATGCATGTTTTACGTCTCAACATTAGACCCAGGGGTTCTGTAAATACACATAACTACAATATTTCTCCTTCCTTCTATTTCTATTTCCACAGTGTTAAATCATCAATTGTAGTTGTCATGTGTTCTACCCTTCTGCACCCCAGGTTACTGTCAACATACAAGGCCACACCCCCACCCCTTTTGTTGACCCTATTGACATGATATAATTCATAACCCCCAAGATAAAAATCAGAACCTCTGTTTTCGTTCAACCATGTTTCAGACAACGCAATGACCTTAACTTTATTATTGAATGTGTCCAAATTTCATTATTAAGAGGATGTTAACCTGATTCTTGCTGGTGTTGCCTCACAGACTCCAAAAAGTAGTTTATACCCATGTATGAAGTGCTCATTCAACCCACATTGATGCAATTGCTGGAATAAGTTTTATTCTTGTAAAGTCGAGTGTCAGAAACTTCCTTTTAAGTTCTATTTGTTCAAATATTTTTGTGTTTGTGGCGTTTTCAACAGCTGAACTACCAAAAAAATGTGAAAATTACTCCACAGATAAAGTATTTTCAAAGGAAGTTAACATTTGGAGTTGCTCTTCTGCACAAAGTAGCCTATTTTATGTCTTACTTGTAGCTCAACATGTTTGTAGTATAGCATTAAGGACAAAACTGCCTAGAGTGAGTCCTTTTGGACAAACTCCAAGATAAATTCCTAATTTTTTTCAATATATATTTTCAGTAGTACACATGTGATATATGCTGCATCATACTTGTCTTGTGAAAACTAAAGGACTTCCTGTTGTTACTTTTAGGTCACATGTGGCCCTCTATGATCATGTGTGTTACCCTGTTACAGAATCGCTGCTTTCACTTCCAGTCAGGGCATTTTTCTTTCAATTATTAAATGAAGTCCTGCGGAAAAAAACTGTATCAATGTGTCTTAAATAGATGGAACTGTGATGAAACCACTCAGGCAACTGGAGGTTTGACCACTAGGGGGCAGAAAATAAAAAAACAGCTGTGAATGGACGGCTGGAGCCTTTAAGATAAGATGTTCCTTTAATAGTGCCACAGGGGTAAATTCCAAATTTACAGCAGCATAGTACAGACACAAAAAGAAAAATTAAAGGATAAAGAAACTTAAAGAAAAAAAGATATGTATATGAGTCATACTTACATGTGTACAGAATATACATAAGGTTATGATTTATTGCACACTGAGGTTGCTGAGGTTTCTGTTGTGGAGTCTGACCGCTGCAGGAAGGAATGACCTGCAATACCTCTTCTCCACGCACTTTGAGTGGAGCATCCTGTCCCTTAAAGGGATATTCCAGCGTAAAATTAAGCTAGGGTCAAACACACTGTAACACAAAGTTAGACACCCCGTTGAGAGATGGATGTTGCCGACCGCTTGCTTCTCTAGTTACAACAACTTTAGTAACAACCACAGGACAGCAATACAGAGAGCCACGCACTCAACCAAAACACCACTCTATAGCCACAAATAATGCTCAGAACAGCACCTAACTTCATCAGCAGTACATATAGGGTCCCAGCCACAGTACTAGCCACCAAACATCTTTTTGGCTTTGCCTGATTCCTTTAGCAAGGAGACTAAACACAACTCACCCACTCTCCACCAGCAGCCGCTTGTTTAGTAGTTCTTCTGCCTTAGCATCTCTGTCTGATTGCATTTCCATGATCATAAATGTTCTTTCTTGAGCTGCGTCCCCCCGCTGCAGTCAATAGACTCACCCGGATGTCTCTTTTCAAACAAGCGGCTGCTGGAGGAGAGAGGGTAAGTTGTGTGAAACAAGTAATCAGGCAAAGCTAAAAAGATGTTTGGTGGCAAGTACTATGGCTGGGACCCTATATGTACTGTTGATGAAGTTAGGTGCTGTTCTGAGCATTATTTGTGGCTATAGAGTGGCGTTTTGGTTGAGCGTGTGGCTCTCTGTATTGCTATCCTGCAGTTGTTACTAAAGTTGGTATTACTAGAGAAGCAAGCGGTCGGCAAAATTCATCTCTCAACAGGGTGTCTAACTCTGTTTTACAGTGTGTTTGACCCTAGCTTAATTTTACACCGGAATATCCCTTTAAGGAGCTCCTTTGTGCAGTGAGTGTGTGTTGGAGGGGGTAAGAGTCTCTATCCAGCATGGAGGACAACTTTGCTGTGATCCTCCTCTCCCCCACCTTCTCCACAAGTTCCAGAGGGCATCCCAGGACAGAGCTAGCCTTCTTTATAAGTTTGTCCAGCCTCTTCCTGTCAGCTGCTTCGATGCTGCTCCCCCAGCAGACCACGCCGTAGAAAACGGCAGAGGCCACCACAGAGTCATAGAAGGTCTTCAGGAGTGCCCCCTGTACTCCAAAAAACCTCAGCCTCCTGAGCAGATAGAGTCTGCTCTGTCCTTTTTTGTAAAGTGCGTTGGTGTTATGAGTCCAGTCCAGTTTGTTGTTCAGGTGAACACCCAGGTACTTGTAAGACGTCACCATCTCAATGTCCCTTCCCTGGATGTTCACTGGTGGTGGGAGGGAGTGGGGGCGCCTGAGGAAGTCCACAACCAACTCCTTTGTCTTTCCAGCGATAATTTAAAGTTGTGTACATAGCAAATATTCTCTGTATGTACTTGCAGAATAAGAGGCTAATACAGTTTCTGTGCGACTGTACTGATGTAAAACAGTAAACCAGGATTTTTCAGCTGGTTTTGAAACAGGATGAAATTAATTGTGGAGTGCCAAAAGGCAATAAGATGCACTTTTATATTTAAAAATAATTACTTTGTCCACAAGGGGGCAACAAACACACAAAACAAAACCAAAGGTCTCTGTAGAAGATTTTAATACAACTTTAGAGTTTAAAAGTTAATTTAGATAGATGTGTTTTCATCTTGGATGTGAGGTAAGTTTTGTTGAATTGGATCACATGATACTGTGGTAAGCATGGAGGCTATTTAATACGCTTTGTTTCAGAAAGAGAGACACATTGGCATTAGACAGGTTATTTATTGAATGCATAGACTGTATATACTGTATATATGTCAAATCACATTTAAATAAAGCCAAGCCTTGTCTTCAACTCCTCCAAAATGTAAAAACACAAACAAGGTAACTCCTGCTTAATTTTCCAACCATCAATTTTTTTATTCACCCAGCCTAAAAGTCCTGATTATCAGTTCTGGGTCCTTGGCAATGACTGTTGGGTACAAACTGCAAAGCTTTGTTCTGAAGGTAGGACTGGGCTTTTGATTGACCATGTGGGTTGAATAGTTCTGTGGGCAAAGTGTGTTGTGTCAGCCACTGTGTTTTCTGCAGTTGTGTCCAAAGAGCACCCTTCGATAGCTCAGTTGGTAGAGCGGAGGACTGTAGGATGTTCCTGATAGAAATTGCTGTGATCCTTAGGTCACTGGTTCAACTCCGGCTCGAAGGATGTTCTTTTCATCGGTGTGAGCAATGTTCTAGGTCTAATCACATTGAAATAATGCTTAGCCTTGTCTTTATCTATCAGCTCCGTCACTTAAAATGTACAAACACAAATAAGATAACTCCTTCTTGAGCGACAAAATCAATACAAACCAAAAGCTTCTTATGGCAGCTTTAAATTAAGGTTTTCACACTAGCATTAATAAAGCGTCGCCATCATATCTGTATACAACATCTCCTTCTGTCTTTGTCTTTAAAGTAGATGGTAAAGTTTTAAAAAACCTACCAACTGAAGGTAGGAAAAATTCTGTTAAGCACAGTATATATTAAACACGTGATGACAGGGTCTGCATGTTAAGACTGTTGAGTTGATTTCCTGAGAGGGGCTAATGTTATTAAAGCTCTAAACACTTTGGGTGGGTCCTTTCTGCACAGTAAGATCCACATGCCTCAGCTGCCAATGCATCGCTGCAGTAGAGCGGTTATTTTCCAGTTTCAGCTTCACTTTTGGTCTTTTTGCCTTTATTTGAAGATGACGTGATGGTGGACTGAGAAGGAAACAGAGAGACAGACATGTAGTAAAGGAGCCACAGGCTGGAGGCAAACCTGAGTCAGTTCCTCGAGGCCTGACCTCAGAATATGGGGTGTTTGTGTAGACCAGCAAACGTGCACATCTCTACGCAGGACAGCTTCCTCTATATGTTCAATAATGCTGACAAGAAGTAACAGGTTTGTTTGTCCCACTTTGGTTTATCACAACAAGGTTCAGCAGAAGGGTGTCCATTATGACTCTGGTTTTGCCTGAGGTTTCTGCCTGTTCATAGAAGGTTTGTGGTTGCAGCTAACTGTCTTATCTTGATCTGTTCTAGTGGTGAAGCTTCCTGAGATTATTTGTGTTGCAATTCGATGTGATGAAAAGTAATTGGAGACAGCTGGTTGAGATGGTTTTGTATCTTATTTGTACAAACATCCTTTCTCTATTAGTCCCACAAGTGAGTAGAAATGTCTTGCTGTTCTCTTCAAAGTCTTGGACAACCACTCTTAACTCTCTCCAGAATCTTCAGTCTTTGTCTAAAAGTTTCTATGAGAGGCCTTTGGTTTTACTCCGGGCCTCTGGTGTATCTTCAAATGCCGGGTCATTTCTCTTTTTCCTTCATTCTAATAGATGCACCCCGAGCAGGATAAAGGTTTCCATCTGCCCGCAGACACCAAATAAGAGCCTCTGAAATGAAAACTTTCCCCCCTCTTTTAGATGACAATTGTATGTACCTGTCTCCGTCTGGTTTACCTGTGGTTCTTTGATCATGACAGCATGCAAAGGTGTTTGATTCTTGGTCTACTTTGACAGTTTTCTGGCTTGCAAAAGGCCCTTCAGTCAAACTTTAAGAACAACAACAAAGAAAACCCAACTAGAAACAAAATAATACATAGGTACACCAAACAACTGTACACGTCAAAGATAAATGTATGTCAAAATAAACAGTTCGAGAAGGAACAGAATGAAGCAAAGAGCTTATCTAGTCCTGCCCTTTCCTTACAAATTGGAGATTCAAAAAAAAAATCTATTTGCATAAATTGCAACGATCTGTATAAATACCTACATATTATACACAAAGATATCTGCTCAACACTGCATAGGTTACTTATTATAATTATTTGCATATTATAATAATAATAATCAGTGTTTAGGATAATAGAGGCTTATCTAAAGAGCATTATTCCTTCAGTTAAATAACACATGCTTGACAATTCACATACCTGAAGGAAACCTTGAGACCATTTCATCCATGGATTAAGTCATATGAAAGATTGGATCATTGATCATTGATGTATATACAAGTTAATGTATAAAATTATGGGATTCTTATAGTGTGGAGCCCCAGATCCCATGCTTGCTAAGTATAGTAATGGTGCCCTCTAGTGGTTAAATAAGCGACATGACAAAACTTCATCAGAAAAAATGTAAGGTAGGTCATGTGTGCCAAATGACTCCTCTTGAACTCAGATTTTTTTTTTTTTTTAGCAAACTTCAATTATATTTTTTATTCTTTGTTAATCATTTTAAAGCAGTTCTTAAACAACATATTATATTTAACAGGGTGGTTAGTAAATTACCTCACAGGTGTTCACAACCAGATAGATAATCCCTTTACTGGGTCTGCTTTTGGTCGTTAAAATGTTCAGAGAAGGTAAAGCCAAATAAATTTAAATTGATAAGGGTGTGTGGCCTCATCTCACCCGAATGAAGTAAAAGGCATCACTAATCGATCGACGACCCCTCAGCTTTGTCTGCGTTGCGTTTGCTGCCCCTTCCCCGCTCGACCGTGACAGCCGCGCGTCCTCTGAAGAAATGGTAACGACAGTGAAGCTCAACACCGGCGCACAGTGCCCTATTTTGGGACTGGGGACCTGGAAGGTGAGTTTTGCTTGACTGTGTGGTCTGTTTCGAGTTAATGGTTAACTTGTTAGGTAAGCTAAAGTTAGCTGCGTACTCCAGCAGAGACCTTGCGTGCAGACTGTTACATAAACGAAACGCTGTTTGGTGACTTAACTCGGCGTGTTTGGCTTTATACCAACACAAACTCACACAGAATTGCACAAACATAACACAAGTTGAGACAGCTTTCAGTTTATACTTTCATAAGAGAGGTTTTTGGAACTACAGCTGTTGCAACTATACACGCGTTAGTTAATGTTAATATTAGCTCCTGCACAGTCCTCTCCTGCTAACACTAAAATAAGAGCCAGTTGTATTTTAGTTAAGATTTATTGAACCATGAAATGTTCTGCTGTCACACGACAACAACAACTGTGTGCATAATCTAACCTAACATCTGCTGTTGAGAAATATTGCTTTGGTGTCTTAATTTGTATCCATACGTTGGCAGAAAACATGACCCAAGTTATGAGTAGTGCAGCCATATTTTCTTCTTATTGAATTTGCTGTATAGCCTTCATGTTTACTACTCAACTCTGTAGACTCAAGCGGTGTGAGGAGTCAATGATAATTCACTTGTTTTCCTCAGATGTACTGAATATTGTTTCAAAATGAACATTATGTGCCTAAAGAATCCACGAGAACTACCTTTGTCAGGATTAGTATCCCAGAGCAGGTGCGTGCCCAAGCTTCTTCTAACTCGCGTGCCCCAGCTCCTGCATTGACTTCTGCACATCCCAAATGAACAGTATTAGTATTAACACCGAGTTAGACACCCCTCGAGAGATGAATGTTGCCAACCACTTGCTTCTCTAGTCATACCAACTTTAATAACAACTGCAGGTTAGCTATACACCAACGTCCGAGGAGCCATAGACACCCCTCGAGAGATAAATGTTGCCGACCGCTTGCTTTTCTAGTTCTGTGCTGTTCTGAGCATTATTTGTGGCTATGGAGTGGCTTTTTGGTTGAGGTTTGTTTATGGCTCCTCAGACCGCTGTGTATTTCTATCGTGCGGTCGTTACTAAAGTTGGTATAACTCAAGAAGCAAGAAGTAATTTAAGCTGCTGTTCCATTTGAGACAAGTAACCAAATGTGTAAATTGTTTCTTTTGCTCCTTATCACTGGTTGCACAGAGTTTATTTAGTGCTTCTTGTAGCCCCTCCTACACTTGTATGTGAGTATAATTTAAAAACATTGTACTTTTTCCTGTGTTTTGGCCTCTCTGTCATTTTAAATAAACTTTATATTCTCGCCATCAGCTGGTTTGATGAAACTGTGGTCTTTTTTAACTGTTAATGCGTTGCTGTGGTATAGGGGAATATTTTATTCGTAAAGCATGATTCAAGTTTCCGACTGAAAATTCTTAAATTGATGTTTCTCATGCTCAGGATAGTTCAGATGACAATAAATAATCATAACCCATCATCACTGTGTGTTAGTCAACCCCAGGCGCAGTCGCAGAGGCGGTGAAAGCGGCCATCTCGGCAGGTTACAGGCACATCGATGGAGCATTTATCTACCAGAATGAGACAGAGGTGGGAGAGGGTGTCCAAGCCATGATCAAAGAAGGTGTGGTCAAAAGAGAGGATCTTTTCTTGGTTAGCAAGGTGAGTTTAAGGTAAAACATGCACACATGATTGTTTCTGTGACTGAATGGTGCTTGAATACAAGATTCTTGGGTATGATGCCCAGTGTGTAAATCTCTCTACCTTTCCTTTAGTTGTGGTGCACCTTCCATGGGAAGTCCCTGGTGAGGCAAGCCTGTGAGAAGACTCTCAGTGATCTTAAACTGGACTACCTAGATCTCTATCTTGTCCACTGGCCCATGGGTTTCAAGGTTGGTGCACTATTGTTTTGTCAACAAAATGTAAAATCGTGTAAGGGTGCAGTCTGTTTGTGGATCCATAGAATTAGCTGTGTATGACTTTCATCCAGGAGTTGGACATCAGATCAGCTCAGATGAAGCTTGATGGCTTTTTTTTTTGTCATGTTAAAGGCTGGCAGTGAGATGTTTCCACTGGATGACGCTGGAGAGACAATCAGCGATGGTACTTCCTTCCTGGAGACCTGGGAGGTGAGTCAAATTTAGGCACTTAGGAATAAGATTTAAACTTGTAGTAAACATTGAAGTTTCTAGGGACCAAGGGAAGGTATGTGGACAAAGGAGAAATCTGAAGGACTCCCCGATGGACACATCTTTCAGGCTCATCTCAGCCTTGTCTGAGTGGATCAACAGCAGCCAAATGTCTCCTTGAGACTTGTTTGTCCTATGACAGCTTTCAAAACAAGGACTGTTTTAAGCTGTAATATCTTATTGTCAGACTTTAACTGTCAGATGAAAAGGAAGAAGTACTTAAAGTTGGAGGTTGGGTGTGCTAACTGTTTTTTTTTTTCCTTTTTGTTTTCTTAATGATATTTCTCAGGGAATGGAGGAGCTTGTGGATGCAGGTTTGGTCAAAGCAATTGGAGTCTCCAACTTCAACAAGGCACAGCTGGAAGCCATTCTCAACAAGCCCGGCCTCAAATACAAACCTGCTAATAACCAGGTACGCTGACTTATTAAATGTTTGCTTGTTTAAAAAGGTGTGCAAACTTCAGAGCATTGCAAACAAACTTGCAAGGTGATCCTCTTTTACAACACACTTTTCAGTACCTGTTATTTGGACTCTCAGAATATCAGACCCACAGACTTTTAATCCACCCAAGTTAAAATAGAACCACACTTGTTATCTATGAACTATAGGGGCCACATGTAAACTTACACAATCATAAAAGCAGCTTATGTATGTTAGAAAACAGACACACTTGTGGTTCCTAAAGGGCAAAAAGCCAAAATGGCATTATCTGTCTCATCCAATCAGGTCTGAGGAGTAAATGTCTTGTTTCATCTAAATAAACCACATGAGAGTCCCCTCAGGCCAGACCATTAAGAGGAGATGACCTCCTTTTTTGTGTTTTTCCAGAACAATTGTTCCCCATCAATGTCTTATTTAGCTTGTTCCCTGGGTATATCTCATTACAGCACCATTATCCATCTGTTGACTGTCACTATTCTTACCAAATACAGAACTGAAGACTCTTATAGAAAAGAAACCCCCCTTTATAAGATGATGTTAAAGAAGTACGGTCCGTTTTTTTAGGCTTATGTGATATAAAAGCCAAAAATATGATTTTTATTCCTCCAGAAGCTCAGGTTGTTCACTTTTCAAAGTTGACTCTTAAGACTTAATTTTTGAAAGTGTTAGTAGAAGGTATTCAATTTGAACTCATCTTGCTGGTTTTAAAGGACTGTAGTGAGCTGTCTTGAAGGTTTGTGTCCATACCCCGTTGTGCACTTACTCTGCAGTGACGTAAGGGTTGAGGTGTGAGAGCATATTAATAGGAGCTGTGTTTGAGTATGTTTCAGCTGCAACAACGTCACCAAAGCACTTGGGTTATTACTTCCTGATTAAAAATGGTGCATTATCAGGATGTTATATATTTCCATAAATGATGATCCAATCATACAAAACTTACAGCAGCAGAGAAGCTCACTCTCATCTCTTTGACAAATGCATGCAGGCTGACATTGAGTTACTATGGTAACAGGAACATGCTGTGTCTGTCACTCTGACACTGTTTACACTACGTTTGCATCAGAAATGGTAGAATTCAAGTAAACAAAGTTCTGAGATTGGGCAGTAATTCAGGTTTTTGGATACAAAACTACACCTACAGTGGAGTCAAGATATATTTATATAGACATATTAGATATGTAAACAAATAGGGCTATATAAATAAAACTGTGCTGTAATTGTGCATTAAAAATACTTTATTAAATCCTCTGAGGGCCCGAAGTGGCATCGACAGTCTTCCACTTGTTTAACCAACAGTCCAAAACTGAAATGATCCTCATGTTACTTTTAAAAGGGCAAATAAAACATCATGATGTGCTGATTCTGATGATCCCACTGGGTGAAGTTGGTTGTGTTTTCTGGAAAACTGCAATTTCCATGAGCAAATACACACACTGCACACCTTTTCTATTTTTCTGCACTGCAGCTCAGTTGTGTGTTTGTCCCATCAGTTTGAGTGCCACCCATACCTGACCCAGGATAAGCTGATCGACTTCTGCCACTCTCAGGGCATCTCAGTGACAGCTTACAGTCCTCTGGGCTCCCCGGACAGACCCTGGTGAGCTTCTTCCTCACATGACACGTTTTTAAAGAAGCTGTTTCACAATATTGCAGCAAAGTGGGTCACATTTGGTTGAATGTTGACTCAGCATTCCTCTGCGTGATTTTATGTTGTACTCTTGTGGTTAGTTTCTTCTTGTGACTGCTGTTCCTCTTTCTCAAAGTGTTGTATCCATGTACGGTAGAATTTGTCATGATGGACATGGAGTAATCAGCTGCTTTGATATTGATTTTTCAGTTATGGTCTTTTAAAGTGCTGTCACTGTTCTGATGTTCATGTCAGCTCAGTAACCCGCCTTTACGCTCTCTTTTTCATGTTATCTTGCAGGGCTAAACCTGAAGACCCCTCACTCCTGGAGGATCCAAACATTAAAGCCATTGCTGATAAACACAAGAAGACACCTGCACAGGTACAGACTCTGATCAAATAAAGACAGCTTGTTTCTCTTTTCTCATCCACTCTCAATTTTAGCATCGTAGGCATCCACAAGAGATAATAATGTGGATGGTTTAAATACCAACAGCTGGAATTACACCTGAAGTCATGACCCCTGATCGAGCTCACATGTTATTCTGCTCCCTTGCCAGGTCCTGATCCGCTTCCACATCCAAAGGAACGTGATCGTGATCCCCAAGTCCATCACACCTCACCGCATCCAGGAGAACTTCCAGGTAATTAGCTGAGAAATTGTTCAGATATTTCCCCGGATTAGCTCTCAGCTCCTTCATTCACTTACACTGTTTTGCTCGTGCATGAAAACTATTTTCTTTTTTTTTAATCCGTGCAGGTGTTTGACTTTGAACTGACTGAGGAGGAAATGAAGACCATATTAGGGTTCAACAGGAACTGGAGAGTGTGTCCCATGCAGTGGTGGGTTTGTTTGCTTTTGAGCCCTAATTTTTGTCGAGTTTGTCACTTTTTGATAACATTGTTATGCTCCTTCATTCATTTTTCTCCTGCAGGAGCACAAAGCACAAGGACTATCCATTCAACGACGAGTACTGAAGTGAAAAAAACGGCAGATTTTCCACAGGCTTACGTTTGGTGCTGGGTTTTGCTTCTCTACCCTTTAGACTGCTCACGGTGCTCTTCTGAGCAGTTTGCAGTGACAGTGTGGCCTTTAAAGCTGACATTGATTTCATTATTAAGAGGATGTTAACCTGATTCTTGCTGGTGTTACCTCACAGACTCCAAAAAGTTGTTTATACCCATGTATGAAGCGCTCATTCAGTCCACATTGATGCAATTGCTGGAATAAGTTTTATTCTTGTAAAGTCGAGTGTCAGAAACTTCCTTTTAAGTTCTATTTGTTCAAATATTTTTGTGTTTGTGGCGTTTTCAACAGCTGAACTACCAAAAAAATGTGAAAATTACTCCACAGATAAAGTATTTTCAAAGGAAGTTAACATTTGGAGTTGCTCTTCTGCACAAAGTACCCTTTTTTATGTCTTACTTGTAGCTCAACGTGTTTGTAGTATAGCATTAAGGACAAAACTGCCTAGAGTGAGTCCTTTTGGACAAACTCCAAGATAAATTCCTCATTTTTTTCAATATATATTTTCAGTAGTACACATGTGATAAATGCTGCATCATACTTGTCTTGTGAAAACTAAAGGACTTCCTGTTGTTACTTTTAGGTCACATGTGGCCCTCTATGATCATGTGTGTTACCCTGTTACAGAATCGCTGCTTTCACTTCCAGTCAGGGCATTTTTCTTTCAATTATTAAACGAAGTCCAGTGGAAAGAAAAAGACTGTATCAATGTGTCTTAAATAGATGGAACTGTGATGAAACCACTCAGGCAACTGGAGGTGTGACCACTAGGGGGCAGAAAATCAAAAAACAGCTGTGAATGGACGGCTGCAGCCTTTAAAGTTGTGTAGATAGCAAATATTCTCTGTATGTACTTGCAAAATAAGAGGCTAATACTGTTTCTGTGCGACTGTACTGATGTAAAATAGTAAACCAGGATGATTTTTCAGCTGGTTTTGAAACAGGATGAAATTAATTGTGGAGTGCCAAAAGGCAATAAGATGCACTTTTATATTTAAAAATAACTACTTTGTCCACAAGGGGGCAACAAACACACAAAACAAACCCAAAGGTCTCTGTAGAAGATTTTAATACAACTTTAGAGTTTAAAAGTGAATTTAGATAGATGTGTTTTCATCTTGGATATGAGGCAAGTTTTGTTGAATCGGATCACATGATACTGTGGTAACCATGGAGGCTATTTAATACGCTTTGTTTCAGAAAGAGAGACACACTGGCATTAGACAGGTTATTTATTGAATGTAAAGAGAGATGGCACATCTCTGTCTGCTTCCATTGTATGAAGCTGATGCCATAATACAACCCACAATAGACTCTGACATTGGCATTTGGAGCCAGAGTCTCTGTGGTAGGGATTGGTCCCGCTCTTTCGGCCAATCAAAACACACAATGAAACAGAAAAGATCTCTCAGGTCAGCAGCTTCCTGTGTTGGATTGTTGCATACACTCACCGATATGAAAGACGTGTGACCTTTTTATGTTTTTTTCTTCTCACCTTTCCTCCTCGGCTCTGCCAAGATCTTACACACAGAAGCAGCAACCTCATTTGTCAACAGGGCTGTCAATCATGGAGTTATACTATATTTACCATACCACATGTCCGGTTCAGTGACTTAGTTCAACTGAAATCCTCATTAAAGTTATATTTGGTTTCTATCAGTTTGATTAGAATGAGCCATGAGGAGAGAAACCATGTTTGAACAAACAATTGAGTTTATCTGATGGACCATCTGTTAAAATGGAGGAGGTGGGCTTTATGACTGAAGCTACAGAAAAGAGAGAGCTCTGTAATGGTATGTCATGAATGAGGGCATTTATTCAGCTTTATTGAGTGTATTTTACAACAATTTGGATCATAATTTTGTGCTCAGGCCATGAATTTGACATAATCATAACACAGAAATGATAGCTTAGTGAGGACATAGATGAACAATGCCATCTGATGAGTTAGTATTCTGCATTCAGAGGGTAGTCTTTGTGATTCGAGGCCCTGTAAAGAAACAAAAGAAAAGACAGGCATTACGAAAGGTTTGTTTATACTCATAACAGATCTGTTTTTGTCTTTCAAAGGCCTCAGGAGTTCAGTTTGATGTTCATCAGTCCGTTTGTCTTGTCAGGGTCATTGTCCCATCCACTCACATCTCAAACAAGAATCCTCTCCAGTTCCTGTTCAAGCTCAGCAAAGTCTGCATGTCGTCTTCACTCAGTTCAAAATCAAACAACTGAAAAACAAAGAAGAGTGATTCAAAACTGGACAAGCTGCAATTACTTTGAACAGCACTCTATCTCTCCCATTTACACAGAATAATGGATGCTGTAGACTCACAAAACTAAACCTTCGGATGAACAGCAACTTTTGTTCTTTTACACTCGAATATCAATGGTCTGTCTCACTTTAATGATGGATGTACCTGAAAGTTCTCCTTAATTCTATGGTGCGTCGTTGATTTGACGATGACAATCACGTTTCTCTGAATGTGGAAGCGAAGGAGAACCTGGTGGGATAACAAATCAAAAGTTAATGGCATCGCCTTGGCTGTTTTTTAAAGCTCTGTTTGACTTTAAGTACCCTCACATAAATCCGTCAAACTGCACCCAGTGTTTGCTCTGTTTTCCAGCCTTTGTTCTGAAAATGACTTCATATGCTAAAGTCCATTGACAATCTTGCATACCAAATCTTCTTTTTTCTCCATTTATGGTTACCCTTATAGCTTTCTGTCACCATTTGTCAAAGATAAAGCCAGAGGAAGGATAAGAATGGGTCAGTTTCCTTGTCTCTCTTACATGTGCTGGAGTCTTTTTGTATTTAGTAGCGATAGCCTTGATCGATGGATCCTCCAGCAGGTTGGGTTCATCAGGGGACGCCCTTTGGTACACAAGAGCATAAGAATGATAAATAACATGACTGATTACACCTTTAGAGTTCAATAGATGAGGCTGCCTCTTACCAGGGTCTTCCTGGGGAGCCCAGGGGGCCGTATGCTGTCACTGAGATGCCCTTTGAGTGACAGTAGCTGATGAGCTTTTCCTGGGTCAGGTATGGATGGCACTCAACCTGGAGGAAACCCAAATGCTTGACCTTTCACATTCTTCTTTCTCGATTTGTAATCTGTAAGGAGGATCTTGTTTTGTACCTGGTTGGTGACAGGCTTGTACTTAAGGCCTGGTTTGTTGAGTAAAGCCTCGATCTGATCTTTGTTGAAGTTTGAGATGCCGATAGACTTGACCAACCCATCATCCACCAGCTTTTCCATAGCCTTTGAAATACAGTGTACAGCAGTTTGTGATCATCCTTGTCATACACAGTCTATATTTTCATATTTGGCAACTCAAAGAGAGAGAAGGACTGGCCGCTTTTGTCTCTTTGTTCCTTTCACAGTTCTGATAGCTCGGCATGAATATTAGCAGACATCAACCTGTTAGAGGGGAGACTGAAGACCTGCATCGATTCAACCTCTTTGACCCAGTGTTAGACTGAGTCAGCATTTCCAATATGGCAACCACTACTAATAGGCTTCAAAACTCTGCTTTTGAAATAGAGTATTGCCAGGTCTATATTTATGTATTATACTGTACATGCTAAACACAGACTAAACCTTGATTTTAAAACATAACCTCTGGGTTATGCCAAAAGATCTTCACTTTCAATGGAAAAAGCCCTAAAATGTGTGACAATATTTTTTTTTTCAGAATTGCACTGCTGTTTCTGAAAGAATTGACAAGATAACAAGAAAGAAATGCATTTTGTCCACTTCTAGATTGTAGTCTCCTTTGCCAGCTACAAAATCACAGCTGTGTAAGCTACTGTTTCACTCAAGCGACAAGTTGATTTTTTAGTGCCAGTAATTGAAGGTGGGGTAGGCAGGATTTTGTTAAAGAAGCATCATTTTTTTGTGGTGTATATACAAAAAAGCTTTTAGTATCAGTCAATAGCTATTAGTTATTGATGACATTTGGTAATATAATGATATCACTGTGTTCTCTTATGTCTGTGTAGTCAACGTTTAATTTTTTTGAGGGGCCCGCTCTTTCGGACTGTAAACAAAATTATTCTCCATCTCTCCGACATGATTGGTTGTGAGGCAGACGCTGCTCCCTCTTGTTGTGGGCACGCTCCACATCCTCCAATAATGTGCAACAACATCGGACAGTAGATACTAACCAGAAATTATGAAACACAAGCAATAAAACCAAGTAAATACCCAAGACTCTGGCGGAATAACGGGTGCTTAAAAAGAAGACCGGACAAGAGCTAACAAGCCGGGTCAACATCAGCATAAATGATCGGGGACACTTCAGGACACTTATGTAACAGAAGTGTTTGTTGTCAAACAGGACCTGCTGCATGTTGGAGCGCTGCTAAACGGTTTACCTCGGGTCCTGGACTATGTCACCTTATCCTAGTTGTAGAAGTCCTGTAAACATTGTGTTTGATGGTAGTCTGTTGGCATCTACAGTAGCACCAATGCTTTTTACTTTCACATCAACTGGGCCCCATTTGCAATTATCTTAAGTATTTATCTGCATTATATCTGAAATTAATTGGGCGAGGACGTTAGTTAGTGGGGCTTGCTGGAGTAGAGATGGAGGGTAGAGGAGGAGCTAAGGGGAAAACTGGTTGGGAGAGATAGTTTTTTCATTCAAGATTCCTCCCAAAAACTGTCACTTTCTCAGATCCTTCCTACCCCACCTTTAACTGTTGCATATGTCCAACACTGTGTTCTGAGTGCCTGAGTGCAAAAAAATTACCTCCCAGGTGTCCAAGAAGTTACTACCATCAGAAATAGCTTTTTTGTTTTCATCCATGGGCACAAGCTCCTTCCCGGGCTAGAATGTCAAAGATAAAAGAGGAGTAGTTAGCTTTGTGTGCCTGGGTATGTCACATGTTTAGGTGAAAGGCCATAGCTTGTTTCCGTTGCACATTTCTTTAATGCCAAGTTTGTCCAACAGTTCACGGGATGCAGAGGGTTGGCCGTGACCACAATCCTCATGCAGTCAGTTAATGAATAACACAAAGGATTTAGTGTTAGAACAGCCTTATACAAACCTTCATTCCTACTGGGGAGTGCATGAGATACAGATCCAGGTAGTCCAGTTTCAGATCACTGAGCGTCTTCTCGCAGCCTTCTCTCACCAGAGAGGGAATATGGAAAGTGCACCACAACTTTGAGAAACAAACAGTGATGTTAATACACCCAAATCCTATCTGTCAGCATATTTAAAATACTGTTGATGTTGATCTGATTGAGGGTATTGTAGTCATATTAGTGTGTCAGTTGATAATCTGTCTCTGTGAGTAACTCAGCCATGATCGTACAGTGAGTACAGTGAGAGTGTGTGTGATGAATTGCAGAGAAATCATTGGATAGGGGAAGGTCGTGACCAAAAATATGTTTATGAGCATGTCACTGCAGAAAATTAGCCTTTTCCTTCAGACATGGTGGTGCATTCATTTCATTATCTGCCTGAGCAGCTGACAAAGAAAATAGATGAATGATAACTGCCTCAGAATTACACAGGGTCAAATTTCTGGCCTCATAAAAGACTTTTTTGGAAACAGTCAAAAGTGCACTATGTGAGCCAAAGCTTGAAAGTTGTTAGCAGTCAAGGCTTGTTTGCGGGAAAAAAAAAAAACTGCTGGTTTTGGACAGATGTTGGTTTTGGTGGTACTGGAACACAGGTTTAATGGTATTGGACAGATATTGGTCTACCCTCAAGTCCAGGTCTTGAATCAAGATTAGAAATGGGAAGGGGAAAAAAGGTAGAAGAACAAATGTATTTACGCAGGATACCATACCTTACTGACGATGAACAGATCCTCCCTCTTTACAACTCCTTGATCAATCATGGTACGAATCCCATCACCAACCGCTACTTCATTTTCATATACATAAGCACCATCAATGTGTCTGTAGCCTTCCCTTATTGCTATCTGAATAGCTTCAGAGACCTTTCCCGGCTCACCCTACAGAGAGAAGCAAACACAAAAGAGAATGTGTTGAACAGTGGCAGACATGATTGTCTTACTTGTATGAAATCTTCTGCAAAACCAGAGCATTAAAGGGTTTAATTGAGGAGGAGATTAAGTTCAGCTCACTCTTAAATACGAACAGCTCTTCTTACATCACAGTTGTAAAGAGAGTGAATGCTGTAACTCAATTCAGCCCTTTTTCTTTACACATTTACACAAGTGTAAACTGTGTAGCCTTACCTTCCATGTTCCCAAACCCAAGATAGGCATCTGTCGTCCATTGTTGAGAGTCACTGAATGGATCATGTTGGCTCTTCTGTTGCAGCTCCACCAACTGTTTCACAACCAAGTTCTGCAAGTGCAACCCCTCACATATAGATTGGGTTGGAGGTGGGGTTAATACAGGGGCTGAGAGCCTGTGTTTGATTAGTCATGTCTGCCCTCCCCAAAAGAGTCTGCTTAAATGACAGAGAGGCAGCATGACTCAGCACAAACAGCATGACATAAAACTCCAGAATAGTGAGAGGTTGCTTTTGCTTTTTAACTTCTACATTGGACAAACCGGCAGTGTTTGTGATGACTATCTTGTGATGAATCTGTAGCACCCAATTGTTCGGGACTTAAGCTAAAGTTGTTATGATCATGGAATTCACACTTAATCCTCCTTTTCAAGCTTGTTTAGAGTCTGTCCGGCCACTTGTGAAGCAAGAATTCAGTTGGTGATAAGACATAACATAAACAGGGATAATGCAGATATGTAGTAGAAATAAAGCTAAACAAACTTCACATGTGACATAAGCAAATGGGTCATGTGGTTTTACAGTTTTCTGGTCATTTCCAGGAACCTTAAAGTGTGCGTACACTCCTAACAAATTTCAGGGGATAATCTTGTAAATATTGACAAGAATGTACCCTAACTTATCGGGCTTCCCAGCAATTAGCATCACCTGATGGACAGTATGAAGGAGAGTCCAGAGTGCAAATCTGTAATTTGTTAACGAAGCAGGAATTTAGTGATTTTTCCCCCAAAAAATGACATCTGAATTAAGTTCTTACCCATTTCGCTATCCTGTCCTTTGTGTAAAGTGTATGTGTATATTTTTACCCTGTCACCGAGTGTGTTTTTAAATTTTCTTGATTTTTACCAGTCTGTTCCAAATTTTCCTGCTGTAAAGCTCTCTGGCTCAAACTTTGTTTTTTAAGGTGCTCTTCAAAAAAAGTTGACTTGACTTTTTGCAAAACATTGATGTGGAATATGTGAGACGGTGTGTCCCTAACTTTGAGTCTCCCCTTAAAATGAACAGAGGTGAAATGAGTCCAAAACACACAAGATCACGCACATAAAGTTAACTAACGACAACTTCCCCCCTTTACTATTTAAAAATAGTTTCGATAACAGTTGTCTATTTGTTGTGACAACTCTCATTGTTTCCAACTCATGTCCCCGTTTCCCCTTCATCAGCTCATGTCATTCATAGGCTTGTGAAATAGCGCTCTCTACAGGAGTAAGACTGGAACGTTTTTGAGTAGGGTCATGTCTACTGTTTTCTGTCACTCTTTTGATGCTAAATCTCCACTTATAGTATTGCTCCGGATCTTCCTGGTTACTTTTTGTGGGAGTGTACAAGTGCAAATAATGAAAACAAAAATTTGTGCTTGTAACTTTTTATTCATTCTTCAAACGTTATGCAATCTATCAGCATTCATGCCTCCATGGTCATGAGCACACACACACACATACACACACACACACACACACACACAAACTAACATACAAACAAACAAACAGACACATTTACAAAGTGCACACATTAGACAGAGAGGTTAGCCCAGCACTGTCTAAAAAAGATAGGCAACATGAAGAGCAAAGGTGATGAATATTGCACTTTAAGATCAGTTCAGGGAACTTCTTTTCAGACCACTCAGCTTCACTGGCAGATCATCCTCGTCGTTTTTTCTTTCTTTCTTTTTTTACCATCAAAACAACTTAGTACACATACATTACCAGCATTACACATGGGACTGATTTTAATTTCTTGTCCTGACTGTATTAAGGTAGATTTGACTCTGTAGGAGGAAACTAAAATGAGGTAACAGTTGATTTTTACCAACTTAAAATAATTTTGCAGCTTTTGCCAAACTTAAAGCTTATTTATAAAATCTTAAAGGGGAAAATATGCAAGTCTGTCAGACACAAGTCCATCAAAGTCATGTTTAACGAATGCTTTAACTTGCAGAGCACAACTTAAATATGGCCTAATGAGGTGTTTCAATATCTTCTATTGCCTTGTCTTTTAACATTAGGCCATACCTGAGTCATATAGATTGTACCAAACTCAATAAACAAATAAACACAAGTAAACAAAAGGAACCTGAAAAGCTAAATAACACAGAGGTATTTTATATTGTGCCATGAGCAATGATGTGAATTATTGCTTAGAAGCAGCCATCAAAAAGGCCCACTTGGATATTGTTCCTAGAGGAAATTACAAAAAGGATGTCACACAAATCTGTTCTATATTTCACCAAGTGATAAATTAGCATTCAATCCAAAAACCACAAGTTAAACCCAGCAGTGTCCCAAGAGCTTTATATTTCCGGCTCATCTCAGGAGCAGTCAGTGAAGGTGGTTACCATGTTCCCCCTGCGCTGAGTCACTGTCCTGCAGTGCTGCTTCTCCGTTCCTGAACCCTGAAATCTGCTCCCAGTCCTTGTGCTGTGCGTGTTAAAGGAGAACATCTTCTCCAAGTCCTCAAACATATCATCAAAGAGTCCTCCTCCAAAGCCCCCTTGTTGAAACTGCCTCTTCTGCCTGTTCATCGCCTCCCTGTGGGCCTGGAAGTGGCTGTCAAAGTGTCTCTTTTGGTGGGCTTGGTTTTGGGTGTTGGAGTGAAAGTGGTGTTGGTGCGTCTGTTGGTGACCAAAGTGGTCAGAGTCTTTGAATATGTCATCAAAGTTGAAGGAATGGAAGTGCTGGTTGAAGTTGTAGGTGCCACCACCTCTTCCTCCTCCTCCTCCTCCTCCTCCTCCTCCTCCCTCTCCTCCTCGGCCCTCCCCCGGTGATGGGCCATGACCAAACTGGTTGTACTCTCGCCTTCTCTTATCATCCGACAACGTCTCGTAAGCTGGTGGAGAAATACACATTACATCACTGATAGTGTTGGTTGCTGCGGCCAGCAGCTAGAGACCTGGGATCAGCCTTGAGTAGTATAGTGATCAGACTGTGTAGTAGGAATCGACCGCTATTGATTTTTTAGGACCAATGCCGATTATTAGGGGGGGGGGGGGGGGGGTTCGATTGCCGATTATTTTTTTGTGTAGTTATAATACATATATATATATATATATATATATATATATATATATATATATATATATATATATATACTGTAGATATAATGTAGGCTACTGCTCTTCAGAAAGACCGACTGATCGCATTGAAAGCATTGTCTCATCTGGACACATGCAGCTGCCTCAGTTAGAGAAGTAGCTTGATCACATAATGTGTACTGTTGTTTATTCTACTGTTACTGGCACGGCTAACGTGTAGCAAGGCTAATAGCAGGTGGCTAACTCTAACTTTAGCTTGAAAACCAGCACAGCGGGGAACATCATGAAGTGGGTTGAACTGAAACTTGTTGACTTGTTGCAGAACATTTTAGAGGCGAAACAGAATCTTATTCTATGCATTTTATTTGTGAAAATATCGGCGAAAATCGGCGAGTTTTGGCCGATTACCGATTAATCTCAAACGAGCTAAAATTGGCCGATTTAATCTGCTCGCTTGTAAATCGGTCGGGCCCTGCTGTGTCGTGATATTTTTACTATCTGGTTCTTGCAAGATAGATATGTTTGAGCTTTTGTAACTCAGATATTTTTAGATCTACAGGAGGTCACTGGGTGTTGAAAGCAGAAACATCAGATTTTTTAAAATAGTCAAGGTAGGGGGTCAGTAAATACAGCATTACCTAACACCAATGTTATAACCTGGTGACTCACCTTCTGCTATTTCTCTAAACTTTGCCTCTGCGTCTGCGCCCTTGTTTCTGTCAGGATGGTACTTCAGGGCAAGCTTGTGGAAGGCCTTTTTGATCTGGCGCTCAGTGGCATCTTTAGTGACTCCCAGAATTTCGTAGTAGTCCCTCTTCGCCAGGATGAACTCGGAGATCAGCAGAATGTTGACTGCCAGCAGCAAAACCGCCTGCGCTGTTGCCATACTGCTGGTTTGACACCTCTGAGGCTGTGAAGAGAGCAGTTTGACAGCTCAGTTTATGGTGTTTTTCACACCTCTGAAACACAGAAATACTTCCACATAGGTTAAATACTTAACACACCAGTATTTCCTTTCGAGAGCAGTTCAAATATACTTAGACTAGAACATTTAAACTGAAGCATCTATGTTTGTTTCTACAGAGGGGCGTTACGCTGCAGAAAAATGACAACTCAGTAGCTAAGCAGTAAAAAAGGAAGAGTTACAGCAGCTTTAAAACCGTCAAAAACCTTGTCAAAGATACCCTCAATGTTTATTCGCAGTTACGGATTAACCACCCAAGACAAATACCGCTAAAAGGTATTAAAAAGGGGTTATTACCTGGAGACGGGTTGACAAACACCCGGAGGATACTCCTGTAAGCCGCCAACAGCTCCAGCTGATGTGAACCGAAAGCTAACAGCTGATGACGAGCTGCATTCCTGAGCTGTAACACCACGACTCGCAACGCGATTGGTCTATTTCTTAACACAGTGACTCACTTCGCTGGGATTGGTTAAAACAATGCGCACGTGGAGAAAGAGGAGAGACCATTGACGCTGACAGAGAAAATCACAGGTTCCCAAATTTGAGCAATTATCAACTCATTTGCATTCTGTGAACAGCTAAGGGAGTTATTAAAATGTCATTCAGTGTATATTTTGTTACGAAGAAATTGGTACCGCGATCATTTATTTCTGTAGGTCTATTTACAACAGACGTTTTGAATTGAACTATTGGCTAAAATATATGTTTTTTGGTCTCTATACCTGAAACCCGGTTTTAAACGGAAACATAAAATGCACAAAACATAATTTCTATCGAGTACATTATTTATAGTGGATGTATTACTCACACGTGTGGGGGAGAGTGGGGTAGTTGAGCCATAGGGTAAGCTGATCAAATATTTAGGAGGTGGGCATCAATTCATGGAGTCTGTGAGGGTTAGAAGCACATGAGTGAAGGGGTTAGACATTTATTAAAAAAAAAAAAAAAAACATTTTTAACTCTTTCAAACAAAATTTAGTCTGTAGTAAATTTTATTAAAATTGTGTTCAGACCGAAAAAGATCATTTTAAATTTGTTTTATACATCATTTGTATGAGCTACAACATGAGGTCGAAAACCTAACATAAAAGTCCACCATTTTAGCTTAGAGGACTAGTAAAATCAAAATAGTAGTTCTGGGGTAAGTTGAGCCAGTGCCTCAACTGAGAGAGTAAAGGAGTCTGATGAGGGGTAAGTTGACCATAGGAGACCACTTTTTTGGCATGCTATATTATCAAGACAGTTATGTTTACACTCATTCAGTTGGTTTGCAGGGATGTACAACATACACTAGTTGGAGACAAAACTATGATTGCCTTGATGTAGTGATACGAGATATAAAAAACGACTCATCTTACCCCACTCTCCCCTACACAAATACAAATGGACTGGGGAAAAGAACACGAATTTATCCATTTAAAATGAAATTTGGACACCATACTGGGACGTTGATAGGACTCAAGAATCAAAAGGCAAAACAAAAAATGGTGCAAATATGTGAAGCCTTATGGGTTGTATTTATGAACTGAACTAAATTAAGATACCCCGGGATATTTATTAGTTTGTAAGTGTACATTTGTGAATATGGTGAGCTATATCGTGTGCTGTGTTGCTTTGTGTGTTGTTGTATTGTGTTATATGTGTAATAAAAATAGAAATTAAAAAGAAAATCCTGTTCACGTCAACGGTCGAACGTCATCTCCGCTAGCTAGGCTACAACCCGGAAGTGACCGTCTGCGACCTGTTTTGCGCTTTAAAAAGATGTTCAATCCACTTTAGTGTTTAAAAAACGGACTTCATGTAGCTTTATCGACACCATGCCGCGGCACTGCGCTGTCAAATTCTGCAGAAACAGAGGGGGAGCTGCCTCGAAACAAGACAACAAGAGAATTAGCTTCTACCCGTATGTTTCCCCTATGATGTGTGTTTGTAGTTTAGCTGCTAACGTTGTAGTTCTGTCACGTTAAATGAAAAACTCTTAACTATAAAGGCATTAGAGGTCAGCTTTATCTCACATATATTCTCACTGTCATAGTTTTTAGATGTTATGTCACGTAGAGGAACTGAAAGACTAAGTTAATGTTAATAACTGTAGAGATATAAGTGACACTAATACTAATCTACAGTCCTAAACGCGCCCTCCGCTGTAAACTTCACTTCATCTTTCCCCTCTAAAGGTTTCCTTTGCAGGACAAGCCCAGGCTACATAAATGGGTGGACAACATGAGGAGGGAAGACTGGACCCCGAGTCGACACCAGTATCTCTGCAATGAGCATTTTACTGGGGACTGCTTCGATATTCGATGGGGTATCCGATACCTGAAGAGCACAGCCATCCCCACCAGATTTTCCTTCACCGAGGATGTACGTATCCATCCTGTTTCATCTCTTTACACCACTGAAGACCAAAAATTAAAGGGATATTCCGTCAGAAAATTAATTTAGGGTCAAACACACGTAACACTGAGTTAGACACCCCGTCGAGAGATAAATGTTGCTTCTCTAGTGATACCAACTTTAGTAAGAACCGCATGATAGCAATACACAGCTGTCTGAGGAGCCGTAAACAAACCTCAACCAAAACGCCACTCTATAGCCACAAATAATGCTCAGAGCAGCATTATTTGTGGTACATGTACATGTAGAGTCCCAGCCACAGCACTAGCCACTAAACATCTTTTTTGCTTTGCCTAATTTCTTAAGCAAAGAGACGAAACACAACTCACCTACTCTCTTCCAGCAGCCACTTGTTTGTAGCGAAACCTCAGGCCAGTCCAGTATGGACTGCAGCGGGGTGACGCAGCTCAAGGAAGAACATCTATGATCATTTCTTCATGGAAATGCAATCAGACTGAGACGCTAAGGCAGAAGAACTACCGCGTCTGCAGTGCAAAATGATTAATATGGTAAATATTACTTAAAATAAATAATAAAGTAATGATCACAAATGTTCTTCCTTGTGCCGGGGCCCTACCACTGGAGTCTGTAATGAACTGGCCCAATGTCTCAGCTGCTGGAAAAGAGTAGGTGAGTTGTATTTAGTCTCTTTGCTAGAGAAATTAGGCAAAGTTAAAAATATGTTTGGTGGCTAGTGCTATGGCTGGGAGCCTATATGTACTGTTGATGATGTTCGGTGCTGTTATGGGCATTATTTGCGGCTATAGAGTGGCGTTTTGGTTGACCGTGTGTGTGGGGCTCCTCAGACCCGTGTATTGCTGTCGTGCGGTCGTTACTAAAGTTGGTATTACTGGAGATGCAAGCGGTCGGCAACAGTCATCTCTCTAGGGGTGTCTAACTCGGTGTTGCAGTGTGTTTGACCCTAACTTAATTTTACGCCGGAATATCCCTTAAAGTTAAAGTGAAATCCTTTTATTGCTCATAGTTGTCCATTGCCGACATTGCATGAGCTCATTCAGTTCATACTGTTTTTTTTTTTTTTTACTAGGAAGAAGAGAAAAGATGCAACAACGTTAAAAGAACCCTCACAGAACAATCCAGGACTTTGGATATCAAGCCCACAGGATTTGAGTCTCCTCACAGCAAGAGGCCTCTTATTTTGAGCAGGACTAACAAAAAAGTCAATTTAGGTACAACAAAAAGTATTCACGTCAGGCAAACAGAATCAATTAATTCACCCACTCTGGTATCAGGAGCTGGCACATCTCATGACCTGAGTCTGCCTGAGGTACAGGCCACTACGTGTGAGGTTCCCGCTGAAAGTGGAAGATCCACAGTGTCTTGCCTCGCACTGTCCACATACAGTGAAATCATTCCTGAAACACAGACTGACTCAAGTGTGACTGTGTTGTGCTGTGAGACTTTGGGCCCTCTTCCAGACGGAGAAAACGTAGATCCATCTGCTCCTCAAGCAGGTTTTGGTCAAACTTTGAACTTTGTTCCTGTAGAAGTCCTCGAAGATGAATCAATAGGCTGCTTTGCTGAAGAGAGTGGACCCAGTGAAGAGGAGCACGTCTCTGTTTATGAGCATACATACTGCAGACAGGATACAGACAAAGACCAACTTTGGAGTAAAATCTTGAGTTTGCATGCAAGGATCGTGGAGTTGGATCGCAGGGAAGAGAGCACTGTAGCCAAAATCCGAGCCCTGGAGACAGAGATAGCCCTTTTGAAGAAAGATGGGGCTGCTTTTAAAGAGAAGCAGAAAGTTTTAGAAGATTACATATCATCTGTGATGCTCTGACCCTGAAAATAACTACAATTTTGTCTTAAAATAACACATGTAATGTCCGTGCTATGTAACAAAGGAGTCAGTTTGCCTTTATTTTGCACAGAAGCTTAAACTTGTGTGTTCTACAGCTATCGATTGCTCTAACGTGACTGTTTTATATTAAGAACATTGTTTTAGTGTTTGTCCACATGGTGGTGCTGTATGACCTCCTTTTAAAGGAAGTACTCGGAGGCTAAACTGGTGTTCATGTGAAGTTGCACTATGCATCCTGATACATCTTCCTGACTTCAAGAACTAATACTTAAGTTATTCTCATATAGAATAAATACCATGCTGTGTGTTGGATGATTAACGTTGTTTCAGTTTTAATTTAATACAGTTCAAGCTCATCATTTCATGTGAAGTTGAATTCAAGTACTCAAAGATGTAAGTGATTATCACACTGAGACTATAAACAAAAGCTTTGTTGCCTATCACTTAAACCAGTGGTTCTCAAGTCCAGTCCTCTAGGCCCACTGTCCTGCATGTTTTGGATGTTTCCCTGCTCCAACACACCTGATTCAAATGATCAGCTCGTTATCAAGCTCTGTGATGGCTTAATAACGAGCTGATCATTTGAATCAGGTGTGTTGGAGCAGGGAAACATCCAAAACATGCAGGACAATGGGCCTCGAGGACTGGACTTGAGAACCACTGACTTAAACTGTACTTTTACTTTTTCGGTGTAACCACAGGTTTTTGTACCAGAAAACACCCTGTTCGGAACGTGCTGTTCTTCAAATAGATACTAAAAGTCATGAATTACATCTAAAACAGTTATAAAACCTTGAAATACAAATTGCATAGTTGTTTACATCTGGTGTCTTGTATTAGAGCTGCTGTGGGGAGTTTTTAGCTGGTTATAATTCAAAGTGATAGTAATGATACGAAAATTCAAGTGAGCTAGCATTGAAACAGAGCTGCCTCTGCACAGTGGGGCTTCCAGCAAATGTTAATTACACGATATATCAAAAAGATTAAAACTGATACACTGATAATCTGAGGAAATTTAACCAAATTAAAGCTGACAATAAATAGGAGAGGTTCAAAAAACTCAAAATATTTACAAAAGAGATAATAAGAACGCTTGCTAACAACGTATCTGTGTGTATGTGTGTCACACTGAACAGGAGCAGTACGAACAGGGTATGCACTGACTGATACTTGCTCATTATATCTGAAAATAAATGTGTATTTAATGTGAGGGTGGCTCAGTCCTTAATGTCAGGTACAGTGGTGTGCTCAGTGGGGGGCAAAGGGGGATGGGTGCCTCCATGTGTAAATAATTCTGCAGAAGCGTCAGCTTGGATAATTTCGCAATTGGTAAACATTGTGAAATTATCCTTCCTTGTGCTGTATTAGCTGAAAACATGAAGAGTTGCTTCATAGGTGCTCTTCTAGTGGTTAAAACATAAAGCCTCTGCTGGTAATCTGATTTGACTTTTTAGACCCCCAAGCCTCAACATAGGCCACAGTGATTATATCAAACCATCACTGTGGGTCTCACCAGTTAAAAAAGCTATTTTGACCCTGTCACCCTCAGGCTGCCTCCTCCTAAGGTGGCCCAGATAATTAATCAGCACAACTTCATTCTTGCAGTAACAGTATGGTTACAGAACGCCCAGGAGAAACTGCCGGTATGCCACTGAACAGGCAATCATTAGTATACATAGTTGTGACACCAAGTTGAAGCCTATGTGTGGAAAATGCTATATGCTCATTACTTTAGTGTTAGTTATCATCCTGCAAACACCAGCCTGATGAGCAGGCAGCTTTTTGCAACCAGCTGTGCAAATATGATGCCCCTTATAGATGATGAGACCCTACAAGCTGCTCTGTTTCCGCAGTTAGGGAGAAGCAGCACTGGCTACTTCTATAGAGTTGCTATTAAAGTCTGAAACCACAGGCTGGGGGTAGGCCTACCACAGAGATGTCAGATGAGTCATATATGTAACAGAAATAACTTAGATGATGCTTCAAAAAAAGACACTCATTACTGATGCACAGGACAAAATTAGTAAGAGAGATGAGAGGTGGTGCCAGAATGAACGCAAACCAAAAATTTCCACAAGAGCTTTAAATCTTAAGAATATAAATGTTAAGAGAAAAAAAACACAGTATTAGTAGTCTGGATGGAAAAGGGGGTCCACTCGCACCCCCTGGCTTTTTTATGCCACTTTTTTTTTTTAATCCTTGATGTGTGTATTTTCACAATATGCCAGGTACCAAGCTGAATCAATGTCTGAAAGGCTTCATTTTTAACCCGTAAGTGTACTAACCCGAACCCAGAAAAATCAAAATATGAGAGAGAAAACTTTTGATGTTAACAACTTACGGAGACAAATTAACACATTTTCCCATACAATGTTGACACAAGTAATTTAATAAATCATTTATATTTTATTTATTTTAATATTTGACAACAGCTCAATTCTGTGTTCATTTATTTATGGCCAAAAAATTGACCAGATATGCTCATTTGGCAATTACGTTTCATATCACTACATTTAGGAAAAGGAAAAAAGGAAAAACTAGGGCCTGACCGATTTACTGGCGAGCCGATTAAATCGGCCAGTTTTAGCTTGTTTGAGACTAATCGGTAATCGGCCAAAACTTGCCGATTTTCGCCGATATTTTCAGAAATAAAATGCGGAGAATAAGATTCGGTTTCACTTCGATAATGTTCCGCAACAAGTCAACAAGTTCAACCCACTTCACGATGTTCCCCACTGTGCTGGTTTGGGTCACGCCAAGTTAACGGTGAAGCACCGTGTACTATGCAAGCTAAAGTTAGAGTTAGCCACCTGCTATTAGCCTTGCTACACTGCCAGTAACAGTAGAATAAACAACAGTACACATTACGTGATCAAGCTACTTCTCTTACTGAGGAAGCTGCATGTCTTCAGATGAGACCGGACCGTAAATGTGTAATGTGGGTTAAGACGGGGAGGAAGCACCGATCGGCAGCGGCGGGGGGTGGGGGTGGTTAAAAACGCTTTTCTGGTCCGAGTTTGATCAGTTGGTCTTTCTGTCGGCATGAAGAGCAGTAGCCTACAGTGTATCTACAGTATACTATAATGTAGGTTTATATATATATATATATATATATTTATATATATATATATATATATTTTTTTTACACAAAAATTTAAAAAATCGGCCGATTAATCGGTAATCAGATTTTTTCCCCTCCTAATATCGGCATCGATCCTGAAAAATCCATATCAGTCGGGCCCTAGGAAAAACTCAGTCACGTCAATGCTTTGACTGTCTGTCAGATGTGCGTAGTGTCTGCATGGTTAAACCACAATCTGGACAATCTATATTGCAATAGATTTGCTCTGCTTGGGCTGTTTAATAACTTCAGGTGTCCCCTAACAGAGCCACATGTTTTCCATCAGCCATGCAGACAGATAGGAAAAAGCAAAGGCAAAGAGTGAAATGAGATATTAGGGGAAAAAGCACACACAGAGAGAGAAACAATCGTGAGGACCAGCAGAAGATTCTGATCAAAGCAAACAGCAGGAAAATCAGTGCATTTACCATGCTAATGCACACCAAATCAATACATTAGAGACTGAGCTCAAACAACAGCACTCATACATGTGATGAAGTCCTTTGAATCTCCATAACATCCATGTGGGCAGAGGCAAGTTTTATCAGTGCCACCATTTCTTTAAGTATTCAGCTTTGCATCAAAGTGCTTTTATTTTGAAATGCACTGTAAATGAGCTCCTCCAAGCGTCTGTGTCCTCTGTGTCACTGCTGATTGTTTTAAACCCCCACAACAACATGAACATGAACCAGCAGCAGGATTTATCTCCCACTTCTCCACCCTTGGGCCCTGTATTAGTCATCAGAGTATTTTGGCGAAACAAGACACCTAATCCCATTTGAAGCAGCTCTACACAATGAAATGTGCCATTGGCTGTCTCTGCACTGTAGCAGACCTGGTCACACAATCGAGATCTGATTGTTACCTTGTTAAAACATTGTATTTCGAACCCACAGCTGTGCGCCGAATAGGTGTGTGTCATCAACAAAATTAACAATAAAACCAGCTTGTGAAAAGACAAGGAAGCACCTGCAGAGCTTGAGAGGGAGCGCTGCATTATGTCACAGTGTTACATAAAGACTCATTAGACCAGGAGGCTGCATACATTTATGATGTTAGCATAAGGGACTTCCGGCTTGTGGGGGTAAACGGAGGGCTTTTAATTTGACATCCTTTTTAGATTTCCATTCCAGTCAAGCGTATACGTGTGTGTGTGTGTGTGTGTGTATGTGTGTGTGTGTGTGAGAGAGAGAGAGAAACAGAAGGCTAAATTAGTTTTTGAACTAATTACAGATTGATTGCACATGTGAAAGGATTTGTGAAGTGCAATTTCAAATGACTCTAGGGTGTTGGGTAACATGACAAAGTTACGTGATGAGCCTCTTCAGCAGCAAGATTTGAAAATATCTAGTCTTGTAATTGGTGCCGAAATGACATTTTTGTAATCTTGTTTCTTTGTGTTTTCACTGCGGAGGAGTACTGCACTGTGAGACTCTGTAGCAAGAGAAATATTCTTTAAAAAAGTTGGTAATGAATTATCTTTGGTAAAGTCTATATAAAAAGTAGATGATACATGCAAAATGAAAACAGAAAAAGGGAATAGAGCTTAAAGGCCCCAAAAGTCCATTTATCTCCCAAGTTGGTACCTGATAGACATGTACAGACAAACATTTTATCTTCTGTGATCCTCTGATAACCAGTCATTTCTGTTTGTTTTTGTCTTGTGTTCTTCAGATAATGATTGTGGTTTCACTGTGTTAAGCTGCATTTTCTGGATTGGTCAAAAAAAAATACAAGAACCTTGAGTCTCATAGCGAAGCGATCATCACGCAGAGACTGACCTTCATAAGCCAGCGGATGCAGAAACTGCTTTGAGACCCACTTTGACATGACCTACGTATGGATATTCTATACACAGGTATGTATACTCAGGGGCTCGTATTGATTTAGACAAGATTCAAAGTGACCTCGCTGACACTCCCTGCAGCCCACAGCTCATGGTCTATAGTCCTTCAATCTTTTATCTTCTGCTGAATCTTCCCAAAGACATGCTCTCTTACTGTATATGGTTTGCTGATTGGAGGCCATAGCAGATTTGATGGAAATCTCACAACATCACAAGAATTTGATGAAGTATGACTAAAGATGGGCCTTAAAACAGACTAAGAGAGGTGCTGTGGAGCAGGTTAGTAACATACACCAATTTCTAAACAGCAGGTGTGTAATGAGCTGGAGTCAAAATTTAATGTCTTTTGTATCATATATGATACAAACTCTTATATACTTCTATCAAATCAATATGATTAACAAATTACTAAAAAAATACCTGAATACAGTCCGATAAATGAAAAAAATGTTCTCTTGTAGTGTATCAGTTTCCAAAAACATCTAATGTACCAAACGAGATAAATAAATATATTTGTTAAATTTTAAGGACATTTTTATTTTTTTGGTTTTCAGTAGTAAGTGAAATAAACATTTCAGCTCTAAATAAATTTGAATTTTCTGGCCATAATTTCTGGTGTCAGGCATTAAAGGGCTACAGGAGAAGTTTAACAGAATGTCTTTAATTCCTGCACTAGTGAAAGAATTATTTCCCGCCTTAGTTGTTATATAAAACGGGAGGCTATCTTTGTAATGGCAAAAAAAAGTTGATAGACAACATTAAGTACTTCTACTAGTTATTTTAGGAGCAAAAACCTTTAGATTGGTGATTAGTGGAGAGGAAAGGAGAGGAGAGGAGAAAAGAGGAGAATGCCAAGAAAAAAAGTTAGAGGGAAGAAGATATTTTTGCTGATTTTTTTTTTTCGGCATCTACTGATAATAAAAATGGAAAATCAAAACTATTAACACTGTACCATTTCTGAAAGTGGGAAGTTCAACATTAATTTGTTTATTTTTCCACGAGCTTAGTAAGACTGTTGCTGTGGAAGCGCTGCCTACTGTCAAAACGGGAAATATCGATGACACTTCATACAAACTGGCCTCTACATGATAAACTTATTTATAAAGCCTTATAAATCCACCCTTCATTCATAACAAGCTTTCATAACAGCTTATAGCACTGTTTATAAGGCGTTGTACACCGTGAGCATAAAGCTTTATAAGGAGATCTTTATTGGTCTTTCTCACTGGTTAAAGTTGTAGGAGTTATGATGTGTTATTAGGATTCAAAGACACGTTTTTTTTTTGGCATTAAGGTATTATACATTACTAACCATATCTTTATAAGGCATTATGCTCACTTCTTATGACACTTAATTAACATTGGCTGTCATATATGCTCACAAACATTCATAAGCATTGTTATAAATCCTTATAGATGCATTTATAAGGCTTTAAAAATATGTAAATTATGCATTATAAGAGGTTGGTTCATATAAAGTGATACTGAAACATCTTTAGGTAGTTCTATAGACAATTCATATCAAATCATCTTCAAATCAGTTCTTAAAGTCAGCTTGTTTGTATATTTACTCAGTAGAGAGTCATTAACAGGATCATGTGTAGTTCGCTGGTGGATTTGAGAGACAAAATCCCCCAATGCCAAAAATAACAAATCTTGTTTTCTTATGCTACCAGGATTGTTTTTCTGGAGACCAAGAAAATAAGACCATAGAGAGGTCACTGGAGCAGATCAGACCAAAACATGCCATGCTTCTTAACCACTGAGGTAAGTTCAATCTATATCCATGTTTGTGTCATGCTTCTGCAACTTTGGAGCTGCATGTTATGAGTTAGGCCTAAAGATCTCCTTAAAACTGCTGAATACAAATGTATGGATGCATGTGCATATTGGTTAGATTGAGGTAAAGCAGGGACAGTTGCCATTAGGTGCTCAAGTCTATGCGACACAAATTGCAGGCAAATTGAGGAGGCTGACATTAGCACAATAAATAGCACTGTTTATTAAAAGATCTGTTTTTTTTTTCTGTTATTTACATTCACCATATACAGAAAATTCAACATGATGCAAGAAGAAGGAAAAAAAAACTAGACAGAGCTCATGTTTTCTGTGAACATAATAACAACAACATTAAAAAATAGACAAAATTGACATTTTTTGAAAACACCATTTAATTATTTATTTATCAATCTGACAACACTGAAATTTCACTTCTAGCAAAAGAAAAATGACATAAGTGTTTTCCGTGTCATTATTATGCTTCTGGGATATTGACTTGGATGTTTCAATTTTGTATTGAGCAGAATTTGTCTCTAGAGATAAAATTTATTCTTCTAAAACTCTCAAATATTCAACAAAAGATCTTTAAAAAGACAGAAGATAAAACAAGAAAGTCTTGAGGACACAGACAGAAGCTGAGTTTTACATTTTGAAAAACAATGTCAATAATAATATTACTACAGATGCTTTTTTTTCCCCACAAAAGACCAGATCAGTACCTCTTTGGCCAGTGTGATTAATTCATTAGAATTTCCCCCCAAGGGACTATTAAAGGAACATCTTATCTTAATAAACTCTACAGTTTGCAAAATAAGATGGACCTACAGTGTAACTTATTGTACATTCATGTAAATCAATGCCCATATATTTTTCCCTTGGTATCCAGATGTAAACTTCAGTCGGTCTTGAGACTTTCAAGTCTTGTCCCTTTGTATGTCCATGCATACTTTGCCTTTTGTTTCAGCTGTAGTAGAGATAAATCCAGGGGTTGGTGCAGCTGTTGAGACTGGCCAGGAGCATGATGATGGCAAACACTGGACCTGCGAGGGAGAAAGTGACATAAGTTTTTAAACAGATCCAAATCTATTGGCTAACAAATGTAATATATACAATATGTTACTCTAATGCATGCAGCGTGAGGATATAAACATAATGGTCAGGGGGCACATTTGGTCTTTGTAGGGTGCAGTCCTGCGTAATTTGAACCAACCTTGGGTAGGCGCACTCTCTGGGCTCCATGCAGACCATAACTGAACGACAAAAAAGGGACTCCAGCACACTGTATATGCCAGTATAATCACAAATGTCATTTTCACAGTTTTAAGCATAGCATTGGACACCCCCTTCGTGCCCGCGCGCCCTGCCTGCAGCGCCTTCCTCTTCATGTTGAAGTAGATTGTGGTGCAAATCCTCACTTGGCAGTGAAGTAGGATGACAGCAGGCAGGGCAAACACAGACAGAGTGATCCAGCTGATGTAGATTCGGCTCCCCCACGGTTCAATAAATGTCGCCCAGCAGTCGAATTGATTCTCCTCCACCTCCCGTAGTGAGAAGATGAAAAGCTGAGGGGTGCTGAAGGCCAGGGATATGAGCCACGCTGTTCCGATGGACAGATACCTCCTAAATGACCCCTTTAAAAAGGAAACCATCGGCTTACATACTGCATGATATCTGTCTATAGTCATGGCAACTATCATGTACGTGGAGGCGAACATCCCAACAACCTGTAGATACTTTATGGACCGGCAAAGGAAGTCCGTGCCGCGGAACCTGTGCGTAATTTCAATAAGAAACTGCGGCAACACTTGGAAAAACGCCACCACCAGATCCGCCAGACACAAGTGTAGCAGAAACAGCTGCGTCCTGGTGTTTCTTTTTCGTTTCTTCCAAAGTGTTGCCAAGAAGAAAAGATTCCCACATGTTGCGAGCACAAAGACCAAACCGAGAATCCCGGCTCTGATGAGCGCATAGCGTCCATCCACTTCTCCATCTCCGTGTGCGTCGTTTTCGGTGCAGTTGCGTCTAGAATCCATTTAAACATGTAGTTCCTGTGTTTCCTCTATGTCCAGCGACTTGGGGGCTCAATTTCCATCCATATCATAGGTGAAATGTTGGAGCGTAGGTGCAGGTGATGTCTCTACATTGTGCTCCTTTGCGCACCCGTTTCAAGTGACGGCGGTGTACTTGAGGGGGGTGTCAGTACTTGTCAGTGTCGGTGTGTGTTCGTGTAGATAACAGTGAATAAGGGTAGAATACAAATACCAATTCCAAATGCATTTGTTATCCTGCAATCCATTACCCTTTCTCACACCCTGCATTTTCACATTTTCAGTCTAGTGATATAGTTGTTAAAAGTATACGGTATAAGGGTCAGACATCAATTTCTGGATTGATTTAAGCAGAACAGTATGGAAGCCCATTTCCGCCAGTCAAAAAAAAAAAAAAAGTCGAAATTATGAGATAAAAAGTCATAATTATGAGATTTGAAAGTCATAATTATGAGATAAAAAGTGTCTGTAACCATGACACTGACCAGACGTTTCCAGTTGCTGTTCAATGAAGGTTGCCACCTCAGCCACATCAGTTTTGTTCTTCCTACACCAAAGCTCCTTCTTGCTTAAGATTCTTTCCAAGGTGCGTTTGCTTATTACAATCCCATGGAAATCCGCAAGCAAATGGAGAATTTCATTCGTTGTAAATCCACATTTAAAGTAGTCTTCGATGTGCTCACAATCTCATTTCTGATTAGGAGAATTCACAGAAAGAGCTGCTACTTTGACTGTTGTGTTAAAGAAGTATCTCATAATTTCAACTTTTTTTTTTTTTTTTATTGGCGGAAATGGGCTTCCATAGAACAGGCTCGGGTGGTTCAGCTAATGTAAAAAATTAAAAAATCTGCTGTAGTTGTTGCTCTTTAGTTGGTTTGATGGACCTGTTGTGCTCCTTAAGGCTCTATTCTTGTCCACCAATAGAACTAAATGTAAAACATCAACAAGGACAGAATCTGCCTCCAATTGCTCAACATCTAGACGAAATTCGCAGCATTTGAATGGTCCACTGACTTCTATGTTTTATCCTGGCATGAACCTTTAGCAAGTAGGTCACATAAGCATGTTATGTAATTGTTTCCACTTTTATCCAGTTATGGTTCAGATTAGCATCTTGTCAGATGATTTTTCTAATTTGATAATTTTTCTGATTTAATCATTTCTGTCTAATAAGTCCTCATTAATGTCAGTTTTGATTGACAATTGAAGCTAAAATAAAGAAACATTACAGCAGCCATTGACTGTAATTGTACCATAGAGTGGTGCCATGAGAAGCCCAAAAGTTTCAACTACTGAGAAAGATAGAGTAACATAATTAACTGAATTCAGCGGTTTAGCTTGTTGTTGCACACATGCATGTCATTGAACACACTGAACTTAACTAGGGTCAATGTGTTTATAAGATTGAATGTTGAACTTTGATGTTCTTCTTTAACAGGTTCTGATCCAAACAACAGGTGATTGGAAAAAAAAAAGAAACCTATATTTAAGTGAACTCAGTTACTTCCGAGATAAGTCAACTTGGATGAATACATTGGAAGCTTCAACCTCAGTGGTCAAGAAGAGAAACCTGAGGTTTTGAGAGGCTGCTGAATTAGTTGACCTAGATCAGTTCTAATTTAAAAATGCAAAACTTTAAAATGGTTTAGAAGAGCATGTGTCCATTAAGGTAAGTGTGAGGAATTAGGAATTTGTGTCTATTGTGGCACCCCCTGTGGATAAAGAGATAGCTTTTATGTCTCAATCTGTACATTTGAAAGTACTCTTTTCAGACAAAAACTAATTCTCTAGTCTACTTCAAGTGAAATGCATCACTGTGAGCATTTGCCACAAAATATGGTTAAAAAGGCTGTTTCTTAAGCTTGATATTCATCTGGTCAGACACCCAACCTCTTGCAGCAGTGTCAGGCATCAGATTTTACAACTGAACATTTTTCAGCCTTGTTGCTGATGGTCTTGTTTGCTTCTGAAGGTCTTATGGAGGTACCAGTATCAGTTTTAGTCCGTTTCCCAACCAGTTAAAAAATCCCCACAGTGCCTTTAATGACATTTTTGGTCAAATTTAACCCTCAAAATAATCAAGTAAAGGTTGATTTTTGACCACAGCCATTACTGTCAACAAAACTGATATATGAAATCCCTTTTAATTATGATTCATCTGTGATGAAGAGGTGACATTAATGAGAATGGCATCTGATTTTAACCAATAGCCCTCAGAGCATGGCAACAAATGCAGTTAATGCAGCAAGTTTTGTATAGAAAATCAATTCCGCTGTGCAAAAAGGGTGAAAATGGGCCCAATTTAACAGCCTTAAAAGGTTTTCCTATTTTCAGCTTATTTCTCTATTCACTGTACAAGAATCATTTTGTCATAGCCCGCAAGTTTGCATTCAGAGTCATTACAAAAAAGGTCATGCTGCTTTCTGACTGCTGAGTATTGCAGTAGCTAATTCAGTCAGTGCATTTTATCATGAACCCATTACCAGATGTAAAGTCCATGGTTACTGCATAAACAGAACAAGTCCACTTTTTTGTCACAGGTCTTGTCACTCTCAATACGCTTTTTCAATTATACAGTCCACTACGGCATAACAAAGGCACTTTTCAATGAGGGAGAAAGTGCAGAGTGCCACTAAGTGACCCGTAAATCAAGATAATACATACCCTTTTGTCAGAGCATGGTGTTATTATACCCAACAAAAGTTGTGTGCATGATGGGAGGATGATCCCAGCTGTCTCCTGCCTTTTGTCTTGAAGAGCTCTCATTCTCCGTCAATGAAGGAGCTTAGAAAGCAAGAGTCTGAATATTCTTTTTAACTTTTCTTCTTTCCATAATGCATTTATTTGGTGACAGGATATAATAAAAAATATTGTGCTCCAGTGGTAATTTGTTTTATTGTAGAGCTGTGAAACTTTTTCATTCCCACCCCACTCTGACCGGCGGATCAATGTTCTCGCCCTGATCATGTTCCATCAGCAGTGATTGCTACCTTACTACGTCAGACCTTTTCACAGATATGGGGTAAGAATACACAGCCATTACTTTTCCTCACAAAAGCAGTGATTTTTTTTCAACAGTCACACGTGTCATTTCTCACTCTTTGACCGGGGCTTTTTTCAAAAGGAGGCTCCACATGTATTAACCTGTGCCAGGGCTATCAACTCTCTGCTTTAATATATCACAAATAATATGTATTATTATTTCCATCAGACACACCTATTTCCTGCTTTTGTCACATATAGAAAATCAACTTATCGCTCTCAAAGCACTGTAATGCCATGAAAACCAGGCCACACAAGCTATGTGGTGTTTCATCTTGGCTGTCATGGATTTCATTAAGTCAAAGAGGCTCTCTCAACATGAGATAACATGTGACAGACCACTTGACAATTGGCTGCTCTGGGTTTGAAGTCTGTCTCTGTTGAATCATTAATGACTTCATGCAGAGTACAACCATTACTGAGATCCCTGTAGCCTCAACATATAAGTAGATAGACAGAATTTACTGTCACTTTTTACAGGAAAATTTTGTTTAAGGAACATTTTAATCCAACATGTTTTTTCTTTTTCTTTTTTTTTTTTATGTATGGTGATGTAGCAGATCCCGTTCCACTTCGTCAAATGGATTAGATGCCGCTGTCCATGGTGCTGAAGTGCCTTCTGGAGCTTGTATAAGAGGTGGATTCAGACCACATTAACTGTACACTGATGGTGTCAAAAACAAACAAAAATTAAATATTATCATTTCTCAGACATGTTATATAACACACACACACTTGTGCACGCACACACACTCAAACACACACACACACACACACACACACACACCTGCCACAGCATAATGAACACAAGGACAATCATATGCAATGCCATACACAGCGCCACAGCAAACCCTTCTTTGAGGAAGCTTTCGATTTTTTGTTGACATGATGGTGATGACTGTACTTTGTCCTATAAGTAATTACTTTATTATACAGGGGAGAGTGGGGTAAGATGAGTCATTTTTCATATTTTGGATCACAACATCAAGGCAATCATAATTTTGTCTCTAACTTGTGTATCTGCATATATTTCAGGATGCATCCTTGCAAACCAAAAGAATGAGTGTAAACAGAACTGTCGTGCCAAAAAAGTGGTCTCCTATGGTCAACTTACCCCATGTGTGGGGTAAGTTGACCATAGGAGCGGAGTAAGTTGAGCCGTATCCCTACCCCCAGCCCTTCCTCACCTTTTCTCTCCCTATATAACAGTCACTTCTTCACATTCATGTGTATTTTTATCTATTATACACTATTCAACCGGTACAATTATTCTTTTTATTATTGCATATAACTGCTAAAAAGCTGTTTTGTAAAAAAACAAAAACAAAAACAAAAAAAACATTTTAACATGAGAATGCCTTTAAGTGATTCAGAACATTCACAGCTGTCTTTTTGAAAAGAAAAAGTAACATATTTCAACAATCTGAACTGAAACTCTGATCCTCTCATCATGCCCCTTTACTTTCTCAGTTGAGGCACTGACTCAACCTACCCCAGAACTACTATTTTGAGCTAAAGTGGCTAAAATGGTGGACTTTTATGCTAGGTTTTTGACCTCATGTTGTGGCTCATAGATACAACAATGAAAAATGTTTTTTGGAAATAAATGTCCAACCCCTTTAGCTAGACTCCATGAATTGATGCCCATCTCCTAAATATTTGGTCACATTATCAATTTCTTTTACCATTTCCAAGCAACAGGGGGTGGCTCAACTTACCCTCTGGCTCAACTTACCCCACTCTCCCTATGAGTACATTTATCACCTGAAGAAAAGAAGAAATCAAAGGTAAAAGCTTCCTATTGGTAGAATATATGGTGGAGCGGTTGTTTTGGATAGTATAAGATAACTCAGGAGTTCATAATGCTGGGGCACCAGTGTGGCTAAATTTAGCTTTTAAACAGTAATTATATCGTTGAGCTTTTTTTTTTTTTGTAAAGCAAACATTTCTGCCGACATCTTGTGGCCGAAACGAAGCAGTGTATCCTCACAATCAAGAAAGAAAAAAAAAAAAAAAAAAAAACAACCGTTGACGTCACTTCCTCTTTTCTTCCTGTTGACGTTAGCCAACACGCCCAGCGTTCATACATTTGACTGTACTCACAGTGAATTAATAATTTGACAACATATTCAGCTCTTCGTTTCGCATGGTAAGAATGTGGTAATGTTTTTAATATGTGTGCTTTATCCAAACTCTTAAAAAATGTCAAACCAGGGCTAATGTAACTCCAATACGAGAGTTCTCAATGCATATGTTGGCGCTCTGTGTTAGCTACCTGGCTATCAATCTCGATAGTCGGGTCGTAATTACGTCACATGTAATTCAGTGTGTGTATGTTTGTAGTTATGTGACAATAGATGTGAGCTCACTTATCGGATAACATTAGAGTCGCTTAGAGTCGTTCACAGCTCACAAATAACAAACAGACAGAGAGCTGCTAAGCTAACGCTGACCAGTCTGGTGTAGTAGTTCAGTGAATCAGGCTCCTGTTACTCTGGGAAACAGTTTTTCTAAATATATTCACTCGGATCCAATAGCTTAACGTCATTATTATGTAATTTTAATGACTCGACACTGACCGTGTGTGTTTCTGGTTCAGTCCTGGGTCAAAAGTCCACGGCTCTCTGCAGTAAAGTCTTGCTCTCGATAACGTCCATGAGCCACTTCTCTCTGAACCTGGTCCACCCAGGTGTGTGGACCAGCCTGTTCGACTCCACTAGAAACAGAACTTCCACGGGCAGAGTCTGGGGCTTGAATTTAGAAATGCCCACGACGAAGTAGACGCTGGCTATCCCCTGAATGGGCCTCCGCGGACTCGGGGTGCTAAAGCGGGCTCGGTAGTGGTAGAAGGTATGGTGGTCCTCCTCAGCTGAGTAAAGAAAGTCCACACTGTAGAGCCAGCAGGGCTGCAGCTCCCAGGTCAGGATATACTCCCCAATCTGCGTTTTCCCCACCTCTACCGTGAAGTCCCTGCATGTTATCCAGGTGATATTCCTCTCGTCCCCCTGTGGAGAGTTCTCCACTTGCTCCTTGAGGACACCGCGCCGGTGTTTCTCCAACAGAGTCTTCACAAGCTGAGCTGACTCTGCTGAGACTTGAGGATTTAAAGATGCTCTTCCGACCTCCATAAGGTTTTTATCCTGGGAAGAAACAGTCAAAAGTGCGTCTGGAAACTGTGACTTTAGCTCAACGATGGCTCTTGTTGTCAACGGTTTCTATGGTTACCAGGACATGGCGTCGGATAAAGACCTCTGGCCCTGCTTCCTTTTTTTTTTCTTCACATCACTTGAGTTAAAAAGCCCAGAGGAGTTGTGTATTTTAGCTCATCTCTTTTCTTGTGATCACGGTTGAATTTCAGCTGTTTTATGATGATATCTGAGATATCCTCTTGATGTCAGGTGATCATATCCTGAATCTCCAAAACTGCAGAGGTACAAAACAAACATGTGGCCTAACTACACTGTCATGCACTGACTCTTGAGAAGTAGGATAAAACGGGACACAATGTTGAAAAAAAAAAATCTCATGCGTGGATTAATGAGATTACATATTTATATCTGCCATTTTTTAAGTTAGTGGGATGTGTTTTGATGCAACCTCCTATGTTTTCTCATTTTTACCCCAAATGTGTTTTTTCCTTACACTTTTTTTGTCAACACTAAAAACACAAATTAACTTTTCTTCAGATAACACAGCACCTTTAAAAACTAAAAAGAAAACTATATTTTTTGCCAATCTGACAGAGCCACCAAGAAACTTACTTTTAATATGTTATATTTTTATAAAATACAAGCTTTAAAGGGATATTCCGGTGTAAAATTAAGTTGAGAATGTTGCCGATCGCTTGCTTCTCTAGTTTTACCAAATTTATTAACAATCGCACGATAGCAATACACAGCGGTCCCAGGAGCCATAAACAAACCTCAACTAAAACGCTACTCTATAGCCACAAATGATGCTCAGAACAGCAACCAACTTCAACAAGAGTACATAAAGGGCCACCAAACATCTTTTAAGCTTCGACTAATATCTTTAGCAAAGAGGCTAAAAACAACTCACCCTCTCTCTTCCAGCAGCTGCTTGTTTGTAGCGAGACCTCGGGCTAGTCCATTACAGACTGCAGCGGGGTGACGCAGCTCAAGGAAGAACATTTATGATCATTACCTTATCATTTCCTTGAAGTAATAATCACCATATTAATCATTTTGCACTGCAGACACGGTAGGTCTTCTGCCTTAGCGTCTCAGTCTGATTGCATTTCCATGAAGAAATGACCATAAATGTTCTTCCTTGAGCTGCGGAATATCCCTTTAATGTACGTTTTCTGTATTGAACTATGTTTTAGAATTTTAACTTCACCTTTAACAGCAGTCAAATGTTTTTTTAGGATTTCAAAACACATTCTCATAATAGAAGAAACATTGATTTTTTTAAATTGATCAACAGTTTCTCAAAATAGATGAAATATTCTGATGACATATAATATATTATTGTTCTGACGGGGTGACACGTGTCTTACAGTGTTGACAAAAATCCCAGTTTTTAATCATTTTATCTTTCAAATGCATTGTATTATCAAAAAAATAGATAAATCAATGGTTTTGCTTATCACAGTGACTAACTTATTATTTGGTTTTCTACATACCAGGAAATGATCAAGTTATCACGAGAAAACAAGTGTTGCCATTTCATGTAGTGAGCTAAATAGGTTAAGATCACATTAATAAGATAAAAAGGTTAACATCTAGAGAACACAATTGGACATTACCTCTCACCTTGGTTAAGTGGGATACATGCAATGTATGGGTCTGCTTGGGACATTTGTGCAAGAGCTAATTTTCTCTCTGTTTTTTTTTTTCTATTCTAGGGAACATCAGATCAGCAGCTACTTCCACCTTTCCAGATTTCTCTTCATAATGGAATTTAAGTTAAAACAACAGTAGCAGATGGCAGGTAGTGTGCCAGAATGCTGCATCATTTTAAACTCAATTTATTTCCCTGATTAACTACAAATTCTCAATTGCTGTTCCAAGTGAGCCAGCAAACGCATGTCGCGAATCAGGACCACCCTCGACAGCGTCACCAAGGCAGTCGGCAGCACAGATCTCATATCTAAGTTCTCCCGTCTGAAGCCTGGAAGCTCTGCAGTCAACAGCACCCATGCTGAAAAAGCTTTGGTCAAAGCTGAGATCTTAAACACTAACAACAACACAGCTGCTGCTGCTGCTCCACCACCTGAAACCACGATGAGGGAAGAGGAAGAAAACTGTGAGAGCAATAAAGCAGAGGAAGAGCAAGTCTCAGAAACACCTTTCATCGCCACCAAGAAGTCTACCCCGAGTCTAGCTTCAGCAGCGGCTGCGTCTGCAGTGAGCTCTTCCTCAACTGTGGCCAAACAAACCATGCAGCTGTTTCACCCAGCTGCTTTGTCCACGAACATGGATGAGACTTACAGAACTCTGTCTCACCACATCAATAGCTACTTTGGCACTAGCCCACAAGTGGAAGCAGGAGACAAGACGCCACAGAAAGACAAAGTAGCAGATGATCCTGTTTCAAAGCCAGTTCTCAGTTCTATTCCCGCGCAAACTGAAGACCACATTCCCATTTTGTCTGAAGTTGCAAAGGCTAAAAGTAGTGAAGCCCTTCCTACCTCTTCTCCTCCTCTTACTTCTCCTCCAGAAAAGCCAAGCTCTTCAGAAGACACAACTTCCTCTGACACACCTTTACCTGAAAGTGAACCTCAGACCACACCTGCACCTGCTACCTCTCCCAAGAAAGGCTTCACCCACTATCTCTCCTACCCTCGACCCAGCATGCAGGCTTTTGTTGGCAGCTACATCGCCCCCCTGGTCCCTAAATTCAGAGGGGATTCCAAAAGCATTACAGCTGAAAAAGAAAAGCCGTCAGCAGTGGCTGTGGAAGAGTCCACTGTTGAGAAGGAAAAAGAGAAGACGGATAGTGATGAGGATGAAGAAGCAAAAGTGAGGCAACAGCTCTTGTTGCAAAGAGAGAAGGTAAGTCTCTTTATGTGGCTGTAATTGATGTTAAGTAAGGTTTATGCACAGAGAGCTTAAGACTCCTGACAGGGTGAACAAAAGACTAATTCCTCCAGTTATCCTTTTACTCTGCATTATCCCAGTTTTTACCCAGCAGCCAACCAAAGATATTAACTCAAAATATTTGTTTGAAGATAAAGGTGCTGACTTGTAAAACTATTTCTCCTTCTAGCCACAAAATACTCCCTTAGATGATGAGGTCAGTTGTACTCCCAGGAAAAGCTATATTCCGATTCATCGTATATGCATGTTTTATCAACACCAGACTTTATGTTTGACATAATTCACATTGAAGTCAAATCATTTGTGTGTCCTGTTGGCACTTGGAAAATCACAAACACTGATTGCGGTCCTCTTTCCATCATTTTCAAAGTCTATTAACATTTCCACTTGACCACGTTTGATTTGATATGTGTGTGATCAAGTTGTTCCCAGTATCGGTTGTTAATCTCCATAGTAATGAGGTTTTGACTAATCAAAATCAAGTAGCTTACTCAACCAATAACGGCTTATGACAAGTAGTCACAGAAAATAGAAAAATACTCAATTAACAATGTAGATAGAGTTTGAACTTACTGTGTTTAATGTTAAAGGGATATTCCGGCGTAAAATTAAGTTCAGGTCAAACACACCGTAACACTGAGTTAGACACTCACTTGAGTGATGAATGTTGCCGACTGCTTGCTTCTCCAGTTATACCAACATTAATAACGAGTGCATGATAGCAATACACAGCGGTCTGAGGATCCAAAAACAAACCTCAACCAAAACACCACTCTATAGCCACAAATAATGCTCAGAACAGCACCTAACCTCATCAACAGTACATATAGGGTCCCAGCTACCAAACATCTTTTTAGCTTTGCCTAATTTCTTTAGCAAAGAGACTAAACACAACTCACCTATTCTCTTCCAGCAGCCGCTTGTTTGTAGCAAGACCTCGGGCCAGTCCATTATGGACTACAGCGGTGTGAGGCAGCCCAAGGAAGAACATTTTCATTTGAAATTGAAATTACTTTGAAACATTGAAATGATTAAGAAATGATCACAAATGTTCTTCCTTGAGCTGTGTCACCCCGCTGCAGTTGATGGACTTGCCTGAGGTCTCCTTTCAAACAAGTGGCTGCTGGAAGAGAGTTGGTGAGTTGTGTTTAGTCTCTTTGCTAAAGAAATTAGGCAAAGCTAAAAAGATATTTGGTGGCTAGTGCTGTGGCTAGGACCATATATGTACTGTTGATAAAATTAGGTGCTGTTCTGAGTATTATTTGTGGCTATAGAGTGGCGTTTTGGTTGAGGTTTGTTTATGGCTCCTCAGACCGCTGTGTATTGCTATCCTGCGGTCCCTACTAAAGTTGGTATAACTAGAGAAGTGGTCGGCAACATTCATCTTTGGAGGGGGTGTCTAACTCGGTGTTACAATGTAAACTTAATTTTAAGCTTGAATATCCCTTTATCTGTTGCCATGTAGATCAAGTACAACACTTCAAATGGGTCAGGTAGTTTCCGATTGTCTTGCAGATGTGGACATGGTGTGTGTTTGTCTCACAGATAATAGCCAGAGTGAGTGTCGACAACAGGACCAGAGCGCTGGTGAAAGGCCTGCAGAGAGTCACTGAAGTCAAACTCCTCACCAGTCGAGTGGAAGAGCTCAGCTTTCACCTCCTGGAGTTCCCTGAGACACGAGGTGTCGCTATCAAGGTTTGTGCATGCGTGTTTAGCTTTGCACTAACCTTTCTGCTCAGTTAAATGTCAGATGGGTTGTGAATGTGACATTCTTGCAGTGAAGTATGTGTGTGTTTGGTTATGACCTTTTAGGAGAGTGTGATACCCTGCCTGCTGCGGTTGCGCCAAGCCAGAGATCTTCCTCTTCAGGCAGCTGTGAGGGAGGCGCTGTCCCTGGTTGGCTACACTGATCCTGTCAAAGGCAGAGGGATTCGGGTCTTGTCTATAGATGGAGGTGGAACGAGGTAAACACATCCCAAATAGCAAAAAAGGGGAGGCATCGATGAAAAAAGTTAAAACAAGGAACACATTTCCAGCAAACATGACTCCAGAAATCGCTGTTCCTCTCTGAATCATTGGAGCTGCAGAAACAAATAATGAGGAATTATGTGGTTCAGTTACACGTAAGAATGTTACTTTAAAGGAGCATGTCTGTCTGTGTAGCGGTAAATCAAATTCAGTAGCCAAATTTTTGTCTATAAACCATGTGAATTTATTACAGAGGACTCCTGGCTTTGCAGACCCTCCATAAACTGCAGACTCTGACTGGCAAACCAGTCCACCAGCTATTTGACTACATCTGTGGAGTCAGTACAGGTAAATTTGCCACTCATCTGACTTTCTGTAAGCTTTGAAACGACGCATAATTTTTGAAGGGATATTCCAGTGTAAAATAAATTTAGGGTCAAACACACCAAAACACCAGGTTAGACACCCCCCCGGGAGATGAATGTTGCCGACTGCTTGCTTCTCTAGTTATAGCAACTTTTGTAACAACTGCAGGATAGCACTACACAGCGGTCCCAGGAGACACACGCTCAACCAAAACACCACTCTATAGCCACAAATAATGCTCAAAACAGCACTTAACTTCATCAAACAGTACATATAGGGCCACAGCTCTAGCCACCAAACAGCTTTTTAATTTTGCCTGATTTCTTTAGCAAAGAGACTAAACACAACTCACCAACTCTCTTCCAGCAGCTGATTGGTTGTATGGAGGCCTCAGGTGAGTCCTTTGCCGCAGCGGGGTGACGCAGGCCAAGGAAGAACATTTATGATTATTACTTTATCATTTCCTTGAAGTAATAATCACCATATTAATCAATTTGCACCAAAGACGCGGTAGTTCTTCTGCCTTAGCATCTCGGTTTGATTGCATTTCCATGAAGAAATGATCATAAATGTTCTTCCTTGAGCTGCGTCACCCCGCTGCAGTCTATAATAGACTGGCCTGAGGTCTCTGTACAAACCCCTGTATGTACTGTTGATGAAGTTAGGTGGTGTTCTAAGCATTATAGAGTGGCGTTTTGGTTGAGTGCATTTCTTCTGGAATCGCTGTGTATCACTATTGTTATCGCCATAGCAATCATCACTAAAGTTGTTATGACTAGAGAAGCAAGTGGTCGGCAACATTCATCTCTCGATGGGGTGTCTAACTTGGTGTTACGGCGTGTTTGACCCTAAATTAGTTTTACACCGGAATATCCCTTTAAACTCTTTCTTTTTTGCTTTAGGAGCTATTTTGGCTTTCATGCTGGGAATATTCCAGATCCCTTTAGAGGAGTGTGAGGACATGTACAGGAAGCTGGGTGCAGATGTGTTCAAACAGAATCTTATTGTTGGAACAGTTAAAATGGGCTGGAGTCACGCTTTCTATGACAGCGAAATGTGGGAAAACATCCTGAAGTAAGTCAGAATGAGCCTTTTATTCGTCTCACTTTCAAAATTTCTGTCATTGCAAATTTCAAAGACTACTGTTTTCCCCTTATTTGTCTGTGACTGAAGTTTCCTCTTCATTTTCTTAAGGGAGAGGCTGGGCGATAGGATAATGATTGAGAGTGCCAGGAACCCAAACTGCCCTAAAGTAGGTCACATCAGCTCTACAAGAACAAAGATTTCAGACACGGATCAAATCTCCTCTCCTTTTCCTGCATCTCTTCTTAAAACCTCTTATTTTACCCATTTACTTGTAACAAATGAATTTCTTGTGTCCACTAGGTGTCAGCAGTGAGCGCCATTGTAAACAGGGGTCTACCTCTGAAGGCATACGTGTTCAGAAACTACAGACTCCTGCCTGGAGTGAGATCCCACTACCTTGGAGACTGCAAACACAAAATGTGGCAGGCTATCAGGGCCTCGTCTGCTGCTCCGGGATACTTCCAGGAATTTGTCCTGGGAAAAGATCTCCATCAGGTATGACAGGGGAGTGAGAAGACTGAATAGTCTTGGCAAAGTTTAGTTGAGGTCAGTGCGGTTTAGGTGAATTAAGTTATACGGGATGGAAAAACCAAGTAAATCAATCAAAAAATGAGACGAAGTGAAGTCAGTGGAAAAAACACCACAGATTGTTGTCTTGAGCAAATCTAAAGTATGCATTTTGTCCTTCTCAATCCCTGCTTTCAAAGATGGTTTTATCCTCTCTGATCTGGACCTGGACCTTGACCGCGTGAAAAAGTGTCAGACTACTTTTCAAACATAAAACGTCTGAATTAGATGTATTCACATGTCATTTCATGTAAGCAAATCAAGGAATCTAGAGAGTCACATGTTTAAAGGAGACTTAACTTAGTGTAAAATCTCACCATTTGATACACTTTTCTGCATTTTTGAGTCAGCACGTGAACCTCTTACTGCAGCAGAGTAGTGTGACGGTGTGGTGTGAATCCAACAGGTAAAATGCATACATGCTGGATGAGGAAAAACTAGACTGTTACCACTCATTTCTTATCTTATTGGGTGCGCTTAGCTTAGATTTTGAGTTGTGTTTATTGTTTATTGTTTAGGCTTATATCACAACAACAATGAAATGGATTTAGGTTTGTTGCGTTTATCTAGACTCAGATCCTTATGTTTTTTCCTTGCTTGTTCCCCCTCTCCTTTGGTTAATATGGGTCTGAAAGAAAGGGATTGAAAGAAAAGGGAATAAGACAGATGTAAAGACAGAGAACAAGAGTCCTTGGACTCCGTCTGCTCCCCCCTAAACATCAAAGGCCTTGTCCTCTTTTGACCCAGCTTGCCATCCTGCACAGAAGAGGGAAGCGTCTGAGTTGATACCCTATGAAAGTAAAATCCATCATGGCTCTGCGTGTCCAAAGGCTTGTTTCAGGCAGCTCCAAATTGAAAAACCATGTTGTTGCAGGCCATGTTTTTAGGATTTTCACTCCTCTGCATTCTTGCTCTTTGCAATAAATCAGAGTATGAAAGCTGGCTCTGTCTTCAGTCATGAAAAAGGGGACACATTAAGTCCAGAAATGGCAGTTGATTTTGGTGGATATGTTCAATCAACCTAAACAAAACAAACAAACTCTTGCGAGCTCATATCACAAAACAAATCTGATAAAAAAGTAGGTGCTAGACCCATAGGCGTCAGTTTAGGGGGGGACACTTTTTGTCAGGAGTTGTTTTGTCCCACACACAAATCCTTCACATGTAAGTCATTGTAACCCCAGTTATTTTCAGCAGTATAGAAAATCCGTATTCGTCCAAGAGTTGCTGAGAAACGCAGCAGACCTTCGCAAGGATAACAAAAACGTGCAGCTGTTGTAAATTTGCGTCTGTGCTAAGTTGAAGCTGCGACTCAGAGTGTGCTTTTTCTTCTGATAATTCCTGTGGTGAGTTAGAAAACTTGTTTGCATGTTTAACCTCATGATTATCCCGTGTGATAACTATATGCAAGGGGGCGTTAGTTGGTTACATGAAATAAGTCTGTGCATTTTATAGTTCAATCAATTATAGTCATCATCCCAAAGTCACTTTTGCTAGTAGCTGTCCCCCCACCTTTCGAAACAAACTGACGCCATCAGCTAGACCGTAAAAAAAACAATAAAAGAACTTTATAATTAATCCTGAAAGATACTGGACACCAATGCTAAGTCTTTAAAATGTAAAGTGTAAATCATGTACTATTGTCCCTGCTCCAGTCCCAATGAAGAAAACCTGAGTTTTGTCCTGGTTGAACTGTAAAAATGTCCCTGCCACCCATGACTTGATATGTAACCGTCCATTTACAGTTAAAAAGGGTCATTGGAAATTACAGTTAAAGTTGTGTGTCATCAGCATAGCTGTAAAAGCTGCCGTGACATTTCTGAGGGGTAACACGAAGGTTAAAAAGTGTAGGACCTAAATTTGACCCCTGGGGAACACCATAGTGTACAGTGTACAGTTTTGACAAGCATTTTCCAAGGGTGTCCACTCCTGCTTTTACTGAATCTTTTACTGATGCTTTCTTTATCATGTATATAAATTATAAGATGAGGGTGAGGAGGTGTATTTTATTTTGTTTTATTTATATGCAGCACTTTTTGTCACAGTATGGTTGTATGAAAAGTGCTTTACTAATAGGAGCTGGAATTCTTTTAAGAAATCTACCATCACTGTGTGTTGTGTACATTAGAGCAGTTTTTTCACTTTGGATCCAAACCACTTAGGCCCCCATCTCAAAGTGCCTGTGATGTTATTTTCTATCAAGTTTGATTATTAGGTCAGATATCTTTAGATGGTCTTTATGGGCAGCAATTACACTCAAGGCTCAGTTTAATTTCGATAACCTACTTAAGCAAAATTAGCGCTGTCCCAGCTTCTTTCCTCTCTTCTGCTACTTTCTAATGCAAGACTCCCTGTACAGTGTTTGAGACGATAACAAACGCTAATCTCCAGTCCCACTCTGCATGTTTACTGACCTAAGCCTTTATTCTTGGAGGCATTTAGAACAAAAACGAATGGCTTATTAGCTCTTAGCTGAATAAGGGGGCGGGAAAAACCTGGGTACAAGAAAACAAAATAATGTGCAACCTCTTGCACAGAGCTTAAAATGTGTTTGTTGTTTTCTGGACAGAAAACTCTTTTTATTCTGTGATTAGCATGCTGTCAATGTTATCTGCCAGTTTTATTTTCATGTATTTCAGCTGGGCTGTTTTAGGCTGGTCCCGTAGACTCTGGGACGACAGCGAGGATGAAAAGATGGAGAGTGAATGAGCTGTGCGTGTTGTCCTCTACATTCCTCTTAAAGCTGCATAGTGTTTCATCGACAGTTCGAGCTCCTGTTGCCACCCACTGCTCTCACTCCTACTCTAGTTTTCAGCACCAGCAGCGGTATTTCTCAGGAAAATTCTACAGTTGCAGGACATCAGAAATACATATACACACACAAGCGTAAAAGAAGTGGGAAATGATGTGTTCACAGCCTTAACATAGAGATGGATTTGAGATTTTTCCACCAGTTTAGCTACATTTTGTCTCTCTTTTGTGATTGGACATAAGCTGGGTGTCATTCAGTCAGGTGACACCTCAGGGTGAGTGGTCGAGGGTCAGAGCTGAGGAGCAGCTGTGTAATTAACCTGTGGTCTCCAGAGTGTAAACTGTGTTCTGATGTTTGAATAGTTAACACCTGAGGGTAAAACAGCTTTATAATTAGGTCCAGGGTGTTTAAGGCAGCAGTGTTCAGTAATGACGAAGGAAGCGGCATGGTCCGACAAACCCTCCACTCCCACACCTCCAACCTTACCCACTGGAGGCATGGAGATGACCTTTACCCCTGCTCTGCGGGGTAGGCGCAGACCTCGTGTGGGCCACGTTTTCCAGCTCTGTTCGCAGAGCCAAAGGCACTACAACAGCTGGATGTGGTCCAGAGCAGGACTCGGGGAAAGGCTGAGAGAGTGTGTTCAGCACTAAATCTGCCCGGACATCCATTCAGCTTCACTTTCAATGATTGTTGGCATTATTCAAATCAGCAACTCTCTAATGAACCCAGTTACATTATTCAATGAAAGAGAAACAAAGCGAGCACATAATTCTGATTACCCTCTTGTTCAGTCAAGATTAGGAAACCGGAATAAAAGATGATGATTAATTCAGCCTTTGGTTCTTTAAATAGCTCCAGTCTAGACCAAACAGTGGAGAAAAAAACATCATTTTTAGCTGTCAAAAATGATGACCTTACCAGCTTGTTTTCTCCTGAACTAACAGGGCGTTTTGCCAGCACAGCACATCTCTAGCCAGGGAGCTTCATTTCCTCTGGACTGAAGCTGTGGAGCTGTTGGACTGCTTACTCCCTTCACCTCATTTGACCCCTGCAGAATGTCACATTAAATTTATTGAAGCTAGAGGCATGTTATTTTTATTATTTTATTTCCGGTGTCCCCTCTGCACATTAGCCTTGGTTTGTAAGCATATCTGACTAATAACAAGCTAAAGGTGACTAAAAAAATTTGTTTAGCTCTGAATTTTGGGGCCTTTTACGATCTTTTCTACAGGCTTTGCTGTCCTCTTTATCATTTCCATCTTTATTTTCTTCTTTTCTAGGATGGAGGACTCCTAATCAACAACCCAACAGCACTGGCCATCCACGAGTGTAAGTGTCTGTGGCCCAACACACCGCTGCAGTGTGTGTTATCTTTGGGTACTGGACGGTACGAGGCGGCAATCAAGAGCAGCCCAACTTACACGAGTCTGAAGGCAAAGCTCACAAATGTCATCAGCAGTGCTACAGACACAGAAGGTAAGATGCTAGATATGTTATTAAAGGGATATTCCGGCGTAAAATTAATTTGCTGTTCTAGTTACACCAACTTTAGTTAGAGAAGCAAGCGGTCGGCAACATTCATCTCTCGACAGAGTGTCTAACTCAGTGTTACGGTGTGTTTGACCCTAAATTAATTTTACGCCTGAATATCCCTTTAAGGTAAGCTGTCAGAGGGAGGTGTTGCTTTATTGCAAGTATAAGGGCCTGTCTCCACTGATGCCATTTCTTCCTGACTGTGCCTAAGACCTTAATTTTATAGAGCTTTTCAACAGCACTCGGTTATGAAAGTTGCTACATGGTGCTTCCTTTGCTAATGAATGTTAAGTGTTTTTTAATTTGAATACAACGAATGCTATTGATGGACACAGGCCCATAACCTGCCCACAATTGCTTCTTGACATTGATCGCTAAATTCACCTCCGTCCCCATTTCAGAGGTGCACACGATGCTGGACGCTCTCTTGCCCCCCGACACCTACTTCCGCTTTAACCCCTACATGTCTGAGGACATCCCATTGAACGAGAATCGCGTGGAGAGGCTGAACTTCCTCAAGAGCGAGGGGGAGCGCTACCTGGAGCGCAACGAGGCCAAGCTGAAGAAAGCCGCCAGCGTGCTGGGTCAGGAGAAGAGCACCATCCAGAGAGTGGCCGAGTGGGCCAAGCTCAAGGCTGATATGTATGAGGGGCTTCCCTTCATCTCCAAGCTGTAGGTGTCGGCTAAAACAGTGAATCAGAGACCACAAAAGAGGTATTTTTAAGGTAAGGAGACATGGAGTCGAAACTGACTCCCAAGACCTGAACAATTTTGCTGAACAGGGAACAACTTGGATACTGTCTTTCAGCATCTTTTGGCAATTTGGAATAAAATGCCAAATTAGTTGTTCACATGGTTTCATAGTCATCCACTTGAGGACTGTAAGAAAATTAAGCTGTATGTTTTAAAAGACGTTAATATTACATAACAGAACAACAGGGTGAATGAATTATAAGGACAGGATGAATTCAGCAGGTTTGGACTCAAGTTTATGAATTTTTAGCTGGTTAAAAGTTGTTTTTCTGGAGTGCACAAAGACAATATTGTGGTGCTGAAAAAAAGATAAGGAAAATCGTTTAAAGGAAATCTGTTGTTATTTTGTAAGAAAGAGACTTCAGTTCCTACATTTCAATAACTTGAATACAATATTGCACAGTGCGGACAGAAACGCGACTGCCTATTTTTAACACTGTACAGAAGACGGACCTCATGCACTTTGTATCGTAGGATTCTTGTCAGAGGAAATATACCTAATATTTGAAGTACTTCTAATTTATTTGAGTGCTTTAGCTGTAATTAAAAACATGCTAATGATCTGCTAATAACCCATTTTATGTACATGTATTGGCACAAGCTGTAGAACCACACTAAAACCTCTGATGCTGAGGAGAAAGTGTCAGAATAGGATTATTGTGTTCCTCCTTGCACAAAGCATGCTCTTTATTGTGGCCATACTAAGACGCTTGTAAAGCTTTTGCCTTTGACTTTAACCAAGCCTGAGTTCCTCGGTCTAGATTCAGTTTTTATTGCGAGCATCCTGGTTGTCCAACGTTGTTGCTCTGTGGAATGCGAAAGAGAAAAAAGTGTCGTGAAAAAATAAAACCTGGTTTTTAAAACCCTGAATAGATTCCCTCTTTGAAGATATGTGTGATTTTTTTTTTAATTTTCTTTTTTTTTTTTTTTTTATTGTTTTTCCTTTTACAAAACATTTTATAAAGTGAACATGTTTTTTTTTTTTTTCTCTTGAGTATGCTGAGAATACATATATATGTATAACACAGGACTATCATAGTGAGCACAAGCACACACCAGAGAAGGACCAACAATAGAGTCGTCACAAAGGAATTCAAAGCATCTCCCTGTGATGAATTGCTTTCTTATTCCAGTCGCACACGTTGAGTTTCTGCTTTATTGTTTTCAACTCCATTGAAGATCCGCTGAAATTCCTCGGTGTCATTCCTCCCAGTCACACTGTTGTTACTCCAACCAACATGAACAATGCTCCACAAGGAGGCAAACGCACAATGACTGCACAACTATGACACATGTCAGAAAGACAGAGAATCAAACGCCGAGAAATTCACTTCACTGCCTTGTCCCTGGATTGACTGAATTGATGTCTTTTTTTTTCATCAGCCGGAGCTTCAGCAAACATCAAGGTCTGAGTTGAGTCGATGTCGCTGTCACTTGTCCTCACTCGAGAGAAGTCATAGCAGTGAAATAAGTTATTGAATTTTTGAAGGTCCATCAATAGTTTGCTTTTGCGTACGTGTTTGAGAACAGAATCAGAAAGCAAATGACTCTAACAAATATATATTCTTTTTTCCATCAGCACTGTGAAACATTTCTTTATCTTTAATGGATTTTCAACATTAACGACACATTGCTAAAAGAAAAAAGGGTAACCCTTTCTTATACCGTATGCTTATTACCAGGTAATTAACAGGTAAGTACCTAGTAACAATATGAAATTATCTGGTAATAATATGATAACTACTAAGTCAATTCTGTCTAGTTTTTCTTTTTTTTTTTTTTCTGTGCAGCTCCATTTTCAAAAGCTGTTTGGGGTTCTTATTTTCTATGATTGACACTTGATACAGGCTAGGGGCATGCGAAGATTGCGTAGAGATACGCTGTTTGAGCCGAGCATCATCACAGCGACTCATCCGCCGAATGGGTACAATGCTACTGCGCAAGTGGTGGTTCCAGGAAGCGGAGAAAATCCTGGAAGTACCAGAGCGATTCGGCTTCAAATTTGTATGATGATGTTGACTTAGTATTTATTATGTAATTACCAGATACTTTAATGTTGTTACTAGGTAATTACCTGGTAACAAGTGCACCGTGAAAAGAAAGGGTTACCGAAAAAGGTTACCGAAAAAGGTACAGCGCTTAGATAATTCACCTAACACCAAGAACATTGCCTGAAATTGCATCGATCTGTTAGGCTGGTTAATGTAATTTCGTGGAAAAAAAACAGCATTTGCCGATATTTGAGCCAATCACATCACGCATTACGACAAATACAGATAAAAGTTAAGAGGTTAAAAGTTAGGGTTCCTATAAGCTCCAGAGTTAGTCATATTTGACAGTCATAGACTCGTGGTCAGTTTGAAGGGAGAGAGGCTGGAGCCTTCGCTGCATACATTAAAACGTTGTTCAGATTTATGTTTACGTTGTTATGACTCAGGTTGGTGTTTCCTTTCCTTGCATAGACCTCAGAGGATCTGTTTTTGTATGAATTAACAGCCTTACCTCACACCTCCCCTGATCTAAATCAAACTTTTAACACAGAGGCTTATTTGTTGCTGTGAAATTCCTCCTGTCAAATCTGGCATTAATATTATTTAGACCTCGTGTTGGGCTGTGTGCAGACTGAGCGTCTCTGACAAGCACAGAGGAGGCAGACAAATGAGGTAACTATGAGATTAACGCTCCCCGCCGATGTTCGTCCTGTTGCCAATTTTTGCATGCGTAAAAGGCCAGAGTGCCGAGGTGAAGTGGAGTCTGCCAGCCTGTGTTTACATGAAGAAGTGTGAAATTTATATATAGTTCATACCGCTGCACTATTAGTTGGTTGTTGTGGCAGGAGCTCTGTCTTCATCCCTCTCTTCCTCCTCCTCCTCTTGCAGAATTGGATCGTCTGGTCTTATGGTGTTCCCTAGCAACTGGGTATAGTTTCCCTCTCATTTACAATCTTCTCAATGTATGTGTGCCCACGTTTGCCTAAAATTGTCCCTGATCGAGCTGAAATATATTATACAATTGACCCCCTTTTATGAGTTGGCTGCTGCAAACATGTTTATTTTTAAATGCAAAGAAGTGACCGCACATCAGTTTGACACCATAATCCCTCATGTTTTTGAAGCTCCATTGGTTGGCACTTACTGTTTATCAGGTCAACATCTTGCCACTTTATTCCCTCTTCTTTTACAAACAACCGTGCAGCTTGTTTGGAGAAGTTTTTGCAAGTTGTCTCGCATTGTTTAGTCACAGCTCTGCTTTGCTTTTGAACGCACCACAGCGGCAGAACCTCGCCCAATGGAGCTGTAATTACAAATACAGAAAAGCAGTTAAGCTTGTGATCATAATCTATCAATTTACAGTAGCTCCAGTGATGCAAGAAAAGCAACAAATACACCCCTGAGGGGTTTGAAGTGAGTGTGAAGCCCACACAGGAATAGAAATGAGGGAGAAGGGATGGATTAATGCATCCCATCTGTCACTGCAGAGGAGAAATATCACCCAAAGGGCTGGAGCAGAATTCATTTCCAGACCCTTCCCTGTGAATTTCCCTCTCAAACCCCAGGTCATACTAGGATATGGGAGCTCTAACTCACAGGTAGAGGGCAAACCCAGCTGTTTCAAATCATTGACATAGCTTTTAGACAAGTCAGGAAGGCTGCTGCATAAACAATACCCTGGTCCCCATCAAAGAGACATTGTCCTCCTGTAATATATCCTGACTTGTGTAAACCTGTTTTAATGTACACAACTCCCCCGCTTTAAAGCAGATCTTAGGAATGTAAGTTGGTGCAGAAAAAAAGCAAAATGTTTTGTCTGTAGCTTAAATTTAACAGAAAGATTCACTGTTGTGTTTAAAGCGCCTGGGAATATTTCACACTCTGTGGCGGTATGTCTATAAAAACCCACATCTGTGTGTCATCATGTCTCCTCTAAAAGACATCGTTTACACAGTGCTGTGGTTCTCCACAGATCCCTGCCAGTCGGTTAGTGTGGCGACACACCTGCGCACACAGAAACACACACCTACACGCACACACATCCTATTTGTCCAACAGCTCTGCATGAATGTCAAAACAACACTGCCCGTGCCCATGGTTTCAACGTCTGTGCAGTGTAAACCAGTCCTGTAGATCAACACTGAAAAGATCATCACATGTTCAGCCTCTGAAAATGAATGATGCTTTTCAAGTCTTGAGCTGGAGCAGAACTTTGTTATACACACACACACACATGCACCAACGCAATTTTATCTTCTGTCAGATCACGTCTGGTGAAAAATGTGAGTCAAACTCTCTTTTGTTTCGGCCCCAGACTACCCTCAGGACTTGTCGCCATTACCAGTACCAACAGTCCATGACTCACTTGTGAATGCCCCATGGCTCGAATGAGCATTACATGCAATTTTCATGTGACAAAACTGTGCATGTGGACCCTTTATTTTCCATATTGTGCCGATGACCTGTGCATGCCTCAAGGTGAGCTACACATGAATAAGCCATTGACCATAATTACTCAGCGGTTATTTTTCTCCGACCTCGTGCTCAGGAGTGGGCGCTCATATGCTGTGGCGCGATTGTACCACTGTGTTTAAGGTCATCTATGGTCATCTAATTTTTTTTTAATTTTTTTTTTTTACTTTTTGAACAACTCACTGCTTCTCTGTTGAATAAAAAATAAATAAATAACATAGTTAAATAATTAAATCTAACCATTTAATAAGCTGACAAAAGCTTGGTAGTGTTTCAAACTACCAAACTAAACTACTAGATACAGGGCTAACATTTTAAAAAAGCAAGAATTTTCCCAATTAATCGGCCAATAAATCAGTATCTCTAATGACAACAATCCTTAGATACCCTGATTAAGAACAACTTAAAGGGATATTCCGGAATAAAATTAATTAAGGGTCAAACACAAAAACCCCTTCGAGAGATGACTGTTCGCTTGCTTCTGTAGTTATACCAAATTTAGTAACGACCGCATCATAGCAATACACAGCGATCTGAGGAGCCATAAACAAACCTCAACCAAAACCTTAACATTTATCATTTCCTTGAAGTAATAATCACCATATTAATCATTTTGCACTGCAGACGTGGTAGTTCCTCTGCCTTAGCGTCTTGGTCTGATTGTATTTCAATAAAGAAATTATCATAAATGTTCCTCCTTGAGCTGCATCACCCCGCTGCACTCCGTAATGGACTGGCCTGAGGTCTCGCTACAAACAAGCAGCTGCTGGAAGAGAGTAGGTGAGTTGAAATTAGGCATTGTCAAAAAGACGTTTGGTGGCTAGTGCTGTGGCTAGGACCCTATATGTACTGTTGATGAAGTTAGGTGCTGTTCTGAGCATTATTTGTGGCTATAGAGTGGCGTTTTGGTTGAGGTTTGTTTATAGCTCCTCAGACAGCTGTGTATTGCTATCGTGCGGTCCTTACTGAAGTTGGTATAACTAGAGAAGCAAGCAGTTGGCAACATTCATCTCTCGACGGGGTGTCTAACTCAGTGTTGCGGTGTGTTTGACCCTAAATTAATTTTATGCCGGAATATCCCTTTAAACCTTGAACACAGAAAGAGGGATATTCACTTTGTAGGTACTGATAAGAAGAACTTTATTTATTCCTGAAGGGAAATTCAACATTGAATATGATGGATGCAGTGTTAATGAGAAGCTCTGAATGTGTCTAAGATATGTCCAGGCTGTCCCACACTGAAGCTGAGAGGTGAGCAGTGTTCACATACGCCCTGTCATGTGACCTCTGCAGTTTAAAATGAGAGTCGGTGGGTCGGTAATGGTAATGTGATGTGCAGTGAGGCGTTTGACACCAGCATGGTTTGTCAGTGTGTGCATGAACCACCTGTGCTGTGTTTGAGTTGGTGTTGGAGGACACCTGTGTTTCACTTTAAAGCTGGAGAAAATCCCAGACCAGAAACTTTTCAACATCACTTTGAAGACTTTGACTTCACAGGAAGCAAAACACATTTGAAAGGAACTTTGTTTGGAGCTTAAGACCAGGTCCACTCTTTCTGTTAATAGCATGAAACTTAGCACACTTTTACTGCTCTATAAGAAGATTGAGCCGTTGCCATTGTAACTGTAGTGAGTTTTACTCATGGCATCACTAAAGGTGCTAATTACAACTCCCCTTGACAGTCTTTGACGGTTCTAGGGTAACAGTTACATCTTTATAGACACTACCTAATCACCTATTCTGCCTCATATTGTTTAAAATAAGATACTACCTTTGGTTAAAGCTCCTGTGAGGAACTTTTGTTTTGTGTCAGTCTTTGTCTTGACAGTTGACAGTTTATTGTAGGCAGGTCGCATGTGTAGTCTTCATTACACACAGTAACAACAATAACAGTAATCTGAAGGTGTTTTGCTCTCCTAACTATCTGCAGGTCCCTCTGCTGCCGCTCATTAAAACGGGGTCGCTGCTGTTGCTATTTTCTGTCTTTCTTTCTGCACCGGATTGGCAGCAGTTAACAGATAGGAAAAAATGCAGATATCTCACTCTGATATGATATTCGTGTACCAGAAATAAGGTGTCGTGTATTGTTTTTTGTTTTTGTTACTTTTTCATCAAGCAGTTCATCTACTAACCAAATCCTCCTTGAAAACGTATGATTTATCAATCGATATTGAGTCTTGCATATTGGATCGGCATTAAGGAAGGTTTTGCAGGTTAACCATAAACCCCAGATAGTGTGTTATTTTATTAAATTGTGTGCAAAATAGGCCTAATAATAGATTTATGCATCGGCTTCTACTGGCTGTGTTGTTTTACTGACTTAATCTTAAAACATACCTTTTTAGTCTTGCTTTTAACAAAATTTTATATCATTTATTTTGTTTAAGTATTTTAGCATTTATCTCTTCTAGTTTTAATGACAGGATCCTCTTTTATTGAGCTATTTTGTTGCTCTTATTTTAGTATCTTTTACTGTTGTTTTTATTTCATTTTGTTCATTATTTCATAAATTTCATTATATATCACTTTGTTTTTAGATTTTAAACCTCCAGTGTTTCCTTATCTTGAATTTTAAAATGGCGTTTCCCTTAGTGCACACATTCCTGTTTATATGAGATCGAGCTTTTTTTTTTAAGTTCCTGCATTTTAATACATGTTTCTATTGTGTTTAGATTGCGGGGTGGGGATGAGGGATTGGGTCAGTGGTTCTCAATCCAGTCCTCGAGCCCTCCCAGTCCTGCATGTTTTGGATGTTTCCCTGCTTCAACACACCTGATTCAAATGATCAGCTTGTTATCAAGCTCTGTAATGGCTCAATAACGAGCTAATCATTTGAATCAGGTGTGTTGGAGCAGGGACACATCCAAAACATGCAGGACAGGGGGGGCTCGAGGACTGGACTTGAGAACCACTGGGTTGTGTTGGGGTAGATAAGGGTTTTCTTTGTTTCTTTTATTCCTCTGCTATGTAAAGCACTTTGTGTCACATCTTTTTTGTATGAAAAGTTCTATACAAATAAAGACTGATTGAATGATTGATTGATTAATGGGCACTACTAAATAATAAAACCAACCAGAATTTCAAAGAGGCCTTGCATGTTGTCTAATTAAACCTGCTCATAAGGAGTCGATCTGAGTGGTTGTCATGTTTCTTCACCCAGGAGTGAGTCATCTTCTCACAGGAATAGACGATCTTTGTCGCTGCTGGTTTTGACAGCGGCGGGGGAGCTGGTGAGGAGGAGGAGGAGAGCGGAGGATCCGTGTGGACCACAGCTTGCTGCTGCAGCGGCTGAGTGAGGGACGGACACACTGGCCGGGCACAGTCCCCCTCTCTCTCTCTCTTTCACACACACACACTCACACACACACCTCATCCTTTTCTACAGCATCAGCACAGACTGAGTGGCGGGGGAGGAAACGGCAGCCGGACGGTGAGTTTTCTCTATTTTATCATGTTAGTGCTAATAGTGAATGTATTTTCCCCTCGTCGTTGTCTTCTATATCACTTTGGGAATAATGGTGCAGTGGGTTTGCCAGGTCGGTCTATTTCCATCCGCAACAGCATCCCGGTGATGTTGCTTGACGAGGGGCGACCAGGTGCAAATAATCCAGCAAATATGGAGGCGCCTGACGCCGATAGTCGTGTTTTTATCCGGATTCTGCAGAGCATCACAGACAGACCATTGCAGCTACTGCACTGCCTGCACACGCTGCAGCTAGAGCAACCATGTAAGACATCGTATGGGGAGGGAAAGCAATGTGTTGATCGGCTGTTGTGTTGAAAGAGGCGTCGGTTCGTGCGTATTGTTGCTGCTGCCGGCCGGTGCGGACAGGCCCCGCAGCACTGAGCGGATTATTTGATGTCTGCAAGTGATGCTGCCAGATGTAAGTCAGCTCCTTCTGCTGTCAAGACAAGTCCTTTTACTCAGAGGTGGAAAGAAAGACTGCAGACCTAAGGCCTTGTTTTTAATTGTAATGAATGGTTGGCAGGTGTGTATTGGTCTGTATAGGCTTTAACTGATTCTTCTATTCAACTAATCAATAGGTTTCAAGAAGGATCTAGTTGTTTTTCTGTTATATATGTTTTTTGTAGGGTGCTGGTGTTGTATTTTAGGATAACTGTAGGGAGTAGATGATCATCCAAAATTAATGGGTTCTTGTTGTTGATAGTGACCTGGTTGTAGTAAAAAAATGATTAGTGCTTAGTGAAAATGAAAGAGTTTTTTTAAGGATTAGGAGATTTGTGGCTTCACCTCTAAAAAAATACATGGACTTAAAATTCAAGAGTGGGACAAAATATCAAAACAACAATATTATGTCATCCAGACTGGTGCGATGCAGTTATTGAACCATGGTTGCTGAATCCTCATATTTTGATTTAAAGCACATTTGAATAGATTTTCCATACTAGTTCCTTGCATGGGGGAAAATTACATTAATCCTGCATTTAACCTTTAAGGAGCATTTGTGTCCTTCAGAAAATCCGATACTTAGACGTGTTATTGTATGTTTGGCAGTGTATCAGTTATCACAAATTCACTGTATTTTTAATTAACATTTTCAACGGCATATCTTTCATATCTTAGTCTAACACAGTGGTTCTCAAGTCCAGTCCTCAAGCCCCCCCTGTCCTGCATGTTTTGGATGTTTCCCTCCTCCAACACACCTGATTCAAATGATCAGCTCGTTATCAAGTTCTGTAATGGCTTAATAACGAGCTGATCATTTGAATCAGGTGTGTTGGAGCAGGGAAACATCCAAAACATGCAGGACAGTGGGCCTAGAGGACTGGATTTGAGAACCACAGGTCTAATGTTTTGATCATATCATGCCGTAAAGTATTCACATCATACTTTATCAATTCATGCTTCCCTGTATCCTTCCGTATCAAGTCTCATCATGTTGTATTGTATTGTACATTGTATCGTATTGTGTGGTGTTTTAATGGATTGTTTCTCCTAGTAACATGAGCCACTCTTTAGTCCTCAGCTCCACTGGAAGTCAACCCATTCTTGAAAAAAAGTACCAAAATCTGATTATTGTAGTCAATGTTCAAGCAAAGTATCAAACCCTCCAGTGTTATCCTCTTTATTGTTGAGTGTTTTTTGACATTTATGGAGCTTTTTACATTTTTTTTGACACATCATTGATTGAGTACCGTGCATGATGGCATGGATGTGAAGTAGAGGGTTAGGTTTAGGGGTCGGAGTAAGGTTAGGGTGGTGTCTGAAGGTGGTGATGATAGGAATCCTTATCTTTTTAAAACAGAAGACAAGTTGAAGAGTTATCACTTTCTTCCTCAGCCAAACTTACGCAAGTACTTGATTGCTCTTTTCTACACTATGAATTCCTTCCAAGCTCTTATTTTCAATCCTAAATGCCGTGAAATAAGCTAAGGCAAAAGAACTACCGTGTCTGCAGTACAAAATTATCAATATGGTGATTATTACTTTAAGGAAATGTAATGATCATAAATGTTCTTCCTTGAGCTGCATCACCCCGCTGCAGTCGGTGATGGACTTGTCTGGGGTCTCTGTACAAACAAGTGGCTGCTGGAAGAGAGTGGGTGAGTTGTGTTTAGTCTCTTTGCTAAAGAAATTAAGCAAAGCTAAAAAGATGTTTGGTGGCTAGTGCTATGGCTGGGGCCCTATGTGTACTGTTGACAAAGTTAGGTGCTGCTCTGAGCATTATTTGTGGCTATAGAGTGGCCTCATGGTTAAGGTGTGTGTATTGACTCCTTAGACCACTGTGTATTGCTATCGTGCGATTGTTACAAAAGTTATTGGTTGGTATCTTCTGAGTAATATTTTGCCAATCTGAATCTGTGCCACAGTGCTATTATCAGACTGGTAACCTACATTTGGAAAGTTCCAGTCAGCATTTCAAATTCATGCGTGAGGGAGGAAAACACGAGCCAGAGAAGATACATGTCCCTGTTTGTTTTTCCCAACTTTACCTCTCTCAAGGAACGTGTGTGTGTTGCTTTAATTGTCAGAGACATTGACGTACTCCCCGATGAAACAGGAGTTATATTAACCCAGTGTTCATTCTTTATTAGCCTCCGTAATTTCCTATTACTGTAAAACTCATCCACTTATTTTAATGCATCACAGCAGGAAAGGCACAGGTGTAATCAATCAAAGTAAATGATGGGGGAATGCCATTAAGACATTTGGATAGAGCTTAGCCATCGTTAATGATATTAGTAACACCTGTGCTTTTTGAAAAGGACAGCCTGCTGCGCTGACATTCAAACACACAATATCAGATCGTAAACTCACATCAGGTTTCTAAATCGGTGCCATTTGGTGTAAGTTTCCCATAAAGCAAATACCTTTGTATGTCATCCTGTGCCATTGCATGTCATGGCACTGCAGGTACTGTGTGTTGGCACCACCATTTCTGCCAGCAAGCTTGTTCACCCCCAGAGATATCACAAGGTCTGACTTGTGACAGGTCTCCTGACTGTCAGAGCAGCAGCAACGGCAGGAGCACCGAAGCCATTACTCACGCCAGATGCAGTGTCATCGTCACTCTCCCAGTCTCCCCGTTTCTCCACGGCCCATTAGACACGAGTCAGGTGATGGAGTTTATACATGGGGGGTTTAGGTGCATTCTCATTCTGCTCACTGCTGCCTTAAGTGATGACACAATTTACAGAGCAGGAAGATGCATAATGTTGCTTTCAGGCAGTTCTGGGATCAGGGGTCAAGTTGTCATGCAAGTCAGGGGAGATTGAAACTGTAGCCTGTGACGGTATGATAGTCCCCAACCTTTCTGGTTATGGTTTTTTATGGTGAACAGTTTTTGAATCTTTTATTTCATATCTTGAATGAATAGTCAGTAAGCTTCCCATGATAAGGATGGAAATATCTTAAAAGGATTTTTTTTTACTGTGATTTCTTGCCATATTGTTGCATCAGCCTTCATCAGATCTGTATGTTATTGCTATTAGTTTAACATCTTAATCTTTTAGCTGATATTTGACAGCAGAACAGGCAAATCCAGGTCATATTTTTAAAGAACTGTGTGATATTTGCTGCTTTTCTTGAACAAAATGTGTAACCATTTCAACTGAGAGCATTTGCTTCAATACCAGTTATTGTCTCCATGTTTGTAAAATGGTAAAAACTATATCAAGATCTCTTAATGCTCAAGGAAGTAACTTTACTACAAAAAGTTGAGATAAAAAAACTCACTTTACAGTCCTACAGAACAAATAGGTTGCTGCCATCAGAATCTGCTGTAGTCTGTATGACACGACCTTGGTTAACGTTTTTTTGTTTTCTCTGTGTTTGTTTCCGCGAAAATCAAATGAAACTGTTATGAGAAGCACTGAAAAACCCCTTATTTTAGAAGCTGAAATTAGACTTAATATGCTGTTTTGCCATTAAAAAAATCACTAATATGATCTTATATATTTTCTATTTCATGTCAGGTACACTCAAGGGTGTATCCTTGAAATCTGATCGGCCACCACCAACAACAAAATCTTAATTATGGTGAATTTTGGCTATTTGCCTTTTTGGAGGTTACACTTTTGCTAAATCAACTATTTAAATGTCGTTAAAATCACAGACTGTATAGTATATTTAATTTTGTAATTCCTTAAAGCTCCTATAAGTAACTTTCAGTTTTCATTGACTGTACCGCCCCCATGGTGCCTCTTAACACTTTCCTGAAAGACATGAAAATAAAAAAATCTCACCTGGTTTCTTCAAGATTAAACCAGTCTTGTTGTTTATGCTCCTCGAAAGAAATAATATGATACTTCAATGTTGATAGTCAAAGTAGAAATGAGACATTGATTGGAAAATTGATAATAATTCTTAATTCTTCTTTGTCCCAGTTGAAACAGTCTGGACTCACCCCTGACTTAGATCCATCTTTTAATCCAAAATACATGAGACGTTTTAAAACCAAAACTCATGAGGTGATATCTTTGAATACTAAATTTGGTCATGACTTGAACTAATTACTTCAGAACAGACAAATATTTATGTAATGATGGTATTGCATTATTAAAAACCTCTTGAAAACATTATTTGATTTTTAATAAACTGAGCCTTGAAGGAATTTTATTTAATTCAAAAGTTTTGATTAATAACTTATCTGATGATGCCAGTTTTGAAAAATATAATCACTAAACTATTAGCATTAGCATTTGAATGTTTTTCTCAGAGTCCATGAAAGGATATGAAAAGTTTCATACTCATATTTGCATTTTCTAGATGGATAGTTTTACTTGTATATTGTACACTAATCTGTTGTTATGTCTTTGACAGTTAGTCCCTGTGCTGCTCCAGGCAGGCTGTCACGACATAGAAACAATGCTTCTTTTTTAATTCATCCCCAGAGGTTATTAAGCTCCCTGCCAACATAAGCAACCAGCAACCAAGTATGCAGGTGCTAATGTTAATGAAGTCATAGTGGGTGCTCATCTCCTTGGTTGTATCTATAGAAGCTGCGGCCAAATAAATACAATTAACACAGTGGGTTCTTCTGTAGGCTTTGGGTTAATAGCATGAGCTCCCTGTGGGGATGATGTGGGGGGCATGAGCTCACCCCAGATGGACCTCCAGATCCTCGGCACACAGCCGGACATATTAGGGTGGCTGTTTTCATCCAGTGACGGGAACATATTAAATATTAAATTATATTGACTGGCTGAACTTTGATGAAATGGTAAATAAGTGAGTGAAAAGGCGCGTCTGGAGAGCCACACTCTGCTGGATAATTCTGATGAGAGCAGATGCTGTTGTTCTGTGCAGCCTCCATGAAAGACAGATGGTTTTTAGAGTTTTTTTCTCTTATTTTGGAAGATGATGTAATTGCTGGGAGATTGGAGAGACCCACTTTTGAGTACAATGAGAGACTGTGGGGAGTTGTGCACATATCTACTGTGTTGGACAATTAAGCCTTTAAGTTTGATGTGAAGGGTAGTCCTACTATATGGATAAATGCATCCTAACTAAAACTTGGGGGAATTTCAACATTTTAGGACAACAGGGTTAATATAGAGAATTACTCATATTAGTTATAAATAAAAGATAGCATCAGCACTATGTTGAAAACCTACCTCAGAAAATAACAGTAGATACAGTTTGGAGCTAAGGTGATTTATTCAGAGAGACAAAGGAGGAAGGAAGGAAAGAAAATGGAAAGAAGGGGGCATAGTAGAGAAGGAAGAGAGCAGGGGAAGAAAGGAAAGAAATAGCAGTGAAATTTGGAAACTGTAGAGAGAAGGAGAGGGCATGAATGGAAATGAAAAAAGATGGAGGAAAGGGCAGTAGGAGTAAAGGGGAGAAGGTAAAGGGGATACAATAGAGAAAAGGGAAAAGACAAAAGAAATGACAAAAAGAAGGAAAGAAACTGAGTGGGAAGAGAAGTTTTCAAGAGAAAGCAAGGAAAGCAAAAGGGAGAAAAGAAAAGGGAAGGATTAAGGACAGAAAATGCTGAGATGTCAGAAAAGGAAAATAAAGGGGAGAGAAACAAAATTATTGGTTGGAGAAAGACAGAGTCATGAGGAAAGTGAAAAAGGGGTGAAAGACAGAAAAAGGATATAACAAAGAGGAATAAATGGGAAAGAAGAGGGGAGTGGAAAAAAAATTAAAATCAAATGGCTGGGAAGAGGAGAGAGATATGCAAGGGGAAGAAAATTTAGAGGAGAGGAACAAAGGAAATGGGGGAGGTTTAAGAGGGGAGAGTAAACAGGAGGAGAGAGAAGAAAAGCCCAGACTTGGGGAGAACAAAGAGGAGAAGAATAAATATACAGAAGGAAGAGCTGCAATGAAGAGGTAGAGGAGAAGAAGAAAAGTAGAAACCTGCTGCTGAGATCTCCAGCTGTGCCGGGCCACATCTGAAATACAGCAGTAAAGTGGAAATTAATGATATGAGATGGAGCCCAGCAGGCTACTCCTCTTTGGCTTAGACATAAATGAGACATACTGTGGATGTAAGCACCGGCATGATAAGCTGACTCTAAAGGTCAGTAATACTCAACTTCTCACCTTGACATGTCCGACTGGGCACCTTCAAATCACGTATAATGTCACCAGTGGGTTTGGGTCTGGTTGTGGGCTGCAGATGAGTTGTTTCTGTGGATCAGGTGGACGGCAGATGGGTGAGTGGGTGAGTGCAGAGAAGATGCCAGACTGGTAGTAGCTTTTACTTGCTGAGCTTAAAAAAACATATCAGCAGATTTGCCTGAACGGCTGATTTAATTTTGTATTCTGAGCCATATGCAGGCAAAAGATTATTTCTCTTCACTGCAGTTTTATTTTAGCGCTCCTTGTTGTGATTATCGTTGCCGTGAGATCTGTGAAAGCCAGAAATTTGGTTGGATTTCTGAGGTTAAGATACTTTTCTTTGCAGATGATGCACTCGTTGTTAATATGCCGTAGAGGAAGGTATCAACATCAGGGCTGTTGTAATCCAGATTTGACAAGATTTAATTTTGAATACTAAGCCATATGCTTTTAGATTTATTTTTGGCACTTATGACTGTTATTGTAAGTGGTGGGAAATCCATGAATAGCCCAAAATTTGGTTAGATTTTGAAGAAGGCATACTCCTTTGCAGATTATGTGCTAATTTAGCCTTGCTATGTCAGGAAGGAGATACCATGAGAGCTGAATGTTGACCTGAATTTAGAAGAAGCGAGAGGTTTAGGCTCTTTAGAGGGAAATAACCCCGTAATGAAATATATCAAAGGCATATGGTTGTTTACAGGGCTGTATTAAGGCAAACAAAGAGGGAATTTCCAGATCCCACTGGTGGTGGGCTTAATTCATTGTACAGTAAAGGCTTAAAAATAATATTTCCCCCATCCGCCTCAATCTTTGTCACAGCTCTAAAATGATTAGTGGGGATTTGGGTCAAAGAAGCCATTAACACGCTGCTCTTATCATACCATGCACCCAGTTAGTTCAAGCAAGCAGTATCACATGGCCAGATTGAGCCAACCAGCCGTTACAGTCGTCTTTCAAGACGTCTGCTCAGTGAATAATTGAATCCATCAGCTCAGGCTTCTTCTCTCATAGGTAAATATCTTCAGACCCCAAGCAGTGAGATAGATTTGATGGGGGATTTATCTCAGAACCTTCACACATGGTTTGTAGAGTGTGTAATTATGCATTGCTTTAATTCATTTGCCTGAAGCAGAACACCTACACAGGACCCTAATGCTTCCTGTGGCCAGACTGGTGTCACTGCTGTGCAATTGCCTGTACCTTCAATCCGCAGAATAGAGTAAAGTAATGGTGTTTTATGACTGTATCTGAGTTATCCATGACCTCCGTTATATCAGTGTGTAAAAGGTTACACTCCAAAACATTGGTGGATTGATGCTCCGAGGCCTCGTACCATCATTCAGGGGAACTTGTGTAGAAGAAAATACCCAGTGACTCTGATTGTAATTGTTCGGTTGACTCTTTTCATTGAGCATCTGCTAAATTTCAGTGTGTCTAAGGTGTGGCTCCAGTTCAATGAAGCTTGCATGTGCCCCTATCCTACTTGTCTGACCAGAGATGAAAAGGCCTTTCTGAGGCCAGCACGCCCTCAGAAAGTGCCCTCTTGCTGCACTAAAAGACCGCCTTTGTCGGAAAAGGCGAACTGTCCAGTGAGCAGATGAGGAGGATGGAAAACAGAAGCAGTTCTGAGTGTGGAAAAGTCATTCATCAATTTAGGATGTGTCTGTTAACCTATAAACCAATTAAACCCAGACAGATGCCCCCGTTTATGGGCTTAGAAGAGAGCTCTTCAGTATCTGTCCCGCTAACATAATTCACTTATTCCAACTTTTATCTCTACTTCAACTCAACTATCTACATGTCCAAACTGGAAACCACAAATAATAGAGACTTACAGCCTGACTTTTACAGTTTTTGTCAAAGCGAAACTGATCTGAATTTAAAAAGGAAGAACACAAAACCAAATGCTGATACGGTAACTGTTTACAATAACATTTAGGTCATTAAACATGTGGAAAATGTTTCAAGGCATAGCTTTCTTATCAGGGTGTATTTTATGTGCATTACCAGTACAAGTCAGAATATTTACATCTGTTTTCATTGTAGTAAGAGAAGCTGAATGGGATGAAGATGCTCCTATCAGTAGTGTCAGATCTAGCAGGTCATGACAACGTTACATTTGTATGTGTGTGCATAAAGTGAATGCAATACATTAAAAAACACCTAACAAAAAGGCAGAAAAACTACACCCAGAACAAAATACATAAAAGAAGCAGATAAAATATACATTAGATATATAGAATGATCAGTCACATATGCTGAGGCAGTACAGTAAAGTCTGAACTACCTGATAAAAGAAACAGTAAAGGCTACATGAAGAATGGGCTAGGATGCAAAGATACTTTACCTTCAGTGTGTAACTACAAAGAAGTAGTGATGGCAGGACTTTGTTACAGAGTTGTTGCAGAGTTGGCGTGTGTGAGCAGACAGAAACAAGCTCATACTGATGTATCTGTGATTGGTCGATGTTGGCAGGATTATATCAGCCCACAATTATCGTTCAGTCCCAAATCAGACTCCTCACTCTTGTAGACATTGACATTGCACAAACAAGACTGCTATGGTAGAGCGAAATTTTTAACCTTTTAAACTTTTTTAAGTAAGAAATGACCAGCTTTTGAAAAAGCTCAACTCTCAGTACATGTGTTGTTAAAGGGATATTCCGTCGTAAAATTAATTTAGGGTCAAACACACCATAACACCAAGTTAGATTCCTCTTTAGAGATCAAAGTTGCCAACCGCTTGCTTCTCTAATTTTTTGGTTGGGGTTTGTTTATGGCTCCTCAGACTGCTGTGTATTGCTATCCTGCGGTCGTTACTAAAGTTGGTATAACTAGAGACACCCCTCATCTCTCGAGGGGTGTCTAACTCAGTGTTACGGTGTGTTTGACCCTATATTAATTTTACGCTGGAATATCCCTTTAATTTAAAGTTTATATGCTTTGTCTTTCAGGCACTGAGACAGACAATAATGAAAAATTATAAAATAAGTACTGACTCATTTAACCAAATGGATGGGTTTGGATTATTGATTCAGCAGTCACTCTTTGGTCATTTACTCTTTAGCTTTAGACGGCTCATTAACTCATTTTAATCAGATCACAGCATGTGTCTCATATTAGCTGGCCCTCTCTGGTCCAGGCTATGAGTACTACAACTCACCGTAAGAATAAGTCATATCATGTTTGTTCTTGCTCAGCATCATTTGATGCTTTTGGATGTTGGCCCACAAACGTCAATGGGGTTTCACATCAGTAATAATTGCCCCACCCTGCCACTCTGTCCTCTCTGTCTCTTTCACCCCTAAAGCTGCTGAGCTGGCTGGTTTTTGGGGCAGCTGGATATTCGGCTTTGTCCTATCAGAGCCGGGCTGCTTTAGTCACCTTGCCTTTTTGTACCCTGATGTAATGTATTAATAGCTGCTGGCTTAGCACTCTCACTTATTACAGTTAACATGCAGCATGACCCACATTTACTCCAGCCGGAGATCTATATATCTTGAGCCCAGTTTTTTAAGCTTACTCTTAAGAAGTATGAAAGTTTTCATCAGATATTTTTCTTAATTCTTGCCGGTTTCATCAGAGTTATAATTATTCATATCAGCTTAACATAAACCTATGTTCCTGTGATTCTGTCTCTGACAGTCACCGGCATGCAGTGATCAAAAAGAGGCGCAGATTGTGATCAGGACACTCGGCCAAATTAGCTTTTACCGCCGCTCTCCTGATGTGTGTTCTGCAGGGAAGCGATAACCCTGATGTCCCAGTTCAGATTACAGACTTACATGTGTGCGGAGAACCTCGAACAGCAAGATTGATATCAAACTCACTGCCTGCACAGGAATACAGAGAGGAAGGTCTGCGAGTTCATAGGGAATTATTTCTTTTGGGTCAAAGGTAAGTCATTCGTCCCGTAGAAGCAGGAATTTAACATCTGGTCCAAATCGCAACCAATTTAGCAATGTGTAAAGCACAGTTAACTGTTTTATTTTGAAAGATGTGCTGCTAATCCTTTTTGTGTAACGTTTAACAGTATAAGGTTTCTTGCTTACATTATGAAAGTGTTTTCACGATGTGAAGCAGGTACGCTTTGTTTGAGAAGTGTGGGTGGCTTCCCACTCAGTAATAGACGGCTATTAGACGTCTAGTTTTTTTTAGACCTAATTCAACCGTCTAGATTCTGTATATTTTTTAATGGAATTTAGACGTCACACTTTAACACATTATTTGATAACTATTAATTTCAAACAGCAGCTGTAAGTTGCATTACTGATCTCCAAGTACTTAACCAAAATAATTATGATAGCCGTTGAGCAATATACAATGTAGTATAGATAGCCCAGGTTTTTGACTTGGTCTAAACTTGGTCTAAATCTAGATGTCTAAAAAAACTTTGATTTTTAGACCTGTGGTAGCCTGATTTTAGACCAGTTGTCTAGGCTACATTTAGACGTCTACTAGACCTCTTTTAGGCCAAAAAATGCTCAGTAGGTTGGTATGTCTTAACCCTGGCTCTACAGTTTGAGTCATTTCAGGGAAACAGGGATATTCAATCATTACTTATTTAGCACTAATTCATAACAAATGTTACCTCAAGACACTTGACAGAAAGAGCTGGTCCAGAACAGACTCTATCGTGATATTTACAAAGACCCAACATCACGATGGAGTAAGACTGAGTCCCATCTTGTAAAAATCAGACCCAAACTTATCCCATCTTAATCCACAGTATGAGGCATTTAGCAGTTAGCTTTATAATAGTGTTACAATTGGTTGGCTGATGCTCATAGTTGAATCAGCTGGAAAGCAGGCAGGTCCTCCAGATGAACCTACAGGATGAGGGAGTTCAGGTACTGTGGCTGGTGACTTTGACATGATGATTCAGAGTTAATGGCACACAGAGAGATAGAGGCTTGAGAAGGAAAGACAATATCATCCATGGATGATGAGAGAGCTTTGGCCTGCAGTGAGTCTGAGTGAAAATGTTGACGCTGGAGACTTTTTATGTGCCCTGCTGTTGCTGTGGAAACACAGCTGGAAGCTTGGTGTTTGATGCTAATATGCATCCTTGATAGGTGAGTGGAAAGATTGATCATGTTGCCCAGTTTATTTAATTTCACCACGGCCTACTCTGCAAACAGCCTCTTGTTTATCCTGGTGCACAAAAACAAAATGTGCCCACACCGATGACAGACAGCTTGGTGTTTTATGGAAAAAAAACATTTTTGAATATAACTGCAGATGTTTGCATGTTCTTTGAGTTGTCGCCTTCAATCAGAGGTAGAAAGGTTGCTCATTGTTGTGCACTCGGTTTGTTTGTCCCAGCATTTTCCCACCACATGCTCATTGCTGGTATTGACCCTCAACCCACTCTGTCTGTCCTCCTCTCTCTGCTCCGATCCATGACTCACAAAGTCCATTTAACCATTATACCCCCGAACAATATTGAGTGGTAAAAATGTTCCCACAAATAAAGATGAAGTGATGAAACTTAGAGAAGAAAGCAAAACTTCAGTATTTATTTGGTCTGTTTTTTACTAGAGCAAAGGAAAGCCCTCCATTTCTTTAAAGCCATTTATCCATTACAGCTATGTGAAATATTACCTGCAAGTTATTTAAGCCACAAAAAGCCCATTACTAACTAGAAGAGCAGCTACTTCTCTAAAATAGGTTTCACATACTCTTCCCACGGTGGTTTCCTCCATGTGCGCTCACAGAAGCAGGTAACACAAGCTATCAGGTGTCCGGACAGGGAGTGTCCTTTAACTGCTGGATCACATGACTGTCACTTATTTGGTCAGTGAAGACACAGTTTACCATTTCTCAGTCTGGAAACACACATCAGTATTTGACTTAAAGGCCCAGTTTGTGGTTCCCTTTTTTATGATATGTTAATACTGATATGAATAGCGGGCCTTTGATGCTAGTCTAATGCTTTTAATGGCTCCGCTTTTCTTAGTGTGTAACCATACATAAATCCTTTTCCTCGTTTCCTCAGAGACTGATGGTTTCAGGGAAGACCTGTCTCACATTGGGCTGAACATCAATGGGTATATAATTTAAACTGCATTGAAGACCATCCTGAACCCAACAGGAGGAAAAGATGTGTCAAGGACATTAATGGTGGTTTTTAATATCTTTGGCCAGACCACGACCTAACATTAAAGGGATATTCTGGCGTAAAATTAACTTAGGGTCAAACACACTGTGACACCGAGTTAGACACCCCCTCCAGAGATGAATGTTGCGAACCGCTTGCTTCTCTAGTTATACCAACTTTAGTAACGACCGCAGGATAGCAATACACAGCGGTCTGAGGAGCCATAAACAAACCTCAACCAAAACACCACTCTATAGCCACAAATAATGCTCAGAACAGCACCTAAATTGTAAATGTTCTTCCTTGAGCTGCGCCCCCCCACTGTAGTCCATAATGGATTTGCCTGAGGTCTCGCTACAAACAAGTGGCTGCTGGAAGAGAGTAGGTGAGTTGTGTTTAGTCTCTTTGCTAAAGAAATTAGTCAAAGTTAAAAGGATGTTTGGTGGCTAGTGCTATGGATGGGACCCTTTATGTACTGTTGATGAAGTTAGGATTACAGAACATATTTGGGGTTTTGGTGCTGTTGATCAGATTAGTGGGGACAATAAAAAAGCTACATGTGGCTTTAATACGGGATTATAATAACGGGTATATTATTAAGTCAAAAATAATCATTTTCATTGCAGTCTTGTTCTCTCGACCCTCATTCTTCCTACAATAACAGTTTACTTGCTTGGTGCATTCTGCAAAATATTTTGACATTCCCATCTTGCCTCCTGATGTTATTTAGCAATACTAAGAAATGGATTAATGGATTTAACTAAGGCAGAAATTTACTACGAAGCCAACTACTTTACATAATACCAATTTCATAACAACACATTGGCCTCTGAGCTTGAATTAGCACCTTCAAACATCTGAAAACGCCCCGAAAAATACACCAACTTTGGGCTGAGTGAGTGTTTGGGCTGGCTCCCTCTGGCTATGAGAGCGTCTTCCTCTTTGAATAATTGATATCTTCTCAAATATATATGCAAAAACATGTCTCTTATCTCCTTGCTTAGAAGCACTGCCACTGCTGTAGTGTATCAAAGCCAGGCCAAAAAATACTGTACCACAAGATGAATTATTGAGAGCTCTATCCCGTCCTGTCACTTGCACTCAGGATCCTCGACGTAGCAGGGTCAAAGTGGAGATGATTGGGGATGTGCTGTGCTTGTTTTGTCAGAGAAATTGGGTTGGCGTACGTACGTTTTTCAAAATCAGAGTGATGGTTGGTTTGTGGCTCTGGTTCTCTGAAGTTTAATTCTTCTTTCTTTCACCCTCCCCTACGATGGAAAGCTGCACAAACATTGGCTTTTCTCACCCTAAACAAATGCCCCGGTATTCACATTAACACACTGATTGATGCTGTGTGTCAGGTATCACCAATCCATAAAGGCCAGCACATGAGCTTGTATTGACACCCGCTTTATTGATCCGAGGATCAAGCGAGGGGACCCCGAGGGCATCAGAAGGAAGACCCCTGTATTAAGCTGGCCGTGTGATCCTCCACAAGCTCATTAACTCAGGCTGGACGGAGTGGAGGGGGTTAACTCGGTTTATCTTGCGCAGCCAAAATCCCAGCAGTCAGACGAGCGTTTTGTCCGACTGAAGCTCCTCAAAGAAAAGGAGGATTCAGTTCCAATTATAGCCTAATATTTCCAAGAGACACAGAGCTACTATCAAACTCAATACCTCCTTTCTTTTGGCTCAATCCGACTCCTCCTCGAGTTCAGTTTTTGGCAAAGCCTAAGGAGAGAAAAGTGTGAGCTGTAAACAACTTTGAGGCAGTCAAGATTCTGCTTTTCTTCTTAAAACAATGATGTAATAGTTCGATGGAGTAACGCGGTAAATATTCCTCAAACAAGCTCAACCTGAAGTAGACTACTTGATATAAGAGATGGCACATTAGTACAGATGGAGCTCAGGACTGTCCCAATGTAAACCCTGTGCTGCTTTGCTGCGGGGTACACTCATTAGCTCAGACAGCATCTGTTTTTAGAGTACCAAAGTGCTGAGTGGAGCCTTTGTATAGAGAGAGCTGCAGCCTCTGTTATACAGCTGGGTTCGCTGCTGCCTATCTGGCCTGCGACGAGCTCAGCGCCATCGGCCAACACGGCTGCAAGGCCCTGTGGGCGGGAGTGAATAGCATGTGAAAAGCCTATGTGTGTGTGTGTGTGTGTGTGTGTGTGTTTGCATGCAACAGGATGAGTGATAGCAAACTGCAAGGGTCGGCTGTTTTGGTAGGGCTGTTGCAGGGGTCCATGTATGGTTTTCCTCATAGCGTTATTGATCTTGGATCAGACTTTTGTATCTGCTTTAAAGAAGAGACCTGCAGTCATTCATTTATGACCTATACTGCAGCCTGTCAACAGAGGGTGCTGTTCTTGGAGTGGTTTCAAGTTACTTGTTTCTTTTAGGGTAACTTGTTACGAGGGAAAGTAACTTTATCATTGTTTTTTTTTACTCAAAATTTTCTTATTAATGTGTTGCCTACCTTACTGGAGAGCCAGGGACACTGCCAGTCCTCTGGCTTGCTCGATCAAGCTTTTGTTGTTCGGCTGGAGTGGCTCCTCCTTTGGCGTCAGCAAAGATAACGTTAGCAGCATCACCTGTGTTACCTTCAGGGTCTTTTTCAACTAGCTTGGTAGATACGTGTTGTTTCTGAAGATGTTTCTGAAGATGTTTCTTTAGATTAGAATTGCTCATCTTTGATGTGGATAGAGTTTTCAAACCTCCACATAGATTACAGGTCACCACAATATTCCTCCTCTTATCTTTTACTGTGAGAAAGGAAAAATAATGTGCATATTTCCATGAGAGAAATCCCACGTCTGGACCGTTGTCAACTGCAGCCATTGTTGTTTTCATTCATCCACTTGCACTTCCCTGAGTCACATGTGCATCAGGTTCACCAAGGAAATTATAGTCCTGAGTCATGCACGTGAAGTAACAAGCCTGTTTAAATCGCAGTAATGATAAATGAAAGTACAAAAGTACTGTAGTTACTGTAATGCATTTCTTATTAACGTGTTTGCCCCAAAACTAATGGTAACAAAACAGTATGCTTAAACTGAAGTAAGTTGAAAATGGCCATCCTCTATCACTACATACTCTCAGATTTCTGCATGTATTTGAGCCAGTCATGTTGATACCAAGTACTGTTAAAAGCAGCCATGCTCGAGACTCTTAGAGTTTGTATTTCTATAGAAATTCTCACAAACATGTTGTGCATGCTTGAATTCAGAGAAATTGCAACTTAAACCATTGCAATTGAAATTATTTGAGAGAGCTTAAAAAGATCCTAAAGAAATCGGCTGAAGTATGTAAAGATAATGCTCTGGAGTCCACTCTTGGGAGGGGAAGAAAGGAAGAGGTGTTGATTACAGTCTTTGGAGGACTGGTCAGAGATTGGCAGGTGTGAAAGAAGCAGCACTCGAAATATTGACTTTTTTCCGCTTCAAAAGCCTCACAGGGGTGTCAGGAGATTGGATAGTTCTAGTCAGTTCTGTGCTGTGCAAAGATTGGTGTCAAATAATGAGGTTATTGGGACACACAGACACCGTCTTTGTTATCTGTGGTGTCTCAGACCTATCCAATTTGCATATTAAAAGACATTTACCCAAAAGGTTTTAAATAGCAAGGCTTTTGCATTTGCTTTTGGACTCTCAGAGCCTCTCAGACGAGCTCAGGCTTTCCGGTGAATTGTTTTGTCTCCCGAATTTGACTGCAGGTTGATGTTGTGCCCTTTCAAATTTGTTTAATGAAAATCAGGGTAAAAGTGGGGAGGCAAATAAAGCAGGCCTGTGTCTCTGTGGGAGAATGCATAGGAGCTGCAAAACACGAAAGCATGTGCTTAATCTGTGCTACAGTGATTCTTCACACAACATCCCTGCAGAACTGAACCATGACGGCATCCAAATAAGTTCAACCACGCTGCTTTATATCGTTTTGTGCACAGGAAGGTGTGGTCATGAATCACGGCTGAGACATAAATCAGCAGCATTCGGTACATCTGCACGTATCCTTTTTTTAGCCACATTAGTGAAGTTGAAAGCTACTGAGGCGAAAGCCATGCGGTGGGGCTGTTGAGTGTTTATTTGACCTGGAGTGCCGTATACAAATAAAGCAAAGCAGCGAACATGAGAGCTCGTGCTCACTGTTGCTGTTTTGTCTACTACTAGCCCCTAGTCTTCTTTTTTAGAAGTGCACTGCTAATGTCAAGTCCACCCAGAGTAGTCAAGTGTGTATTTCTAGAGCTTTCACATTCAATCCAGTGAACCTGCTGAGTGCAGCGCAATTAGTCACTCTGAATTAGCCGAGTACAAGCACACCCCACTCCAATCAGGCTACTTGTTATTATTTCTCTGTCTGCTGCACTGTAGCTGTGTAATGCCAAAACTGTTGACTCTGGTGACACCTCCATTGCCTTCCACAGATTCTTATCGTCCTAGTCCAGTAAACATGAGCTTGTTTTCTCACATTGAACTGGACATAAATCTGAATTTTAATATCTGGGGGGCACCAATGGTCTAGAGGTCTCAGTGCTCAGCGTACAGAGGCTGTGGTCGTCATCGCAGTGGTTGAAAAACTTAGAGATGCACCATTACTGTATATAAGAAGGAAGGCATGCCCTTGTTTCCTTACACTGTGAAGGCCAAAGCATCCAGGATCCGTATTGAGCACGTAACGTAAGCGTCGTGTATCACGCAGCAAATAGGTTGCCGTTCTGACCAATGAAGTATCGCATACAGGAAATGGATCAGATCCGTCGCAGCTCCGTATCAGAAACGTATCGAGCGTGGCACTGCTAAAGATACGCATCAAGTCTATTTTTGCTACTCTACGCTTCCAATCCGCATCAATCCACACAGAAAAGATTGTTCTAGACAGGATGTTAAGCACAAAAACCTTGCGTACCATCCGGTAAATTTCAAAATAAAACACTGTATGCAAACTCTCAACTGTGTATCAGTTTGTGTAGATGAGAAATACTTCCTTGTTATGGATTTATCAGTAACACAGAACAATCTGATGGTAAATCCCTGATCCATGTGGACCCCAACAGGACTTTTAACTGCTAACTCTGTCTGAAGGTAATAGCACAGCATAAAGGAACATAGTTTACTTTATTAAACACGAGTAAACCTGCAAAAACCGAAACTGTAAAATCATGTTGCTTTTTCACATATAGTAGAGGCTCAACGATCACTGAATTATATCCAAATAAGCAGGTAATCGACCACAAAAAGGCAAAACAACCTGTTGGGAGGATGTTGTTTCCAGGATACTGAGCCAAGCTGACCGGGGCTACACTATGCTTCTGCCACGCTCCAAATACGCATCCTGTATACCATACCCAGGGCTGCTCTACTGAGCAAATATGGAACACGCTCAATACGGATCCTGTATGTTTATGGCTTGAGGCCAAAAGGCTGCCTTGACAAGCACTGGTATTGTGCTGGTGCAGTCAAGCCATGGACAGAGGCGATGCAATCTCTACCTGTCCACAAACAAGAATAAACATTTAACTTTTCAATAAAATGATGAACATCCCAGATAAAGGTCGGCGAACAACACAAGATTTTTGCCCTGATTTGAATCAGACACTCCTGCATTTGTATTTATTACATTCTCCCCTCACAATTCCCCGGTTTAGTTTCAGCCCACATATTTCAACACTGCCCATCACTCATCTTTTAAAATCAACTCTATTAAGGCTGACATCAGCACACTAACATGCTTGTTAAACTGAAGAAACGGCAGTGTTCAGGAAAGCTTGTATTTTCGTTAGCCTCTGAGCATCCTTGAACTTGTGAGTCAGCAAAAAAAGCACAGCTGATGGGAATGTCTTGAAGCAGAAAGTTGAACACTTCTTTAGAGGACACCATGACAGGAATCCCCTGTCTGGATACAAGTGGAGTAATATATCATGATTTTCTCGACAGAGCTCTGACTTCTCAATAAATCAAAGGCGGTATTTCTGAGGCCCCGTTTACAATGAACCCCCTAACCCTAACCTGAGTGTAGTAGTAGTTAGGTAATCCATTCACGCACAGAGGTCATGAGAGAAAGAATCCTGCTGATAGTCAAAAACAGCAGGTTTCACCTCGAGGTGAGCAGCTTGAAGGTGTCCGCGGCTCAATCTTGAGCTTGGTTCAACATGCAGACCCATGAATAATAATCTAACACCAGGACACCGTCTGATCCCTGATCCAGATCCACCTTTACAAACACATAAAAAAACCAGAGGGGTACTCAAGTAAGATGAAAAACTAAGAATGATTCTCAAACTGTAGTTTGGTGATGTTTTCTAAAAATAGCAGCCCCGTCATCTGCTGCCATTGCATGTCTCTAGTTTTGATCTACCTTCAAAGTGCCTCTAATCTCATGATTGCTGCAGGATATACCAACTACACAGCTGCAGCGGGCTTTGTTCATGTTGTATGAGTCGAGCAAAGCAGTGAGGTGCATACTAGTTAGACAGAGCAGCATTTTGACACTACTCCTCATTCAATTTCTTGTTAAATCATTAAAAAAGCCACCTCATTTACAGTAGACTCACTTGGTAACAGCTGCACTGTCAAACAGAATGAAACTCAGACGTGTTTCAGCAGCTTCTGCGTGAGCTTGTCACTTCTCCATCACAATGTGAAGATTTTTTTTCTCCTGAGATCAGAGAGAGAAATCCCTCTTCACTGTTGTTACTGATACTAGCAGGCCTCAGTCTCTCCATTCTTCATCTTCTACTTTCCTCTGTTTGATGAAAGATGGGTGGTCAATATTAGGCGTCTCCTAGGCATCCTATAGGTCTATACCCTCCACTGTTTGCCCTCCCTTGTCAACAGCCCCCCTTTGTTCCTCACACTCTCATTTCCACGTTTCCATTTCTCATTTCCACACTGCATCTGTCTCCGTCTTTGTCTTTCCCTCGCTGCTCCTTTTGTGTAGTTCCTCGAGGTGTTGGCTGCAGGGGCATTTTTTCTCAAACGTGTTTCTGACACATCACGTCAACGATGGCCGAGCTCTGAGAGGCTAAGCACTTAAGGCATTATTCTGCTTGACTCTCACAGTAGCAACAGGGCTTAAACGCAATATATGTATTTTTTTTTTGTGCCTTCTTGTGCTGAAGTTTTACTGCATGAAATAGATTAGACAATGCAAGGTTATTTGTATAGCACCATTCATACACAAGGCAATTCAAAGTGCTTTACAGATGCAAGGAAATATATTTAAAAAAATTAAAAAAAAAGGAGAGCTTGAAAAAAGACAAAATAATTTAAAATCATAAAACAAACAGATTAGTAATGCTAATTGGACCCAACAAACGTCTTGAAATTAAGTTCATATGTTTCGTAGTAATTACCTCGGTCACTCTCCCTCTTTTTTCGGGGTATGCAGAGATACCTTCCTAATGTGGCACATGAATTATAATCAAAAATGCAGTTAATTAGTCTTGGACAGACATATTCAACTGTTTCTGGTATCATTGTATACATTGTTGTAATCTTGCTAATGTTTTAGAGAGTTCTTGTGGTGAATCTAGCTGCTCCCAGAGTAAACTGTTGGTTTGTGTCCATTTTGGCGTCCCCCTGTAGACAAAGTAGAATCTCTGATATCTCTGCTGGTCTTGTCCTGTAACTGTGAGGACTGTCTTCTTTCTCTCAATAGTCACGTACCTCTCAGAAAATCTTTACGGTGGAGGGAAAAAAAAGGTTGTTTCTGCAGTAAATCACTTTACCTGACACCTTCCCTGAAGCAGTGTTTGCAGGCATCAAAATAAAAGCATAGAAAGTCAGTTTGCATGTCGATGGTCCTGTTTGCTTTTGTATTCATTTGCATCTCTTTCAAAATCCCTCCACACAGGCAGTGTTGTGTCCTTTTTGTTGCTGAGTGGCCTGATTGTGGCACTCAATCATGTAAGGGTTCATCAAATCTGCACACACATAGATATAAATGGTATTTATTGACCCTGCCTGTCTACAATATATTCTTTTAAAAATCTAAGAATTTTCATATGCGGGACTTTCTTGTGTTGTTCTTGCTGCTTTAGCCACAGATGCCAAAATATAGGCTAAGTTTTGCTACTGTATTTTACTATTAAAGGGATATTCCGTTGTAAAATTAATTTAGGGTCAAACACACCGTAACACCCAGTTAAACATACCCTCGAAAGATGAATGTTGCCGACCGCTTGCTTCTCTAGTAACACCAACTTTAGTAATGACTGCAGGATAGCTACAAAATGGCTGCTGGAAGAGAGTAGGTGAGTTATGTTTAGTTTCTTTGCTAAAGAAATCAGGCAAAGCTAAAAAGATGTTTGGTGTCTAGTGCTGTGTCTAGGACCCTATATGTACTGTTGATGAGGTTAGGTGCTGTTCTGAGCATTATTTGTGGCTATAGAGTGGCGTTTTGGTTGAGGTTTGTTTATGGCTCCTCAGACCGCTGTGTATTGCTATTGTGCGGTCGTTACTTAAGTTGGTATAACTAGAGAAGCAAGTGGTCGGCAACATTCATCTCTGGAGGGGGTGTCTAACTCTGTGTTACGGTGTGTTTGACCCTTAATTAATTTTACGCTGGAATATCACTTTTAGGAATCTAATCAAATGACAGCCAACAGTGATTGCCCTTCAAATCAACTATCAAGAAACCGCCAAACTTCTAGCTGCTCTGGATTGCTTTTTTATTCGTGCAGAAGCATCAGTTTTAAATCTATCTAAGCAGGCAAGTATGCAACTAAGAGTGTAAGCTCGACATGTTGGATTTATCTTTTGTGGGGAGCTGTGGTAAACCCACATGGCGTCTTTATTAAGAGGGACTTAAACTCAGACAGGTCTTTCTTGTATCCATGTGTAGGAATGCATCTTTGTGTTAAATGAGGTGTTAGATCCCCCAGCATCACCTCCAGAAGCCCTGCATTAACATAGAAATCAAACCTTCTGGCTGGTTTCTCTCTCACTGACTGATTTAATCCATCAGGGCGTCATATGGCGAGATATTTCATCTGCATTGATGTTGGCCGACCTGCCTGTCAAATCACCTTTTTTTCCCTCTCCAGTCTGTTTATCCAGACCTCACACTCTTCTGTTCATCCCCGTCGCTCTCATGTTCCCTGCTCCCTCTCTCTTTATGCCTCACTCTCGCTCATATACACTCCCTCCTCTGCCGGCGCTGTAAAATGAGTCTGATGATTGGATCCAATCCCCTGAGAGATCTCATACCTGGACACTTTTATAACACACATGTCTCCTTTCAGCTGCAGGAAGCTTAGCAGAGGATCAGCAGCAGAGGAATGCTGCTTCCTACTGTTCTTTAATCATGATTTATCTCCCCGGTTTGGGTCGTCTCTTTACTGTTGAGGCATTCTGGAGGACTTCATTGTGTGCACCGTGTGGACTCTAGTGGGAACTGTTGCAATGGGGGAATTGTCCCTTTAACCTCTGGGAGGGAGGAGAAAAAGAAACTTTCAGGAGGCAGTAAATCTCTCTGATTAAACCCTCTGACTGCATGCTCTTTCTGTGAGGCACTGGACTGTGTTTGTGTCGTCTGTCATGTGAAGGATGCACACAGACTGATGAAATTAAAAACCTTCAAACAGCCATGGCAACCAATCCCCCACCCAGAGTCAGTGCCCAACACCCACATTAGGGGAATGTATGGTTCTGAACTCAGCTGTAAAGGTCATCCTGACACAGGTCTGTGAGATTTTTCCATCTAGTTTCACCTTTAGCAGCACAGAGGTGATTGTAGATTCTCTTGTTTTTATTCTTTCTTTTGCTATTTATGGGGATATTGTTTTACAAGCTCAATATAGACAAGGAACTATGCTTTTAATCTGTGCTTTATTATCACCCAAAGCTGTGTTTCCACTAAAAGTTCCTGGAACTGAAGCTACTTCTTTAAAAAGAATTCAACAGCGCCTTTGTCCACAGTTGTTTGCTTTCCAAGAGGTTAGAAACCTTTATTGTCAAACTACTCTTTTGAAGTCTGAGATAGTCTTTTGAGTGGTGCAAGTACCTAACCAATCCCAAGTACATGCCTTTGGGACCTTTTTGGACCCTGGTTCCATTATTTAGGTGATTTTTGACTGTAGGGACTTTCCCTATGAACCTTTTTAGGAACTTTGTATGGTTCAACATACACAGCCTCTGCTTAAGATTAGGGTTAGGGTTAGGGGGTAGTACTTTTTGATGGATCAGGGCCTTAAGATTTTATTTCCATGAAAAAAAAAGCAGGTTGTCAGTTTTCATATGAAATACTAGTACCTTTAAATTTGATCCCATGTGTGTACATTATTTTCCATCTCGGGACACTTTTCAACAGTTTTACTCCATCTCCAAATACCATCCCTGGATGTCATTGGCCTGTCAGGAACCATTTAATTCCTTAAAGAGAAGTCCCTGGAATTAAAAGTTTTGGATGCTTTTAGTCAAACCTTATCAGTCAAAAAAGCACCTTTAGAAAAGTGCTTTGTACCTCCTGTCATCCTTAATCAATGGGAACGTTTGAGCATTTTGGAAATGCAGCTTTATGTTTGGACTTTTTTTTAAAGCAGATCTTTGTAACTTTGTTTTAATTGCAATTTGTAAACTGCCTCTACGTATAGGTTTATAACACGGTGACATGGTGCACTTAACCCGACCTGGGGACCATCTTAATTAGGCCATTCATCATTCCCAGTGACAATAGGTACATGTAAGCAGATGTTCTTGGACACAGAACACACACACAGTCAGAGCGATAAATAACCCTCAGGCCTCCTACAGAATCACACACAGATGGTATGTCTGATGCTTGAGGAAGAGCCTTCAGGCTGCAGACAAACAGTCGTCGCTACCCAGGTGCTGCTGCTTCTCTTTCTGACTACCAAACCAGCGTGGATACATGTCTCACAATCATATTTTCTATCACTGCTTATTTTTGACTTTCATTTGAAATGCCTTTAGTCTCCTTATTGCATTAATGTGCTGCCAATGCTGATTCATATTTGTTTCGAGGAACATTTTGGACAAGTGCTGCTTTTGTGTTTTCCGTTATTTGCACTGGCTGACTCCGGGGCGACTGCTATGTGGAAATCAAATGTGTTCTCAGGAGTGAAATAGTCAGCCTTCATTCTCGGCAGCCTGAGCAATGAGCTTTGAGCAATACAGATAGTGTTCTGCTGTTTCCTTAAAGGTTTGATTCTGTTACAAGCATGCTACAATGTGATAAACAATCGTGTAGATGGCGTTTTAAAAGCAGCTTCCTCCCTCGCTGTGCTCAGATTTATACTAGACTTAATTTACTTGGAAGGGATGTTCAATGGCGTAAAAGCTTGAACTGTAATGTGATTACAACTGAAAAACCACATCAGTCAGATAATTACACAGAATAACACACACTTTCTTGTGCCAAGTATACTATATTTGCCTTTTTATATATTTGCCTTTATTTTATATTCTTGGTTGAATTTGAAGCTGGTTAAAAGTTGAATTTCCATCTCTAACAATCGGTTTAGCTCAAAGAAATTTCTGCTTGTGGGCATGATAATGTCAGTTATTAACCTTCTAAATGGAGGTTCAATTTCCTGCAAATTTTTAACACATAAAGGTAGACGTGGGTGTGGAGAGCATGCACACAGTCAGGGTGTCTATGTGTCTTTGGGGACAGCTGCCATTGTGCATGATAGCTGGGGCCCCCAGTTAAGGGGGATTATAGCACACACATACACACACACGCGCAAACCCACTTTTCTATTCATGCCTGGGGTCAGTTATTTTATCACAGGCTGAAAATCCCCCTTCCTATACCCCACACACCAAAATACATCCAGGCACATGCAGCGAATCGGTTCCCGGTGGATCCATAAACTCAGCCAGCTAATTGAAACAGCAGATAATGAATCAGAGCGGGGTTGTCCCGGGCTCTGGGACATAAGGCTTTGCTAACCAGTGAGGAATCGGATGGTAGGAAAGTCCGGGGAATGGTGGTCTTGACTCCAGGGGATGTTTCAGTTTTCACAGAGCTTGTGCTTCACATTTATATGGTTGTCATAGAGATACTTGGTTCAGATCTATTTTTGCTTCATGGTTTCATCTGAAGATTGAAACAGATTCAAAACATTCCCTTCACCTTTAATAACTTTAGATTCTGATAATTGCGTGGTGGCTTTTTTTTCTTGTTTGATTGTAAATACTCGGAGTAAAGGTCTTTACACACCGGGAACGACGCAAATATACGGCGCAAAATTACGAAATATTCAGAGGTGAATTTTGACACGCCTGACTATACAAATCAAGCGCGATGCGATTCTGCGACTTTCAGGGGGGGAAAGAAGACGCGTCCCGGGTGGAAGCAAGAAGACTGACACAACAGCAGACTGACTGTTTTTCAGTTCTGATTAGACACTAGTGTTGAGATGTCTGTCTGTCATGATAGCATGTACTGAGTCGGGGCCAGTACCAGATACGCACATAAAACTATAATCCATAAGCGTAAAGTAACAACTGAGACCTAATGGTGCTGTGACAGCAAAGTGATTGAGTTTGAGACAGTGAAAATACATATGGTATGTTGTATCTGAACATGTTAGCTTACGAGCTAAAGTTACTCAGCACAGATGAAAGTTAAAACAAAGACGTTTAGCAAACTGTTAAAACACAAAACATCGTCATATGAGAAATCCGATGCTATTACTCTCCACAAGCTGTCCTTCAGGTCGTTATCTTTGTAATATTTGTGTTTTTTTTTTTCAAAAAGCACTCTGTTCTCCGACACGTAAACAATTAGCCGGATTGCCATGTTGGATATACCGGTGAATCTGACGTCGCAACAACACGCAATCTGTTTGTTTAGAAGTGGACACACAATATGCAGAACTTAAAAAAATTCGACAGTGATATGAAAAAATAAATGCTGTAATATTGCAGGATGGGAAAATGTTGCTGATGTGAACATTTGTATTGACAGGATACGGGTTCGAAAAAAATATTAATGTCCAAAATGTTCGCACGAAAAAAACGCTCCCGGTGTGTAAGGACCTTAAAAGTGGAGAATGGAATTAATTTAATTAATTTAATTAAATTAAATGGAATTAGCTCACAAAGCTAGTCACATTTTTAAACTTGTTCAAACACAGATAGGAAATAAGGTGTTAATCAGTGAGCCACTATACTTGTTTGTGTGTTTGTTAGCTTCACAAAGAGCAGGGTGAGCTGCCTAGTGTTCAATTTCAGGCTAACCAGCTCCTCCTAGCTAGGTAAAGCTAGATTTTATTTTGTTTTTGATCAAATTAAAAGGGAACTTTTGAAAATATGTTCCTTTTTGTTGTCTGGTATTCAGGGATCTTTCTTCTTCTTCTTCTCTTTCTCCCTGTTTACATGTTAAATCCAGAGGCTATTTTTGCTGTCTTCTCTCTTCTTCCTCCCTGCTCTTCTCTGTATCTCTTTCCACCCCCCTCTCATGCGCTCTGATGATGAAGCGCTTTTAGATTTTTCTGTTAATAATGCATGTTTCTGGTTCCCACCCGCCTGTCATTTTTTCATGTGTTTTCTCACTCTTTCTCCCTGCACTCTTTTTCCCATCAGCCTCTCTCTCGCTGAGATGCCTGATGTCTCCCAGCATTCCCGTCACTGTTTATTTTCACCTGCGTGTCTTCCCATTTTCTCCTATCGTTTGCATGGTCTCAGTTCAGTTTGCTTTAGTCCAGCAAAGACAAGTTAATGTCTCCAAACTCAGAATTCAATGTCATTTAATTCATTGTACAAGCACCATTTCAGGTTAATGTCCACATCTTTGGATCTGGTGTTATATGCAGAAATGAAGCATTTGAAGATCTCTTTTTTTTCTCCTCATCTCTCTCTCTTCGCCCCCTTGTTTCCATGGTAACCGGTCACAGCTTGGGGTTGGGTTCCTGGCGTTCCTCCAGTTCCCCCCTTCCTCTCTTCCTCTCTCTTTGACAGAAGCTTCTCACTCATGTCACCGGGAGGATTTCAAAGACCCCTTCCTCATCTTTTTACATCATCTCTCTGGTTCAAACAGGTCGACCTCAGCTTATTAATGTACACTCACATAATCCACTGCCTCTGAGCTAACCGCACTTTTTAATGGCTCCTCGTCTAGATGGACCCACGTTTATTGTCTGTCACATTTGTTTTGCTAATGTGAGATGAATGGAGGGTCTCTCTGGAGATTATGATAATGCATTCACGGTCATGTAGGGAGGCTCATTTGCTGTAGGTGGGGGTTAGCCCATGTATGTGTGTGTATGTGTTTGCAGGGGGGGTCTTTCATTTGTGGGAGTCCCCTGCTGGAGGTAAAAGTAATAAAACACAACCGGAGACATTTTGGTTATTGATTGGGGGGCTTGTGTTCAGCGAGACACAGTCATTCACCAGGAATCCCCCTGAGAGCTCAGAGGATGTGTTCATGTATTCATGTCACACAGTGTGTGGCACCGGCCCATTTTAATGAATGACTTGTGTACGCTTTGTCTCAATTATACGTTATTGGCTTGATTTGGCAACATTTATTAGATTAGCTTAGCACTAGCTGAAAAAACCATTTGCTTCAGTAAATGTCAGTACATAGAGTAACAGAGACCACACAATTTAAAGCCAAAGATTAAAAAAAGCAAAATCAGGGACAGTTTAATCATGGTGGGTAGCTTGTTCCTCAATTCTGAAAAAGCCTGGGCAGGAGTGATTTGCATCCTTACTATTGGGACGACAAGAAGCAGCTGGTTAGCAAACCTCAATGACCTTGAGTAGGTGAAAAAATGAAAAGGGTTGGGGATGCACTTAGGTGCTAGCTCATTTATAGCAATTTACAAACAGAATCACCAGTGGCCACACAATAAGATACTATCACGATACTTGGGTCACGATACGATATTATTGTGATATTTAACATTTTGCAATAGAGTGAGTGTTGCGATACATTATAATGCAGTTATATAATTTTCTCAACCGTTTAGCTTATTTAGCATTTGGCTTTCCTTTATGTTTGTCTTATTTACGCTGAATTTTATTTTCATGTAGCACATCTTGCAAACAATATATATATAATTGTTGCACTAACTTTCTTCTGCTCTGTGATGTCACCTTTGCCAACCTCACTGGACAAACAGTTGATTTTGTTTTTCTGTTATCATAGATTTGACTTCATATTAATAGCAATTGATTTGAAAAATCGATACCCGGTAAATGAGACAATACGATATACCACCAGACAAAATATCGCGATACTATGCTGTATAGACAGAGGCAAAAAAATGGGTAATATGCTCAAAATTTCAAAAAGGTATCTACAGGTGACTTCACATCAGAGCAGGCAATTACATGTGAGGATCCCCAAGGCTCCATCCTGGGGCCTCTTCTCTTTAACATCCACATGCACTCACAGGCTCAGATTCTAGAAAACAAGTAAATAAGTTACCAAAGCGGTGCAGATGACACACAGTTTATTTATAACAATGTCGCAAAATTTCCTTTACCTTAACAAAGTTAAAGGCTGTTAAGTTTGCCCTAGAAAAGTAGCAGAAAACACACGAGTGCATGGGCATGCAATACAAAAAACTGCATTACAGTTGTCCAAAAGAGTTGAAATGACATTATGTGTGAAATAATCTTAATTAAAAACCATAGATCTTAAAAACAAGACAAAATCACAAAATTTCTGTTCATCTGATTTAGAACCTCTGTCAAATTTAGCATCAAGATTTGTAAATGCAGGTTTTATCTGTGGTTGCAGGGAGCCCAGGTACTTAAAAGAGGCCTCACATCACACACCAGGTTTAAACACCATACCTTTTTTGAAAAATAATTGTTTGTCATTAAAACCATTAAGACCAGGCTTTACTTTTCTTCCTACTGTGTTTGGTGTCATGAGGACATAATCCAAGTTTGTGAGCTGTTCAGTTCTTTCAATCGGGGGTTTCTTTGCCAAATGAGTTGTAATGAACATCTGTGCTGCTACAGAATGTCACAGGAGATAACGTTGCAGCGGTGGTGTGATGTTTGATAATTGTGCATCATTATTGGTACAAGTCAACAAAGATGTAAAGCTGATAAAAGAATGGGAGGAGTTACAAGTCTTGTTTGGCTGAAAAACAACCCAATTCATGGCTTATTTTCTTTTCTTATTGTTGCAGGTTCAAACCAGTTCCTGAACAGAAATTGTGGCTGAGATTAAATCCTCAAAGGTAAGTCAGCAACTGCAAGTGAATAAAATTTATTTCTTTTGCTGTTGCACCTCTTACTTGGCTGTGATGTGAACCACTAACATCCCAGGTTCAGTGAAATGAAAACAGTAACTCTGTCTTTACAATTCGCTCTCACTCACTCATGACTCCACTGCAGGTGCTCCAGCTTGCTGATAGCAAGTCTGGCTTCATGTACTGTTTTTTCCCAGTGATATGGGCAGTTTTGCTTTGTGCGGTTCATGCCAAGAGGATTATTGCTCTTAATGCATTAACGCTGGGGATGCATGTGCACCATATAGTGTGACTGTAACTGACTGGAACATACTTTTATTTTAAAATGTAATGCTGGTTAAAAACCGCTGAGTATTAGGTTGTGTCCTGTAGCTGGTAGCGGCTGCTTATTGCCCTTTACAGTCATGTTGAAAATGTGCAGCAAAAGCAAGGATTCTTTTTGAACAAACTTAAAGCGATATTCCGGGGTAAAATTAATTTAGGGTCAAACACACTGTAACACAGAGTAAGACACCCCCTCAAGAAATGAATGTTGCCGACCGCTTGTTTCTCTAGTTTCACCAACTTTAGTACCGACCGCTCGATAGCAATACACAGTGGTCTGAGGAGCCATAAACAAACCTCAACCAAAACGCCACTCTGTAGCCACAAATAATGCTCAGAACAACACCTAACTTCATCAACTGTACATATAGGATCCCAGCCACAGCACTAGCCACCAAACATCTTTGTAGCTTTGCCTAATTTCTTAGGCAAAGAGACTAAACACAACTTACCTACTCTCCTCCAGCAGCCACTTGTTTGTAGCGAGACCTCAGGCGAGTCTATAACTACAGTGGGATGACGCAGCTCAAGAAAGAACATTTACGATCATTTCTTCATGGAAATGCAATCAGACCCAGACGCTAAGGCAGAAGAACTACCGTGTCTGCAGAGCAAAATGATCAATACGGTGATTATTACGTCAAGGAAATGATAAAGAAATGATCATAAATGTTCTTCCTTGAGCTGCGTCACCCCACAGCAGTCGGGAATTGACTGTCTAACTTGGTGTTACGGTGTGTTTGACCCTAACTTAATTTTATGCCGGAATATCCCTTTAAGCCTTCAAAAATACAGAAGAGACCACATTTCAACCACCAAGGAGGTGAAAGGGTGAAATAAGTGCACAGCATGTGTTCAAATGGAAACAAAGCTAAGTTAGATAACTTCCAGTGGTTTGGAAAATATACAGGAGGTCATAACAAAAAGGGGAGTCACTATGATGTTAAATATCCAGAACAAGTTTAATAACAAAGCTCACAATATTAGGCGTATGAATCATTTGAGTCACTGGTGTGTTGTGTGCATAAGTAGGGGATACTTGTGTGTGTGTGTAGGTGTTGTGCATGAGCATGAACCCAGCGGTCACACTGTGCAAAGATTTCCACAAAAAGTAGAGTTGATGATTGAGCTGTTGCGCCAATTGTTAAGGCTGACCTGTGTACATCTAGGCTTGATGTGTGTTGCAGTCAGGCATAATTGTATCATGATCAGCCAACCATTTTGTAGTCGTTTTGGCAGTGTGAGCAGGGGATAAGTCTTTCTGGAGAAAGAAACAGCTCTGTGTAAGAGGATATAGTTGACTAAGACTTCTAATATGCCAGAAATTTATCAACTTGCAACTGATCAGGAAGAAAGACTTTCCCAGATTGTCTAGCTCCAAGAAAATAAAATAAAAGTTTGTGTAATGCTGAGCAAAAGTAGTTTTGTTGCATATTGTATGTTTTAGGATATCCATAAAACATGAGCTGTGGTTCAGCATTACATAACACACAACGGTAATGTTTCCCATCTCCCGTTACTATAACTGCTACCTGAGTAACCCCATGAGAGGACTTTACTATATAACAAAAACATATAAATTTAACAGTGATTCATTATCCCAGCAGTTTATCTTGCAGATATGATGATGGATCTCCTCCTCTCTCCTCTCCCAGACTCTCACCTCCCATAGCTCTCCTCCTCCTCCTCCTCCTCTTCCTCCTCCTCTCTAAATGAGTAATCCTGATGAACAGATGGATGGAAGAGAAAAAGGGGGCATGCCAGCTTGTTGCGCTGCTATAACACCGTCAATCAGCCCCCTCCCCCACTCTCACCTCCGGCCTCTTCCCTTTTCCATCATGCACTCTCTCTACTGTCAACATTTCAGCCATTTTTTACATGTTAAAACGAAAATAACTAAGACAAATTTACTCTCTTCAGACATTTGGCAAATGCTAGACTTCCCAAATAACCACTTTTGAAAATGGAATAAGCTGATATATTTATGTGATATATCACAATGATGGTCCCATAGATGGATCAAGCCCAGTAAAACAGAGACCATGGTTGGATTCTCCTTCATAAAGACATCACTGTCTACCTCTACAAGGACACAAACACTACCATACAAATCCACAGAGACACAGACACACTAACTCATGTCAAAGAGTCACGTACCAAGGCCACGTGCGTCTATGCACTCATCAATACCTTTTACCTAGCAATAGCACATAGGAATACCGATGAGACCTGGCCCGTTTACAAGCTGGATTTATGTGGTCAGTGTCACATTGGTTCACTGTATCAGAATGAGGCCCTATTGATTCTTGTCCTTTTGACCCTTCATACAGTTTCATTTTGGTGAGACATCTTTAGAAAGTCAGTGTTAGAGGTTTTGTATGGTTTGGACTTAAAGCAAGTGAAGTTTAGGTTTACATTTTCAGTCTTAGATGATGATTTTTGCAGTTTGAGCCTCAATGTGGACTGAGTAAATGGACTTTGGCAGTGATGGGAGTAAACCAATGAGATTACTACTGTGGTAGATAGTTTTTTCACTGTTTTCTTGAAGCAAGTTGATTCATCTTCATTGGTATGATTATTACAGTATTAGGGCCATATTTAAAGCTCCATTGAGGAAGTTTTTGTTTGTATCAATTTCTGGCAAGGCAGCAGCACACAATTTACACAAGGAACAAGACAAACAACAGACGACAACATGTAACCAAATACAACCAACATTAAATAATCAGCCTTTCGCTGTAAAACATGTGCATTCACTCGTCAGATGATTCTCAATCCTCATCTCAAAATCCTCCAAAATAATGAATTTATTCAGTCTTTGGTGACCTTTCAGCTCAGACCAGGATGAGGGAGCAAAAACATTTAAAGGCAGACAGAGCGAGGCTGAGGAATGACATACACAATTTGTCCACGGGACCAAAGGTCACGGCTGCTGACAGATTTAAGAGTCACTAAAGAACATCGATAAGACAGCGGTTCATAAAGACAGATATACTAAAGCTTCATACTTCTGTTGAGTAAGGAAGATAGACCTGCTTCCTCATGTGATACACAGAGATGTGTGTGAAAAGCCTAGACCAGAAACACATGGTGATGCAAAGTACATATACTGACCGTAAATCACAGCTTTTCTCTTTGTTTTATTTTTATTTTTGTGTAAATGAATGAATATACAAGGCAAGTATTTTTATTACTTTTTATTAAATTAAGGTCGATAGTTACACATAGTAAGGGGTGGGGCTAATTTGACTGACAGGTGAGTACTTTGTAGCAGTTTGCCAGAAGGCTGAGAGCTTGTCTGAATTCCACCCATGCTCCCGTTTTTAGATTAGCTGGTCAGAAGAAGGAATCAGTCCGTACATTTACATGTTGTTAAAAAAATCTACTTGTTGCCTTAGTCTGAATGAAACTGAAATTTTAAAACAAGTAAATGTCTTTTAGTCTGACTGAAATTGCTATATCGAACTTCTCATAGACGGATAAACATACCTAGATTTATCTTATATACGCATCAATTTACACTGAAATACTTAAAACTAAAAGAAAGCTGTGATTTTATGGTCATCATATGTCCTTTTTCTCACTGAAATTGTTGGACTCAGTTGGGTAACATTGTGTATGACTCGGTTGGACTGAAGCTGCCTGAAGCATTCTGCACATGCTCCAGTGTGCGCATGTTAGGCTTTGAGCTGCAAGCTGAATAGCATTAATACATTGCTCTGAAGGTGGGTAGAAAACCTTGACAGATAGAGGAAGGACGCAATAAAAGAGACTTCCTATCATATGAACAAACAGTTCAGAGTTGTAAAAATGCTGATGCTTTTGTTATTCCACGTACTGTGTGTTCCGTTAGCTCTGGCTGTCAATTGTTTTTTGGTTCAACCAGGAGATGACGTGATAAGATCGAGCTGAAAGGAGGCATGTGGCCACCTACCATACTGTCAATGATACAAATTCTTCCTGGTGCTTGTAAATTGTGACAGGAACAGTGGAACAGTTAATGGGCGATAACTGTAGCTCAACTTACCTGTGCATGTAAACTTCTATGCTAATTTTAGACTTCCTAACACCTCTCCTGAAACAAAAAGCTGAGATGTCTTAGCTTTTCCAAACAGCCTCCAACACCCTCTCTCTACACACATCTTTTGCGCACTTGCGTTAAGTGTTCACCACATGTACGGTCGTCCAAAACCTCTGGGTGTAGGGTGGGAGTGGGTGAAGACCCTCCAACAGCCAGCATGCACTGATACTGGCTTACTGATCAGGTGTGATGCCATTCATCTTTGGTCATGGTGGACACGATAGATCAAAACTCCAGGCTGAACACTTCTGAAACCAAAATCTGGTGTGACACCTGCAGATTCTGCATGTTTACTGAATCACCCTGAAGAGGTGAAAGAAAAAAAAAATCAGTAGCATGGTCCTCTCTGGGAGCTGAGCCCACAGCTTTTGATAAGATGACCTCAGACAGGCGAGACGAGCCTATAAACAGACATGTTTGTGTGTAGGTTGGCACATGTGCCCACGCTCATGTCACATGGGCAAACATCCAACACCCTACCAGGCTACTGGCAACCAACAAACAGGTCCATACGCCTGGCCAAATGTGTGCGAGTGCCACGCTTCTATAATTGGATGAAGGAAATTCTAATGACAACCACCAGTTATCGCTTTGATGAATGCATGTTTTTTAGGGAATAATCCATTTCCAAAGGCAACAAAGTCAAACACTGTATTCATTTTGAGATAATTCAAAATGTTTTTAAAAAAAGACTGTTTAATAACCCTTTTTTACATTTTTTAACTAAAAAAAGAGGTGAAGAAAAAAGCTTTGAAGAAAGCTTTGTTTTATTTGACGTTGTCCAAGCAGTTCATACTGAGAGTCCTTCACCAGGGAGTGGATTTGACTTAATTTGAGGCGTTCCCGTTTTTTCTACCTTTTACTGAGGATCATCTGACTTTGGCCTGAAGCAAAACTGTTGAGATTCAGTTCATGGAAAGACAGGGCCGCTCACACACCTTGAATAGGGAAAAGAACAGGGGAAACAACAATAAGATACTCCTGTTTTTGTCATGGTTATGTCTAATCCTATCAGGCACTGGGATGTGCATGGGAATTCACTGCAGCAGTATTCAGTTGTTAAGTTAGCTATGTAGGGAGGGGTCAGCAGATCCTCACTCTTTTTTCCATACCTTCCATAGCCGTGCACTTGTTCTTTTCAGTCTGAAATGTCAATAAAATGATGTAAGAGTGTCTGAAGACCGGAAGACACAACAAATCCTTCATGGTTTGCCAAGAGGAGGCATTTTAAGTGAGAGCATGATTGAATAAGCGCTTATTGTCAAAAAATTTGAAAAAACCCAGACACAAGATACAGATTGTGTATTTGTTCATAACTTGGCTAAATGTCAAACATAGGATGGAACCTCTGACAGCTAAAAACCCTGCTCTTTAGAGAACATGATGCACTTAGCTAGACCAGTCTCCACTGTTGTCTCCAGTGGTTGAATGAGTCTTCCAGTCACAGTTATCTCACACTGTCCTGCTGTAATTCTGGGAATTTATGTTAAGTGGTTGAGTCACCCAGCACTTGGTACCTTGGATATTTTGTGGTGAGGACAAGTTAGTTGATGGTGTCGATGAAAGGTTTTAAATTGATTGATTGCTTCAATGTTGACGTAGTGCACTTTGTTCCTCTAACCCCGAATTTCCACCGCATCCAGAACTGCTCTGATCTGGAATGGCGGTAATTTTTGCCATCCGCCAATTTCTACCGGACCTGTTTGTGAGGCAAATTTCGTGGCTAACTACAGACAACGGTGATCGCAAGAACTCACAAGAACCCGCAGATTCACGTGCAATCACACTATCACAAGTAGCCTCTGTAAAGACAGTCACATAACCATAAAGGCAGTAGATCGTGTCCCTTAAGAGGAGGAAATCCACTTCTAGACTTTTGAAATCGGCATCTACTGATCCATGGTGTCATCGGGCCGAAATGCTGTCTAAAAACCTTTCACTTGTTCATCCCCGCCTGTTTTCATGGTGTATACGATCTGCCTGAAACATGGAGTGTTTTTTTTTTTCAAAAGAAGCCGGATGTTTTATTTTGTGTCTGTGCCCGACTTCCTTTCCAGCACTGGTTAATCTGTGCTGATTTATCCGGCATCCAGAAAAAATAGAACTCTTGCAATCAGCTACAAAGTTTGGCGATCCGCAGCAGAACGAAAAGAAACTGGTGGAAATTGACGCATTAACTTGAATGGTTACGATCGGTGGATATGGCCTTTTCGTAGCCGTTCCAGATGCGGTGGAAATTGGGGGTTACTGATCTTGTTTCCTCTTGTCTAGATCTTTGCTTGTATTGTTCTTGTTCTTGTATGTACGTCACTTTGTATAAAAGCATCTGCTAAATAACACTGTAACATTGTAACTTATGTCTCTATAGGTCAACCACAAACTCATACGACATCCGAGTTTCAAAATATGAAGCAAGAGTTGTATCACCCTCTATGCAGATGACACTATCTTTTTAATTTTTCTTATCTGGTTTTCCGATTCCACAAAATTAGTTAGGAAAATATGATTTAAAGGTTTTGTTTTTAAAGTGTATATTTATCTGCAATGCAGTAGAAAACTGTACATCTTTTATTGCTGGAAGTGTCACCTTGTGCCTGACAACACCCCTGCCGTTTCAGCGTTATCCCAGTGGTAAACAACATGAAGGACAATAGTCCCCGTGGGGTGGTTGTGGAGGTGTGGATTGTTGGGGGGGGGGGGGGGGGGATACGCACTCGGCGTATGCTGACCATCAGCACTTCACAAAGCCTCAGAGAAAAGCAGGCGCTATGGGATTCTGCGGATGGTGCTAGAAAAACTGACCCCAAAAAGGGAAGCCCCTGTGTATGAGTGTGTGTGTGTGTGTGTGTGTGTGTGTGTGTGTGTGTGTGTGTGTGTGTGTGTGTGTGTGTGTGTGTGTGTGTGGTGGGGGGTGCTTGGGTGTATATGTGCAAGAAAAAGGCTGAGATAGTTTGTCCTGATTACATGGCTGGCTGTGTGTGATCCGGTCAGAGACAAAGAGGCTGCTAGTTGTGTCTTTTCTTCACAAAGGAGTGGTGTTAGTGAAGTGAAAGCTGCTCTTACAACAACTTCCAATGTGGCGGGCAGCTTCCGATGAAGTCAGCACTTGAAACACAGGGCCCTCTAAAATTACGCAGTCATAACTTTAATCCTGATAGGAAATTGGGCTGCTCTTAAACAAAGGCTTGTTGGCAAAGAGTACATTTTTAAGATATATTTTGAGTACTTAAAAGCATCTTTTGTTGCAAAAGTGTGCATGTTAAGCACTCAAAATCTCAATTATGAATTTTCTAGATGCTTTCAGGAATGTAATGCCTCACAAAAGCAGCAATGCAGCAGGTATCCCTCTTCATTTGGTGCTACTGTGCTTTTTAAGCAGTGAATCCATAGCTTAGCTCTTTAGTTCCTTGTGTCTACAGGGATGAGAAACAACATTAACTCTTAAATACTAATCCGACTCCTTCTATTCCAAGGTGAGGAAAGTGTAACATTATCCAACTATTGTCTGCAGCCTAAATGTGCCTCAGTAAATAATACTTAACTCAGTAAAAAGATATGAAACGGGAATGGATAGCAGCCCATCGATCAATGAGGATTAGTGAAGCAATGCTACCCTTTATTTTCCTTTCAGATCAGGCAGGCCAGTCAAGACTTTCCCCCCAAAGAAGTAGGGCTGTTTTCTCACCTTACAATGGGCTTTGTTCGGTAGACCAGTCACTTGATGTGGCTTTGTCAAGGTGGGAGTGGAAAAGGAAGACAAGGGGAAAGAAAGAGGGAGCAGTTGGTTGGCAAAGGTATCAAACTGACGGATTCAGAGACAAAGGCTGAGAGCAGGTTGGAGTTTTCTTCTGGCACGTGTTTACATAGAGGAATGAAATGTTAACATGTCGTTCTGTCTGTCTCAGTGTCCCATAAATCTGTCTCGTACCCACTGACATTGATTACATTTTGCATTCCTCTCCCACAGATGCTTGAAGTCGTACTTGTTGCATTTGCAGTTTGAAGCGATTCTGTTAAGTCTCTAAAAGCAGCATCCGTGGTTTATGCCAACTTGACTGAAACAAAGAGATTTTCAGGCTGAACACAAACACCATTTTACCAGGTTCAAAAAGATCTCACCTCAGATGCAGTATTTGGAGTTTGGGCCTTTTATTTCAACTGCTGGTTTCATTTCGGAGTCCTGCGTCACAGTTGTAAGAGTATCTCTAACAAAGTCCATTTGCACAGTCTACTTTCTTAGTTGTCAGTGCGTGTCATGCACAGGCTTCTTATTTACACTGCAGTTCATCCGCTTGTGTTTGTGGGAACTCACAGCTCCTGTTACACTGTTTGGGTTACCAGAGGCACTCAGATGAAGTCAGAAGGCCACTGCAGTACAGTGTTGTCTGGTTACTGTTATTATACACTTCCTGGAAGTGTAGGAGTGAAACCTCAGCCTCCAAAGGAAACACTGCTTATGTTGAATTTAATTTAAATGTGTTTATGTAAGACAATGATGCAACTATATACTACAGATAAGGAAGTATTCACTCTACTTCAGTCCAGTCTGGCTCAAAGCGGTTTGACTCTATTTTCTTAGAAATATCTCCATCAGTGTGATCTGATGTGACTGCAGATGACTGTGTTTTCATCCCTCCCTGTAACTCTCTTCTTGCCTCCCTCCCTCCCTCCCTCATCTGTCCAGTCAGGCTGTCATGCCTCAGTGTCTCTCACTGTGACTGAAGGCTGCAGAGTGACCAACTTAGCACATTGCTGCAGGGTTTGCAAACTGAAAGCCAGAAGGTACTGTGTCAGCAGACTTCACATCATGCTCTGTTGTTGTTGAAGATTGTTGGCTGTGTTTATAACATGAGTATGCAACATATTCAAAGCCCTTTTTTAATCACTTCCTGAAACCTTCACGTCAATCAAGTTTGCTGGTGACTACACAAGGTTATTTCACCAAGTAATGTCAAAGTCAAAGACACTGAACTTCCTAAAAGTGGCTAAAGGAATAATGGTTTTCTCAAGAGAGACTGAAAGCTGGACTGTGTTTGAGGGTAGTCATAGCGCTGCAGTTTAGAGAATGACAGCAATGTTGTTTTGAGAAGAATTTCTGCCAGTATGACAGAGAATAATGTACTGATCCTAAAACTTAATGTCTGTAGTAAAATTGAGAAGCCACTGTCAGCAGAGGGATAGCTTAGCATAGATACTGGAAAACAAGGAAACAAAATCTATGAAGATACTTCCTGCCACGAGTTAGCATGAAGACTTGACAAAGCTAGACACAATATTGATGATGCTGCAGGTTAGCCTTAGAGACTTAAAACCGGGAAAAATATGAGTTATTCCTTGATACGTTATCATCTGTTTATTACAGGCTTAGAATATTGTTGACAGACAGTTTGGAGGACGTGTAATAAAAGGATTTGGATTAACTTTAGCAGCAGAGATGTTGGATGTCAGCCATAAACCATTAGTGAAAATGTCGCCCTTGCATGCAAGCCATGGTAAATACTAATAATTAATGTTACATTAAGACTCAAACCAGCAGTTTCAGTTTGACAGGCAGACTATGCTGACTCTAATTTAGGACGGGTGACAGGACACAAAACGACAGAGTGAAAGAGATGGGAGAGGACAGGAAGTAAGAGAGAGAGAGAGAGAGAGAGAGAGAGAGAGAGAGAGAGAGAGAGAGAGAGAGAGAGAGAGAGAGAGAGAGAGAGAGAGAGAGAGAGAGAGAGAGAGAGAGAGAGAGAGAGAGAGAGAGAGAGAGAGAGAGAGAGAGAGAGAGAGAGAGAGAGAGAGAGAGACACGATGAAGGCAGAGACTGACTTTCTGACTTCTGGGCTTTGACCCCTGAGTCAGGAAAAAAGAGAGGAAGAAGAGGATGAGAGATGACCTGCCCACCAGCTAAAGTCATGACGCCCATCCTTCTTGCAGTCCTCTGTGTCTTTGTCTTTTTTGTCTGTACCCTGTAAGAACATAACAATGAGTTCAGTGTTTTAGTTGATTAGCTCCTGGTTGCTTACACCATTAAGTGTCAGAAAAAAAGGATCAGATCGTGCTAAATATCTGGTTTGAAAATTTGTTGAAAGGTCAGAGTTTAGCTTTTATGTATAATCATGCAAATCAAAGGCTGTGAGTAATTTTCAGTGTGAATGTCTGAGTCATATTCCCTCTTAACACTTAATGGCATCCCTGCTGTTGAAATATGGAGATGTTGACATTTGCAGCCAGATGTGTGTCTGTGTGTGTGTGTAGATGTGTGTGTGTTTGTCTTTGCTTTGTGTTGTGCACGTGCTTCCACAGTCATCTGTGTTGTGTGTTGATTTATTATGACCCTCAGGCAGTTAATCTCTCTGTGACGCTCTGGAGATGTGGCCCTGGTCGGGCACAAAAAGAAACAGACACACTCAAGAGAGGAACAGATGACAACATACGAACTTGTATGACAGTGTTGTGGAATTTTTTAAAAGTAACTAAGCATTGCATTCTGGGAAATATGTGTATTTGTTTCAAATAATGAGAAATGGATGGAATAATTAGTATCACTTCACATTTTTACTGGCTTCATCCCAGTAGCTGTGTTGGTAAATGGTCAAATGTAAACAAAACTAGGTAACACTTTATTTGACACTTATCTCTATAACACATAATAAATGTATGTATAGTGTGTTATAATCATGTTATAGCACTGTATAAACACTCATAAATGATCATAGTGCTTTATAGCAATAATCGTAACACATTGTAAAGCATTTTATCATGACTAACAAGGTCATGTATTATAATGTGTTATAACTGTTAACAACTCACTGAGAATGCCCACATAGATAATGCATTATACATATATTTATGATGTTATAATTTGCTTATAAACTTGTATAACTATCATTATTAACATTCATTAATTATCATAAGGCTTTATAACAATAAGCATAACACATTATAATACCTGACCTTGTAAGTCATGATAAAATGATTAATAATGTGTTATGATTAGTGCTATAAAGCATTGTGATCATTTATGAGTGTTTATATCTATACTTATACAGTGCTACAATGTGATTATAACACATTATACATATTTTTATAATGCGTTGTAGAGATAGGTGTCAAGTAAAGGTTTACCCAAAAGTACATCCAGTATGTACCGGTTGATAAAACAAAAACATCATCTTGCAACCACTCCTGTGATAAAAATCAAAACACATGATTCTCAAATAAACATCATAAAATTGTTGGATTGTTCTCTTTAACACACCATAGAAAAACAACACTTGTAACACAAGATCACGCTTATTCTTTTTTTTATCTGCAGAGCTTTTTACAAGCCAACCTCTCACAGGGATCACCCCTCAGGTTAGCAGGGGCCCATGCAAAAACACTCATATTATTCTCAAAAAACCAGCCTTGGTGGCATTTTAAAATAACACAATTTGCATCACTCAAAGGGATATTCCGACATAAAATGAACCTAATGCCCAATTTTTTTTTAGCAAAGACACTAAACACAGCTCACCTACTCTCTTCCAGCAGCCATTTCTTCATGGAAATACAATCAGACCGAGAAGCTAAGGCAGAAGAACTACCGCGTCTGCAGTGCAAAATGATTAATATGGTGATTTTTACTTTAAGAAAATGATTGCTATCCTGCAGTCATTACTAAAGTTGGTACTAGAACTAGAGAAGCAAGCAGTCGGCAACATTAATCTCTTAATGGGGTGTCCAACTCAACGTTATGGTGTGTTTGGCCCTAAATTAATTTTATGCTGGAATGTCACTTTAAATAAAACAATGGTGATTGGTGCTGAGTTGTGACAGAAGATGGCAGGTGCAGTCATTAGCTTTGCCATGCTAGTAAACCCAAAATGCAAAACATAACACAAAATATGTCTTCATGCTTAAACACTGAGCATAACAGATTTTAAAAAAGATAGAAAGCTTTTAAGCTGTAAATCATGTAAAGCTATTAGCATAACCCACAACATCAGCCAACAAAACAGCACAGTAGCCCCTCTTTAAATATTCATCCTTGCAGAAGAATTGGTCTGTTAATGGATGAGATCATTGATGAAATATGCAGCAGATCATATTTCACACATCAGCTATCACACACTCCACCCCCCAGGCTTTACATTTTCCACCTTTTCTCTACATTCACCGTGAGAGATTCTCATTTTCATCCATCCTGATCGTCCATGTCCCCTTTTCTCTGATCACTCATTACCTTTAAGACAAAAGCCCCTTTTAGAGGCGGCCCCAGCAGGTGAATAAACTCCACTCTTCTCTCAGAGGACAAAACAGCCTGAAGGTCCAGCTTGGCTTAATAAGGCCACTGTCGCTGTCAGGAGGAGCCATTCCTGCTGCTGCTGCTGCTGCATGGAGCATTATCCTAATTAATCTTTAGAGGGGTTATTGCATCTGCATGATATCACATTGCCTTTTTTTCTCAATGAGATTAGCAGATTTAACATGCATGGCTGGCATTTGCTGCTCTTTATTGTTTTGCCCCTTTCCTCTCTGTTGTCTTCCCTCACTTATTAGGTAGTGAGAGTTTTATCCAATAGGACGTGTCGGCGTAATTAGCTGTACCCTGGGGTTGTATTAGCTCACACTCTGCCTAGCTCAGCTGGATAAAATCTGACACACTACTTTCTTTCTGTGCGTGCATGCATGTGTGCGTGCGTGTGTGTTATTTCTATACTCTCCTCTGTGTCTCCTCTGAGGCTTACTTCCTCTTCAGCAGAATAGAGATGTAACAGTCCATGGTTTAATAGTGAGACTAATATTTTCACGTCTTCATACCTCTGCATACTTTAAATTTCTGTTTGTATGTTCAAGTGCCTGCATGCTTGGCCTTTGTGCCCACACATATTGATGTGTTTGCAGTACACAGACAAGGACACATGTGCACTTGATATGAATTATGAGGAGCCATACACCCGACAGCAGTGCACTGCTTCATGTCCAGATCCATCTCAGCCTGCTGTAGGAGTTACTGTAACCCTTTAGCTACCTCTGATCAGAAAAAAAGCTATTCAATAAACCATTTAGTGTGGCACAGCCTTTCCAAAACTTGAAATCAATAATAGTGTACTAATACAAAATTCAAGCCCTCCCACATTCATTGACCCTTTGGTTGGGGAAATTATGTTTGATAGCATAAGACAGAACTTAGAGGATTTGAGTACAGCAATGTTATACTCCTGCATAATTCATGTGAAACATTACATAATGCATAAATAAGTACATGTTCAAGAGTTTACACCTTATAAGAAAGGGTTTTATCCTTAAGTGTGGATTGTGGGGATTTCTTTAAAGGGAAACTAAACAGTAAAACCAAGTAATAAGTGCGCTGCACACTGTAGGATCTTTCTCACCTCAAACACTTAATAGAGAAGTTAGCCGATGATTAGACGCCCATCAGGCTGGGGAGGACCCCAACATGGCACAGAGAGGTCCTGTTCACCATGAGGAAATTCATATAATACACCTCCATACAGCTAACTAAACATGATCCTGTCCACCCTTAAAATATAAACATATGATCACACAGGTGTTGATTGATTCTTGAAGTTAAATCAACTAGCCATGACAAACTGCCAAAACCAGATTGTGATGCAGTTTGTGTCTGTTTTCTTCAATTTGCTAGATCTCTTTTGCCAAGTCCAACGGTATTCTTATCAGCTAGCATATACAGGTAGAATAAACTCAAAACCTGGTGAATTTGAAACATCAGCATTTTTACTGATGGCATTTCTTCCAGATGGTCTCCTTTTTCCTCCTTTTGAAGTCCAATTTACTAGCCACGACAAACTGCCAAAGCCTTATTTTGATGCTGTTTGTGTCTGTTTTCTTCAATCTGCTAGATGTCTTTTCCAGAGTGCGTTGTATTTTAACTTCCCTGAAGAAATGTTAACATTAACATGTTAAGGAATTAATCAAAATGACTTGCATAGGAGATTGTTACTGCAGTGATACAATACCAACTTACAAATAAACAAATCCTGGTTATTGCATGTGTCAGATTCAGAACACGGCATCAGAGAGGACACAAGAAAAAAACACAGAAGCAGTTTTTTCCCCATGGTGCACTTCAATGTCAACACGTTTCACTGTGTTTGTAGTTGTTGTGCATATCAATCTGTGCCTCTTTGTTACAGCATTAGCAACAGAAGCTAGTGCTCGTGGGGTTGCACTCATGTAACTCGATCCATACGACACACTGACTGGGATGCTAGTGCTAATGTGGTGTGTGTGCGTGTGCATGAATGAGCCAATCTACTGCACAGCTTTATCTGAGATCCTTCCAGCCGAGCGCACTCACATGCCATATGTTTACAGGCCAACACGTGGTAAACAGGGTGCAACAAAGCAACAGTATGGACAAAGCTAGAACACAAATACTCCACAAAGACCACCTCAGTTGTTTTATTTTGTAAAACACTTAAATAACTGTGTTAAGCTCTATGGTTTAATCTCCAAATAACACATACGATTGAGGAGTGCAAGAATTTAAAAGCTTTTACATACAAGGGCTTTGTATCTTTAGAGTACTATTGTAGTCTACGCTTGGTTTAAAGGGATATTCTGGCGTAAAATTAACTAAGGGTCAAACACACCATAACACCAATTTTGACACCCCGTTGAGAGATGAATGTTGTCGACCGCTTGCTTCTCTGTTTATACCAAGTTTAGTAACGACCGCACGATAGCAATACACAGGGGTCTGAGGAGCCATAAACAAACCTCAACCAAAACGCCACTCTATAGCCACAAATAAAGCCACCAAATATCTTTTTAATTTTGCCTAATTTCTTTAGCAAAGAGGCTAAAAACAACTCACCCATTCTCCTCCAGCAGCCGCTTGTTTGTAGCGAGACCTCGGGCCAGTCCATTAAGGACTGCTGCGGGGTGAGGCAGCTCAAGGAAGAGCATTTATGTTTGGTGGCTAGTGCTATGGCTTGGACCGTATATGTACTGTTGATGAAGTGGTCGTTACTAAAGTTGGTATAACTAGAGAAGCTAGTGGTTGGCAACATTCATCTCTCGATGGGGTATCTAACTCGGTGTTATGGTGTGTTTGAGCCTAAATTAATTTTACGCCGGAATATCCCTTTAACTGCAAGACTATTCCTGAGTTATCTAAATGCTGTCAAAGTTTCCAGACTTGTTTTACAGTTCAAAAAATATCTGAGTGCTGTTTCTGTCTTTTTGTCCCTCTTCACAGTTTGGATCCAGCCTTCACTCCATACTCCACTGAAGTAAAGAGGTCTTCATTGGGACCCATCTCACCATGGACAGGAACAGGAAGTGGGTGCTGGGCTTTGGAGCTGTGCTATTGATCATCTTGAGTCACATGACCTCCGCGCTTGAGGTGCCGCTGGATCGTAAGTATTGAATTTTGAATATCGCAAACTTTGATTTGAAATTCTGTAATGTGATAACTTTTATACTTACCATTCAAGACGAGACCAAACTTTGATGGAAATGCCCTATAATGCTTTTATGTTAAAGGGTTTCATTAACATTACAAATACAGTCCCTTTTGACCACTTCTAAGGCTTTAGAGTTGCATATAGAGCAGCGGTTTACTGGTTCTCTTGTGTTTCAGCTTTGCATGTCTCAGCATGGACTCAAGTTTGCAGTTTCAGCTATGAGATGCTATAAAACTCTTTAAACCTTCTGTGTAACATCCTGTGTAAAATAATGAATTCTTCAACTACTTTTTTAGCACTTAATGAGGCTGCCTGATGAAACTTAGACCACTGAAGAAGTGACCAATCACTAAGTCATGTGCAAGCTCACTAAGATGCTTAAAAGTACTTGAACATTGAACTTTTTCACCTGAATCTGTGGTTTACTCCTTGCAAAGACTAACACCTCTCCTTAACATTCTATCACTGTGGTACGGCGTGTAACGATGGACAAAAAGCTAAAGTTCTGGAAGGATGTAAGTTGCCACAAACACTGCTGTCACTTGAAGTGCTGCAGACCTTCTCCTCTTACCTGACTAAGTGTTGTTTGGATTCTAGCAGTACTAGAAGTGCATGCAGTAATGTCAGCAGTGTGACTGTGTGGAGTGACTTGCTTGTTTTGGAGTGGCGCTTTGTTTATTGTCACCTCAAAGACAGGTAAGCTGACATCAGATTAGACGTTGTAGTGGCTTTGTTTGCAGCTCCACACGGTGTGAAACTTGATCGTCTAGTTTACGTGAACGCTTGCTGCATGCCGCCTGCATATCCTTGATTCTGTCAGTGTAAGTGTGCTGTTTTTACTCTTCATTGTACACGTCTTAACCACCCTTCCATTCATGTTTCTCCAGTGCCCCAACCCCCCACTATAACGCTACAGTCCCCAAAGGATTACATCTTTGATCCGCGGGAGAACATTGTCATCCACTGTGAGGCCAAAGGGAAGCCTCATCCCAGGTGAGAAGAGCCCTCCTCTCATCACAAGGATGATACAGACGCACACTTTGTATATTTTACTGGTTACACTCCTGGTTAACAAAAGAACTGACAAAAACACGTGGCTTTGGTCATAAAATGAAGCAAACCCATATGTTTCCATTAGTAGTGGAATAAAATCAGTTCTTTAACAGTTGATGCTGATAATGGTAGAGCAGGTCTGCCATTAGCTAATAAACAGGTGCATCTCAAAAATGATAAAATGTCCAAAAAATGTCAATTCCCCCCCCCATGATACAATTCAGAAAGTGAAACTTACATTCTAAGTGAGACCTTTTTGCATTCTGGATTCATTACACACGCAGTAAAATATTTCAAGACTTTTTTAGTTTGAGTCTTGGTGATTACAGCTTAAAAAATAAAAATAAAAAAAGAATCTCAAAACATTAGATTATTACAAAACACCACCCCAAACAAAAAAGGATTTATGACACAAAAAAATATCTTCTTGAAAATGATGTTCATTGTTGCTCTCAGTACTTGGTCAGGGCTCCTTTTGCTCAGTTACTCCATAGAGGTAATCAGTCTCTGTCTCTGCTGGAGTGTTATTAAAGTCCAGGTTCCTTTTGTTTTCTACAATCTTTTTATTGAGAACAAGGTACAAAGAAACAGTGATATAAAGAGACGATATATACATGTATATATATATATATATGTATATGTGTGTGTGTGTGTGTGTGTGTGTACATATATATTTAGACTCTGATTCAGAAGGAACTCGACTCTTATTGTCCATTTCTTGGCTCATCTTTGTGTACTGGCTCTGATGCTCTGACTCAGTCCTTGTGAAGCTCCTCTAAGTTCTTGACTCTGTTTGACAGTCCTCTCCAGGCTGTTTCTTGGTCTCCTCTTCCTCCTTCATTTTTCCCTTCAGTCAACTTCCCATGATCTGCTTCCATACAGCACTCTGTGAACAGCCAGACTTTTAAGCAAAGACCTTCTGTGGCTTGACCCCCTTTGTGGAGGGGGTCAGTGATGGTCTTCTGGACAGTTGTCAAGCCAACAGTCTTCCTCATGAGTGTGTGGACCTTTGCAGGTGTTCAGAGTTCATTCGCTGGTTAGAGCCCCTTTTAGGACTGAAAGAACTAACAAGAAACTGGACTTTTCCACAATATTCTGATGTTTTGAGATACGTGTCAGAAACAACATGTGGGTGATTTCTAAATGACTTCAATTGTCCCAATGAGTGATTAGTCAGTCTACCTCTGGTTTCCATACAGTGTTATGGCTCTCTGTGTGAAATTATAGATCTGCTTCTGAGGGGCAACTTAACCCTAGCAGTGTGGAAATCACCATAGCTACTGTCGTCATGGTGACCACTTGAGAAACACCTGACAGAGTGAATTAGACACAGTTTAGATTTGCCACATGGCCCTGAATCAAACAAGTTAGCCAAACCCCTGCTATGAAATCAGTCATCCACATCAGCCAGCATGAAACCACCACAGTTTACTGTTGTGCTTTTTGTTACCCAATTGTATGCTTCTCCATTACTTCCAATTTGAAAACAGAAGTATTTATAGTTCTTGTTGATCCTAGCTTCTCCTGGACAAGAAATGGGTCCCACTTCGATGTGGAGAAGGACTCCAAAGTCTTGATGAAGCCGGGATCAGGGACTCTGGTCATCGACATCAGTGGAGAAAAGGCGGAGGCCTATGAGGGAACATACCAGTGTACGGCACACAATGAGCATGGCACAGCTGTATCCAACAGCATTGTCATCAGACAGTCCAGTAAGACTTTAGATTTCCTCATTTCTGTTGGTTTCTGAAATCACATTTTTTTCCCATTTCAGAATGTACACTTTAGTCATTCACAATATAATAATTTTACTTTTCAAGTTTCTTTTGGGACTCCCGAAACTAAGAAAAAAAACAAAAAAACTGAATTAAAAAAAATATGTGTCAACAGTCATAATACACACTATTTTTTGAGGCCTGCAGTTTCCTTGTTTGATGTTTGCGACTCGCAGGGTCCCCCTTGTGGTCAAAGGAGAGAAATGAGGTCCTTGTGGTGCAGATGGGGGTCCCCCTGGTGCTGCAGTGCCGACCTCCTGCAGGGCTGCCTCCACCTGTCATCTTCTGGATGGATAACAGTGAGTCATTTGCATTTAAACCTATCTGCATGGAATAATTGATTTTTGGATAAAAACAACCTTTTATTGATTTCTTTGTGTTCATGCCTGACTCTCTCTCTCTGTGCTGCAGATTTCCAGAGGTTACCGCTGGATAAACGAGTGTCCCAGGCTCTGAACGGAGACTTATACTTTTCCAACGTTCTCCCTGAAGACAGCAGACCTGACTACATCTGCTATGCCCGATTCCCGCACACACAAACTATCCAGCAGAAACAGCCCATTTCAGTCACTGTGCTGGACAGTAAGTTATGACCTTTAAACAAATTAAAATTTTAAACCTTAACAGACATTTTCAGAGTCAGTAGAAGCTTTTTAATTTCATATTTTAAGATGTTTTATCAACATTTTCCATATAGTTTGCTTTTGTGTTACCTTTGTTTCTATGACTATTGTACATGCAAACCTGTCTGAGCATAACATGTTTTTTTGCACATTTTTCCCTCTAGTTCAAGAGCTCGAATGGCATTGTAGCACGATTTAATTTACTTTAGGTCATCTCAGTGCTAAAATGATGTAGCTTTGCTGTTTAACTCATTCTGTGTTTTAAAAATGCATTGTCCCAAAGCTGATGTATTTTTGAAAACACTTTTAAAAAAGCATTGTTTTCTGTTTTGTTTCCTTGTTTTGCATGCTTATTATTTTCTATTTCAGTGGAAACATTGAATGAGACTCTGGCTGCTATGTACAATGTCACTGATTTCTATAGTGGTGAGTGCTGCTGGTTTATATCCCACTCAGCCCCCTCAGTGTGAACTGAATCCTGTTTCCACTCCCTGACCCAACCAAACCTGATGCCACTCACCTTTGACCGGCCTAAATCTCCCCCTCAGTAACACACTTGTCCTTCAGATTTCCTTAATTTTATCCTCCAAGGGTTTCCTTTATGCAATTGAAGGTTCTAAATGTGATATTTGTTGACATGAATGAAAATAACTCGGTCATACTGCATGATAAGAAGCGAGTAAATGGCAGACAGTAGTATCTGTGATCTCCCCTGTATGCAGATAACACATAAAAGCCTTTAAGCAACCCTCAGAGCATGCATATTATTAAATGTCAGCTAACTGCATCTTCCAACTGCATCTTCCTTGCAATCAAACAGTAGACACTTACTAACTCAGACTGATTGAATCATCTGCTTAATCAAGCTCATCCCCGGTGATCATCCATGATTGCCACATAAAAAGCATAGGGCAACATCTCAGTTTTATCAAACGGCACTGGGCCTCATTCTCCGCCAATATGTTATCAAGTTTCATGGAGTAGAACTGTTCAGACATGTACCTAAATTGATTTCCTGACAAGACTGCATGGCACTGTGCACATGCAGATATGACACAAGACTGCGAAGGAGGAAATTTAGAAACATGCAATCTAAACTAGCCCTTTAATGCCTTTTGTATCATATTTGATACATACTTTTATGATACTTCTATCAAATCAATATGATCAACAAATTACAAAAAAAAAATACCTGAATACAGTCCGATAAATAGTAAAAATGTCCTCTTGTGGTTTATTAGTTTCCAAAAACATCAAATGTATCAAACAAGATAAATATATATTTGTTCAATTTTAAGGACATTTAGATTTCTTTTAGTTTTCAGTAGTAAGTGAAATTAACATTTCAGCTTAAAAAAAATCAAATTTTCTGGCCATAATTTGTGGTTTCAGGCAAAAAGGGTGAGAAAAAATGAACCCTAAATGTTAGAAATACTAGAGATCCATGTGGATCCTGTGTCGGCTGTTTCTTCAGCTGATTCGCTGACACCTACCCCTCACTACTAGTGTCAGACAACATAAATTACTATTCAAAAATCATTTTTCTTTTCACCTGTTGTCTCTTTTGTTCCTTAATATTATGAAGAAAACTCAATAATAGATTCATCGATATCAGAAATTCTTCAGTGGAGCTTCTGCACCCCTGTCTTATGACTATAATAGAAACAAATAGCACACACTGCGTTGTATAGGCCATGGCTCAATCCTTTACAACCCCTTCCTCCTATTTTTACCAATAAATTAGAAATCGAGACCAGCCCTCGTGTTTCATCCGTCTCCTTTGAGGGTTTTTGTTTGGCCCTTCATATCACATGTTGCCGCTTGCTTCTTAAACACTTGTGTTCTCACATGTTCAGACACCCCAGAGGGAGAGCGTCGCCCTGGTTTCATGCTGCCTGTTGGAGCCACCAGCACCAAGATGGTTCTGAGAGGGGAGACTCTGGAGCTGGAGTGCATCGCTGAGGGCTTGTAAGTAGGCGCGTATAGAAAGTTAGTAAAAAATGCAGAAACAGCCTGAAAACAGACACCCTCTTGTGTTTGTTTCTGTAATAGGCCCACCCCAGAGATCTCCTGGCAGAAGGATGGAGGGGAGCTTCCGAGCACCAGGACGTCTTTTCATAACTTCAACAAAATGCTTAAAATTTCTGATGTGAATGAGAATGATGGTGGAGAATACCGCTGTACAGCTATGAACAATTTGGGCACTGCTCACCACATCATCAAGGTCACAGTCAAAGGTATGGTATGACTGAACATGAGACTGAACATTTCAATTTATAGTCAAGTAAAAACAGTCTACTCGTGTTATAATTCACACTGAACTGAACATCACCATGACAGGTAATGTTAGACACAATGAATGGGAGCTCTACAGGAGTTTCAACACAGTTATATTTGTACTCATTCATCTCTCCTTATAAGAAATTTTCAATTGACATGTCTTTAAACATGAAGAAGTCAAATGTAACTATTTTAACATTGTAAAAAACAAAGCACTGTCAAAGTGACCTCAAAAATCCTGCACTTATTTGTATTTTTCATCCACAGCGGCTCCTTTCTGGATCAGCGCTCCCAGGAACCTGATCCTCGCCCCAAATGAGACAGGCATCTTGACATGTCGAGTCAGCGGAGAACCCAAACCAAAGATCACCTGGTTTGTCAATGGAGTCTCCATAGAGAGTGAGTGAAATGATATTAGGTTTTTCTCAAATGTTAGACAGAACCAAGTTAAAGAAATATTCAGAGTTGGTCAGAACTCAACAAGCAATTCTGTACATTTTACTGTACCGTTTTTTTGTAATAGATGCACCAGAGGACCACAGTCGAAAAGTGGAAGGAGACACTGTGATTCTCAGCAATGTACAGTCAGGATCAAGTGCTGTCTATCAGTGCAATGCATCCAACGAGTTTGGTTACCTGTTAGCGAACGCTTTTGTCAATGTTCTTGGTGAGTGAAACCATTGCATTGAATTTTTACATTTGATATGCCAAAGTTTTAAAAAATGTGAATACACTGATCAGTTTGTGTGACTATTGAGATGTTGTGTGTCTTCCTACAGCTGAGCCACCAAGGGTGCTCACACCACCCAACAGAGTGTACCAGGTCATCACCAACAACCCTGCATTACTTCACTGTGCCTCCTTTGGCTCCCCAATACCAATCATCACATGGTGAGGTCCAGATTTTGGATCGTTTCTTGGATCATATCGGACAAAGATTTAAAACACATCTGATTAATGCATCTGCAAAACTGTATGAAAATTGAGGTCCTAGCCTGCACTGAAACCTGGATCCACCCAGAAAACACCAGCTGCAACCCTACATTTTCTGTCAACATTCTTGTGTCCACAGTCTCAAATCTGGTCTCTGAGTTCATGCACAACAATGACCTATTTGATCCAAATCAGTCTGGCTTTTGACAGGGCTACCCTATTAAAACTGCTCCTCTATAATGAAGCAGCTGTGATTGGCTAGAACTGTTCTAACTTGTATTGCCGCAAGAACTATTAGCAGCCTTTGGCACAGTGAACCACCAATTCCTCCTCTCCACACTCACTGAACTTGGTATCTGTGGATCTGCCCTTTGTTAGTTTCCTACCTCACAGGGAGATCTTTTGTAGAAGAGGAGAGTCTGAACAACACTGCTTAACAGGGGTGCCTCAAGAGTCAGTGCTTGGACCCCTCCTTTTCTCTGTATGCACTCCCATCATTTCTTATATCACCGAGTCTCGGTCTAGATTTTGTCAGGCCTGGCTGCTGTTGACCAACTAACCTTTACGAACTTTCAGATGTACATTTGGAAAAACAGTGTCTGAAAATTTTAACACCTGCCATCAGAATATTCAATGATGTTATGGTCTTTCCCTGTTGCTGTGCAGGTTCAAAGACAGTCAAACCAGCATTAAGAATGGTGACCCATATGTGATCCATGAAAATGGCACATTAGAGATCCATGTGGCTCAGCCCTCCAACAGTGGGAAGTACACCTGCATTGCCACCAACAACCTGGGGATCAAGGAGAACCACGTGTACTTGGAGGTTAAAGGTCAGATAAAGACCAGAATAAACTAAATGTCCTGACTAGAAGCTCATAAGGAAATTTTATATGGGGGCTAATTTTTTTTTTTTTTTTCCATCTTTAGAGCCAACCCGTATCCTTAAGCAGCCAGAGTACAAGGTGGTTCAAAGAGGAATGGGCGCCACATTTGAGTGTAAAGTCAAACATGACCCATCCCTCATTCCCACCATGACCTGGCTCAAAGACAATGGAGAGCTTCCTGATGATGAGAGGTACAGCACTTACGATATAAACCCCAAACAGCATCTGTTCAAATGTGAGGACGGTAAAAGCAGCATGATTGTGATATTCTTCCCTCAGGTTCATCGTGGACACAGACAGTCTGACTATAAAAGATGTGACAGATGGAGATGAAGGCACTTACACCTGCATCATGAACACCACCCTGGACCAGGACTCAGCCAGTGCTATGCTTACTGTCGTAGGTGGGTGTATAGTTGAATCTGGAGTTAAAATGTTTTTGGTTAGATAAGTATGCATTTTAGATTTGTCATTTTGAACTCTAAAAAACAGAAAATTGAAAGGGCAAAATAACAGTAAAAAAGAAAACTGAGAAAACTATTGACATAAGCCTCTTCTTTGGGACTGTACTCTACGTCACTCCAAGAAGAAGGCCATCAATGTCATTTAATAATCAAATATTGGGTTTGCATCTTCCTTAAATTGAAGGAGTGGATCCAAACTTTGTCAAAGTGCCTCAGTTTGTCTTATGAGCCAAATTTTCCCCAAATGAATTGGACCATTTCTTCCAGCCACAGTTTTCACAGGAGCACCTTCTCAGATCTGTTTCTTTGCTGTGATTAGACTGCAGGGTAGCAGTTGTTGTTGACATGTGTTAATTATCTTATTCTGACGGTACATATTTAATGACTCAGCTCTATCCCAATCTACATCACCCTTTTAACCACATTTAGTATCTTTAACTGTCTCCTTACCACAGTATTTTCCTGCCAATGACATTTCCAAACCTTTTACTGACATCTAATTTCTTCTATTTTACTCTTGTTTCTTGCTGTCTCAGAGGCTACTCCTACTCCAGCTATTGTCTACGGTAAACTTTGTCCATAAATCCGGATTTAAAAGCTTTTTTTCCAGTCTTATTTTTCAACTAAGTAGTTTCCATTTCACCCTGGTTTTTAGTTGATGTTGGTTTAGGTCTTTGTTTTTGCCATAAACCATGCTTTTATTGTCCATGTGCAGTATTATTGTATTTTTTTAAATGTCTGAAGTTACTTATCCTTCACATGTTTGAATTACATGACCTTTGCATGTCATTAGTTCACTCTCACAGGTGTTTCTGATTAGACCTCTCTGCTGGTGCAGAGCAGGTGCAGCCTGACTGATTACAGAGGGCTAATCAGTCAGGATTGGAAACACCTGGTGGAGCCTTCCCAATCTTAAAATGTTTGATAGTGTTAAAAAAAAAGTCACTCATGTGATTAAACAGAAAACTAGACAAACTGCCCGTAGTTTATCATTAAATATTGGAGAACTTGTTTCTGAACCTTCGGGCACAATCGATTGTCTTTAGTTAAAGTTTAGAAACATTAAAGTCAGTTAAAGACTCTTTGTTTTGGCAACTATTTTACTACAGTTATCCCAGATAAAGCATTCTGGACAGCTTTTTTCAAGTACATGTCAGTCTTTTTCCGTTGATTGAATTAGCCAAGAAAACGTAAATCCAGGTGTTTAAGGTTTAGCCACAGCTGTATTTCTAGCAGATACAGGAGTTTAATTTCTTTGTTGGTTTTGGGCTTGTTTTTGTGTTTGCAGAGAAACCTGACCCTCCGACTGACCTGGAACTGACCGACCAGACAGAGAGAACCGTTCAGCTCACCTGGGTGTCAGGAGATGAGCACAATAGTCCCACACAAAGTATGAAATGCTGCAATCTTAAACATGAAACATAAAATCTGGCACTCTCACATCCCCCAAAAAATCCCACATCTAAAGGCCATATGTACACATGTAGCCGGGTATTTTTATAAATGAATATCCAACCCCCTCAGTTTTAAAAAAAAGTCACATACACACATCATTTCAAATAAAATACCATCCACACAAAACCGCAAAAGTGTGCGCGGTTGTAAGCATGCTAGACCTGGACTTGGGAGTCTATCCAATCAAAGCAAGCTACCCTTTCTCGTCATCACTTCTCCAAACATGAAACATAGCACTGTGTAGTTTGTTCATGTGGACCAACAAAGAGGTGGAATTGCTTTTGTCCACTGCCTGACATAAACAAAAGCACATATTATAGGACGTTTATCGATTAGTTGTTGCAGACACTGACACAGGCCGAAACGTACAAAAAAATATTAATTCTAGCAGATACCCGGCTACATGTGTACATGGCCATAGTCAGCTGCTTCTGTCAGTCATGAACACATCTTGACGATATTTTCAATGTTTGATATATCTGCTCCTGAAATGAAGTCTCAAACTTTATTTTCCCCTCTCATCTTCTTTAGAGTTTCTGATCCAATATGAGGATCTTCTCCACCAGCCAGGATTCTGGGTAAACCTCACAGAGGTTGCTGGTACGAGCACCACAGCACAGTTACGCCTCTCTCCATACGTCTACTACTCCTTCAGAGTCCTGGCTCTCAATCATGTCGGTTACAGCGAGCCAAGCCAACCTTCAAGCCAATATCGGACCAACCCTGCAGGTGATGAGCGTACCTTAAAAACACAAAGGTACCCCGACATGTGAAATATTCAAATATATTTAAGTTTTTTTTTTGTTGTTTTTTTGTAGCTCCTGATGAAAATCCTTCAAATGTTCAGGGATTAGGAACAGAAACTGGGAACATCGTCATCTCCTGGACAGTAAGAAAAACCTTTGACAGATGAAAGCTCATTTTTGACCTGTAGAGGAGTGTCTTTAATTTCAGTGAGTGAAAATGACATTTCTCTGTACAGCCTTTGACAGGGTTTCAGTCTAATGGGCCCAATCTGGAGTACAAAGTGCAGTGGAGACAGAAGGATGTGAATGAGGACTGGGAGTCAAAGACGGTAGCCAATGTTTCCCAGTTTGTCGTGACTGGAACTCCAACCTATGCACCGTTTGAGATCAAGGTCCAAGCTTTGAATGATTATGGAAGTGGTCCAGAGCCTGAGGTTGTGATCGGGTACTCTGGAGAGGACTGTAAGTGGATCACATATCAGGGTTTGATTGAATGTTTGAAACCGCTGCGCTTGACGGCTGAACCGTATCATTTTTGAGATTGTAATTTTCACTGAACTCATGTGGCAGGTTGGGTTAAGTCATATTCTTTTATATCATGTTTACACAGGTTTTCAGTGGTATGAGAGAATGCCAAACTCTTGTTTTTTGGACTGATTTGAGTCTTGCTCTTTTGTTTTTCTGCTCTCAAGTGCCCTCGTCTGCTCCGGATAGTGTTCAGATCATGGTTCACAACAGCACTCTTGCAGAGGTTCACTGGGAGCCTGTACCTTTTACATCCGTCAGAGGCAAACTGCAGGGATACAAGGTACTTCTTTGATAAATGGTTATTTCGAAATCTTGTTTGTTTTAATACTTGAAGGGGCACTGATACCACTTGATGACAAAATGCAAACAAACGGTACAAGGAATACAGACAATGTTCCTAACTCTGTCATGCAGTTTTTGCACCTACAGGTTAAACGTGGGTGAAAAACTATCTAATGTTAATTTTGCTCTGCAGTTGATTCCAAGACTGCAGCACCAAGCGACAAGCAAACTGTCAGAAAGCATAGCCTGATAAATCAAGTATTCTGATTTTGATGATTCTGATAAACTTACCATGAGATGTGAGAACACATCCTCTCAGAAAGTTGTACCTCCATCTTGGAAATTTCAAAATAAAGTTCAAATCAAACAGCACTACAATCTACCTTGTAGATACAACCAAAACTAGAGAGTTATCTTATAAAAATGAAACCAAGCAAGAACTCACATTTATGGACCTATCCGAGGAAACGTATTCGTCCTTTTTAAAGTGAAAACCCAGACATCATTGTGTTTTATTTTGGTAGAGTGTGCTGTTGCTCCTACTTCCTTAGAGGTTGTCCATCCATGTGTTAACTCCTCATTAGATAATCAATATCAGGTGAGAGGGTTTATAAAGGTAGAGCTCACCTTTCGTCTGTAAAGTCTGAACTGAGGTGTTTGCTGCTGAAATGAGAGGACGTTGAGTTGAGCTTGATCCTAAAACTAGACCCTGAACATGCTGATTAATTCAAACTCACATGCAGATATTTATTGCTTTGTTTGCACAGGCATGAACCACAAAGCAATATCAAACTTTAAAAACACTATTAAAAGAAGTTCTACCTCGGTAGTTCTGTAGGAACCTTCTCTGAGCAACTCTTAGCGAGAAGGGAACAGAAACTTGGTGTTTCGCTGTCATTAGCTGCATTTACATGGGCTTTGGTCGGAAAAAAAATGCATCATGTAAACATCTCGATCAGAAGATTCTGATACAATTCATCTCAATCGGAAAGAAATTGTGCTCCGATCGAGAATGGTGGTTTATGACGATCATTATTCGAAATGCATCCATGTAAACGCTTTTTCCGATTGTGACTCTCTTACCTGACTCGATCTTCACTCTTTAGCCTTTGGCTCATTTATTGAGGTCAGTACTGGAGGTTTTATTTTTAACACTTTGGCATGAAACATAACCACAGGTGCTGTCGTGTCTGCTCCTCCGGTAACATAACAAGGCGTACATACAGCGTAATGATGTCACATCTTCACACACAGAGCAACCTTTGACAGAACAGTAGAATAAGTACGCAAGGGCACCATCACTTCATTAACTCACTTTCACTGATTTCTCCAATGTCAGTGTCTTTTTACAGTTTTCCACTCTGCTTAGGAAACCCTTTGGTCTTTTAAAAGTGTCCTTAACTGCTAACATTTTTTTACCTTGAGAACTCTCTTGAGGACTAAGGTGCTTTGTGAAAAACTCAGGATCTACTTTACCTGGAAATTTGTCTCTTAAAAAAGCGTTTTGTACAAAGCAGCTCGACAAAATAAAGCTACTCGTGTTTCCTCTAGGTGTACTACCACCGTGAGCGAGGCTTGCATGAGACCGAGGGCGAGACAGAGCAGCAGGAGGAGCAGGTTCTGACGTTCAGTGGGAACCGCAGTGAGGGGCGCTTGCCGGGCCTCCAGCCCTACAGTGTCTACAACCTCTCTATCAGGGTCCTCAACAGCAAAGGAGAGGGACCCCCAAGTCAGAGCAAGAAATTTGAGACACCTGAGGGAGGTGTGTGTGGCTGATGTTCTTAGTTTCCTTTGAGAAGTTGATCTGTTTTATTGTATGAGTTTGTTTTTTTACATGCTGTGTTCCTGTATAAACATTTGCAGTAAAAGCCCCTTTAAGGAACTACCCTTTGAACTGACTGCAACCCACTCGAACTTATCTAGTTTACACCCTGAAAATCACACTCAAGCATCAAGTTCAATGTTCAATCATGTTTCAATAAACGCTGAATAGTACCACCGATTTTGTGTTGCAACATCTGAGTTTTACTCTGTTTTTGGCTTTCTTTTCAGTTCCTGGACCTCCTTCCTTCCTGAAAATTATGAATCCCAGTTTGGACTCGGTCACTCTGAAATGGGGCCCACCAGAAAAGAACAATGGACGCCTTGCTGGATACACACTGAAATACCAACCAGGTAGACTTACAGTCTGATGGGCTCCGTGAAGTATCATGTGACATCTTTGCAAAGGGAAACTATAATAAGCAACTCCCAGTTCTCTGATTTTACTTCTTTTCTGTCCTCTTTAGTCAACAACTCCAATGAACTCGGACCAGTTCGAGTCATGACGTTCCCCCCCAATGAGACATCCACCACCCTGGCCAACTTAAACTCCAGCATGCGCTATAAGTTTTACCTGAGTGCAAAGACAATCAAGGGCTCTGGCCCGTCAATCACAGAGGAGGCCTTCACTGTCATGGACACTGGTGAGCTGTTCAGTTTTATTTCGCTTCTTTTACAGCAAATTACAATCAATCCCAAAAAAGACAAGCCCTTTACGTCAGGCATTTTGGGAAACAAATCACAGGTCTATCGTCGGATTCTGATACTTGGATCTCTTAGGATCTTAAAAGCGTACAAATATGAGGTCCAGATGCTTTCAGCGCCTTATACCTTTTCTATTTCTGTTTCTTTTTTTCCTCTTTGAAGCTCATACTCAGCCTACCGTAGTGGCAGGCAAAGGTAACCGGAGTTGCCACTGGGAGCAGCTGCATGTTCATATCATCAGATATTAGAAACATAAAACTAACTTAGGATAGACAATGTTCATCCCTGCATGTTACAAAGCTAGCATGTGTAAAAGAAACAACAAACAAAAAAAAAACAGGGTTTACATGTGACAAACTTCCATGGCATCTGCAAGCCGCCGTACCTGAGAGACAAGGATGCACTGAATGCAGCATCATTAACGAAACTGAATTTTAACAGCTGTTTGCAGTATACCTGCCATGCTTTTACCCTCTCTTCTAATGAAGCAGCTCTCATTAGAAGCCACTCGCATGATACTTGTGAATTCATCAGTTTCTCCTCTAACTTGTCTTATTCACCTGCTGATGCTACAGTAGACAAGAATGTATGAACAAGTGGAATATAGTTTGAATAATATGCATGCTGCTTCACTCGGCATGTCGGTAGCAAAACAATGTAAGTCACTGTCTATGCAGCGGGTATCTGTGTTGTCTCACTTTTTTCCATGTTCTTTCAGGCCTCACAGAGCCCCCTCACCCAACCTCCCCCATCACTCAGTCTCCGCATCCCCCTCTTCACAAGGGTACAAGCACTCCCTGTGTCCCCTTCTCCCTCCCCCTTGTAACTACACATGATCTGTCCTGCCGTGAATAGTTCATCTTAGCCTCTCAGATATTACGTTATGAATTGGAAACAAAAATTTGATCTTATGCTATCCCACTCTGTAATTTGGCAAATAATTGGAAACTGATTTCTGTGGGATTTGTTTCATTTATTCTGGTGTATTTTGACTTGTTTTAAGACAAAAGGCTCAAATCTTTAATGGAAAAATAAAAATAAATAAATGAAGTTATAGAAACAATTCAAATCCATAAGAGCCATTAAAAGAAATCAGGGATTAGGAAAGAAGGCAGTATAAAGAAATTGGATGGGATTAAAATAAAAAATAGGCCAATAAAGAGCAATAAGAAAACTGTGAAATTTAAAAGTAAGTCTCAAAGTGGGTTTTAAGTCATTCACATTATGTTACTGATGCAGTTTTACATTTTTAAAGCAATTAAGAAACAAAAACTGAGTTCCTTTCCACCTTTAAATTTCAAAAGTTAAAGTAAAGCTTGTGTGTTTCTTTTTTAAAAAAAGGACAATTTCTTACAACTCTGATGATTTTGTAGACATAAAACTTTAACTGAGTGGACTAAATTTAGCTGGTCATGTTTAGCACCAGATATTGTGAGATGTTGACTCGTATTTATGTGCTGTGATGACTTGAGTAGGTCAGATGGTTTTGTAAGTTTGAAATGAAAACGTGTGATTTTCTCTCTCCTGTGTGTTTAGCGCCGCCTGTAGGCCCTGCGTTTGGCACAGTTAACACGTCCGTATCGGAGGAGGGTGCAGTGATCAGTTGGGATTACTTTGGACATCATAAGAATGTTTATGTGGAATATAGTGTAGAAAACAGTAAGGCTTTACTTTGTATTTGCAGAGATAATCTTAATAACACATCAGCCACCATTCATACCAGTGTTTTCCTGAAGGACTTCCCTTTGTTAACCCCTCTCCATTCACCACACCTGTTCCAGGTAAAGAGGACTGGAAAAAGGAGTTGGTAAACGGTTCACACTGGCATATGATAAAAGGTTTAAAGCCGGGAACATCTTATAAGGTGCGGGTGGTAGCTAGAGACCCGGCTGACCCGACGGTCCACAAGACAGATGAGGTGGTGGTTACTGTGCCAGGTGAGGCGGCATGCCTCGGGATGGATGTCTTCACCTTTAATTTATTGTCTCGTTCCCATCCCCATGATGTTGATAGACATTAAAAACGTAGAATCAGACTTGAATGTACTGTACAGTCTTTAGTTTGCTGGTTAGTGTACAAGCATGATGCCAGCAAACTGATGTGATGCAAGTCAATAACATCATCTGTGTCAATTAAATCATTAATAATTCATGTTAATTCAATCCATAATGAGATGTCCAGTGTTTTACAGTCCTGAGTTTTGATTTTCTTTCCTTTTGTTGGTTGACAGCACCTTAACACTCATCTCAAATTAACCCTTTTTAAATTTCATTCCTCTGTTTACAGCTTGTCTTAATGTCAGTGTTGTCCAGCATGAAGAGTCCGACATTTAAGCAGCCTGCGTTATGTTTAAGACTCTCACACTCACTTTGTTTACCATCTTTCTGCCTCCTCTTTCTATCCGTAGCTGTACCCAGCCGACAGGTAGACATCGCCACCCAGGGCTGGTTTATCGGGCTGATGTGTGCCATCGCTCTGCTCATCTTAGTCCTTCTCATAGTGTGCTTTATAAAGAGGAACAAGGGTGGAAAATATCCAGGTAATCCAGATATTAACCTCGCATACTGTAACTAAAGCATGTGTCTCTGGAAACTCATGAAAAATGTGCTACCTGCAGTAAAAGAGAAAGAAGATGCTCACCAAGACCCAGAAATCCAGCCTATGAAGGAGGATGACGGGACATTTGGGGAGTACAGGTAAGACTTGTGTTAAAGTCAGAAAAATCAGGGCTGCAGCACACGTTTTTGATTCATTGTGTCCTGACTTGACTGTTTGTACGTAGAACATTTGACCAGGCTGCGGAGACACTCTCCTCACCAGACTCCATTACCAAACACTCCATAGAGGCAAGGCGAATAAGAACCTCACCTGTGTGTTGTATCAACTCACTACATACCCGCCACCTAATCTTCAAAAGCTTAATATAACACTAAATATGTCCTTATTAACAAGTAGTTTCATCTCTGGCATAAGCGAGTGTGTCCTAACTGTTGTAGAAACACGTAAAACAAAACCCATCTAGGTTATTTCATCCCATTGTTCACATTTTTCAGCTGATGTACCTCACAAAAATGGGGACTGGACTTAAACTTGTAGGAAGGAAACAGGTCACAGTACTGCTATAAGTTGAGAGATGCAAGTGTCAGGGGTGGATTCGGGGTTTATCTTGGGGTGCCCCAGCCCCAGGAGCCCCCGCGCCCCACAATTTGATACTACACCCCAAAATCATAAACTGTCTTACTCCTCTTATAATCAACTTGCTGTTAGTAAAAGTGCTGTGTGAAGCTTTCTTTGTAAACCAGGACGCACATTTTCAATCATGACTTTAAACAATTGTTTCCTTTGAGTTCATAAAGATTTAAAGTTACTTTTCAGCTCACTAATATTAATATCTAATAAGATGAATTAAAAGGTAGCCAAATATCAAAATGAATTAAAAAAATGAATATTTTCTTAATCAAATAATCCCTTCTTGGAGTATACAGTTTTATTTTAGTGATACTTGACTTGTCCTAGTGGCCAAAAACTTTAGAGTTGACACAGCCACACAGAAAGTGTGCCTTTCTCTGGTCCCTCAGTACAAAAGCATTAAGATAGATGGAAACAGACAGGAAGCAGAAGCCAGGGCATGACCAGGATTTTTAATTGGGCACCTTTCTTCAGCAGTGTTAGGTGAAGTTAGGCCCATGGTACCCTAGGCTCAATAGTCAGCTCCAGCACCTCAAAACTGCACCCTTCCATGCTGGTTCTCACCTCCAGCCATACCCTTCCCACTAACATAACAAAGAGAGGAGACAAAGTCAGAAAAGCATGAAGACAGATGCTAGAAAGAGGACAGGATACCGTTTCAATCTTACTGTGTTAGGCTGCACACCTTATTGAGATTCACTGACTCACTTTTAAATCAGGTAGTTGCTTTGAATGACTGACCTGTGTTTGGACTTAATGTTGCCGTCATTGTGCTTCAAATGTTCCATATGCATGCTTTGTTTTGTCTGTGTTTAAGAAAAGGATGGACCTTCATTGTGGCTTGTGAATTGCTTTTCATGTGTGCTTCCATTCTTATCTTTGTTTTGGCTTGTTTAGGTCTATAGAGAGGTAAGAAAAGACATGGTGAAATTCAGCATGCATGCAACCCATGACTCTGACTTTAGTGAAACTGAAAGCAAGAAGAAAGCACATCGACTGATCTGGTTAACAATGTCATCATAATCACTGGCATAGACAACATTGTAACACTTACAGCAGCATCAAACACAGATTTAACGATAAATTAGCTTTAACATTTTAGCTCCTTTAGTTTGATTTCTATTAATACAACTGCATTGAGCCCACAATAGAGTGGGGATAAATTAGATCTGATAGATGATCTCACATCCTGTCGATTTGAATAGTTAGTCCTTTCAAAATAATGTGCATACTGATCTATGGTAACAGGTTTGATCTTTCTGTATAAAATGATAAATATTGGTGCATTTTTGATCATTGCATGTAAACGAAGCATTTTGGATGATTCGGTTGCAGAGATTTTGTACAAAGGTAAAGTATTGCAAGTAACTGAACAGCCTGCATTTGCAAAAATCCTCTTTTACAGTGGTCACCAACCCTTAATCTAAACAGCACCAGTGTTTAAATAGCACTAACAGTCAGATAGTATTTTATAGTTTGTATGCAGCTGAGCATCTACACTGTACAAAAAGCATAAGGTATGATGTTCCAGGTTGTCCAGTATGATACAAAATATCATGAAAACAAATACTGAGCAGTTGTGTAGGTGTGATCTAAGTATAACCTCAGCTGTAGATGGTGTCAGGCCTTTATTTAAAGCAGGCTTGTATTTATGGTGCACATTTATTTCTAATGACCTCTGTTTGATTAGTTAAACAGCTTCAGCAAATTCAACCCTTTATGCATCAGTCAAACAAAAAAAATAATAATCAGTTCATTTATTATCAAGGCTTTTATTTTGAAAAATCCCAGCACCTTAGCAGCAAGTTTCAGCATTGAAAAGTGAAGCCATTGTAGCCTTAAAAAAACTGCAGTTCCTTGAGTGCCCACTTGAGGCTGCCTCCAAGGAAAAGCCAAAGAGTCAGTGGGCACAGGCTCTAAAACAGCAGTTCTTGTAGTGATGGTGCCCACAACCTCACTTTGAAAGAACCTCTCATGGGCATGTTTCTTGGTTTGTGAAAGTTGACCCACTTTCGATTTGTAGTGAATGTTTAAAGTTTTTCAATCTGTGCTCTACATTTTCTGTGAATATAACTGCAACAATTTGCTTCCAGCCTGTGGCCCCAAATTTCCTGCTCTGTCTACTGACCGATTCACTCTGAATAAAGGCAAATCACCTGAAAATTATTTAATAGTTGTGTGGTGTATGTTTGTACAGACCACAGCCATTGTTGTTGACAAAGTCAATATCAGATGGAGAAGTGACATTGACAAGCACAGGGCTGTTCCACAACATCACATATCTCAAACAGAGGGTGCTAGGTCATTATTATGACAACAATAAGGGGAAAGAGACTGTGTTTAAGTCCCCCTTAAAGCCTTTTTATACCACATTCACTCATTCACTCCACACTCATGTACTGATGGTAGAAGCGTCCATCAGTATAAATTAATCCCTCTTACTCAGATCCTGTTGATTATTCTCTGCCCCTGACTTTGTTTGACCAGCAGCTTCTGATTCAGGGGGTACGCTACATGTTTTTTGTACAGTGGAAAAGCCAGACTGCTCATGTCATGTGCTTGTGTAACAGCCTGCCCTCTTGAGTAACTCAAGGTTTCTGACCACTGAAAAAAAGAAATCTCAGCTTTATGAATTTCCCCTCATCGTTTTCCTTCCCTTCACAGTGACACGGAGGACCACAAGCCGTTAAAGGGCAGCCGGACGCCATCCAATGGGACAGTGCGCAGAGATGAAAGTGACGACAGCCTGGTGGATTATGGGGAGGGCGGGGATGGACAGTTTAATGAAGACGGCTCCTTTATCGGCCAGTACAGCGGCAAGAAAGAAAAAGACACACATGAAGGCAACGAGAGTTCGGAGGCCCCGTCGCCTGTCAATGCCATGAACTCATTTGTCTAACGGTGGGAGGCGGCCTGGCTGCGACAGTTGCTATGGCCACTCCTTGTCACCCTGGCAAATGTGACCATGGGCGCCGCCTCGGTGGTGACAGTTGCTAAGGTGACAGTCGATGTGGACGCCTTCCTCTAAACATGGCGGCTGTCACTGAGACTGCTGACACCCTCATCTTCAGTCCCCCTGTCACACTGTGACCTCTGATCAACACACACTCAACATGGAAAAGACTGACACCGCATCCCCCATGACCATTAAAAGAAGGTGTTGTGGAAGGAGGGATGTGAGGACTCTGAGGAGAGAGAAGGAGAGAGGAAGCAATACAGAAAAGCTGAAGGAATGTACCTGAAAGAGTTTTACCACTCAGACTGAGCAGAAGTGTGGCCAAGCGTGTGTGTTAGTGCCATAATATCTTTGCAAACATTCTGCTACATGTATCTGAATATATATTTTGTCTAAGTACAGTACACCACCTGCAGGCTGGCCAATATGCATCCAATCCCACTCATCTGCATGGAAAAAAAAATCATGGTCCTATTATGCATTTTATCATCCTTGTGTAAGCTGTTGCAGAGGTGAGCTGCGTGTCAGGACTGTATATGGTGCACGCCTGGATATGTCTCATTGTTTTTCATTTTTTTCGGTCAAAGTGTTGAACGGTGTATGATATGAAGAGAAAAAAAACAGCAGCAGTCTCTTTGTGGACACTGCTGTGAAAATGCGTGACATATATTAGAAGGTAGCGTTTGTCTTTTTGAGACAGATGAACTGTTTGTACATATGTAATAGAAAAATAAGAGATCTATATTCTAAGGTCAGGGATGTCCGTTTGTAGTCTTTGGAGACCTGGCCAGAAACACTTTGAACTCTGCTTTGAGTCACTCCTAACCACACCAGCCAGCCAGAACTCCTACATCTTCTCCACGTCGGCCTGTTTCTGGTTTTCTCGAGCTTGCTCTTTCCTCTTTTTTCTTTCACAGTTTTGTTCCTTGATAACAATCCTATGCTTGTTTTTCCTGAGCACTAACCAAACACAAGTGGAGGTGTGATCCATCTGCTGTCACTGTCGAGTGCTTTCATTTCAATTCCTGAGCCACTGTGCGAGGCTTTCCTTTCCTTTATCACGCTGTTGTAGGAATTTAAGGCTACCCAAATGTTGTCTCGAATAGCATTTCCGCTTATTTGCTATGTATTCTAGCAGGAAGGAGAGAAAAGATGTTACGTTCCAGAACCTTTCAGCACGGTTTCTAGTGCCTTTGTAGAGGACAGTGACTCAGATCCACATAAATACATCCCTCCTCATAGTCAGGACACACATGAGCTCAGTGCAGACCATCTATATCATGTACATAGTGCACTCAAAATACTATCACACTTACCCTGACATCACTCTAAGGCTATTTGAAAATTCAAAACTACATTAAAGTCATAAAAAGGTCCGAAGGGTTCAGTTGATGTTGAAAAGGTGATTTCATAAAGTCAGCTTAAGAATAAACAAGCTGTATGCCATAGCGTTTTGTAAATTTTAGCGAACTATGTGGGATAATTAGCTTCGTTTAGCTTCTTAAAGTCTCCGAAATAGCTTCAAAAATATTGAAATTTATTTTAAAAACTGACTTTTAAAATGAGCTTTTCACAGTGGGGTTTTATTTGAGGGGAACTTTACAGCTGGATTGTTATGGCTTTGTTGACAATCATACACTCATATGTACAGGCATACAAACAGACTACCAAATCATACCATCCAGTCAAGAATCAGAGGCAGATGAAATTAACGGTAAACCTGGTTAGAGCATGAGTGCTTCATGAGATGTCTTCATGTCACACCCATTCACACTGAGGAGGAGCCGCTGCTCAGCAGCACCAACTACTGCCAACCTGCTCACCAGGTAACTGCCAACAGGAACCAGATTCACCATCTGGCGCAGACTCTTATCAGGGCGGGACTTTCTGTTATAGGTAGCACTTAGAAATAAAAGGGTCGCAAATCTGCGTGATGATACTGAATGTGGAAACAAGTGTTATCTGTTAATGTGAATGAAAATACAAACTGCTTGTTTCACTAAAAAACTGTCAACACACTGGTGACTTTTGGTTTATGCATTTAACCTCCTGTCTGTGAATGTCAGGGCAGCACTCTGTGAGTTTTTCTATTACTGTAAATGAATGAAGCTTGTGTGAGAATGCTTGGGTGCATGAGCCTGTGTGTAAGTGCGTGCGTGTGTGTGAGAGTGTGTGTGTGTGAAGCACATGCATGCTATCGTGTTACAGTGTGTGTGGTGTATACTTTCGCTTCAGTTTCCATGGATAACAGTCTATGAGTCTGATGTGTGTCCAGCAGTCAACTCTTACTCCCAGCAGGAGATACAAGACTTTTCTTTCCTTTTTTTTTTTTTCTTTTTCAGGAAACATTTCCACATCTTACTTTTTATCATAACTTGCATCAAGTTTTGAGGTTCATGATGCGTCAGCTTTTCACATGTAGATATTTTTGTTGTATTTTGTAAATAACGGCTTGGATTGAGCGTAGACTGGTTGAGATCAGAGGTGAGAGCTCGGCCTCAATCTACCCTGCTGCTTTATGGGTAGGAGGGTAAAACTGGTGTTGCTTGAGATGAGACTATTTACAGTTTTCACTCTTTCATTTGCTGTGAAATTCTCCCTTTCTTTTTTTGTTTGAACTTGTCAGGTGAATTTGCTAGCTCAAACGTTTAGCCTATCAGGTATCAAAGGAGATTATTTAACTTGTGACTGAGCTCTTGTGACACCTGTAATGTTTCTGTCTCTGACAGTTCACGCACCTTTTCTGTATTTTTTATAAAAAGATGCACACTCAAACAGGAGGAACCATTTCAAATACATCTTGCTTCTAGTTTTCAACCACATCTGGTGTGTGAAATGAAGTCCTAAACTAGACATAAGATGAGACTGACATCCTTTTTAAGAATGTGCATCAACAAAACTAAACAAAACAGTAATTTGGAGCATACACAAGGATGGCCGGCCCGGACAGTTAAACAGACTGGCGCATTGGAGTGTGAATACCCTGGAAACAATGTTCTGGTGAATATACAGTAGGCTTTACAGTATATGATATGATATAATATGACATTCTGGTTAATGTTGAAGTTATGAGAAGCATGAACGGCTGTCAAAATGGTTTACCCTACAATATAATATTGCAAAATATTTTGTATTTTAAATGAAGTTTAAAAAATGAAATAAATGTTGGTTTCAGGATTTCACTTTAGTGACTTTTTTATTTTATTTTTGTGGTCATGCATGTGCTTTAGATCATGCATGAATCTGAGTGTATGGCTCCCTCTCGTGGATGAAGTGAGGGTAACCTGGTGTGTTTTTTTTTTTAATCACAGAAATCAACCTTTGGAAATTAATCCCTGGCAGATTAACACACATCTGGGTTGATTTGTCTGCCCATGCGCAGTGCACCGGTCTCATTTAGAAGACTGTGATAGTTGAGCATCAAAACACAGATTGAATCGACATATTTTATAGGATACTTATACAGTTGAAAAGAAATGTAATGTTGAAAAACTGAAGGTAAATTCTCGAGCAAAGGTGGAGAACTCATTCTGTAATGTAGGTTTACCTTAAATGTCCCCTTTCCTTTCAAAATAAGAGCCTCAAAGACTCTTTCACATACTCACTCAGTCTAGAATTGTTCATGAATAATAGATCTGTCTGAAGGTCATTTATGATGCACAGCACATGGTGAGGAGTAGGTATATGATAGGAACCACTTGCCGGTTATCTAGCTTTTCTGTGTCATATTTTCTCACTTTTAGGTATTCTTACACCACTTATAACAGTGGTTTTCAACTGGTCTCACTCTGGGACCCACATTTTCCCATGGTCCTTGAGTTGCAACCCACTTTTATAGAATTCAAACCAAGAAAATAAATTTTTTACATTAAAAAAAAACCTTTGAAGACTCTAATCTTTAACATAAATCCACTTGTTCTATTGAGTAAAGTGCATTTCAGAGCATAACATGAGGACGACAACTACTGAAGTTGCTTATACAGAAAATATCGAATATCTAGTAAATATCGCATTAACTATGTCCTTTTTGACTAGCTGTTTGTGACCCATCCAGAACGTGTCCACGACCCACTTTTAGGTCGGGACCCACCAGTTGAGAACCACTGCCTTAAAATGTATTTTTTTCATGTCATACTAAGATGATATACGAAAGCCTCCATTTTGTGAATCTTGCTCATGCTGGTAAAACACATGTCATGAAACGAAATCATCCACAGATAATAATATCTCTTGTGAAATTAAATTTGTGGACTGCCCCTTTATCAGTGACATCAAATAAAGGCTTTTTTATCATCTCTCTTGTCTGGGATGCGCAGCAGCTTGATGCCCACCACATCCCCTCCATCCTGCCTCTGACTTCGACCAATCACAGCGCGTCCTTGCTGCCACTCTGCGGTGTCACTCCGCCTCTCTCCTCCAATAGAAAAGTTGCTCTGGACGGGACGCTCCGGCGGGTGGGCTGTGGGACGATGCGGTTCGGGTCCAGGTAGACCATGCGGACAGTGAACTGAAATTTTACCATTCTGCCTTCAAGGTAAGAACGACAACATATGAGGAGGTGAATTCTAGCTTGAACGGGTTTTACTGTCGGGACTTTGTGGAATTAAACTGAGTGTATATAGCGCTGTAGGTCGAAATGGACCGGCACAGAGCAGTACCGCAATGCAGAGCAGTGAATTACCGGTGCCGCTCAGTCGTCATTAGGTTGAAGTGATGTAAGGAGCTGCGCAGCTGCTTTCGGGGGGCTCGGGGTTTTCGGGAGAATGCGACAAAAGTGAGTAGCATTAGACAGAGAGGAGATTTTACCCTCCTTCCTTGCACTTTTGTCATGTAAAGAGGAGAAAGTGTCTCTGCAGAGGAGGAGACAAGGTGAAAGTGTCTGATACTGTAGGCCTATGCGTCAAGGACGTAGGAAGCTGCTGAGGCATCTATGTGTTAAAAGTCTTATCTGTCCTTGATGGGCAAGAGGGCAACTCCCCAAAACGTGAAACACTGCTTTAAAAATGTGTTTCTTTACAGTCATGTCATGAGATCTGCAGCTATGACTCATTAAGTTCAACATATGTGGATGAATTTAATGTTGGAAAGGCTGTTTAATGATAAATCCACATTCATTCTGTGAATATCAATGACTTTTCTCTCTCTTGTCCCCCTGGGCTGCAACAGAAAAAAACAAAATGCTTGAGTCCAAACTGTCATGGCTGCAGAATGGTCAGGGGGAGAGGGATTATTCCTCCCCTCTCATCCTCACATGAGGCTGGATCCTGTGTCCTGGCCTCAATTTCACATATTCAAGAGCCCAAAATGAGTAATCTAACCAAACTATGCCCACTCAAATGTGTAAACCACTAACTGAGAATGATTCAAGAGTACAAAAGTGAGTTTGAGTGTGAAATCTCTGCAGCTCTAAACATGGTCATTCATGGAAATCACTAAGACACTCGGCTTAATACATGTGCTGACCTAAATTTCTCTGCTCTGTCCAAAGAGGATCTGTGATGGGATTATACACAGGGGAAACCCAATCTGATGTATGAGAATTACAGTCATTGATCGAACAGATTGTTCCAGCTGAGCCGAAGTTTAATGTAAAGGTACTACAGAAGCTTAAATGTGCATAATCATGATTTGTGATTGTTTTCCTGATTGATTTTTGCCTGATGATACCATCACTATGATCACTACAGTGCTCACATTTTTCTACGCTTGCACCCAAATTAAAGCGGTTTGAAGACATAAACATGTGTAAATAAGGAGATGTGTATCTGATAGCAAACGGGTTGTTCTGAAGTGACATTAATGTTGAGTCATCAAGAGTGCACATGAGGTGTGAGTGCTGCAGTCTGCATGTGGATGAGCTGAGTGCAGGGTGTGTGCCTCTGCTCTCTCTCTCGCTCTGTTCCCTCTATTTCTGGGAGGTTGATGGGAGGCGGCTCTCTGGCAGCTAATCCTTGCAACACTGTGCTGTTTCTTTTTTCTTTCTCCTTATCACATCCACAATGACTCAGCAGAGGACTGTTACTGTCTGGCTGCGAGCTATCTGTTGTCAGATTGTGGGTCCCGTGGGTGGTCGCAGCATTCAATTCAAACAACTTAGCCTCAAGTGTAATTTCTTCAACTTGAATAGTTAACTAAAGGTTCTTAAGTTGTTTGTCGAAAAAGAAAAAAAGCAACATTTTTCTCCAAGAATCTATTTTTCTGATGCACCTCTTTGGATTTACTGTCTCTCATCACATCCTCATGACCCTTGACACCATCGGAAGATTACTATCAGAGCCGTAAGCCGACTGTTATGTTCAGATGTTTCTGAGGCACTTTCAGTAAACAAGGAGCTGCAGGGCAGGGGCATGTCCAGGGGGGTTGAACTGGGGTGGCAACGCTCCACCCAGAAATCTGATTGGTCACCCAAATGAAACTAAGAATGTGTCCGAAATGAATCACTCAATCCCTAACCCCTAACCCCCATATGGGGTTTCACTATACAGTGGATATAAAAAGTCTACACACCTCTGTTCAACTGCCAGGTATTTGTCATGTAAAAAAATTAAATCAAGATAAATAATTTCACAACTTCTTCCAACTTTAATGTGACCTATAACCTGTACAACATAACTGAAAAACAAACAGAAATCTTTCAGGGAGGTGAAGTAAAAATAAACAACTGAGATCATGTGGTTGCATAAGTGTGCAAACCCTTTAATAACTGGGGATGTGGCTGTGTTCAGATTTAACCAATAACATTCAAACTCAGGTTAAATTGGAGTCAGCACACACCTGTCACCAATTAAAGTGCCTCTGATCAACCCCTAATAAAGTTCAGCTGTTCTAGTTGCTTTTCCTTATATTTTGTAGCCACATCTTCCAGCACAAGCCATGATCTGCAGAGAGCTTCCAAAGCATCAGAGGGATCTCATTATTCAAAGATATCAGTCAGGTGAGGGCTACAAAGAATTTCCAAGGAATTAATACCGTCACAGTTAAGACCATCATCATTAAGTGGAGAAAATATGGCACAATGGTGACATTACCAAGAACAGGACGTCCGTCCAAAATTGATGATAAGACAAGAAGAAAACTGGTCAGGGAGGCTACTAAGAGGTTGACAGCAACACTGAAGGAGCTGCAGGAAGTACTGGCTGTGTAGTACATGTGACAACAATCTCCCGCTGTCTTCATATGTCTGGGCTACGGGGTAGGGTGGCAAGACGGAAACCTTTTTTTTACAAAGAAAAACATCAAAGCCCAGCTTAACTTTGCAAAAAGACATCTGAAATCTCCCAACAAATGTGGGAAAATGTGTTATGGTCTGATGAAACCAAAGTTGAACTTTTTGGGCATCATTGCAAAAAGTATATTTGGCGCAAAGTTTACACTACTCATCACCAAAAGAACACCATACCCACAGTGGCGCATGGTCGTGGCAGCATCATGCTTTGGGGCTGTTTTTCTTCAACTGGAACTGGTGCCTTAGTCAGGGTGGAGGGAATTTTGTGTCTATTTCCTCAATTAGAAGCAAGAAGCATGTTCCTGTCAACTTTCTTGAACCATTTTCCAACAGACTGATAATTGCTGTAAGATGTAACGTACATGAGTGGAAGCTGAAATGAGACAGTAATAGTACTCCATGTATCGGGAAGTTTTGGGACGCTAAAACATGAGAGGACTATGAATGATAAAAGAACGTAACTATTGACAGAATCATCTAAACAAGGTTTTAAGTGGAGTACATGTAAACACATGAAATCAGATTATAACCACTGGCCAAGGAATCATATTCAAGCTATTCTCTGTGAGCAATCTTTGGAAATATTAATGATCAATTATTGATTACTTGTTAAAACAATTATGAGAAATAAAATGAAACTTTGATTTTTTTCAGTGAAAGAGACAGTTTCAGATGGATTCATGACATAGAGCATAAATTGTGTATTAGATTTAAGACCATGACTGGTATGTATGTGAACTGCAACAATAAACGACATGATTCTGTCCTTAATTTCAGTGTTGATGTTGGGGTTAGGGTTAGCTGGTAGCCAGTTACTGTTTTAGATTTTAAATGCTGTCATTTTAGATGGGAGAAATGTGTTATCATGCAGGGGGGTGCCAACATTGCCCGAGAGCAGCTGTCTGCAGTGTCTGTAAATATTACTTGTTTGTTGTTTTAAAAAACAGCCTTGTAAGGGCAGAAATCAGCTAATGTTGTAATATCAAAATGGCATTAATTGCACTTTAAATCAGCTGAACCAATCAATAGGTTTGACTCCAAGTAGTTACACTTGTTACATCTATAATGACATGCATTGTACAACTTTTCTAGTTTTTGCCAACACTAAGCACATACTGGATAAAAATGCTTTTATTTTCCCCTGATATAAAACCTGTACCTGACTGCTTCGCCTCATTGGATTTACTGAATTTAAGATCACATGATGAGGTCATGGATTACCGAAATGTTACTGTGCTGTTACTGCATCAAGATTATTAAAATGAAAATGCTGTAGTATGTGGGCGATCATCCTGACTTGGATGATAGCAAACTCCCTCAGCTCTCTGATTCAACCTGTTGTACCTTTGCATCCTTGATTTAGAGCGTTGCAGTGGGATAAGTAAGTCTGCTCAAAGCTTGCACAAAGATACTTTCCTTCTGGTTTAAAAAAAGCAGAGAAGCATAATCAGTCATACAATCCTCCCTCTGCTCATCTGCTTCTTTTCATATTTATCAAACATCTCTCCAGTCTTTCTTTTAGCATCCCTGTGTCTATGTCTTATTAAACAATGAGAGCTGAATCCCTGCAGTTGCTCACAACACTGCTGCTTTGCATTCATCCTACAGACCCAGTGTGTGTGTGTGGATGTGTGACAGCATATCAAGAGCCGTCTAGGTCCCGCGGTGCTATCTTGCGTTTTGTTTACACAACACACAGAGCTTGTGTGTTGGTGCGTGTCTCCTGCAGGTGGATGTCCTGATGGATGTGCACGCACTCTGCAGAACTATTTCCAGTGTTCTGCTGAGTCATTCACATCCTGAATTATTTATACACACTGGAGAGCTTCAGCAAGCACAAGCTCCGTTTCTGGTGTTGAAAGTCATGCACAGTCTTTTGTCGAGAATTGAAATCTGGAGCCTAAAGTCTTATATTTCTGTCTCTTCTTCAGCCCTCTCCAGTTCATGTCCAGTCCATCCACTTCTACTCTGTGTCCCTTTGCCCATCTGCCAAACTCACGTGGCTGCTGTGAGCCCCTTTGACCGTCATGGCGGCCACTGCTTTATTACTCCTGGCCCTCTCCTCCTCCATCTCCTTCACAGGTAACAGAATTAATTCACAGTATGAATCAGGCTTTTATTTCAGGTCCTGTCATTTGTTTGCACTTTGTACACTATTCTTGTTGCTTTATTAATGATGAGACAGCACAAAATAGTCTGTGGTAGTTTGTGGAACATTGCGGTGTTCCTCAGGGTTGAGTTGTGGTCCCACTCCGTTTTAACACTTTAACACACACAGCCTTTTTACTTTCTTTTGACAACACACAGCTTGATTTTAAAGATTTAAATCATGACTTGGGCGCAACATGTGGTCTTCTAAAATGTGACGAGTTGACTGATTGTATTTTCACTTACAGTGGCGGTCCTTTTTGGTGAGCCCAGAATTTATGGAGGTGAGTTCAGCTCTTCAGAAAATCCTTATTTTAGATATTCCTCTGTAGGGATGACCTTTAAAATGTCATGTAAAACTTTTCAGAGGATGCTACTGGATATGGCCCCATCTTTGAGGAGGAGCCTGTGGATGTGGTCTACACTGAGGATTCACCCGATGGGAGAATCTCCATGAATTGCAGGGCGCGAGCGAACCCTCCTGCTTCATACAGGTTACTAACATTCAAAGAAATTTCCTTTTAAGCATTTGTATTTTGTATATTCAACTTTATATTTATGTATTCTATCATGGTGTTGTATCACTGTAAGGTGGCGCCGTGATAACTGGGAAATAAAGCTCATGGAGCAGCCAGATGAACACTACAGCCTGGTCGGGGGGAACCTGGTGATCACTAACCCCAGACAGAAGAAACACGCCGGGACGTACATATGTGTGGCCAAAAACATCTACGGCACCGTGATCAGCAAAGAGGCCAGGGTCAAGTTTGGATGTGAGTGTGTGAATCCTGATGGTGCAGCTCCAGTCCCTGGTGATGGAGTAAAATTAGATGCTTATCTTTCATATATATATTTGAGGCTCTCCTGAAATTTCCCTTCATTTATGTTTTTTTACTGTACAGCTTATATGTGAGTCCAATCAACCTCAAGCTCTGAGACTTATGCACAATCCTTTCATTTTGTAATCCAAACTGTATGTCATTCTCCACTGTCATGCAAAACCTTCAATAGCCAGACTCCTGTACAGTAGAGTGTGAACTCTACCTGGTCAGGCTGCTCAAGTGTATTTAAAGACCATTTTTACCTAATTTCCATCTGCAATCAATCAATTCCTCTTTACTTTGCATGTTCTCTGGACCACTTGGGCCAGTTTAAATACTGTCTTAGGGGACTATGTTGCTCATTGTTAATTACTGAAACTGCATCAATGATTCATAAGCCCCCTGCATTAGAGCTGAAAGGAGCCACCTCTAGGTGAACACTTGGACACTGACTCTAGGGCAGGTTTTCTCTAAGCTAGCATGTCTTCAGAAAAACACCGGTTCCTTCCAGTGCTTTTAGCATAATCTCATTCAGGGCTACTGTTACATCAAACTGTAGACAATGATAGGCAAGCACAAAGTACACAATCATAGTCATTTTCTGAACACTTTTCCCCTGTCAGTCGGGTGTTTTTTTTTTACTGTGGCAATAATGATATATTGTAGTAATAATAAGGAGATTAGAATAAGAATTAGATGAATGAACACCCGCTTTTAAGACTCTAAAATAAATAAAACAGATTTTTTTAAATTCTTTTTTGTATTGAACCAGATAACAGAAAAATCCATAAGCCACATTTGTACAATAAATCCTGTATAAAAAGGGACACTTAAGAGTGATAAAAACATCACTATTTCAAGATTTTCTTGATTTTATTATTTTTGTATATTTCTCTTCAATTGAAATACCTCTCTTTTTTCATCTCTTCAATCTGCGACACAGTTTTGGAGGAGTTTCCTCAGGAGGAACGAGATCCAGTGTATGTGAAAGAAGGACAGGGGGCCGTTCTGTTGTGTGCCCCTCCAAAATCTTGGCCACGTACGTACACATCTGTCTCACCTCTGTTGGATACAAGGACAGTCCTGTGACAATAACAATGGCGACTAATCAACATCATTCTCTTTGCTTTTTCAGTTGAGGTAACCTATCGCTGGATCTACAACGAGTTCCCGGTCTTCCTGCCAACAGATAATCGTCGGTTTGTCTCCCAGAAGAACGGTAACCTTTACATCTCCAAAGTTGAAGCTCAGGATGCCGGGAACTACTCCTGCTTTGTTTCCAGCCCCATTATTGGGAGGAGCGTCTTCTCAAAGTTCATCCCTCTTATCCCTCTTTCACCTGATGATGGTTAGTAGAGGACAGCTGTGTTACTCATTGAAAAGAAAAATGCTGCCTTATTCTTTATATTAGAAGCATAAAAGAAAATATGACAAAAACCATGTCCAGTTTTGGTAATGTTTCTATTTTCTGTCTGTTTTTTGCCTCAGGTGAGGAGAGAAAGTACCCAGCAGACATCAGGGTGAAGTTCCCTGATACTACCGCCATGCTGGCCTCTAATATTACCTTAGAGTGCTTTGCTTTAGGAAAGTAAGTTTCCAGGACTTTGTTGAACTTTCTCCCTCAGTTTAGTAAGAAGATAAAACTAAACTCCATCACTTCTTTGTGTCCTTTCAAGCCCAATCCCTCACATCGTTTGGAGGAAAGTGGACGCCACAGATCTCCCTGCGAACCATGAGATCAGCGAATCAGGAGCAGTGCTACATCTGTACAATGTCCAGTATGAAGATGTGGGTGGATATGAGTGTGAGGCCATTAATACGAAAGGGAAGGACTGGCACAAGGCCTGGCTGTATGTGGAGTGTAAGTGGACACCCTGGGGTGCACATTTCCAACATTAGATTTTGGGTTACAAGCTCGGTGTTGTGATAAGATCTCACAATTGAATTTGACGTACGGTAAGAGGAGGTCTGTGTCTCTGTTGTTTGTCCATCGCTGCCATCTGTGTTGTGTAAATATAAGTCATCTTGAAGCGCTATTGGGGTAAAAATTTTAAATTGTGTTAAACATAACGTCATTGAAGCTGATTTTGCCTCTGCAGCTGCTCCAGAGTGGGCGGAAACCATCAACAACACTCAGATAGACATTGGCTCAGAGCACACGATGCGCTGTGTGGCGTCAGGGAAACCGTTTCCTTTCATTCGCTGGTACAAAGATGGGTATATGGTAAAAGTTGTATTTCTTTCTCTGAGTAAATAAATATGGAAGTACTTTTTTTGTATTAAGTTTGACTTAAATGTTATTGGTGTGTTTGTTTTTTCCAGTATGGGAAGGGGGAGTTGAAGTTTTCCAGTCTCACATTTGACGATTCAGGAATGTACCAATGTATCGCCGAGAACTACTGGGGGATCAAATATGCCAACGCTGAGCTGCAAGTTATTGGTAAATCCTTTCCAAACACTGTATATTTATTCACTCATTATCAACAAGATGTGAAAAAGTCTTTTTGGTTTAAAAACGTATAAATCCACTCTTGCTTGAGGGCATGAAATCGGGAAAAACAACGTCTTTAAATGCACATTCTCCTGACAGCCTGTCCTCCTACATTTGAGTTTAACCCTGTGAAGAAGCAGCTTCTTGGTGCCAAAGATGGACGTGTGGTGATTGAATGTAAACCCAGAGCTGCCCCTAAACCACGATACACATGGACCAAGGGCAAAGAGCTCCTCTACAACACTTCACGGTCAGTCCAACTAATATTATCCCAAATTACCTACCCCAAAAAAAACCAAAAAACATAGGCTTAACAGAATTTTATGTCATGAAATCAAGGCTGAAAACTCGCCTGTGTACAATCCCTTTCATTCAATTATTTTGATAACTTTATTTCAATAAATAAGCTATTTAACTGTATAATTCTTACCTGTACCCTAACATCTGGATTTTAAGTCACACATGAGATGTAACCTGTGTCTGGAAGCAAAATGAGTTTAGACTACCATGCTGCAAGAAAACTATAGCAAAGTCAGCAACAGTGAAGCATGATCTGATCTCACAATGCTGTGTTTACAGTACTGCTAGGTACCTTTAGTGCACTTGGATCAAACCAGCTCTTACTCTAAGTGATGAGAGGTACTGGTTCTGGACCAAAACTCGTAGAAGTCTTTTCAATAAAAAACGCACTCCTCAACCTTTATTTACTGAATAAACTCATCAGATTTCTTTAGATTTAGATGCACTACAAAGAGTGAGAAGAGCTGGTCCGGCTTACTCCTTGGCATATTAGCTGCATCTCACTTTTTAGAAGAGAAAAACAATAATGAAGAAAAAATTCTGTCATCGAATTAAATATATTTATATCTCCTAAAATTTTGCAGCTTCTTTCCTAGATTTTTCAGTTCATCTTCTCTTGGCTTTTTGATCAGTTTTTTTAATCTTTTAAAATGCTTTTTTTTTATGAAAATTGTTAAAACTCTGTCAACCAGCTTAAACTTTGTTGATTTTGTTCTTTTTTTAGCATTTCCATCATGTTGGATGGGAGTCTCGAGATACTTAATGCCACCACGAACGATGAGGGCACGTACACTTGTTTTGCTGAGAATGACAGAGGGAAGGCCAACAGTTCAGGTTATCTGACCATCACAGGTCAGTACATATGCTGATGTGGATGTCAAATATAAATACACACTGCAGGAATTGTTGCAAGGGATTTAAAGGGATATTCTGGCGTAAAATTAACTTAGGGTCAAACTATAACACAGAGTTAAACACCCACGTCGAGAGATGAATGTTGCCAACCGCTTGCTTCTCTAGTTATACCAACTTTAGTCACGACCATGCAATAGCAATATATAGTGGTCTGAGGAGCCACAAACAAACCTCAACCAAAAAGCCACTCTATAGGCACAAATAATGCTCGGAACAGCACCTAACTTCATCAACAGTACATATAGGGTCCCAGCCATAGTACTAGCCACCAAACATCTTTTTACTTTTGCCTAATTTCTTTAGCACAGAGACTAAACACAACTCAACTACTCTCTTCTAGTAGCCGCTTGTTTGTAGCGAGACCTCAGGCCAGTCCATCAAAAACTACAGCGGGGTGACACAGCTCAAGGAAGAACATTTATGATCATTACTTTATCATTTCCTTGAAGTAATAATTTTCATATTAATCATTTTGCACTGCAGACGCGGTAGTTCTTCTGCCTTAGCGTCTCGGTCTGATTGCATTTCCATGAAGAAATGATCATAAATGTTCTTCCTTGAGCTGCTTCACCCCGCTGCAGTCTGTAATGAACTGGCCCGAGGTCTCGCTACAAACAAGTGGCTGCTGGAAGAGAGTAGGTGAGTTGTCTCTTTGCTAAACAAATTTGGCAAAGTTAAAAAGTTGTTTGGTGGCTAGTGCTTTGGCTGGGACCCTATATGTACTGCTGATGAAGTTAGGTGCTGTTCTGAGCATTATTTGTGGCTATAGAGTGGCGTTCTGGTTGAGGTTTGTTTATGGCTCCTCAGACCACTGTGTATTGCTATCGTGTGGTCGTGACTAAAGTTGGTATAACTAGAGAAGCAAGCGGTTGGCAACATTCATCTCTCGACGTGGGTGTCTAACTCTGTGTTATAGTTTGACCCTAAGTTAATTTTACGCCAGAATATCCCTTTAACTCCTGGTGTTTTCTCTCTGTAGAGGCGACTGTCCTCACAGAAGCACCTGAAGACTCTGAGGTCCAAGTCGGTGATGAGGTGGTTCTGAAGTGTGCTGCTTCATATGACCCCATGCTGGACATCACTTTCATCTGGGCCATCGACTTCAGGGTCCTCGACTTTCATGCTGAGTGGCCACACTATGAACGTGTCATGGTATGTTTGAGGTACATGTGGGCCTCGTACGAGTCCCCAGCTCTGTCTCTGACCTCACCCTCTTCCTTCCTCCCTCTTCCTCTTCTCGTTGTTGCCTCCTGTTGCTCAGAATGAAGATGGAAGAGGAGACCTGAGAATAAAAAATGCCCAGATCTGGCACGAAGGTCGCTACACCTGCACCGCTCAGACAGTGGTGGACAGCGACACAGCTTATGCTGATCTCAAGGTTGTAGGTCAGTCACAAATTCTGATGTTGTTTTTAGTCTAATGTAGAAAAGTAAAAAGAGCAGAGCAGAGCAGACCATCACCATAACAAGTGGTTTTTACTAGTTTCTCACCGTACAAACATTTTTCTGGGCTGATCTAGGTGTTCCCGGCCCTCCCGGTGTGATCCGGATAGAAGAGATTGGGGATACGTGGGTGAAACTAGTGTGGTCCAAAGCAGCGGATCACAACAGCCCTATTCTCTCCTACACTATTCAGACCAGACACTTCTGGGCCCTGAATGAAGATGACTGGAAAGACGCAAGCACCTGTGAGTACTGCTGACTGTCAGCAGGGGGCAAACTACACAAAAGCAACACATCAAACGCATGAAACAATACTTGATGGGAAATTTATTGTTCTTCCAGCTCCAACCACCCTTGATGGCAACGCAGATAGAGCAGAAGTGACAGACCTGTACCCCTGGATGGAGTATCAGTTCAGGATAATCGCCACCAACGAGTATGGCTCCGGGGAGGCCAGCATCCCCTCCCTCAAGATCAAAACCTGGGATGCTGGTAAGAGGATGTTTTTCACAGCACACATCTTTTAGTTATAATGGAGCAAAAACACCAACAATTCTCTTTACTTCAGCTCCAGTGGTTTCTCCCACGGATGTAGCCGGGTATGGAGGCAGAAACGGTGAAATCGTCATCACATGGACTGTAAGTAATCCTTTAGTTCAGACGTCTGATTATCCAGAAAATTTAAAATTGCTTGTACCCGCTGTAAGCATATTTTTTTCTGTTATTCTAACTTTTAGCCTGTGGAGCCATGGTTTTTCTCTGGCAAAAAGTTTGGCTACATTGTGGCTTTTAAGCCCCATGATGCTTACGATTGGTGGTACGAGACTATCTCCGACCCTGAGACAAGGCGCCACGTTCACAGGGACTCATACTTCATCCCCACTGAGGAAGACTTCCAGGTCAGAGAGTTTCAGGTGAAGATTAAGTCATTTAATGTCAAAGGGGACGGACCATACAGCCTTACCAAGGTCATCTACTACCCAAGAGATGGTGAGTGTTCGGATTTTTAATTTGATTTCCATTTTGGACTCTAACGTCCTTAGAAAATGTGACAACTGAAGCGGTTGATGTAACCTCTTTGCTTTTTGGACATTTGCAGTACCTACAGAGTCTCCAACAGACGTCTATGCCAGGCCGGTGTCCTCCACTGAAGCTCTGGTGTGGTGGTTGCCGGTGGTCGACACTGGAACAGGCCTGCAACAGTACATCGAGGGATACCAGGTACACAGCTTCAAATGGACTACTGAGATTTGATCCAATCCTATCTGCTTTATTCATATAGCACATTTTAAAAAACATTCAAGTTTGCCAAAGTGCTGCACAGTAAAATTTTAAAGAGCAAACACTACAGAAAAACATCACAAGGAAATAAATAAAAGCAGGTAACAAAACATTTAAAATGAAATAAAAAACACAAAAGCATAAAAGAAATAAAAGTGATAAAGGGACAATAAAAAGATGTAAAAGGACAGAGATCACACAACTCTTATGCTGAGCTAAAAGCCAAGGAATGAAAATGAGTTTTAAGACGTGATTTAAATGTAGAAAGAGTAGGAATGTTTTGATCCTGAGTGGCAATTGGTTCCACAATTTGGGAGCCACAGCCAATAAAGCTTGGTCGCCACGGGTTTTTAAATGAGTTTTTGGGACAAGTTAGCAGACTTCAAGGAACGTGGGGGAGTGTAAACATTTTAAAGGTCGGAAATGTACAGTGGTGGTGATCAGTTTAGAGATTTAAAAACAATGAAATTTTGAAATTAACTCTAAAATGAACAGGAAACCAATGGAGGGATGCCAGAATCCATTGGCTACTGAGATTTAATGTCTCAAAAACTCAAGAAATTCAGATTTTAACGAGATCATTGTGTTACATTCTACCCAAAAACATACTAGCTCTAAAGCTGATGAGAGATTTTTATTCATTTTAGTTAAAAATCTCCTCAAATCTTCTGGAATGGGGAATATTTATTTAAAATGAAGGATAAGTGACTCTTTGTACTCAATCTCTGCATGTAGGTGTACATACACAGTGAACTAAACCTTAAATAAGCTGGAAGACAGAAGCTTCAATGTGATTGTTTTTAGGGAAACAGTTAAGACTTCATCTCAATTATTAATTTACTGGCAAAAACAAAACTGACAATCAAAGAAATGAATCAAGATTTTTCATGGGGACTTCTTTTCATCCTTTTTTCTAAGAGGTTGTGTTGCAGCAGATTTTGCTGACTCATCCTTCACATATTCAACATTGATGTCAGCGTTAGCGTGCAGGTTAAAGGAGAACACCACAGCTTTGAAATGTTCCCTCTCTAACCCTCATATGTTCTCTTTCTTCATGAATCAGATCAAATACTGGAGGAAGTATGATGATCCAGAGCCGGGAGCAAACCGTATCTTTGTTGCAGCTACAGTCAACCAGACCAGGCTGGAGAACATGCTGCCAGACTCCCACTACCTCATTGAGGTCCGTGCCTTCAATGGAGCTGGGCTTGGACCGCCTGGTGAACATTGTGAAATGTTCACAAAGAGACCACGTAAGATCGATGACTCAGCATTAAACCTGAGTTATGTGATTAAAGCGACATAGTGATACAGATTTAATTTATTAAATGTTTTCTTTTTGTTCACAGCACCGCCAGACCCTCCCAGGATGTGGCGCTATGTCACTTGGACAGGACAGTGGATGTATGTGTGGTGGGATCACATTTCTTATGACTGGTTTGGAAACATCTCCTTCCCTCTGTACTACAAGGTGGGTGTGATGACGCACGGCTGCCATCATGTTTTCATGAGATTCAAGACTAACTCAGACGTGTGCTGTTTTCAGGTCATGTTCAGAAAGACCGGCTACTACTACGGGAAGGTCTACATCACCGGTTGGCACTTCATGGACTTTCCCATGCCTCAGACGGGAGACTATGAGCTGATGGTGCGCGGTCGTTATGAAGGAGGAGACGGCCCAGTCAGGAAAATTAGGATTATGGGTGGGTCTTAAAAAGTTGCTGATCTGAGATTTGGGGCTCTATTTTCGTGCCCGCTGGCGCTGTGGTATTTTCATCTGGTGGAGCTCAGTGCACAGCCAGTTTGGTATTTTCATAGACTGAAGCTCACCGAGGTGTGCCAAGCTGGGCATGGTGGCATGGCAGGGGGAGGTGTCAACAGAGTCAGCGGGCGCAGTGACATTTTCATGCTTGCCACTAGCGTGAAAAGTGTGCTAAAAGCTCGCCGATTCAAACCTGGTCAACTCTCAGCGCAGGCGGAGCGCAGCTAGTCTAGTGGTCATCAATGGTCATGCACACAGGTCATCAATGCCTCACAGGCAGTTTCCACAGTGTCAGGCACATTTCAGTGCAATAAATAATCAAAATGACCAATAGAAAGGGAGAGATATGATTGGTGAAAACAGGACTCGGCTGTGTTAAACCCACTCCACACCCTCTCTCCTCCCTCTCTACTACTTACGCTGCTGGGAGGAGCTGAGTTAGGGAGGGGGGATACTTTGGCCGGGCTGTGTCACTCACCAAAATACTAAAATGTGCTTGGGCACACCTTGTCGGTGCGACAGACCTGACTTACGCCAAACCTGTGCCACGTGAGGCATGAAAATAGAGTCCTTGGTGTTTTTTTTTTGTTAATTTTTTTTCCTGGTCCATTTTTCTCATGTCTCTCTTTTCTCACCTCAGGTACGGCATCCATGACCACGCCCACACTTAGCCTGGTGACTTTGGTGCTGCTGGCATTGTGCATCATGGGACTGGAGATTTGAGTGTGCCACAGGTGACATGTGTATAAAAGACTCTTTGAAGTAGATTTGGGACCTAAAACAATATTCAAACACTCTTCGTACTGATAATAAACATGTGTCATGCTTTTATTCTGCATCTGTTTAGTTTGAACATCACACAGGAAGCAGTTTTGATCAAAGACAATATGATGTTATCTTTGCTTTTTCTCTTATTTTTAATTTGATCTAAATAAAAATAAAAAAATAGGCTAAAAATGAAAACACTGGCATCCGGCCATTTTTTTGTTTAATTTATTCTTGTTAGTTTTAAATCTCAGTTTTTGACTTTAGCCAAACAAAGACTGGTGTTTTTCTCTTGTTTATTTTAGTCGATATGTGTCACTTCATTCTGCAGATAAGCTATCCACACACACACTCCTCAGAGGAAATATGTAGAAGGCTTTGTGGTGGTAGAGTGGGAGAATTATTTTTGCAGTATGTCTATTTCAGCCTCGAGAATGGGTTTATATTATTCATAACACGCACTTTGAATATCTCAGATGGTCATGAAATGAATACTATAGTATGTAAAAACTGTATAATAATCACTGTTTTTTGTTTGAATGAGCAGAGGATAAGTTAGCGTACACAGTTTTATCACGTCTCCATGTTTCTTTGCACAGGGTATCACATTTGTAGCAGCTTAGTCAACATCTGCATCAGAAGCTGTAATGTATTCTCAATTGCAGACACTTCTTAAACTTCTTGAAGAGTTTTCTTTTTTTTTTTTTTGTAATGGTGCTGTTCGACAGGGATGAAATTAAAGATTTGATGTCTAGCTGCAGTCATGAAAGCCACTTCCTTTGGGACCATGATGTAAGACTCAAATGAGTAATTGGGCTGGAGTGGGGTAGAAAATGCTGTATACCACAAATGTTTATGCTGATGTCCTTTATTACAAACCATTAAACAACAATCTATAATATACCATTTGTTGACTTTCATCCATATTTGAAACAATAAAGACAAACTAAAATTACCCACTGAGCATTTTTGGACTAGAGGTCTCATAGACGTCTAAATGTAGCGTAGACGACTGGTCTAAAATCAGGCTACTGCAGGTCTAAAAATGAAAGTTTTTAGACGTCTAAATTTAGACCAAGTTTAGACCAAGACTAAATCTGGGCTATATCTATACTACACTGTATATTGCTCAACAGCCATCATAATTATTTTGGTTAAGTACTTGGAGATCAGGGGTCCGTTTCACGTAGCAGGTTTAGTGGAAACTCCGAGTTTGTTAACCCTGAAATCAGGGAAACTCTGAGTTTTCCGTTTCACAAAGGAGGGTTAGTTAAACCAGGGAGAGAGGGGTAACTCTAACCTGTTTCACAAAGAGAGGTAACTCAACCTCGCGGTCAGTTACCACAGTAACAGACTCCGTGAACCTATCCTGCTCGGGAGCAGGTTTAACTCAGTAAACCCAGAGTTTCAGGTGAGACATCGGCATTTTCTCATTTTGATCATGTTTTACATTGTCAAGTAAGTATTAAGTGGCAGTTTGATCCCTTAAAAAATGCTCTTTTCACACTCAAAACTGAATTTTACTCTCTTATTATGTTCCGTTAAATGATTAGGAATATTAAACTAACACAAAAACGGGTGGTGGTCCAGCAGCCCCACCTTTAACGGAGGCAGAGGAGCTGCGCCCCCCCCCCCCCCCCCCGTTCGACGATCGCGGCCGGTCCACACACACACACACGCACACCAGTCCGACGATCGCTGCTACGAGGTGGGGGTTTCGATCGTCGGGGGGGGGGGGGGCAGCTCCTCTGCCTCCGTTAAAGGTGGGGCTGCTGGGCCACCACCCGTTTTTCTGGCATCTGCCCTCTTTCTGTTTGCTGAGTGAAAGTCTAATATTGAGTGTAGTGTGTGTTAGTTTAATATATGTACATATACATACTGAGAGTTAGTTTAATATTCCTAATCATTTAACGGAACATCATAAGAGAGTAAAATTCATTTTTGAGTGTGAAAAGAGCATTTTCTAAGGGATCAAACTGCCACTTAATACTTACTTGACAATGTAAAACATGATCAAAATGATTCAAGCAGTTTCCCTGCAACAGTCTGTCATTGTGATCGCACGAGACTAGATTTAAAGTCACGCACTGACGCGAGCAGCGATTTCCTCCCAAGCCCTCTCCCTCTCCTTTGCAGCTGCTGCTGTATTGCACTTTCTTTTATAAACGTGCTGTAATTCGCTGTTGGCTTGCTGCTGCCCCCTCCTTCTCCCTGTTTCCATTGGTTGATCATTGAATCTGCGCTCCACAGATGCTGGCTGTTTATGTCTGGCGTGCACGTGCTTAACTCCAGGTCAAACTACTCGGAGTTGTTAAAACCGTCTCAAATCAGGTATTGTGAAACCGGAAACTCAGAGTTTCCTAACTCAGAGTAGATCAACTCAGAGTTAAGGATTTAACTCAGAGTTTGTTGAACCACCTACGTGAAACGGACCCCAGTTATGCAACTCACAGTTGCTTTTTGAAATAAATAATTATCAAATAATGGGTCAAAGTGCAATGTCTAAATTTTCTCCTGAAAATATACAGAATGTAGACGGTTGAAATTAGGTCTAAAAAAAAAAAAACTAAACATCTAATAGCCATCTATTGCTCAGAGGATAAACAAAAGAAACTAAAAGAATGAAAGTGTTTGATTCTCAGACTCCAGAACAAGTGATAAAACTTTGTCATACTTTAGAAATATTTGATCACTTTATCAGCTGCTCCTAAAAACTACTCAGAGTTCTTTATCTGCTTCAGTTTTGGGTTCATTTGACTTCAATTGAAATGTATTTTAATACTTCCTTGACTGTTTGACTTCTAGACCCTTTAAACCAGTGGTTCTCAAGTCCAGTCCTCGAGGCCCACTGTCCTGCATGTTTTGGATGTTTCTCTGCTCCAGCACACCTGATTCAAATGATCAGCTCGTTATCAAGCTCTGTAATGGCTTAATAACGAGCTAATCATCTGAATCAGGTGTGTTGGAGCAGGGAAACATCCAAAACATGCAGGACAGTGGGCCTCGAGGACTGGACTTGAGAACCACTGCTTTAAACTGAAATAAATGTAATGAATGTTTTCATCCAGCAGATGGCGGCATATGTATATCCCATTTTACAGCATTTCAGACAGCCCATCTTATGCGTTATAACTGGGATTAAACATAAACAAGTGTTGTGAGATAAAAATGTATATTATCTGAAGTTTCTTACACCAAAAGTTTTTAGTTATGTTAAAAAAAAAAAAAAAAAAAAGATTCCAGCAGGAAATAGAAGATTTGTTATCCCCATGTTTTGGTCTTATTTGTTGACCTTACTCCACAGCAATAATATCAGCGTCCCTTTTTTCCCAAGCGAAATACCACTGGATTATTAAAGTCTCTTAAGGTTACCCTGCTATTGCATATACCCTGTGCAGCGATTGTGTTTGTTTGTGTCTGTGCTGTTGTTTGTTTTTGCTTACATACTGTACAGCAGTCTCTGTGTGGGTGGCTTTTATCTCTCCTATTTCCACCTCCATTACCAGCATTTCTCCCATTTTACCCCCTTCCCCCCTCAAACAAATTACACAGACCCAGAAACTCCCATGTGAGGCTGAAATCAATGCGGCCATCATTTACAAACAATCACAGCGGATGCACAAAGGTGAGCCTCACATGCAGGGGACTGAGTCTTCCTTCAGAGGAGGAGATTGAAGAGCGTGTTGTTGTCATACACAGTTCCTTCTGCTGTTTTTGCACGCAGGGCCTGGCTCCTCTGAGGACAATGGATCCACAGCAGTGCACTTTGTTTCTACAGCTGTGTTTTCAACAGAAATGTACAGTATTAAGGAACCTTTTTTGTGTTGTAGGAAATCTGATATTTTTCTCAATTTAGCTGTTCGATCAGAAAACACATTGTATATTTTCTTTCATCTCCATCACTATCTCAGTGTGGACCCTTTTTTTACTCTGCAGTGTGAGTCTCCACATGGTTATCTGTATCGGGTTTGAGAGGACTGTGTGCAAAACATTGAGTGCTGCTTTTATTCCACTATGTGAGTGTGTCAGGTCTGATTCCTACAGTGCTAAGATATGTGAAGAAAGGACTGCACAGCTCCGGAAATATGAGAGGTGGTTTGGTCAACTGGCCTGATCAAAGATGTATATGCAAACTACGCTCTGGCATCGGCTTTGTTTTGTAGATCAAATGCGTCAGCATGGATTATTGCAGTGTGCTGGCAAGGAAGTCATCTGAGCGACAGATTTTATGCCGGTTACTCATGCAGTGATTCACAGGACATGGACATGATGACGTATTTCTTTTAATTAGCAAACGGTGTAGGACACTCCCACACAGTGCTCACTACAGTGGATACCTAAACTGTTTTCCACAAACACTTATTTATTTCAAGTTAATTCTTGCACTTTTTATGTGCTTTTATAAGAAAAAAAGTGCAACAGATAGAGTAGAAGTGGCAAACAACATGCTGCAAAAGATCCTAGACTAGAATATGGGCCGCTAGATTTTGAAGGTTATACCGTCAGTATATAGGGCACTTAATTTAGCCTCACTAAGCCAAGTGTCATCCTAAATGCATACATTATGATGGTATTTACGCTCATCAGCCACACCACTGGACTCAAAAGTCACCTTGTACACTGGCACCTTCTTAAAGCTACTGTAAGTAACTTTTGGTTCATGTTAATTTGTTACCCTCTTTGGACAGAAAGGTCCTTTCATATCTTGTCCTTTTTATGCTTAGTTTCTTCTGTTGAATATATTATGAGGACATTTTTAAATTACTTCTGTCTTTGGCTGCTCAGCTGACAGCTGACCTCTCACGCTGGTTTGAGGGGGGAAAAAAAACAAAATATAATATGTAGGAGCCACAATGTTGCTTTGCTTATCGGTTAACCTGTGTTCAGTTACTTTTGTCTGGTTGCCATTGGTTTCCCTGGGCTTGGGTCACATGGGCACTGTGTTTGAAAGCCGGTAGGTTATATAACGGGCTGTCTTACCTGCACTGGGGAGGAGAGGTGAGCCCAGGTAGCCGTAATTTTTGTTGACCCCACTTTATGTTCTTTGTTTTGCAATGATACACGTCACAAAGTGTACACGCACTATATCTGATTTGTGCTTGTAAATCATTGGCGACTATGAAAGCATTTTTTCTTTTATTAAATTTCTGAAAACTTCGATGAACTGTGGGCGCTTCTTTGGAACAGCAGCAGTGTGTCATGCGAATATACAGGACCTATCCTCTGCCTCGAGCAACTTTTTTAAAGGTACTAGGAAAGCTGCAACATAATAAAAATTGTCAATCTTGTTGTTGATAGTTTTAATTGCTTTCATACAAAGAAAGTTGGGATGTTTGTAAATCCTTTCCACCGAAAATTAATTAAACACACAACACTGATGAGATATTTAATTTTCAAACTGATAAACTTGATTGTTTTGGCAAATATTCACTCATTTTGAATTTGATGTCTGAGGGATCAAAACTGAGGACTGCTCCAAAAACACCTGTTTGGATCACTCCACAGATGAACAGGTTCATTGGAAACAGGTGAGCGTCATGATTGGGTAGAAAACGAGCATCCCTGAAAGGCTCAGTCTTTCAGAGGCAAGGATGGGGCCAGGTTCACTGCTTTGTCAACAACTGTGTGAGCAAATTGTCAAAAAGTTTAAGAACAATATTTCTCAATGTTCAACTGCGGGAATTTAGTGATTTCATCATCTACAGTCCATAAAATCATCAAAAGAGTCAGAGAATCACGTAAGCAGCGAGGCCCAAAACCAACACCGAATTCCCATGACCTTAATCCATTAAAGGTTACATTTATAATCTGTTCAGGTCATCTTTGTATAAGAAGAAAATGTTGAGCGAAGTGAATAAGGCAAGAGATAACATAATCAAAGTGTCCCTGTAAATATACCATAATTTTATTTTTTATATGAGGCCAATAAACCCACCAGATATCAGGAACACCCCACTCAGGTGTCAGATCCACACATTATCTCCCATGATGCCATGAAATGCAGCTGATTATTTATGTATTCCCTTTGCTGTTTCCCATTTGATCAGAAGACGATCAGACTGTCAGGTTGGACCTGTGATGGTTGCAGCACAGAAATAGAAGTCATAACACTACTGAAGCCCTTAGCGCTTACTCTGAGCTACTTCAGCCTGTGTGATTTCCTACCTTTCTCCCATGGTCCCATTACATTTTTATCAAACCCTCTCAACCTCTCTCACCCCATTTCCCTCCTCTGAATTATCCCCATCCTGTATTATATTGTGTACCGGTGGTTGTGTTTTAGCACCACAGTACACAGTGAATTTGAATAAAGATCACATTTTCTATAATTCAACAGCACAACAGGGGGGTGTTGTGGATACTACAGGCATTAAGCAGGTATTGGGAGGCTCAAAGTGAAGAAGAAAGCTAATTCAGGACATATGCAAAGCAGCCTGCATTAGCCTTCGAACTGACCCATAAATCAAATACACTTGGCAGGCCCCCCTGGCTTGCTAGCTAGTTAGTGCAGACTAGATTAGCCACCCCTGCTGATCCCGCAGAGAGGAGCAGCATCAGATGGCTCCCGGAGTTCGGGGAGAGCCGCACTAAATCTACCAAACCAATTTGGCGTGGCGAGCAGGCCTGTGTTAGCAGCACAGCTAACCTGGTTAGCCGCCTGTTGGAGGCCCCTCCTGCTGTTCGATTGGCAGAAATGGGTTCCAGTGTCAGATCAGGAAGTAATTGCCTCTTCGAGGGGAAGTTTATGACCATGTTTACCCTGTGAAGAATAGTCCTCTTCTTATACCCCTCTTCCTGGTGGAGGGTACTTTGTCAGGCTGATGGTTGATGTAGGTGCCCTCTCACTATTAGTGAACAAAAGGAATGTGCACCTTGAGGCTGAGGGGAACAATCTTGCCGTATTGTGCGGCACTGACGGGGAATTGATTGCTTACTGAGCATTGTGTACCCTTACAGAAGAGGGTTTTCCTGTCCATTGTCTGAATTGAGGACCTTCATTGCTGAAATTTTCCCTAGATACCAAATAGCTCGCTACATTAGGAAATAACAATAGACAGGTTGCACTGTTGTGGGGCTTGGCTTTGTGCAGCTCATCAGCTCTCTGCCAGATTTGTGCACTAGGACCCCCACTCCTCTTTGGCAATTGCATCAAATCCTCTTTTTTCTCTCTTTTTCTGCTTAGTGCGGGCAGTCTGAAAGCTCTGTATCTCTGATGCCAGAAAAACTGTTTCCAGTCCTTTTTGAGTCCAATTAAAGATTAACAGCAAAATATCCACAGAGCCAGGAACCTTTATAGCTGTGAATACTATAACAGCTTGTGTTACGTGATGTTCATTCTGTGTTATAGCTGATATAGGGGAAGGGTAACTCATGGAAAAGACGATGTTGAGCTGTCATTGTTTGACTGAAATTGCTGCACAAGTAAATAGAAAGGTCACCAACATGTTTGACATAAATGAACATGTTTACAGCCTCTTCAAAACCTCTTTTGTCTGAATACCACAGGCATATAGTAGCTGTTAGTGAGGCGGCTAAAGGACCACCTTAACTCCACCACTTTAACTCTCAACTGAGTTGGATCAGTATTTCCAATATGGTGAGAGCTACCAAAATAAATCAGCTTTAGTAAAAAAACGGAGACACAACTGGGTCTATATCCATTTATGATTCAATCTATGATTCCGACAAGTGATTTAAAGCTCCTGTGGGGAATTTTATCTTTGTGTTGACTTTGGCACCCCTTGTGGACAAAGCAGTCTTTGCTTGTCTAGTCGTCTAAATACTTTAGTGTCTTTTAAAGAAAACATCTCTTGTTTCTTACTTGTGACAATCAAATGTGTCATTTATTGTAAATATTGCAATAACAGGCATTTAATTTGAGTAATTTTGACATCATTGCAGATCATTTTTCTAGATATTTGTCGGTTTGTAGGAAAAAACGAAAAATAAAAAAACATTTCTAACAAAAGTTCCTCTTAAAATTTTAATTTTTGTTAAATTTGAAGGGTAATAATGTCCCCTGTAGAATCTGCCACGCCCCTCTTTCTAACCCTAGCCCTAACCCTAACCTCCTTCAAATATTTGGTTTGGAGTCTTTTTGAGTGTTAGTTTTT